ATTATATATATAGCTCAATACCCAAGATTTTAGATTGTTCTGAATCAACAGCATCTAACCTCAAATCATATTGAGATTTCTAAAAAATAATATTTTAACTTCCAAATGTCTAAGCCTTGAAGTAAGGCTTAAAATGCTTGATTTTCAATAATAATAAAAAACACTTTATTTTCAGATTTATTTCCCTATTGCTGACAACATTGATCCAGTCATCAACAATAGACTTTACATGCGAGTTTAAAGCACCAAAATTTCTAATGACGCACATCATAGGCGATCACAATTGGTGCTATATGATTGACAATGTGATTATTCATTATGAAAACATGGCAATAAATGCATCAAATGTTGATGAAAACGTAAGAATTGAAGGCTTTGCAGCAGTCAATAAGGAAATCTTTTACTTCCCAAAAGGAATCGATAAATTTGCCAAATTTTTATCACAGCTGGTCATCAAAAACTGTTCATTGAAAGAAATAACCTCAAATAATCTTCAAAAGTTCAAAGTTTTACAATATTTAGATTTGAGTCATAATCAGCTTAAAGTTTTGGACGGTGACTTATTCAGCATGGATGCCACAATTTTATACCTCATTTTAAATGACAATAAAATCAAGTTTGTTCATTATTCAGCTTTTAAGACATCTGGTCATGTCTATTTGGATTTTGAAGATAATGATTGCTTCTCTAAGCTGGCTGATGATGGAAGTAAAGTCACTAAATTGATTGAGAAATTAAAGGCAGAATGTCGATCTGATCGTGCAACTTTTAAGTTGATAGACAACAAAATGTTGAAGGAATTAAAGATTGAAAGTGAAAAACATACGGATGCAGGCACAAATGCCTTAAAACCGACACTTTACTTTGTTCTTATATTAATTGTATTGTTGTTAATATCAATAATCTCGATTATGCTTTACAAGACATCCAACAAAATACCACTAAGGATTAATCATAGTAAACATGCAAGCATTAATGCTGGAAATCGTCAAACTCGCGACAATAAGTACGAAGACCAAGTTTTATATGAGGAAATCAAGTATGTTTGTAGCACAAGTGCACAACCAGAAGCTTCTCAAATTGACGACTTTTATGCCGAACTAAGTGAATGCAATGAGACAACAACGCCTGAACTATATGCTGATGTCTATAAATCACATACTTAAAGTACTGATAGTAAGGTTCTAGCCATGAGATTCTTAAATCCATGAAAAAAATAAAATAAGTTTTGTAGTGTCTGGAAAAAAAAATTACTTCAACACACTCCCACCCAACCCCAACACACATAATGCTTAGGGGTCGTTCACTTATGACGTCAAGGGAAGGGGGGGGGGGGGGGGGGTCAGCTAGAAAAGAACAATAAAAATTCCTAGAAATCCATTGTTCTTTTTAGCGCATTTTTGAAACTTGTTTCGAAAAGGTAGCTTAATAATACACTTTGTTCGGCTGTTCGGCTCAAGAAAAACTTTGCAACCAGACATCGTAGAAAGCTCGGATTTGTTTTATTAGCTCAGTTCTATCGGGTTATTGGTCGATCGATTATTTTTAAGCATAAAACAATGGTTTTATGCTTTAATTAATGCTTTTTTTTATTTCAGTACTGTGCAACCTGTTCAATTTTTTGACTCCCTCTATAATTTCAACATTATTTCTATAATTTCAAATATTTATTGACCGAAAATTTGATTTCCAAAAAACCGTTAAAAGATAAAGACTGTCTATATGGACATTTATTGGATCTTCTAATCTTATGATCTGTAAATGAACGCAAAATAAATATATAATCAAATATTGATCGCTGTCACAAAAATGCGCTTAAGTCCCTCGATTAATAACATGAGGACTTCTGTAATTTTTTGAAAAATGACCGTTAATTTCGGATGTCATATGTTAACGACCCCTTTCGAAGATAATTAACTTAAACACAGGTTCAAATTGTAGTAATATTAAATTGATGATAACTTTAAGGGTCCGATTAAAATGATTAAGGAAACGAAGGAAAGTACAGAATCGCGATTTGTCGCAATAATGTCGCCATGCTTTGTTTCACTGACATGATCAAAGCTGGCGAACACGATCTAAGTGGATCTTACTACTGAATCAGCAAGATTTAGAGCTCGAAGTCGATGAAATTTTGTATGGAGTCTACTCAACTCGGAGTCTGTCATACAAAATTGATGAAAATCTCGAGTCAACTTCGAGCTCTGGCAAAAATCTTTTCAATGCTCGGGAATGAAAATTATGCCTCAAAATGATAACTCAAAATGATGATTTATGTATTCATACCAAATTTTTGAATTTTTTTCGAGTGAATTGAATAAAGTTTTCGTCGTCAACAGTTGATTTTTTAACAAAAATTGGTCATGAAAAATTAAAAAAAAAATGCAATTTAAAGTCGTTTTGTGAGTTTTAAGGTTGATTTAAAAGTAAAAAAAAAATATAAAAAAAAAATATTTTATAGGTTTTATCTCCTCTACTCATCTGTATATGAAAGTAATCAATCATTTACAGCAACTTGTGACTTCAGCAAGTTTGCAAGAAAAGTCCACAAATTTGTAAGTGGATGCAATCATCATTGTGCACTTTTACAAAAGATTAATCAAGAACGAAAAGTTCAATTACATTTTTTACAACATGAAGAAACAGCAAAAGTTGAAGCACTGAGGTTTGATCGCAATAATATTTCAGTAATTCCTGATGGAATTGACACGTATTTCCCAAAATTGAAGGCATTGATATTTTTTAAAGTAGGATTGAGGAAAATTACTTCAGATGATTTTAAAAATTTGACAAATTTAGAATTCCTGAACCTTAATTGCAATCAAATTGTAGTTTTAGGAGAGAATTTATTCCAATTCAGCACAAAATTGACTCACATTTTGATGATTCAGAACTTTATAGTGACTATCAATCCAACAACATTCAATGACCTCAACAGTCTAACTACTTTAGATCTGTCTCACAATTTATGCTACAACAATTCAGCATTTAATCATGATGACGTAAAGAAATTGTTAATTGATGTCAAATTACATTGCTGGAACGAGACTCTTGACGTTTTAAAATGTTTTTCATTAATCAATGAAACTGGCAATAAGCTTGACTACTGTCAAAGCCAATGCAGCAATCATTGGAATAATTTTGATCTCTTAAAAAACATCTTGTTAGCTTCTTTGGCTGTAAATTTCATAGCTTTTTGTACAACTTACTACGTTATGAGATCAACGATTCAATATTTTGAAAGCATTAAGTCAACATGGAATCAGCATGTAGGAAGACAACCGATAGTTCAAATTCGTCATTCACAGCCTCAAATTTTTTTGAATTTTCAAGCATTTGATCATTCAAAAGCCATTATTGAGCAGGAAACAATTTATGAAACAGTCATTTAACACATTAAAGAACACAAGAATTAGAGGAGCGGGCAACAGAGTCTATAACTGTCTATGCTTTTTTAAAAATGAGGATAAATTTATTTTTTAATAAATAAATTAATTTTTGTGTCACTTGATTCATTATTCACTTATTACGCACGAACATTAATTTGAACGAAGATAAATTTCTTATATTTGAATTGTCAACCCCCCACTCCCCTCGCTCCCCCTACTCCCCCCTACCCCCCCTACTCCCCTACTACCCCCTACCCCCCCCCCCCCCCTACTCCCCTACTACCCCCACTCCCCCACTCCCCCCACTCCCCCCACTCCCCCCACTCCCCCTTACCCCCCACTCCCCCCACTCCCCTACTACCCCCACCCCCCTACTATCCTTAATCCCCCACTCCCCCTTACTCCTCCCATTCCCCCTACTCCCCCCTACTACCCCCCCCCCCCCTACTATCCTTAATCCCCCACTCCCCCTTACTCCTCCCACTCCCCCTACTCCTCTACTACCCCACCCTTCGTACTCCCCCCCTTTCCGAGTAACGGTCGCATAGAGATTCCCTCGAATATTGTTCACAACAACCTATGTACGTTGGCCATCACTGGATTAATTACAAATTTAAGTCAATGAGTAAGACTTACGAAAAACTCATTTCATCTAGTTTGATGTTGAATGAAGCTGCGCTCTTCCAAAGACTCACTTCTCCTGATTTTCAACATATTCATCGAGAAAAAAAAGGAATGAAAATAATTTTGGATAACTTGTAAGCTTCTACAAAATAATAAATTAAATTGATTGTTTTACTTTAAAATACTTTATAGAATTTGGATGTTCTTGTTAGCTGGGCAAGTAGCAAATTTAACAACTACAACATCATGTAATTTTAACAGGTTTGGAGGGAAAGTGCATCAATTTGTAATGAGATGTGAAAATCACTGTACAATTTTAACGAATTTTAATAAAATTCAAAGAGTCACACTAAAATTAGACATCAAATCGAGCTACGCATCACAAAAAGTTGAAGCACTTAAATTTGCTCACAATAACATTCATTTCATCCCTGAAGGAATCGACACATATTTCCCAAAATTGAAGGTATTGATTTTTTATAGAGTAGGTTTGAACAAGATTACATCGACAGATTTTAAAAATTTGTCAAAATTGGAATTCTTGAGCCTAAATTTCAATCGAATTGAAGTTTTAGAAAAGAATTTATTCCAATTCAGCCCAAAATTGACTCACATTTTCATGATTCAAAACAAAATAAAAAGCATCAATCCAACCGCATTTTATGGCCTCACCCTGCTATCTACAGTTGATCTGACTTACAACACATGCTGTAATCACTCAGCATTTAATCAGAGTGATGTCAACTTATTACTTAAAAGTATTAAACAAAGTTGCTGGAATGACACAGAAAGCAATTTAGAAGCTATGGCCAACACTACACGACCTCCACTTAATCATCCAGATAGCACCAACCAAAACATTGAATTCAAGAAACTTTTCAACCGCTTTGTTGATCGCACAGCCAATCCAGTTGAAATCATCACAATTGTCAATTCGGGAGTTTTAATAATCTTAATTATTTCATTAATTTTATATTGCATCTTCAGTTGGAAGTCTCAAAAGAAGCCGGCAAGAAAACAAATCACAATTGATCATACAACTCACGAAGAGTTCAGCAGTCAAAATGTCAACGATTATCGTGAAGAGCCAAATGCTGTTAAAGTTGAAGACGAAATTAACAAAGAAGAACTTTACTCTGACATTGAAACTGTTAATTTGAATAAGAAGGATCAAGTTAGAGGTTCGATGGTCGATGATGCAGTCATCTATGCTGAGGTTAATAAGAGCATGTCTTAAAATTTTTATATATTTTTTTTTGGAAAAGGGAAACACCCCTAGCAAGGGGAGAAGCTAGGTGTATTTATGAAGGGGGTGGGATTAGTTAAAGTTATGGGAGTAGAATGTTCAAATTCAAAAAAGAGGTGGAGGGGGTTGAAGTTTTAGGGGGGAGTATGAGTATCAATAGTTTTCTTTTTAAATTGAATTTGTCTAACAGTAAAATTTGCAGGTTTTGTAAGGTAAATGAGGAAACAATCACTCATATTCTTTGTAAATGCAGAGCATTACGAGTACAACGTGTCAAGCATTTTGATGAGGACTACTTGAATGATGAGGATATAAATAAGCAGCATTATCAGGACATTATTGGCTTCATTAAGGACATCGGAATTCTAACATAGGGGACTTGGGATGGTACAACAGATCATCGATCGCAGTGCCGCTTTTGCTATTAGCAAAACCCTACATTACATTCTATTCTTTAGGGGGGAATGGAGGAGGGGGGTTGGTTAAAGTTATGGGGTGGGGGTTTATTTTTTCGCTAAGGATTTTGAACTTAAAATTTAAAAAAGAGGGGGGGGGGGGGGTGGTTGAAGTTAGGGGGGGGGGGGTACTTGAAGTTAAGGGGGTAGAAGAATTTCTAGTTTTCGAAGGATTTTGAAAGTAAAATTCATAAAAGAGGGGGAAGTGGTGCACTTACAGGTGCACCCCCCCCCCCCCCCCCCCCCCCTCCCCCCTTAATTGAAAAATCGAGAAAAAAATCAAAAAAGAAGGGGATGGCACCTCCCCCCACTTTCCCTCCCCCGTTTTTTTACTTTCAACTATTATTCATCATTTGCTAGTTATTATGAGTAATTCGTTATTCTAATATTTTTATATGATTTATTTTGTAACCATCATAGCTTCATAGACTCTTATTTACGCTTACTGATGTGTGCGGTTAGTTTGATGTTAAAACTAAATTAATCATGTTTTCTATTTTGAGATTGTAAGTTGAATAAATTGTTAATTTTTTTTTGAGAATTAAAACTTGTCTTTTTCTTCAGATTTGTCATACTTTTGTCCATCAATGGCTTAAAGTCAGATCCAGTCAGCATTAGTTGTAATTGTTCTGACAACAGTGTTACTTCCCACTGTGATGTTTGGGAGGGTTTAAGAATTTATTATGAGGATCAAGAAATAATCATCCAGAATACAGAAAATTGTCCGAATGCCACAGCATTTTCAGTCGATGGCAAAGTTGTACCTTATTTTCCAAGTGGAATTGACAAATCCTTTGCAAATCTGAAAGCTCTTCAAATTAAAAAGTCAGGCTTGAAGAAGATTTCATCAAAGAATCTCCAAAATTTAGCAGAGCTAGAGCATCTTGACTTAAGCTACAACAAAATTGAATCGCTTGAAGAAAATTTGTTTAAATTCAACAAAAATTTATCCGTAATTCTGCTCAACAGCAATAAAATTCAGGAAGTTGATCCAACTGCATTTGACGGTCTCACAGAAATCACGACTTTGGAATTGATTGATAATTTATGCATTTCTGAAAATGGAGTCAACAATGATCAATTTCAAGTCATTTTAGGCAACTTAAAGACCAAATGCTGGAGTGAATCATTGGACATCAAAAAGTTCATCTTGGAAGTTACAAAAATGGATAATGGAGTCACAACAATGCGAAAATTGATGAATTGTTCGACTAATTTATTCATGGACAGCTTAAATCATGAAAATTCATCACCAACAGCTGACTTGTTTGGCTATGACTCATCAAAAATGTCATGCATCTGTAAATCATCAAGTTATGAGCTAAACTCTGGAATTTTACATTCTAAAGCTTTTTATGGCATGTCAATAATGGATATGCTGATCATCCTCAACACTCTGCTGTTATCGACAGTGACAATTACAATTCTAACCTCAAAATGCACCAGCAAATCTCAAAACAATCAAAACCAATATTTTGTTAAAAATCAGATTTATAAGGAAATCTGCAAAGCTCCAAATAGTCTTAAAAGGAATCCAAATAAATCTTTAAAGTCTTTTCGCTCGATGGAACTGCCAGAAAAGAAATATCACGAGAATGACGAATGCTATGACGAAATATCTGTAGCTGTTTGTCAAGAAGAATATGCTAAAGTATTAAATTCTGAAGGGTGTGAAGCTATTCCTATTGAAGATGAGGAACTTTACTCGGAAGTTGGTTGCTCTAAAGAAACAAAGGAATATCCAGAAACAACAGAAGATCCACAAATAAGAGATAAAGAATCGTGTGATAAAGAAGCAATGTACACAGAAGTGATTAAGAGATCATCAGGTTGGATTTGATAAAGTGTTCCTGTACCCTTCTTCCCCCCTTCCCCGAAAAACCCACCTCCTCTGGCTAAGCCCCAACATAAAATTTACTTATTATAAGTTCATAATTAATCATTATTATTCAGCAAAAATGTACGAGTCATGGTAGGAAGGCTCAGGGGTGTAGCCAAGAATTCAAAAAGGTGGGGGGGGGGGGGGGGTGGATTTTTCATAAAACTCCTAGCAAAATGAAGAAATTAATGTTAACGTCGGGGGATTTGTCCCCCAAATCCCCACCCCTGGTTGAGCGCCTAGGATGGCTGTTCAAGTGTGCACTTTTAAGCTGGACAGTCCTTCTATTTTAAAGAATGTTCCACTTATAATCCTTAAATTCTCGCACTTTTGAACCTTTATTTTGGAAAAAAAATGCTTTAAATTTTGGGTTTGTCCAAATTTTTCAGTGCTAGGGCCAGTTTTAAAGGATATCCGAAGCATCCGCTCAACACTATCTTGGGTAAGGAGGTCAACCTATGAAAGCGCAATCTATCTTTCACCAAGGCGTGGAAACTATCCTAAATTTCTCATTTATCCCAAATATCCCAAAAATATCAAGAATAATCCCTGAACCTGCATGCATTAAAATTGAGATCTCCCATCGAATCCCAAGATTAAATGTCCAATACACTAAGGATTCGTTAGGATATCTTTATTATCGTGCATACAGGCTTAGGGAAATTATAATTGATATTTTTGGGATATTTGGGATAGTTTTCACGCCTTGTCTTTCACTTAGACTTCCCTAACGTACTCTAGAGGTTTCCTCCTCACCCGGGTAGGGTAGGCACTCTAGAGTACCCTTGGGGACTCAAGGTGAAGGATAGGTTACGGTATCATAGGTTGACCTCCCTACTGGTGGGGAGGATAAGGAAGATGCCCGGCCTAAATACCATCGTGAGAAATTGAAAACCAAATTATGAACAAACCCCGATTAACAGCCTGCAAATTAGTCACAGTTAAGTGAGAAAAAATTAAAAATCATTTTAAAATTGTCATTCATAATCAGAACATTAAATAGAAAACATTAAAGTTTTTTAAATTAAATATTTTATGATGTTGAACTTATTATTGTGAGTAAAAATGTTAAATAGAATTTGTGCTTATCTTACTAATGCATCCAAATAGAATTAATCATCTACTGGCCTCAAGAATTAAAATAAAAATTATTTTACATATTCTCAGAATTGTATTCCTTAAGAATATTTTGATAGTAAGCAGTCAAAATGCATCGCATTTAAATCAGTTTTGTTGTGAGTTTTTTGAGGCTAACTTTATTCAAACACATCCTTGCTGTTTTACCAAAAGTGACTTGAACTCTACTGATTTTGATTTTGACATTGATTCAACTGATCAAATTGGAAATAACGAATGCTGCGATAGTGTTTTAGAGGATAGAAATACTCTTGCTGACGACAACATAACAACACCGCTTTCTAGAAAACTAGATATAAACCATACAGAATTTGCGTTCATCTTACCTACATTTGATACTGTCCGGAAGGCTTCGCAAGGATTTTACAACCTACTTAAGTCAACCAGTGATTTAGATAATGTTAAATTCTCAAATAAATTAAATCTCGATAAAAAAAATGATGATGAAATACAAAAGTTTCGTGACGAGATGCAACAGCTCAAGATCTACTTTGATGAAAAATTGAAAAACGTCACCGTAAATGCTCTCAAAGATGTCACAACCATGTCAGCTCCAACTGTTAATTCGAATAGAATCTCAAACACTGACTCACAAATTTACATGCTAGTCATTTGTGTTTTAATGATTTTTTTAATTTTCTCAGTTGTTGTTGGACTCTCAATCTATAACAGACAATCATCAGCAAGAATCAGCACTTATGGTGTCAAGAGGAGCCTTCCTAAACTTCCATTAGCTTATGAGGCACCAGACTATGAATACATCGAATACAATACAGATAAAGCTTCTTCAAATATTAATTTTGGATCAACATTTCTGGTACAGCCAACCGCACCACCAGCATATCAATTTGGTGGAAATAACAGTTATTCTGAATCAGATTTCAAGACTCAAGTCTCATCAATTTATAAAGATGTTATCGATACTAAAAAACTCTCAGATGACGATAATGATTTTTATGCACAAATTGTTTGTAATAAAGAAGATGGAGACGATAGTAAGGATGTAGGAAGTTCGGATTTATATGCTAAAGTGTGAAATAAGCGTTGAATATTGTATTTGTCATCAACATTAATTCATAATTTATGAATCATTTTTTAACGAAATAAAATGTCTGAAGTTTAAGTTTTAATTTAGACAAAATTTATCCCCCCCCCCACACCACCATTGACATCCTCAAAAAAATTACTGGCTAAACTCCTGAGGGCACTTTAAGTACTGGAAGTTCTCGATTTGAGTAAAAAGATTCAGAAAAATCCTATTCAAATCGAATCCATTCAAGTCAAGAATCCATAGGACTATAAAAATTAAAGGGAGGGAAGATGAGAATTTGTGACAGACGCGAAGAGCCAGGACGAGGGGGATAACAAATCCCCCTACTTAAATAAAAGCTCTTCATTTTGCAGTGTTTTTTTGAAAAATTCCTGAAAATACGTCTCTTACCTTAAATATTTTTGACACCCCCCCCCCCCTTCATTCAATTTTTTATCCCCTCCCCTCATCTTAAAATTCCATTCTGCATCCCCTTTTTGTGGCAATTGAAACAAAGGAAATTTATTTACACACAGGATTAAAATGAACTGAATCCTGGGTTCGATCCCGGGATTGAAAACCCTAGAAATTTACTTTGGTAGAGAATTTGTGACAATGGGGCGGGGGGTGTATAAATATTTAGTTTTTTGCATTACAAAATAATGGGGCATTCACTTATGATTTCAAAAGATACTAGCAGAAGTAGCTGTTATAGCCAGAGACAGAAACCTGTTCAACCGCTTTATTAACGCCCTACGATTCACAGTGGATCAATAGGAACTAATCATCATTAATCATCACTTATGATTTCCAACATTTCAAGGGGTCGAAAAACTTGTGACACATTGTGACAGGGGAGGTTGAGTTTAGAGTTGAGGAAATTTGTGGCATCCAATTTTTTAATCAGAAAATTATAATTTTTTTTGTGTCATTAATTGGACGTAACAAAGGAGAGGGGGGGGGGGGGATTGACATCTGTGACAGTATTGTGACAGAGTTAAGGGGAGGAGGGGTCTAAAAGTCAGATTTTTTCATGGACGTCATAAATGAACGTCCCTTAATCGAGTGACTTATTAATGACAATGCGGTGATGAATCTAAAATTAGTCAATTTTTTTTCTTTAATTTTTCATGAACAAAAGTAAAATTAGGATCATTAAAATAATATTCGTGGACAATTTTAGTTATAAAATAATTAATTTGAACATTTTAATTGATAAAAGTGTAAAAATGTGGGTCATGTAAGTTTAAGTCAGAGCTTAATGATGTTCTTGAAAGGATCTCATCTCACAATAATGTGATGGCCATTTTAGAAGCGTAGAGAGACCTCAAAACAACTCTGCGACACCATCCATCCCCTTCTACTCTAGCATCCATCCTCAGGAGCCACAATTAATAATAAAATTTTAATTATTAATCGACAGATTAACTGCAATGCTCATCAACCTTAATCCATCAAACACTGAAGTCATCAACGTTGATTGTGATTATAAAGCTGGTAATTTTGGAGACTACATAAGTGTTCCTTACTGCTACATTATTGGAAATGTCAAAGTTCACAACAATAATTCAGAAATTTTAATTTCTAATCCACAACAAAATGTCGAGGCTGTCCTGATTAATCAAAAAGAAACATTCTTCATCCCAAATGGAATTAATAATTTTTATCCTAATTTGAGGCTTTTAATTGTTGTTCTATCCAGCTTAAAGAAAATATTTTTAAAAAATTTTGAAAATTTTCCAGACTTAGAATATTTAAATTTAAATTATAATCAAATTGAAATGCTTGAGGAAAATTTATTTAAATTTAATCATAAATTAAAATTTATCTTGATAAGTGACAACAAAATTAAACTTATTGACCCGAGTGCATTTAATGGATTGATTAATCTTAAGCATTTAAATCTTGATGATAATTTAAAATTTAATGCCACAGCGACTGGACAGTCAGCAATCAAAGTCCTCATTCGGAGCATTGTGGATCAATTTTGGATTGAAGTTATGGAAGTGGTGAAGCTTACAGTTCTCGATGTTGACATTTTAATGACCGACGAGCAAGTTTATGTTCTAAGTAAAATTAAGAAGAAGTTTGACGGACAATTTTCAACTGCAAATCATGAAAATAACCAAAATTTTGTGCAAAAATATTTAATTTTTGTGCTGATTATTGTGTCACTTTTGATATATTCGTGCAATTTTTTGATACTTTATTGTCTTTACCCTAGCAAATAAATCTTATCTACATGAACCAGTTCTCAAGGAGGAGGACCCCCTTAAATCTCTCAATACCTCCCAAGCTTGTAAAACTTTCCAATTCAAACGGTTTTTAAATAAAAATTTTAAAACATGTAGTCCACTTGTCCATACCCCGAACATGAAACTATTGACGTCACTAATTGCTGAATATGTCGTTTTTGTCAACAAAACATTTTACAATTTTGATTCATACAGCTTTAGTCATTCGTGAGTTGTCAAACTTATCAAACACATTTTTTAATCAGAATAAAAATAATTTTTAAAGCGTTGTTTTGATTTGAATTGTTGGAAGATTGTTGATTTGAATTCTTTGGGAAGGAGAAGCTAGCTGAAGTGATAAGGCACTTGAAATATGGACACAAAAATAAAATTGTGAGTAGATTTAGATTTATGAGGACTTTGATAGAGTTTTGTATTTGGGGAAGGATCTACTGAAGATTGACTTGAGGGGGGACACAACATAATGGGGAAATTATTTGATAACTTTTTTTTCATGTTTTTATTCCTCTTGGATTGGTTTCTAAGGGGTTTAGGGGCTAGGACACATGCATTTGTACCAAAACTAATCATCTACACGTGAGATTTTTAAGTCCAGGTTCAATTTGTATCTAAACTTAAAAACCTTTAGTGAACTTTATTATCTGGACTTATAATTTCCTGTGCAAGATTTTTCACACTGAATCTGAACTTATGAATAAGAACTGATGAATCTGAACTTATAATTTCTGGACCTATAACCCAGCATCACAATTATCTGATAAAATATGTTTGAACGTTACATTGTAGGACAGTTTTCAAACTTGGTTCCGAACTAGGATAAAATCATAGATTCGTCAATAGTGGTAGCCAGCGTTGCATGGATGGTTTACTGCTCTGCGGGCGGACCATTTTTTGTTGGAAAAAAGTTTGTTGGCACGAAATTATTTGGAACGGATTTTTTTTGGAAAACAATTATTTGGAAAATAATTTTTGGAATTGAAAATATTTGAAACGGAATTTTTTGGAATTTTATTTAATTATATCAAAAACTATTGAGCCACTATTAAAGTACATTTAGGGGGAAAATCACTTGGTGGAAAAAAGTAATCAATGGAAAATTTTCTGTCAGTTTTCCAATATTTTTGATGGAAAACTTTAAAAAAGTTAATGAAAAATGTTTCATTGACCAATTTTTCCACGAAGTGATTTTCCCCCTGTTTACATAGAACTTCATTCTTATAGTTGCCTGCCCCCAAAAACTGACTAATGGTTTAACACCAAATTCAAGTTCCTAGAAAACAGAAGTTGCGTTGTGAGGGGGTAAGGGTGAGGGGGAAGTATGGCCAAGGCTTTCAGCCCATGCCCCTGGCATTTTTTTTTTGAAAAACCCATATAAAAGAACGTTGGTTTTCAACCCAGTTGCCTAAAACCTTCGCTTTTCCCCCGCTTGCCAATCAAATCCCATGTCTGTAGTTCCACTTATTTGCACAGCTTGTGCAATTTGATGCATGCAATAATGCAATAATAATTTAAAATTGAACTATTTTTGCAGATCTGTCACATATTCTCACATATTATTCAGCTAGTCACGTAGAAACTTATTAATCATTTCCTTATTTAATTTTTAGCCTCATCCTCGCCTTTTGTGCCGCACTTTCTCAATCACAAAGAGTCGAACTAGTTTGCGATGTGACTGAAATGAGTTTTGGTGACATGAACAACCTCCCGACATGCATCGTTCCTGCTGATTTTAAAATTCACACTGAAAACACTCACATTTTTGTACGTGATCTTCAGAAGCTGTCAAGCATTCGAGGACTTGTGGCTAAAAATAGAGAAATCTTTTATTTACCGCCTGGAAATGAACATCTTGTTTGGTACACAAAAGCTGCAATTATTTCAAATTCTAAATTGAGGAAAATTTCTTCAGATAACTTGATGAACTTCCTTTATTTAGAGTTTTTGGACATGAGTCAAAATGAGATTGAAATTTTGGGACCAAATTTGTTTAAATTCAATAAAAATTTGAGGACTTTAATCTTTGATGGCAATCGGATTCAAATTATTGACTCGACAATCTTTAAAACACTGCCAAATCTTGAATATTTGGGATTGGATGACAATGCTTGCGTCTCTAAAGTTGCTGATAGTCGACATGAGATTCTGGATGTTTGTGGATTGATCGAGTTGAAGTGTTGGGATGAAAATTTGGAAATGTTGAAGGATTCGATGGAAGATCAATGCAGAATTGAATGATTTTTCTTAATAGTAATTTTTTTTTATGGAACTGCAAACTTAAAGCCTGAATAAAATCTAGTTTATAAAATTAAATTACTCATAAATTTTAATGATTCAAATTTACAAAAATGAAATAATTTCATTAAGTTTTTTCAGCAAATTGTAATAAAATGTGTTTTAAATTTTTCACGTAAATTTAACAAAAATTAAACTTATTATTTTGAAATTAAATTCAAAATTCTTTTAGTAGACAAAATGCTTCAAATGTCCCAAAATTCGAGGAAAGTGAAGACTATAAGGTAAGTTTAAAAATAATTTATTGATGAAATAATCTTAAAAAATATGAATTTTAAGGCAAACGTTGAACTGAAAGAAAAACAAGCTTTGAACAGAACTAAAGGCAAAAATGATAGTCAAGGAAGTCAATCATCATCTTCAGGACTGCGACAACGAGGAGGATTTGCTGCGATTGTTCCTAGAAAATAAGAGGGAGCGGATTGCTTAACTTACAAACTTTTAAACTTTTTTTTTCAATATTTCATAATGTTTTCTTTGCAACCAAAGATTTCCATATAGGGCCGTTCACTTATGATGTCCTTATGGGGGGGGGGGCGTTCAGCAAGAAAAGAACAATAGAAATTCCTGGAAATCCATTGTTCTTTTTGAAAAATGAACGACACCTATCCTGCATTAGCCATACTGAACAACCCAGGGGCGTAGCCAGAAAATTTTTAAGGGGGGGGGGGGGCATTTTCGAAAATTGAAAAACCGTTATTTTGTATCCTTAAATCTATATTCATTCTTCATAAGTTTAAATATTTAATTCATTATTCATACATAAAATTCAATTTTTCGTGCTGATTTTGACATTTCTTTCATCACCTCCTCTACATTAACTGGTTCTTCTCTATAAATACTTAATAAAACAATTATCAGATTTTCGTGGGGGGGGCCCTATGCCCCCCCCCCGTTCTCCCCTGGCTACGCCCCTGGAACAACCCCAGAGTGTTAGTCAAATCAAGCAAAAAATTATGAATCATTCTGTAGCCACAAACTCATGATATGAATATAATTGTGATCCAATTGTGATCCATGTCCTCCTTTAGATGGCGCCTGAAGCTGACTCTATCGCTTGATACCGTTTGCCATACCAAATGCAATACTGTCTCTGTCCACAGCTTCTTTCCATGAGTTCTTTGGCCTTCCACGTGATCTCTTTCATCTACAAAATTCCAATTTGAAGACTTTATTTAATGGAGCGTCAACAGGTCTTCTAATAACGTGTCAAGTCCATCAAAGCTTGTTCTCACAACATCAGCAAAATTGAACAGGTTGCACAGTACTGAAATAAAAAAATCATTAATTAAAAAACAAAACCATTGTTTTATGCTTCAAAAATAATCGATCAACCAATAACCCGATAGAACTGAGCCAATAAAACAAATCCGAGCTCTCTACAATGTCTGGTTGCAAAGTTTTTCTTCGCCCGAACAGCCGAACAGCCGGACAAAATGTATTATTAAGCTACCTTTTCGAAACAAGTTTCAAAAATGTGCTAAAAAACGACATTTTTGAATCTTTTATAAAATGATAAATTAAAAAGAAGCAAAACTAGTGAATCAATAGATTAATCATCATGAATTCAATGAACATCATAATTAATGGTTTATTTTTATTTATTTGAAATCATTTATTCAATCTTAATGCACGTAATTAACTGTTCGTAAGGATAAGAAAAATGAAAACTGTTTTAAAATTGTTAGTATTTATTAATATTGAAGTGTTAATTTTTAAATCTCAATTAAATTTATTGTCCTTTAGAGTCATACTTTTGTTAGGAGCTGCAAACTGTGACCAACAAAATGTAATTTCAAAATTTGTCTGTGAATTTGTTCAGCAAAATTATCGACACTTTGACAATATTCATACCTGCAAAGTTAAAGAGGATTTGAATGTCATCCAAAGAAATGTCGAATTAGAGATTGGAAGTCATCAGATTTACGTCAACATCCCAGGACTCTCAATTATGATCAAAAACATTTTCTACCTTCCCAAAGGGATCGTTAAATTCTTTCCTAACCTCGAAATGTTGGAAGTTATCCAGTCTGGATTGAAGGAAATTTCATCAACTGATCTTGAACCTTTCCGGATTTTAAAGTATCTGGACCTGTCCGGCAACAACATTGCAACTTTAGAAGGCAAACTCTTTCAATTTAATTCAAAATTGGAAGTCTTATTACTCAATGACAATGAAATCAGCACAGTCGATCAATTGACATTTTATGGCTTATACAACCTAAAATTCTTAGGCATTCAAAGGAACCACTGCTTTTCCGAAATGACAAGAGATGCTAGCGCGGTGCAAAACATGATTAATGTCATCAAATTTTCATGCTCTAAAGACAATAATCATCATTCAATGAACCTTGAAAATATAAAAAAGGAACTGACCAAAAGTAATTCTGAAATGTCAATTCTTAAGAATAAACTTGTTGCTGTAGTTGAGGAAAACAGAAACATTAGAACTACCTTTGATGCCCAAAATAAAGCAGTAGAGAACCTTAGGACGCAACTATTTGAGACGCAAAAAAGGATCGAAGACAAGCTGGAAAAACAAGATAAAAGCTTGGATAATAAAATTAATCCAAAGTCATTAAATGAAATCCAAAATTTAAATTTTACATTCTATGAAGAATTTAATAAGATTGAGCAAAAATACGCCAGAAATAAAAATCAGCACTTCGAACATGACGCAGCCATGTCAGTCATTAAAATGAATAGAAACTTGTTCATCTTGATGATGGTGTTATCCCTAACCACATATTTATGTAGCATTACGCTGATGTGCTATGCATTTAAGAAAATTAGTCAACACGAAGAAGTTAAAGCTGAGGAAGTGGAACTGCCTGATTTATATGTTGAAGTTCAATAAAAAATTTTAGGTTTTTATTTTGAATTCTACTTTATTTGCATTTCATGGCAACAAGCACAATTTTGATTCATAATTTCGAGAATTAAATGAGATTGCATTTAAGTATTATTCAGAGCTCGAAGATAGGGTTCTCGAAACCGAGTTGACTCAACTTTTCTTGTGTCGACTTCTTTTTTTTTCGAGTAGACTCGGAGTCCGGAAAAAATCGAGTCGACTCAGAAAAAATGAAGTCGACTCGAGTCGACTAGAGTCGACTAGACTCGACTCAAAACCGAGTCGACTTCATTTTTTCGAGTCGACTCGAGTCTACTCGGATTCGACTCGAAAAAACCCGAGTCGAATTCGAGCTCTGGTTTTTATAAATTCATCATCTTCAATTGGCTCACAGTTCTTGTTTAAAAATCACTTATTTTTTAAGAATCGCTCAAAAATTTTTGCAAAATAATGAAAATTAAATTCAAATTGTAAGTTCAAATGTTAAAAAGTTGATAATTTGTCATTTAAATTTTACTAAATTTACTTTTTAAAGATTATTAATCATGACCGTCCTCATTAATTCATCATCCAGCGACACAGTCAAATTTAGCTGTGACTACTCATACCAAAGCTTTGTTGCTTCAAAAGACATTTTGTGCTGTAAAATATTGCCGAGTTTGACAATCCTACAAGAATTCACGAATATAAGCATCATCAACTCCAAAAATATGACAAATGTTCACGGATTTTCAGCACGCAACCAGCACATCCACTTCCTACCTCGAAACATTAACGATTCCTTTCCAAATCTTGAAGCTCTTGAGATTTTTGGTTCGGGTTTGAAGAAAATTTCATCCAGCGTCTTGAAAAGGCTTGAAAATTTGAATTATTTGAGTTTGAGTCACAACAAAATTGAGAGTCTTGGTGCCAACTTATTCCAGCATAATCGCAAGTTGAAGACTATAATTTTGAATAACAACAGAATCAACTTTATTGAACCAACAGCTTTTAAAGGATTAACAGAGCTTAGGATTCTCCAAATGCAGAACAATTATTGCATCAACAGTGCTGGAAGTAACATTTTGAATGTGGACAACTTAATTGAAAGTTCCAAGATTAATTGCTCAAAAGTCGTCAGGGAACTCAGCCAAAAATTACAAAAACTTGACGAAAAATTCACAAAAATCTTCGACGGGATGTCAAGCGAGTCTGAAAGCATTAGCTTATGGAGCAGGATGAAGGAATGGTTTAAAGGCTACATGAACATGAATCACAGGAGGGAAGGAACGACCAGAGAAGGACCGATCATAAATCACAATGAAAAATTGCTGAATGACAGTTTTAAGGAACTAATGTACAATGAGACAATTGAGCAGATCATTAGTTATGTCTTGAAGAGCATCAACATGACGGACATTCAACAAGACATATCAGAACTTAAAGAATCCATCGCAGGAAGTCAAGAATCGAGAATTAAGTTGCGATATTTAATTTTCACACTTATCAGTTTGTCATTGCTGACTTATTTGTGTTCCTTTGTCATCATTTACTATCTGTATCCAAAAACTGGTGAGTTGGTGCTGAATAATGAGCAGAATAGAATAAGCATTGAGAATGTTTATGACGATATTCCAATGAGAAATGTTTAAATTTGAATCATGGAGATAGTGATGCAGTCAGGGAGGATGGAGCTAGAATGAATGATTAGCCTTAAAACTGCGGAACTGATCAACTACTAAGTTATGTGTCACGAAGTATAGCAATATTAAATTTTGAATAATTTTTTGTATCACAATTGCCACTTAAAAAGTAGAAATTGACGAATAAACAATGAAGTTTTTTGGTTTGTAAGTTTTTTTTTTACATTATTTTTTAATATTTAAAAATAAAAATCATAAAAATTTGTCTAGCTTTGTTTGTGTTCTGCTCGTTAGATTCATTAAAAGTGATCGAATTCATTTTAATTCCGAATATATTGACTTGAAAGTAGACATCTTAGAAAAAACCATTTCAAACTGCTGCCGGACAACTGAACATCCAAAAATTAAAGATGATAATGATGTTTTGGTTCCATTGAACCCCAACTCTGGATCAAACGTTGACTGCTTTGTTGCTGAAAAGAAGGAATTTATTTATTTTCCAAGAATAATTGAAAACTTTGGCCCCGCCCTGCAATACGTGACCATAAAAAACTCAGGGATGTAAAAAGTTACTGCAGAGAATTTAAAAAGTTTTACATCTATGGAATATTTGGACTTAAGTGGCAATGAAATTAAAAATCTAGAAGAGAATTTGTTCACAAATTGTGGAAGTTTATTTTATATTGTCTTGGCCAATAACAAGATTCAGTCTGTTCATCCTACTGCGTTTGCTAGCTATGAACATTATAAATATTTAGACCTAAGGGGTAATAAGTGCATCTCTGACGTGTTTGAAGGGCAAACTGAAACACTCAAACTTATAAAACGTGTAACAAGTCCAGAATCATGTTTAAAAGTATTAAGCACTACAACAAGCACAACTCGTGTCAACGCAACCACAAAACCTAGTATTAAGGACACTATCAATCCAGAACTACGCGAGACAATTCAAGAATTGAAAGACCAAATTTCAAGAATGGAATTAAATATTCAACAACTCAAAAATTCAAAAACAACTTTAAAAAACGTATTTTTTATCATTATTGCTTTATCAATAGCAATTTACTCGTGTAATTTTCTTATTTTATTTTGTCTCCATCCAAAGGAAGTTGTTAATGACTATGAAGAAGTTAGAGATGCCCGGCCTGATCGACAAATTGCCTTCAACACTGCTCAAAATTTGATTCGAATTCAATGAAAAAAAAATTTAATTATATTTTTGTTGTCACCAGAGGAAGGGGGGGGGGGGTAATTAGTACCAAGTAAGTCAGTTTTGCATTCTTAGTTTGTACCAGCTTTTTTGAGATAGATTTGAATCAAATCATTTGTTAATTTATAAAAATGAAATCATTCAAGGCCAAAGCAAGGATGTGGAACTGATCAAAATTTATCAAAAATGAACAATATAATTTATCAGTTCCGCACCCTTGGTTCAAAAATTCTGGCTTCTCAAATTAATTGTATAAATAATAATAATAATAAAAATGTTATTGTCTGTCAATAAAACACCGTAAAAAATTATTAAAATTAAATATTCCACAGCTTATCATTTCTAGGGAGAAATAAAGTTCCCCCTTCCCCCTAAATATATCCCCCCTCTTTCAATTCCTAGCCACGCCCCTGATTCATACACAAAACGAATCATCTTCAATTAAATTTAACAAGTTTTGAGTCAGCATCATTTGCATGCATTTTAAATCAGTTTATTGTGCTGATCAGTCAGCAAAAGTCTACAAATGTTTACAATTTTTGTCATTTTTCATCTTCTTTGAGTTGTTTATGGAAGTAAGTGAATCATTTGATGAGAATCATTTTGTAGAGCCGGTTGCATGGTTTATCAAAGTTTGAAAGCCACTGGAACCTTAATTCAACAGCATGCATAGCAATCGACTCTTAAAAATCGTGTCAACAATTAATAAACAAACTTAATCATAAACAGACTCAATAATCAGCTCTCAATACGTAATCGAAAATGCAACTCAACTCGAATCGCCATGGCTGACATTTTTATCAGTCTATGACCTACCATGCGCCGAAGCTTTGGTTAAGAATCAATTTGTTGTGACCGGTACAATATTTCTTATAAATCTCCAATATTTTTTGTGTTAAATAATTCAAAACTTATTTTAGCCGCTCACTGCTTCGACACACTAAAATACGATGATTTCAACAAAGAGAAACGCCTGCAAAGTGTTGTAAAAATAAAACTCGGTGAATGGAAAACTGATAGAGATCCAGACTGCAATGAAGACATCGATAAGGAAATTTGTGATAATTTTATTGAAATTCCCCCCAAAAATGTAATTGTTCATGAAGAATACGGAAAGTTGATAGGCATGAACGAGCATAAGAATGGCATTGCAATTATTAAGCTTTCATGGCCACCAAGAGAGTCTGAATTGATTTAAAGCGTTAATTTACCTGAAGCTGATGAGTGTAAAGCGCCTGTTGAGAATCAACTTTGGACTGTTACTGGATCTGGTAAGTTGAATAAGCGTGAGATTCTCACAATCATTGCCAGTTAGATTCATAATACTTTTATGTATGGTGAAATACATTCTGAAAATCCCAAATGGCATAGAAGCAGTTCACTAATGACGTCCGACATTTAGGGGGGGGGGGGGGGGGGTATGGAGGTCAAGGATTTTGTGACAGTTCAAAGAATGGAAATTTTTTTCTAAAGAATTTTTGTGACAGAGGGGGGAAGGGGGTTCTAAAAATCAGGTTCTTTGATGAACGTCATAAGTGAACGACTCCGTACAAAAAGTATTAAGGATGATGAGCTGTTTGACAAGACAAATTGATAAGATTAATCGTTGGAAATTCAGCCTATAAATAAACATTTCCATGAAAAATTAATTAAATAATATAATTTCATCATTATCAATATTTTTTAAGGTCAAACGCCATCGAAAAAATACACAACAATTAAGAAGAAGATTGAGATGAGAATTATTTCACACGAGAAATGCGAGCATGAAATTGCAGATAAACAAGAGTATTATGATAAGGAGACGCATGTAGGTTCAATTTTGAGACTTTTATCATTATGATGATGTGGAAAGAATCTAAAATTGGTTTCCAGAGCTACCCAACGTACTATAAACTCGATTTTGATATAAATAACATTAAATCGAGACTTTAGTAGGTTGCCTGGGTAGCCTTAGAGACTAAAACCTTGATTGCCGATTAATTTTATCTTTATTATAGTTCTAGATCTGCGGGATAGGAATCAAAGGTTTGAAAAATTTAAATTATATTTTTAAACAAAAATAGTAAAAAAAAGCCGACGGCAAATTTCCTTTTTCAAGGCAAACAACTTGGTAAGCAGCTATAAGTTGACTACTTTTGCGGTAATTTAAATTGACCTTTTAATTTATTTTTCTATTAAAAAACAAAACAGCACTGGAGATTCAGGTAAGATGCTATCTAAATGGATACAATTTTTATAAAGAAAAACTTATAATTGAGGATTTTTGAAATTATTAACTGCAATGCAAGTCTTGGACCTAATTTGAAGGGCTAACCAAGTCACCAGGTGCGTAGCCAGAGGGGGGGAGGGGGGGATTTGGGGGACAAATTTTTCGATACAAAACAATTTTTGCCCCCCCACCCCCACTTCAAATTCCTGGCTTCGCCTAACCTTTACCCAAATGGCACTAGTCAGTTAATCGAATATAAATCCAGCGATTCTGGCACGGTGCTGGCTTCGTTTTGAATCTAGGACTATTCCAAAGTTACACCGGCTTTGTGCTGATCGTTTAACCGACTTGTGCCATTCGGGATAGATATTTTAAATATGTTTTTTTACAGGAAGTGCTTTAACAGCTAAAACAAATGATGGCAACATATTAAAAGGAATTGTATCCTTTGGTGTGAGCGAATGTGGAACTAAAGGAGCTCCATATACGTCCATTTGAACAATTAAGATAAATATTGATAAATTTGAATTTTTTTAACATTTAATTTTAACAGCTGGATTTGTGAAAGTTTCCTGCTTTGTCGAATGGATCAATAAAGCAATCAAGGAACTTAAAGGAAATCAGGAAGATGAGGAGGATGAAGATGCAGATTGAAAAGATGACACTAAGGATGAATAAAATGACAAAAAAGATGAATAACTGATTTCTTTCGTTTTGAAAACTATTTGAACAATTTATAAGATTTTTTGGAATTAATTGTTTCACAGCTTCAAAAATATCAACAATTTTCATTTTTTTTCTCCAAAATTCAAATTGTTTTTTTCAAAAAAAGCAAAGAATCCAATGTTAGCAAAGAGAACAGAGTCCGTTACAAAATTATTTTAAAATTTCAAAATAAGAAAGTCTGTTACTTTTTATTTATTTTTAAACCAGCTGCTTTTTAAAGCATAAACATTTAATGAATGCAATTTCATCACAGTGATTATCTTAATCATAAAAACTAGTAGGAATGTTCACTAAAATTACAAATTACTCGATAAAAAATAATTCACAACGAATTTTTTTAAAAATAAGAACTTCGAAGCTTCGATTTTCGAAGAATAAGAACCTCAAAAATTCGAATTTCGAATAATAAGAACTCAAAAATTTCTGTTTGCTAGCATTGGCAAAGAATGAATAAAAATTTAAAAAATATAATTTCAATTTTCAATTTTTTCAAATATATTTTTTTAAGTTTCAATAATATAATTTTTTTAAATAAAAACTCATTTTGAATTTATTTAAAAGCTCAATTTCAAATTTTGTTTAAAAAAAGTCGAATTTAAATTCTTTAAAAAAATATTCAATTTTAAATTTTATTTAAAAAAAGGTCGAATTTTATTTTTTTTTAAAAAAAAGCAAATTCAATTTTAAATTTGTTTAAAAAACATTTCCTTAATAATTCAAAAAAAAATTATTTTTAAAAGAAAAATCATAAAATAGAAAATTCATCAAATGTTAAAAATTTGTGTATATAAGAAGAAATCGAGCTGTAAGCATTTCATCCCCACCAAATTTAATTTACTCAAAATTCTAAATTTATGTCTCTGAGATTTTGTTAAATCCTCGTTTCTCGTGTAACTACACAAAATGCTTCACACATTGAAAATAAGACAAGATCGTTTAATGAACCTTTTTGAGAGAGTGAGCGAAAAATTCAGCTTCGGTTTTTGTTCAATATAAATTTCAATATTTGTCTGTCATGATTATAAAATTTTTATGATTTGTCTGTTTATTGAGGATTTTTTTCGAGATAAATTAAGTTTTTTGGTTGAAAATGAATTGTAAAGAGAAATTTAACGTGATTGAAGGTAGGGCGGGAGGTTGGGCAGGCAGATGAGAGTCAAAAATGTAGATCTGATCTACTGAAGCCAAACTGGAATAAGTATCAAATTTAATATTGTAATGCAAAGACAGACATTTATTGAAAATTATATAAAACATTCAAAAATTGAGGACCAATGACTGAATTATATATTCTTAAAAAAAAGATCATAAAGCTGCTCAATTCTCTTAAAAAAGTTCTGTGTTCCACCTTTTTGCGTATTTACACAGAAATTTGACTCTCAAATGAGCATTTTGAGCATTAATTTGATTTATTCTCTCAAAATACGATCTGAATTTCACCATCCGATCAGACTGCATGGCTATGCCTGCCCCACTCCTTATTTATTCTCTTAACTTTATTTCGAAATAAAAAAAGTGGGGATTGTCATACAAAACATATATCAGGCATCTCAGAGTTTCTCAGTTGTTCCTTGCCGGTCATTTCAAGATAGACTATTAAGCAGGTAGCATTGAATCACAAAAGACTTAAAAAAAGACGTATTTTTAAAAATTAAGAAGAAAATGCTAAAACTTTTACTGATAATTCCGATTTTACAAATTGTTTGTACGTGTGAGTGATTTTTAATTATTTATTAAATTATTTAAAATGCAAAGTTTTTGTTTTGCATAGATTTGAATTTTTGTAAAAGTTTAATTGAAAAAAAATTAAAATTCATAAAAAATTATAATAAGTTGCAAAAAAATTTATTTTTATTTTTTTTTTGATTTTTTGTAATTTGTTAAAGTTTTTAAATAGTTTAAAGCTCTTCAAAAAAACAGTTTTAAAAGGTTTAAAAAATTTAATTTTAAGTTTTTTAAATTTTTTATAAGTTTTAGAAATTTTTCAATTTTTTTTGAAGGCTTAAAATTCAAATATTTGTAAAAAAATCTTTAAATTTAAAAAAAGTTTGAAAAATTCAAAAAAGTTTAAAAAAACCTTTAAATTTAAAAAAGTTTGAAAAAATTCAAAACCTTTAAATTTACAAAAATTCAAAAAATATCTATTTTAAACATTTAAAATTTTTTAAAAATTTCAAAATTTAATGTTTTTTTGCTTTTTTTTGAAAAAAATCCAAAAAATCAATTACTCCAAAAAATTACCATTTTCCAATATTTTTAGCGGCTCAAGAATCTCCAATCCAAAGTGCAACCCAAACAGAATCTCCATGGATGGTTTACTTTGAAGTTAAAGGCCATCGATGCGGTGGTGCAATGATTGATGACTATCACGTCTTAACCGGTATGTATATAGCTACTTAAGGGCCAGCAACTACTGATAATATTCTCAGAATTTTCTTATCAGGGCTGAATGTTCTTACTAAAAATCATACATTTATCAGATTTTATTAGGTCGCACTTGTTAAGATTCTGACTGACCTGCCATTTTTTATTGTATTATGCTTTATTCAGTTCGATGTGTTTGCTTTCTGAATGAGAACAAAATTTCCATTTAAATTGGTGATTTTTATTGACGGGAATTCCAATGATTTCATTCCTTTAAGTTGATATGAACAAGTCAGAGGTGAAGTTAATTGTGAATGGGTAGACATGCACACCAATTATCAGTAACTAAGCATTATTGAATCTCAGAACTCATTCAGGACTGGTTTCATCCATGACACTAATAAAATAAATTATTGACGACTGTATGGGAGCTTTGGATCCTTGTTTTGTTTCATAAGTTAAGTCAGGGGTGTGATCGGTTCTTATCACAGCCACCAATGAGTTAGAAACACTTGCATGAGCTTGACCATACAAGATTATCTAAATTTTACTATAAATAGACAATTATATCGCATGCTGAGTGTCAGTGCAGAGCAATTGGGTCAAACCTGTATTTTGATCAACTAATTCATTTCACCCACCTTTGCTGATGGATGTAAAGCAGTGATGACCAACCCGTGTGCCGTGGCACGCTTGTGTACCGAGAAAAAATTCAAGAATAAACCACAAACTGTATGCTGTGTACGTTTATGTGCATGACTCATCACTAAGATGTGCCGTGGCTTAAAAAAGGTTGTCCACCACTGCTTTAAAGCTCTAAAATATTCTAAGGTGTCTTATCAAACAGTAGCGTCACATAAGATTAATAAGAAGATCATTTATCTCCAGGAACACTTAACTTGTCCTTACACTCACTACCCTGCACCCCCCCCCTCCCCCCAAACGTATGACAACAACACTTGATTATCAATTTCAAATTTCACCACATTATCTCTATCATAATTAATAAACAATCCTTATCAATCTTGGTAATTCCCAATTATGTGCTAACCTTTGTAAACAATTCCTTTATCTCCACAGCTGCTCATTGCTTTGATCGCATTAAATACTCGGAATTTAAAAACACCAGAAAATTGCGAGAAGCACTCAAAATTCGAATTGGTGAATGGAAGACAGAAAGTGATCCAGACTGTGGAGAAGACGTTAGTGATGAGGTTTGTGACACGACGGCTGATATTTTACCAAAGGAAGTGATTCTCCATGAGAAATATAACAAAAGAGACCAAGATAAGAGATTTCAATACGATATTGCAATTATTAAGCTTGGATGGCCACCAAGGAGGTCGGAGGTCATCAATGTTCTTCGATTGACGAACCCTGAACGATGTGAGGAGGCAACAAGTGGCGAATTCTGGAAGACAACTGGTTTTGGTGAGAATTTTATGATTTTGTGGTTGTTAGCTAAGCTTAGGCTTAATTATGGAGTTATGTTTATTGAAAGCTGGGGTTTTAGATCCTTTTGATTCCTCTTTTCCTGCCTCTTGTTTGATTTCAGACATGATTTAACTGTCTGACAAGTAATTAACCTTAAATTTTACAGGCGGAGATTCTAAAGTCAAAAAGCGAATGGAAATGGTTTTATTGTCACATGAAGAATGTGTCAAGAGCATCGATGAATCACATCTGCGTAAACTTAACGAGGATGTTCATGTAGGTTTGATAAAATTGTCATTTAAGTGCTGTTGCTGATCATTTTAATTATTTTAGGTCTGCGGACGAGGTTTGAATGGCGAAAAGACATGGTAAATTGAGGTTAAGTTTTTTTTTAACATTATTTTAAAAAACTTATTCAATAACATAGCAAGGGTGATGCAGGAAGTCCAGTCACAAATCTGGTCGAAGGAATTCCATACTTACAGGGCATTGTGACATTTACTGATGAAGAAGAATGTATTGAAACTGAAACAAATACAGCATGTAAGTCATAATGTGCTGATCTATAGCTCAAGATACTAATTCTTATATCCAATTTTAGCTGTCTTCTTAAGAGTTCCATGCTTTTACGAATGGATCCACTCAAAGGTTCCAAACATTAGCCATGCTTTTATTGAAAAACCAAAACCACCACCAACGTCAGGTGAAAATGAAGACACTGGAAGTATTGAAGTTTTTGTTGCTGGTGAGTCTACAACTGCTCGACCACTTGGAACGACTCATGGAAAAATTCCACCGCCAACAACAACAACAACAGCAAGAAGTAGAATTACACCATCAACTTCAACTAGATCAACAACTAAATTCACAACGTCAACTAGAAGAGTTGTAATTTCAAGATCAACAACCACAGAAGCGATTAAGGTTACAAATGAACCTGATGACTATCATGATGACAAAGAACCTGAAGCTGATTCAACCACAAGAGCCACAACACAAGCATGGAGAAGAAAAACAACACCTAAACCAATATCAACAACAAAGCCTGTTGAAACCACAACAGAAGATGAATCCATTCACTTTAATGTAAATGACCCAAAAAATCCAAACTATTCTTTCAGTAGTGCAAGTGCAAGTAGTGCTAGCAGCTCGGCTAATAATGATAAAGGTCATTTGTATGACATAAGAATCGACACAGGTGATGATAAAGTTGAAGAAACTTCAACGACCGAAACATCCAATAGATTTAAAAAATTTACAAAGTCTACTAGAGCTACTACCCCAAGCGATTATTAAAAGACAGCTTTCTTTTTCTTTTTGAAGTGTTGAAGCATTTTTTGTAGATCTTGAATTCAAAATTATGTAATTTTTGACTAAAAATAAAATGTAAAGACTTGAAGCGTTTTTTAATAAAGTCATTTTTAGCAATAATTATCGAGAATATGTTTAATTTTCTAATTTTCATTTGAGAACCAAAAACGACGAAACAATAACCAAGAACCAAGAACCAAGAACCAAGAACCAAGAACCAAGAACCAAGAACCAAGAACCAAGAACCAAGAACCAAGAACCAAGAACCAAGAACCAAGAACCAAGAACTAAGAACCAAAAATCAAGAACCAAGAACCAAGAATCAAGAACCAAGAACCAAGAAACAAGAACCGAAACCAAGAACCAAGAACCAAAACCAAGAACCAAGAACCAAAAACCAAGAACCAAGAACCAAGAACCAAGAACCAAGAACCAAAAACCAAAAACCAAGAACCAAGAACCAAAAACCAAGAACCAAAAACTAAGAACTAAAAACCAAAAATAAAGAACCAAGAACCAAGAACCAAGAACCAAGAACCAAGAACCAAGAACCAAGAACCAAGAACCAAGAACCAAGAACCAAGAACCAAGAACCAAGAACTAAGAACCAAGAACCAAGAACCAAAAACCAAGAACTAAGAACCAAGAACCAAGAACTAAGAACTAAGAACCGAGAACCGAGAACCGAGAACCAAGAACCAAGAACCAAGAACCAAGAACCAAGAACCAAGAACCAAGAACCAAGAACCAAGAACCAAGAACCAAGAACCAAGAACATAAGTTGAACATAAGTTGAAAACATAAGTTTAAATGTTGCAATCTTAAGTTCAAACATTTATTGAACAAAAATTAATTAGAAATTTGTTTGCGAAGATTTCTTACAAATTGGTAATTAAATAATGATGAAGCCTTAGTTTTAGAATAAATCAGTTTTGGAAGGTTTAATCTTTTATTTTATTTATTTTTTTATTTGATAAATTCCTAGAAATTTCTGTATTTTTTAATCATATAAATCAAAAAATTTGGTTTCACTCGCCATTCCACAGCTTATCATTTCTAGCAGTCAAGTCATCAGCAAAGTCCTCCAAATATCCAGTCATTAACTTCTTCAACTTCTCAAACTGCTTTTTTGAAGATTTTCCGACAATTTTCTTTTCGTTTTTCTCCAAAATTTCCTTCATCAAATATTTTGGAATTTCCTCAGTCAAATTTTTCTCGCATTTTCTTTTAACTTCGTTGGAAATTTTCTGTAAATTAATCTCGTCCAAAATGTCTCGCATGACTGTCGGAATTCCACATTTTAAAGCTGATTCCAAAATATTTTCTGTAAAGTCATTCGTCAAGTCATTCGCAAAGATTTCAAATTCAATGTCTGTGATTTTTGGCATATTTCCTTCATTTGTGCTGAATAGAGTCTCATTTGTCCATTTTTTAAGGAACGCATAAGCAAGTGTCAAGTTTGAGTTGAAGTCTGTCGCATTTAACCAAAAGTCACCAAGTTCAAGAACCGATGGAGTTTGATGGTTGAAGTTTTGAGTTGAACTGTCGATGAATTTGTAGTTTCTAGCTGGAACATTGGAATCTTCAGGAACAAAGTTGACATTTCTTGGCTTCCTTGATTGATTATCTTTATCTTCTTCAGCTTTCTTTGCTGTCAATTTAAGGTCGAAGATCTTCGGTTTTGGTCGAATTTCAGCAATTTCAGGTGCACCTGCCTTTTCCTTGTTGTACTGGATCAATTGTGATGACAACTTCCAGTTATCCTTATCATCTTTATAGATCACAACTGTAGCTTTCAACTGCCTGTCAATATTCAAGTTATAAGCAGTGTCAATGACTCCAACTGGCAAGTGATCCTCCCAATAAATTACTTTGCATGTGTCGCAGTTCTCATTAAAGTTTGGCAACTTTACAGCCAACATTTCAGCATTCCTTTGTCTGATTTCCTTATTTCTTCTTGCTACTTCTGTCACTGCTAGTCCATTGATGGATTTAAGGACCTGGAACTGCCCATCCTTGATGTACCTTACGACGCCATCATCTGGAATCTCTAAAGCTCCTCGTCTCATTTTAATTTCCTCATTGTTGCTGTTGAAAAGTTTGAGGATTTCAAGACCTGCAAGTTCCTTGACCTTTACACCTTCTTTAGTCTCATAGAACTCAGTAACAGCTTTGTTATTTGTGGTAAGTGCTATCTTACTTTCAGGTTCTCTGTATTGATGATAAATCTTCAATTTGCCTGCATTTTCTTGGATATAAAGAGCAGTTCCAGGAACTTGATCAGTCATGACAATTGACACTGGATTAGCTTGTCTCCTGAAATTCAATAACGTGTCAATATTCTGCATAATCAAGGCTTATAGCATCAATGACTTACCTCTGTCGATCAGTACTAGTGTCGACTTCAAGCACAGTCCTATTGACAGCAACAAGACCAGGCATGCTGTCAGATGTAGGTTTATTTGTAAAGTCCAAAACTCCAACATCTCCAGGCTGTACCATAGATCCACTTCCAGGTCCACTAAGTGTCACATATCCTCTTGTTGTAACCTCATCTGCTGGAATCTTAGGCAAGACGGCTGCATTCTCAAAAATGGGATTCATGTCAGCTCTTACGAAGTTATCCTTGACTGCATTCCAGTTCATACCAAATGATCGACAGGTTCCACCACCAGCAATGAATCGCCTTCTTCTTGCACTTGCGCATGGTCCTAGTAAGTTTGAGGATCTGTCGATGTAAAGTTGTGAATCTCGGACTATTGACTGTGTTATGTCTGATTTTTGGACATCGATATCTTCTGCTAATTTTCGAATGCGACCCTGCATAGCTGGAAGGAATTCTGACTCAACTTGTCCATTTTTGACAATGTATCTTCTGTATTTGGCAATTCCACTGCTCTTCTGTCCAACTACTTCCTTTGCGAACGACACGTATTGCTTCTTGACGAACTTGACAACATTTCTTACATTTTTGAATTCCATTGCTGTCTTAACACCTACTATGCCTGACTCAAGTGCCATCGCTTCTCTGCCAAGGTTCTGTCCACTTTTCATTGTGTTTAATGCTGTTGAGTACGATCCAGCATTGCTGACCCAATTCATTGGAATAAAATCTTTATTCTTAGCTCCTTTAAGGATAAATCCAGCACCAAAGTTGGCTAAGAATTTGTATAACGGATGGTTCCTGTCTTTTAGAACATCCTTTAAGTTCACAAGATCCTGGAGTTTCAATGTCTTCAAGAAATCTGTTATTTCCTTTCCTTTTTTGAATAATTTCTTTAATTTTGGACCCATTTCGATGATTGTCATTGGATATGAGACACCGACATCGAATCCTTTCATAACTCCATCAAAGATTTCCGGATTGGTAAAGTCCCATTGCCAAAATTTAGCATTTCCACCACTAACCACGACTCCATTGACATAAAATGCTGAAGTAGCTGCAACAGCAGTAAATGTGTACAATGCGATCTTTCCATTCTTAGTTAAAGTCAAAGCAAATGCTTTATAGCTTGCTATGTCCTTCAAACCAGAAGCACCAGCACCAAGTCCGAAGAATAATGCTGAATAAGTCTCAGGATCATCAAACTTCCAGTCAGCTGGATTCCAACTTTTATTAGCAACAGCTACAGACACAAATGCTGTTGTCAGCATGACACTGGCAGTTACAACAATACCATAAGAAGCTATAGATGCAGCTATACTACCCGGCATCAGTCCACCCATAACTCCACCCACAATAAGACTCACGTATGTTCCTGGATCTTTCCAATTCCATTTTGCTGGATTGAAGCTTTTGTTGTGAGCAGCAGCACTAAGATAAGCACCAAGTGCTACAAATGCGAGGATAAGAAGGAACGCAAATTCACCGTCAGGATCAACAAATGAGACTGGATTGTTTCCACTGAACTTGTATGGACTAAAGTATTGAGACTGTGGATCAGTTTGAAGGAATCGACCAATTGTTGGGTCATAGAATCTTGCATGATAATTGTACATGTCAATTTCTACGTCTAGTTCCTTTCCTTGAAATAAGTATCTTATATCAGCATTATCATCAGATATGAACTTCCTCATCATCTCTCCGTACGGTAAATAGTCATAAGAAGCAACAACTTTGCCATCTCGAATGACAAGCCTGACTGATCCTGAATGATCTGTAAAAATGCTGTGGAATTTGTCATCTCTGATAAATCCAATCATTCCTCTTGGTCCGTAAATGTAATGAGTAACTACTTCATAGCATGTTTTGTCTTTTTGGTCAAAGTTCATGACTCGGTCCATCAGAACATTCCCGTCTTCATCACGGATGTACAAAATTTCCTTTGTAATTTCATATTTTGAGTCATAGACTTGCTTCAGGATCCTCTCGCCTTGTGAATTGTAATGGAACTTGATTGATCCTCCATTTGTGAGCAGCACTTCCATGACTCTTCTTGATACTGGATGATAAATAATCTTTTTGACTCCTTTATGTGGTGCTGATGTCATATTGCCATATCCATCATGATCGACTGTATATTGCTTGCCTTTATACTTAAGAGTCTTCAACTTGCTTGTATATGTTTGATAGTCAAGCTTGATAGTCTCAAATCCAGTCGTAAATGCTTTGTGATTTCCATTAGCATCAATCTCATGTGAGACCGTGTCAAAGGCTGTCTCTTGGATCTGATTGTTGAAGATCTTTGAGGTTATGTTCACAATATCAAGAACCTGCGATGTTTGATACTTTTTAAGATCTGTGACAAGTTTAGCATTGATCGGAGTAATCATAGTGTCTTGTGAGGTTGGAAGTAGCTTCTGCTGGACCAAACCATCATACAGCTTCCGAGCATACCTCTTTAACTTCTTCAGCTCTTCTACAAAAATTGGTCCATCTGCGTTCTTCCATTTTAAGAATATTTTCTCAAATTCATCATAGCTTAAGACCTTCTGGTCAGCAATTGTGTTAAAAATCAGCTGCTTAGTGACTGAAAAGACTTCATGGAAGTCATACTCTTCGCCTTGTGATAAGTTGTCTAATAGCTTGTTCAAGTCATCATCTCTAAGCATAGATGTAGCACCTCTAGTTGCAATCGATGACTTCTTGTCATTACTAAGTTGATCTACAGCTATGTAGTTGCCATCCCTCAAAGTATTGAAGATGTTATGTGATTGATAAAGTGTGATTCCAGTCATCTTCTCCATATATGTCTGCATCTGAAGTGGATCAACAGCTTCTTCGTCATTTGTTGAAAAGTATTTAGCTTTGACAAGTTCTCTGTGATTCCCGTATGTGTATCGATGGCCATAAAATTTAGGAATTTGGTATTTTGCTGATATTTCATCGTAGATCTTGCTGTCATAGCATTTTAGTGGCAAGTCAACTTCCTCGTTTGTGTTTAGAGCTCTTTTGAACAAAAATCCTTTCTTTGAGATGATTCCTAATTTCTTGAGTGACTTGATGCATGCATCATCATCTGGATTGGCTATAACTTCTGCAATCTTTTCGTCGCGTGATTTTGTGGCAGTTTCTTGGATGTTTATGTCTCGTTTGCTTCTGTTTGAAGGATCTTGGTTGCAGTCAATTGATCTTGGATTGATGTCATCAATAGGAGTCGGTAGCTGGCCACTTGTTGATCCACCTTGCTCTTCTGAGCTCATTTCTTTGCTTATAAATCTGTTGCGAACATGATTTGAAGAACTTCTTGGTTCCTTTCTTGTAACTGAACTTCCTGAACATCCTAAAGTTTGATGATTGTTAAGTAAATCAGATTCAACTTCCCGTTTGCTTCTGTCTTCAAAGGAGTCACTGTCAGCTCTACCAACTTCTCCGCTGTGACTTGGGCTCATCCTGGTGCGATTGATATGATTAGATCTTGAGTTCTGGATGTTATCTCTACCTTCATGCCTTATTTTGTTCAAGTTGGTGTCTCTTGAACTTGATTCTGGCTTGTTTTGATCTCCTGAGCTGGAGTTTTGTTGATTTTCTGTTCTTGAGTTTACAGTTTGCTGGTCTCGATTGTCTGGCCGTGAACCTTCACCAAAAATTCTAGCTTTTTGAGTTCCACTGTCTTGTGGCCTCAAATGTTCATCATTATTGATATTTCCTTCCATTATCGGTCTTCTTAAATCCTGGATTCTCATCTTCAGTCTTCCTTGATTCTTCCTTAATTTCACACCATTCCTACTCTCTTCAGGAACAACACGATCAACATAATCATTATCACTATCGCTATCATCTCCTTCATTAAAATATGCATCCGACCATTTAGCATTGTAAGCAGTCTTCATAACAATTCCATCGCCATACCCACGTTGTCCATATCCACCATCGATGTATGTGATGTCTTCAGTTAAAAAGTCATCGTCAATTTTATTCAAATATCCTGGTGAGTTGTAGCTGTAATTTCTATTAAGGTTGTTAAGCTCATGAACTTCACTTGTTGGCTGTCCATTGGCATCGTAAGTAAATTTAGCAAAGCAGAAAGGCTTCTCAACAGTTCCAATGCCAATAAGCTGTCCAACTCCATTGTATGTGTTCTTAACCTCAAGAGTTTTGCCTTCATCAGTTGTAGGATAAGTCAGGACTTCCACATTCTCACCATTGTACTTCCTGTTGACTTCAAATGATGTTTCAAGAGTGTCTGTCAATGTTGGAACTGCCAAACGTCTTGTAACTATTTTATCTTCATCATTCTCATCAAATTGGATATCCTCGCTGACAATAAGCTCGTGATTGACCGTCGCAATAGTTTTGGACTTGCCTTCATTGAATTGTATTTTTTGGAACTCTGTGGCTTGTGTGTGGAAGTTACTTTCAGTGAATTTTGATAGATAATCAATGCTGACTGGCCTTGTTATGTATCCAGTCTCTGATAAAGCTCCTGAATTATCATAATTGTAGTAAATAGTTTGTCCATCTGTTGGATCTGCATTATGGGTTATTGAGAATTTAAGGAGGTTCTTGGAGTCATACAGGAAGGTTTGCCGACCAACATCCGGTGTCCTTTTCTCAACTAAGTTGCCTTTATCGTCGTACTTTTGATGAATTCCAAGCTCATCCTGCAACTTCTTTTCATCGGGTGACAAATGATCATCTCCTGGTGTGTAGACTACATTGATCTTTGTCATAGTTCCAGCAGCAACATGATATTGAGGTGACAAGATCTTCACAATTCTCTTTTCGGAATCAAACTCAATTGTTGTCAAAATGTCATCAAAGTTTGGAACTTGGACGTACTTAGCGACTTTGTTGTTATCTTTATCAAACACAAGGACTGTCTGACTTCCATTTGAGAGATTCTCGACAGTCTTTTTGAATCCAAGATTCTCTGGGAAGTAAGCATTTAGGAACGGGATGTCAATAGTCTTGTCATAAGACGTGGCAAAGTCTGACTGTGCTGAAAACTTCTTTCCAGGTTGACCGACCTTCTTCTTCTCATTTAATGGATTTCTGTGGTACATAGTTTGAGCATACGGGAAGCCTTCATCTGATGGATTAAGTGCCACAACATCTCCATCCATTTTACCAGTGTCTGGATCGAAAGTTTTGATGAAATTGCCATGATACATCAAAAGAGGTTCCGATGCAGATTTTAGGACCTTTGTTGACTTTGTCTTGACAGTTTCATGTCCAAATCTGTCATACATGTGATGAGTGACGACTGATGAATTTTCAGACTCAAGCTTGACGACTTGTTGATGCTCATCAAATGCATTGTGATAATAAATTTCAATTTTTGGATTGTTGATGACAAACAAGTCACGGATGCCAATTTGTCCATTAAAATTCATCGAGAATCCTTTCCAGGTGTCTGTGAGGATCTCATCAAACTTAATAATCCCATCGACCCAGATTACGGTCCTTTTTTGGTATTTATAGATCGCTAATTCAAAGTTTGAAGGCACAGTTGAGATTGTACGTCCATTGACTTTTAGGCTTGCCAATTTACCTCCATTTGACTCAAATTCGATAGAGTCTGACTTGAACTTAACTTGAAAGTTGGAGCTTCTTGCAGAATCCAATGAAACATTAAGCCTCAATCCAGCAGATGAGTCATCCATCATTGTGTCATCCTTAACCTCAATTTTATCATTAGATCCGTCACTAATGTGGACCAATTCAGCTGGAAGGACCTTGAAATTTTGACTATTGCTCAAGTTCCATCTTGTTGGATATAAATTGACATCAAATGTCTCATAAAGTCCAGATGACAGCAGGAACTTCGTGACAGTTTTTGGAGTATCCCGTTCTCCTTCACTGCGGACCAAAATTTGATCAAGCTTACCATTTTTCTTGGTTCTTCCAATTTCCCTGCCTGTCTTGTGATTGTAATAGATTCTCATGATCTTTCCATCGCTTTGGATCGCTGCTGACTCATCACGATTGTCATTAAACACTTTAACATCCAAAAAATGTGCAGCTGGATAGAACGCAATGTTATCAATGTCAATTTCTGAATCTTGAGTTCCAGCTGCAGACAGAGTGACTTTAAAGTCTACATCATCATATTCAGGTATGTCAGGATGTTCTCTGCGATAGTCATTGAAGCTCATTCTTATGGCTGTTGGGAAGTCAATGGATATTTCGACATTATGCCATTCTCCACTTTGGTGCTTAACATTACCCAAGATACCAAAAAAGTCAGTGAAATTCTTTCCATCAGATGTGAAGCTGACCAAAGCTTTAAAATTATCTAAACGATCTCCAGTTTCCATTCCTACTGACCTCATCCAAGCTGCAGCAATGAAGAGTTCTTCCTTATTTTTAGGCATGAATGATCTCTCAAATGTGTCGTCCTGATTGAGTCTGAGATAATTTTTTCCAGTCAATGCGAAGCCATTTTTGATGACATTTTTAGGATAAAACGTCCATCCATCACTGCCTTCATAGTTCTCAAATCCAAAATATCCAAAAGAGTCTTCAGACTTTTTGTAAGGAACAAAGTTTGAGATTTCAAGTGACGCAGTTACGTCATACAGCAAGTTGTCAGAATAATCAGTCTTTTCATCTTTCTTTTCTTCCTTCTTTTCAGATTTGAGTAGCATCTTGTCACTGTCATAGTAGCTTGTCACCTGCTCAGTATCAGCTTCATCATTCCTAGTCACATAATACTCAACCCAGCCATTCTCATTTGTTGACTGTCCATTCATCATTTTGACATTTGCCGTCCACAAATTATTAGTAGCTTTAAATGATCTGTCATACTTTGTGATTCTTGAGGTTGGAGAATCAGATGTGCTGCCTCGTTTGTTGCCTCTTGACTTCTTTGAGGATCTTACTGTTGGTTCCTTATGATCCTTAAAGTCCTTCCACATTTCAGTTGTTGTAATGACTGGATGCGGACTATCTGTCTGGAACTGTGCATAGTTCCTGAATATTAATTCGAATGGTTCAGCATGTGATGCGTCTTCAGACTTTTTGATGGTCATGAAGTATCCATGAGTGGACTCAAACATCAGTTGTTCCTTATAAAACGTTTGTTGCTTAGTGATTGACTTTCCGTCGTTAAAAATGATGATTTTTGTTGTAGCTTCCTCACTTTGGTATGCAATATAGTAAGGATATAAGTTGATCAGCATGTTTGACTGATGAAGGTTCAAGTCCTGGCTGAAGCTTGAATCTTTTTGACTCAACAGTTTGACACTTTCTGGATGTTCATTGTCAAAAACTAGCTCGTAGTACTTGCCAAGTTTAACAGTTCGTTTTGTGTTCATTTGACTTTTTGTAAATCTAGTGCCAGTCATGCGGAACTGGATATCCTCTGAAAATATCATGTCATTCATCCCACCTTGAATGAATGGATAATATTTCGGCCAGTCGAGGATGAAATTGCCTTTCATAGCTTTCTTAAAGTCTTCATTTTTGTTAAATTCGTCGCAGTAAGCTTGCCTTAATTTTTCACGTTCCTTTCCAGCTGGTGCTTTATTAATCTCATCGAGAATCTTGCCTTCAAAATCTTTAACTTGAATGATGTACTTACTTCCAGATTTCGAGTATTTCAGGATCAATGTTGACTCATTTTCCTTACTTTCGAATTTTTGTTGGATATCCGACATCTTTTCACGATCCTGTGTGAAGTCATCTTCCCTCTCGACATCATATTGATCATTGATAGTCAAAAACTTAAACTCAATTCTGAACTGCTCACTGGACAGGAACTTCAAGTTTGACACAATTATGGCATTATTCACAACTTTCATGTTGTTCGTCTCTAAAGTCTTCGTGATTAAATTAATGACGTCATCATTAGCATCAAATAAGTCAGCAATTTGAGTAGCTGTTGACTCAAGGCCTGACTTGATCTTCTTTAAATTCCAAACACCATCGAATGTTCTGTACAGTGCATGGATATTACCTTGTTCACGGACGAAAGCTGACCTTTCATTAAGGAAAACTTTTGCTTTGTCATCGCCGGTGCTGAATGGATACTTGATCCATTTGTTGTCATTTATCAACTTCTGAAGGACATCAAGTGTCTTTCCATCTTGAACAACAACAAAGTTATGTCCTGATGTATAGATCTTGGCATCCTTGCTGTATGTAAAGGTTGTTGGCTCATCTTCCCATTTCTTGCTGTCAGTTTGATGATAAACTTTAACATAGCTAGCTTGATCTGTATTGTAAGTTATTATCAAGCAGTGACTACTAAACTTAACATTCAGGGACTTCTCATCAATTGTTCTTTGATCATTGATTGTAACCTCCTTGACAAGCTTGAAGGTTCTGAAGTCAAAAATCTTTAAAATCATTCGATTGTCAACCAAGGATGCAAATGAGAGGACATCACTGTTGGATGAGATTAATGGTCGATTTTTAAGAAGGAAGTGCTTTTCCAATAGTGGTGAGGCGACGACTTGATTGTCATAAGTAAACTTTGTAGTCACGCCATGGAAAATTCCAATTTCGGACGGAAGGAACTTGTCAAAAATTTTCTGATTCTTAAAGCTTAAAACTTCTTCGGAATTGCCATCAGACATGACTTGAGTAAGAGCCTTCGGGACTCTAGTCTTTCCATCAAATAAGTCATAAGTCAGTCCAAAATCCTGCTCATAAGTTTCAGTTTCAACTTTGATTCTATTCAGGAAGTGCTTGTCGACCAAAAAGTTTCCCATTCTTAAATTTCCGTCGTCATTTTTCAGCTTCATTTCCTCATTTTCTGATGATTCCTTAAGTCCGTACTCAAATTGAACTTTCACATCATTGCCATCATCGATTGACTTCAGCATGACTTCAGATGTGTACGAAACTTTTGGATTTAATTGATGTGGAACTTCCACAGTCTCATATCGATAGTAAATCACTCGATCATCAGATTTTGAGTGCCGTTCAGCCAAATACCAAGCAACAGGAATTTTTATCAAGCTGTCTGGATCATCGCCAGTCTCACGCCAGATTTTATAAGACAATTCATATTGAGCAGTTCCAGTGTCGCTGAATTTTCCATAAACCAATTTTTCCAAAGCAGAATCAACGATGAAATATTGCTGTTCCGGATAGTAAGTCACATCAACCTCTCCATCCTTATCATCAATCATTTTGAACTTATTCAGTCCAACACTTTCCATATTCATCTTGGATCCCATCGAGTTCAAATAGTAAGTCGCGTCATTCTTAAAGACACTTCTTTGGTAGTCAACCGAGATGAAATTTTTGGTCAACGGAACTTCAAATTCAATTCCATCCTTGCCAGTCTGGTATACCATATCAATATTGATATTAAGCAATGGTGTTAAGAAGACTCTTATAATTGGCAACGAGAAGCTCATGTCACCATTGACTGGACTGACTGAATTTTGAACAGCTGCATCGTCGGTATAGTCTGTCCACTTCTTGATAAACTTTGATGGAACTGATCCTCGAATTAAGGTTGCACTTGGAAGTTTAGTGACTCTTGGCGATGCCTGGACTTCAGATTGAACTTTAAGTACTTTGGAAACAAAAAATGAAGATTTATTGCTCATTTTATTGATTGATAAGCTGACAGTGCACAATTGTTAATTATTGATTACTTTGTTGACGCATTCGCATTGGCTTTGTTGCTAGTAAATTTATAAATGTTTACTGATAAGGTTTGTGGACACATGTTGAACTTATATAGACAGTTGCATCCCTTCCACTTTCATTAAGGAAGAGAAAGTGGTGTGCGAAAGTTCTTTCTCCAAGTAAAGTATGCAACTGGAACTTAGCGCATTTGATGAAATAAGATTGTTGATACAAATGATGACTAGATTCATGAACCAAGAACCATGAATTAACAACCAAGAACCAAGAACCATGAATCAACAACCAAGAACCAAGAACCAAGAACCAAAATCCAAGAACCAAGAACCGAAATCCAAGAACCAAAATCCAAGAACCAAGAACCAAGAACCAAAAACCACAAGAGAACCAAGAACCAAAATCTAAAACCAAAAACTAAGAACCAAGAACCAAGAACCAAGAGTTAAGAACCAGTAACCAAGAACCAAGATCCAAGAACCAAGATCCAAGAACCAAGATCCAAGAACCAAGATCCAAGAACAAAGAACCAAGATCCAGTAACCAAAAACCAAAAAAAACAAGAATGAAGAATCTAAAAACTGTAAGAGCAGGTGTGACTGCATAAAAACTAGCTTCATGCTTTCTTTGGATGAAACAACTGCACACATTCAAAAAGTCAATCGAATGAGCTACAAAAAAAATATTGCTAGCCAATGCGGAAGCTTGATCAGTAAATAAACATTTACACTTAATAAATCCATAAAAACAATCTTAAAAAAAGTCAGTTGATGCACAAACTAGCAGCGAAAAATGAGTGTTAAAACCTCATTCTTAATTTTTACGTTATTTTTAATAAAATCCACAACATCCGTCGAAGAATCATGTCAAATGAAGCAAGATGTTTTAAAGGAACAATATGAGACCTTACTGCAGACATTTAGTTTAACAGCACCAAGTCCATCGCCATCAAAATGTGCAGAATATCTTGATGAATTTTACAAAACAGTTGATGAAATCAACGAAGACAGCTTTATAGATCAAATTAAAGGCGATGATTTTGTGGAAGCAAGGAAGCAGTACGAAGCTGATCGAGATTACATGGAAAACAGCTTTGAAAACACAAAAGCATACCTTAAAGAACAATTCGAAGCTCAAGAACAAGACCTTTCCAGTAAAATTGCATTCGCAAGCAGTGAAATCGACAGGATAACAACAGCTGAGCAAAAATCAATTAAGCAGCATCAGGAAATGGTCAAGACATACAACAAGTGTGGATATCAACCTGATGATGTATATAACGTGTCCAGAAAATCAAAATCATCTTTCATGAGCAGCAGACGTCTTAAATTCTCAGATGAGCCAACAGTCATGTGTGACGTCCCTGCTCAATGGTTCCTGGACTTGAAAAAGCTAATGGATGAAAAGGTTTACTCACCAGACAAGTTGCTTCCTACAGATGATTGCAATAAGAAACGAAAATGGTTCTTGAGTGCCAATTCAATCTTTCAAGAAGCTATAGACCAAATTGCAGCAAGCTACGACATCGAAACATACAAAGCCACACTGGAAAAGCGCCTGACGGACAGGAAACGGGAAATTGATGACACAATCAATCAGATGAAAAAAGATAATGAACGGAAAATTCAGCAAGACACAGACTTTTTACAGACAAAAAATGCTGAGCTGCAAGTTGTGACTTCACATTTTGAAGGTGTCAAAAAGCAGCAAGATGATGAAATTGAAGCTTTAGCTGTAAAACTTATGGGATGCAGTCGCTATGAATTGATGAATGACATGATTGACGAGGTCGACGAGAAAGACTTTATGAAAACAATTTTTATCAAGACTTATGAAAGTTCCACTAATAATGACAAAGCAGAGAACTTGATGCTGTTTTTAGGAACTCTTAAGGATCTTTGCAGGAGGTTTGAGGGCTACATTATCCTCTATTATGAGATAGTCTCGCAGAAAGATCAAGAAAGTCCAACAATGATCGAGATTGTCAATCAAATCAGAAACTTAAGACAGCCAGGAGCTACTTGTGGTGTTGAGTACGATCAAAATGATTTCCTAAGTCCAACTCTAGAAGCTGATCCAATAGTCAATAAAATCCTTGCTACTTTATCAGACAGCATCAAAGTTGGGAACTATGACAAGACCATAACCTTCAATTATGACTATACTTACACTTTTCAACAGATCCTCTCAACTTTGGTGTCTAAAAGCTACACAGGAGGTAATTTGGATAATTTACTAAGATTCACGGATGAGCTTTACTGGCTGGTTAATAAATATGATGTGCTAAGTCAGATGTTGGACATAAGTGCACCAACTAATGATAAAGATAAGAAAAAGTTCAAAGACTTGGTCGATAAAATAGCTAAATCAGATGCACTGAATCATGAGGATACGGATCGATTGATAGGATTGAGGGAGAAGATGAAGAGATATGGAATTAAATGAGAGTTGCTTAATTTTGACTGTCAACTTTTTGAATAAAAAAAATATTTTTTTTAAATTAATTTTTTGGTTTTTTAATTTGGATTTTCAGACGTGCTGAATTAATTTAGAGGAAGCTTAACCTCAGAAATCGAATTCCAGTAGATGCAGACGACCTCCTTTCATCATTGTAGTTCATATTTAACCCTGACTGCATTAAATCAGTGGTGGCTAACCTTTTTTTATACCAAGGCACACCTTACGCACGGCCAAACTCGTACAAAGCATGTAGCTTATCTTGAATTTTTAAGGCAGCACATAAGTTGACCTGTCTTGAATAAACACATTAATCGCCTTTACTTACCACAATGTGGTTTGTAGGTCTCTAGAACTGTGCTGTGCTCTTATCACTTCCTTTTAAAGTCTTGTTTTGTTGGATCGAATTTTGAACCTTAATGCAGTCTGTTGACATCCACAACTTGCTATTTTAATCAGCACTTTTTGACTTTGTTGCTTTTAATTTTCATAATAATAAAAACAAGAGTCAGCACACATTAACTCAGAGATGGTCAATCCATGTGCTGCGGCTGGGTTCAATCCCTGGCCATGTCTAATTTTCGAAGCTCTTTTTCCATTTCACCGTTCTATTTACGAAGCTCGGTTCGAGTGTTGGGTGTAGTATTGATGTGCCGCGGCACACCAGTGCGAAAATCCCACGAATCGTATGTCACGTACGGTTTCAGTCATGGCTTACCATCAAAATGTGCCATGTCACAAAGGTTCATCACCACTGCATTAAATCCAGATTGACAACTTTGTAGCTTTTTAATCATTTTATTGCTGTCCTGTGCTTGATGATACAAAGAAAGAAGCCTGATTAAGCAACAAAATTGCATTGCTGTCGAGTTCAATAAACATTGATGCTTACCTTGGAATTTATTTGACTACCTAAGCAGCTCTATTTGCAGCTAATGTAATCTAAATTGTGAAAATAATTCAATTGGCAATGGCACATTGGAGGGATTAGTAAGGAACGCCATTAAAATGTTTAAGTTAATTCTAATTTTTCTAATTTTTAATATTGCGCACGGATGTGAGTAAAGTGTCAATTTTTCTAAACTGTGCATCAATTTAAGTCTCAATTCACAGACGAATTCCAAAATGCAACTCAACTTGAGTCTCCCTGGTATGCATACTTGATGGTCTTAGGTGAGCCATGCGGTGGAAGTCTTGTTAAAGATCAATACATTGTATCAGCTGCTCATTGCTTCAATAAAGTTAAAAAGGATCATTATACGAATGAGGAAGGCAAATTGGAAGCTGCTGTAAAGTTGAAACTCGGCATATGGAAGACAGATCGTGATCCTGACTGTGAGCCAGGCGTTGATGATCAAATTTGTGAATATCATGTTGAAATTCCGCCAAATGAGCTAAAGGTTCATGAAAGATACAATCCAAATTCAGGAAGGGAAAGGTATAAGAATGACATTGCAATAATTCAACTGACGTGGCCTCCTAGAATGTCGGAACTGATCAAGAATATTGACTTGCCTGATGATGATGACTGCTATGAAGAATTTGAGGAAGATGTGTGGACTGTTACTGGATTTGGTGAGTTAAAGCAGTGATGGTCAAACTATGTGCCGCGAAAAAAATTGGAAAATCTCACGAACCGTACGTTGTGTGCGGTTTTGGTCATGATTTGGCAGTTAGTGTGCCGTGGTGCAAAAAAGGTTGGGCACCACTGTGTTAAAAAATTATATAGACGTTGCTGGAATGGGATCTCTTTCAAGAGGGTTCAGAACTGATCAATCAAGTTTTGATCATGATTGATCATTCAAATCAGTTCCAAACCCTTGGATTGACCCTCCATTGAGCATTTTGATGACTTTTTTATTATTCAACCAGGCATGAAACCCGACAAGGAATACGCAACTACCAAGAAAAGGATTGACTTGAGAATGATTTCTAAAGAAGAATGTGAAGATGGTCTTGGCGATGCTAAGCAGTTCTATGATCCAAAGACACATGTGAGTTGTAGGAGCAGCTATCAAGCTTTGATAACTAGCTTAATTTATTTCAGATTTGTGGAAAAGGAACCAAAGGTGAAACAACATGGTGAGTAGAGCTGTAATTTTATTAATAATTTTAATTTATTTCATTTTCAATGGATTGTCAGTGTTGGTGACTCAGGTGAGACAAATCGATTCTAAATCAAAAATTACCTAAACTTAAACATTGAATTTAATTTAGGAGGTGGCATATTTGCCAAGTCCTCAAGTGGAACAACCCTTCAAGGAGTCGTGTCGTTTGGTGTGTCTGAATGTGGAACAGTTGGAGCTCCATGTAAGAATTTTTCAAGGGGGTCCTCGATTTGAATAGTTGATTTTCCCATAATAGAATTTATTAAAATCGAGGTTCCCCTTAAAAAACAAAAATCTATTCTTTCAACAGCTGGTTTTGTCCGAGTTGCATGCTACAATGACTGGATCAGTGAAAAAATTGACGAATGGGAGGACGATAGTGATGAGTCATACTCGTCTAAGTCAGTAAAGAGCAGATTGAACATCAAACGGAAGAAGCAAAAGTCTAAGACTTCATCTGGAATTTATGGCTTCTTTAGCTTGTTTGGATAGTTCTGGAAGATGTCTGAAATTATTTCGAATCTGATTTTATAAAACACATGCAATAAAGTTGTGAATTGTTTAAAAAATTTAAAAATGTTTATTTTATTTTATTAAAATTTTAATTCATTCCTCAAACTTAGCTGTGGCCATGTCTAGCATCCACTGGAATTAAACTTGTAGAATCCAATTTCAACACTTTCTGTAAATTAAAACAAAAATGTAATTATTTTGACCTTTATTTTAACACTTTTCCTACCTTTGTTGTTGTAGTCATAAACTTTAACTCCAGCATTGACAGCTTCAATAACTGAGAATTTCTGAGTAGCTTTTAATTCGACGCAATAATTGTTGCTTCTCTCAAAGTTTTCATAGAATAGGTTGACTACTGTGTTTTGTCTTCTTGTTGTTATTTCCTATTTAAAAATAATGAATAAATAAATGATAGATCTCTAGATTAGCATTGAAGTACTAGATTATCATATAAAGTACTAGATTAGCACAAGAAGAAATAGATTTTAATAAAAAGTACTAGATTGGCACAAAAAAGTTCTAGATTAGTACATAACGTACTAGATTAGTACATAAAGTTCTAGATTAGCACATAAAGTAATAGATTAGCACATAAAGTACTAGTTTAGCATAAAATGTACTAGTTTAGCACATAAAGTACTATAATAGCATTAAAAAGTACTAGTTTAGCACATAAAGCACTATAATAGCATTAAAAAGTACTAGATTAGCACATTAAGTACTAGATTAGTATAAAAAGTACTGGAATAGAATTAAAAGTACCATAATAGCAAATGAATTACTAGAATAGCATTAAAAGTACTAGTTTAGGATATAAAGTACTAGATTAGTATAAAATGTACTAGTTCAGCACATAAAGTACTAGATTAGCACAAAAAGTATTACATTAGCATTAAAAGTACTAGATTGCCACAAAAAAGTTCTAGATTAGTACATAACGTACTAGATTAGCACAACAAGTACTAGCTTAGCACATTAAGTACTAGTTTAGCATAAAAAGTAATAGATTGCCCCAAAAAAGTTCTAGATTAGCACATAACGTACTAGATTAGCACAACAAGTACTAGCTCAACACACAAATGTACTATTTTAGCATGTAAAGTACTAGAATAGCACAAAAAGTACTAGATTAACACATAAAATACTATTAATATTTTTAATGATGCAATAGATTGGTCCTAGATTATTAACTAATGTAGTACTAGATTATCAACTCACCTTTATTTCATTGTGCTTATCTGAATCTTTGACTTCTATGAATATATATCCACTCGGCATCTCCACCTCATACACAACATTAACCAAGACTGGCTTCATTCCAGTTTGCTGATTGTAAGTTGCACAAACTTCAACGATCGTTATAACTGGTGAACTAGATTCCTGTCTTGTTTTGATGTCAAGACTAAATACGCGGTTGACTTCAGGAACAACTACGATTCTTTCAAAAATAGCCGAGATGGTGCAATATCCTTTTCCAGAAATGACTGTGCTTACTTCTTCTGATCCCTGTGGCATTTCAATTGTTTGTGGATCAGCTGAGTTCTCGTCAGTAATTTTAATATCTTTGTTAAATGAATGCTCATCCTTGACAGTGACTTTCAAGTTTGTGTCTTCAACATTAATTAGGACACCCATGTCAGCTATTGGTTCAGTAACAACTGCTAAGTGCTTTGTGTCTTGAGTGTAGTCATAAACTTGCTTCTTACTTAAAAGGTAGTAAATGACCGGTTCTGCCTTGGTGATGTCGTTAAGAGTAAGGTAAGTTAAGGCAACGAATGTTGTGTGCCTGACATCACATGCTTCATCGCCTTCGAATATTTTGTAGCATCTTTTATTGTTTTCATGTTGGATGTAAGCCTTCTCGACATCTTTTAATAAGTTTTTAGCTTTTTCTGGCTGATTATCTAATGCATAGACATATGCAGCTACAGATAGTCCATAACTCATCACTTGAAGCCTATTATCATCTTTATCCAAGTAGCTAAATCCTTTCTTAATGAAATTATCATACCTGCCGTCCATAAACTTCTTATGTCTCACAGCTGGAATCAAGCAATAAGCAACAGCAAAGTACTTTTCTGTATACTTGTAGCTTTCATCCTGATTATCAACAGGAAATCCATAATAGTAGTTAAAATTTGAAGATGTAAATGTTCCATCAGTTTCTTGAAGACCTTGAAGCACATCCATACTTTGAAATACAATTGACTTATCAACTGGAACTGCACCAATTGTCATAGCTGTTGCTAGAATGTTTGATAAGTACGCTCGGTACCAAGCAAAGCTAGTGTGATACTGTTTAGGATAGAATTTGTATGATTTGGGTCAGGGGGGAAACAAAATCATGGGCAATGGTTTTGGTAAGAAAATCCTGACAATTTCTAGAAGATAGTTTTAAGCATACAATTAGTGTTCCTATACCTAACCTAACATACCAGTGCCCGAAAAATCTGTTGACAAAAATTTCCCATCATGTTGTTTCCCCCCCTAATATATTTTAATATAATTTACAATGGATAGACTTACAGATCCTTTCTTTAATGACTCCAGAACTGCTTGATATTGTTCCTGGAAATGCTTAGTCGATGGATTCTTCTTCTTAGCCTCCAAATATCTAAATGTGTCAACGTTGCGCTTGAATTTTGTAGTTCTCTGCTCCAAACAGTCACTTGCGTACATCCTTTCAAAATAATATTTTAAATTTTTTAAATAATTCGAAATTTAATCAACTCACTGAATCTGTTCCTCAAGTTTCATCGTGTCTGTCAGGAAGTCTCCAGTCACAATAATTTGTTTTCTGGACATGAGAATTTGTAGTTCCACCATCAAGTTTGAAGAAGTCTGACGAGACCATGTAAACCTTAATGCCAACTGGATCAACAATCAGCTTCTTCTGCACATGATCACTGTGTTTAGTCCAACTCGAGTCAGTTGTTGATGCCTCAACATCAATTGTCATCATTTTTTGTTTCTTGTTGTCAAATTTGTTGTTTGATGGATGTGACCTGATGTAGAAGTTCACTGTCGATACTTCATTGAAAGGAACCTTAACCTTAGCTGTTGCTTGAGTTCCATCGTGATATGAAGCAGTACAATCTGATGAATAGTCAACAAATTGGAACTCCATACCGTCATTTAAGTTGTTCAGCTTTAAATCCACAGTTACTTCCTCATTTGTGTCGATGTAGTTGAAAACTAAGATCTCAAGTTTAAGGACTTCTGTGTATCGGATTGAGTATGGCAAGTTCATCTCCATAAAGAACTCATTTTTGATAATCAGATCCTGTCTTGATGACGTAGCTATTCCATGATCATTATTAACAGAAAATGCTGACAGCAGCCAAGTTGTCATCGAATCAGGCACAGTGTATGTCTTATCAAGTGATGACTTACTTCCAACTTCAATTGTCTCAAAGATCCAAGTTTCTGGAAAATATTCACGAAGCAGTCCATCCTCAGTCTTTGGTGGATTGAAGGGAGAGCTTCTTCCTTGATACAATGTCATATCATCTGGTGGCTCTTCCGGGTAATGAACCTCTGTTCCTCCTTGATTTTTAGTCGTCACTCTTCCATTCATAACACGATCAACTTCCTCTTGAGTGCAAACTTTCCACGATTTCATGTCGTCAATCAGAATTTTATTAATTCCATCATAGTCAGCTACGGATTTAACTACATCATCTTTTGTAAAGTCATTTCCATCCTTTAAGTATGTTAAGCGCTTATCAAATGCTAGCAAGTAAACTTTTGAATTTTCTTTTGTTGACAATTTCATTTTGATGTTTTGCCTTGTCTTGGCTTCTTTGAATTGAAGATCTACTCTGAGCTAAATTGGAATTATATGAAGGTTAGATATAGGTTAGATATAGGTTAGGTATAGGTTTTAGGTATAGGTTTTAGGTATAGGTTTTAGGTATAGGTTTTAGGTATAGGTTTTAGGTATAGGTTTTAGGTATAGGTTTTAGGTATAGGTTTTAGGTATAGGTTTTAGGTATAGGTTAGGTATAGGTTAGGTATAGGTTAGGGATAGGTTAGGGATAGGTTAGGTATAGGTTAGGTATAGGTTAGGTATAGGTTAGGTATAGGTTAGGTATAGGTTAGGTATAGGTTAGGTATAGGTTAGGTATAGGTTAGGTATAGGTTAGGTATAGGTTAGGTATAGGTTAGGTATAGGTTAGGTATAGGTTAGGTATAGGTTAGGTATAGGTTAGGTATAGGTTAGGTATAGGTTAGGTATAGGTTAGGTATAGGTTAGGTATAGGTTAGGTTTAAATAGCTACTTACATAATTACGTCCCAGGTCTTCAGTCACAATCTTTGTTTGTCCCTGGAAAATGCTTTTTTCATCTCTTACATCATAAATTAAGACCGTTGAATGCGGCATCATCTGTTCATCAATAACCACAGCAATTTCACACACAGTTTTACCACCACAATCAATTTGTCTTGTTTTAATGTTTCCATATCTTGTTATTGTGGACATGATGATATTGTTTAATGGACTCATACTTGTGACATAAACCTTTGCAGTGCTATTGAGTCCCGGACTGTGAATAAGATAAATTTAATAAGGACAATTTAAAAATATTTAAGAACTTACTTTTCTGGCAGGTGACTTACTAGCAAGCTATTCATTCCAACATTAGCAGAACCTCTTTCAATCGTTTTTCTATATGGATATCCATAAATACCAATTCTTGCATCAATCCCAAATTCAATATAATCCATTGGTATAGTAAACTCATGGACATAAACTCCATCTCTGATCTCACCTTCACCAATCAATGCACCAAATCGTTCCTGTGTTCGATATTCAATAGTCAAATCAACATCTTCAGCATTAAGGTATGTCCTCTCATACTTCCAGTCATAAGTATAAATTTTAGTTGTAAATGGAAAGCCAGGCAGCCATTTTTCATCATGAAATACTTTAACTCTCCCTTCCATAATCTCATGAGCATGAAGTGCAGCTGTCTTATTGAATTTAATTCCACTGCTTGCTTCGGTAAATAACAAAAATATTTCAAGATCAATTTGGTCCTTATGACCAAAATAAAGGTTGTCTAATGAATTGGTTCTGATTACTTTTGGTTTAGTGATGTCTGTGAATTTTTCTCGATAAAATTCTTTATTATCTTCTGGATTTCGGATGACTACTTCCGCATTTCCTTTAACATATTCACCAAATGAGTACTTAGCATAGATTGAGAACGTAAAGTACCTAGAACGGATCACATGTGTCTCTGGTAAGTCTATAAAAACATCAAACAATGGCAACGTGTACTTCTGAACTGCAAAAACCTTGGATGTTGCCATGTGTTCCTTCTTATCGACTATAACTGTAATCATCCAGTCACCAAGTGTCGTTGCTGTGCTCAATGTAAACTTATCATCAAAGACTCCAATGTACTTCCCTGCCTGGTTCACAAAGTTATAGATTGCACGACCTGCTGGATCTGTGATTGTCACATTGATGCTGTTCCTATGAAATGGAAGTAAATCTTTGTCAACTGTCAAAACACGGAACTGGACTTCATCTCCAGGCTTGTAAATCGGCTTGTCAGTTTGGATGAAATTGTAAAAATTTCCGGTTTCTGTATCAACAGAAATACTTTTGGACGAGCATTGCATTTCAGTTCCTGAACCTGTTGATACATTCCGCAATAAAGTCATTGTTAAGTCGAAGGTTGTGATGTTGCCGAAGTTCCTCTGCTTGCTGGAATATTCAACAGCACCAACTTTTCCACTTTTCAATGTATATGCAGCCGATGTCTTACGGAACTGAACAGCAACTTCAGTATCTTTGGATAAATCTGTTGGAAGGATGATGACACGATACATTGAGTCTTCCTGGACGAATTTTGGGGTCCATAAAGTGACAAATCTGTGAAGTTGAAATTATTGTTCAAAAAAGCTGTGAAATGTGCACACAAAGTCACAAAACTTACTCTGATTGAACATGTGGAAGCTTTATAGTCGCAAAGACTGCAAAAAGGATAGAAAGCTTTAGCATCTGCATCTTAAACGAACGTTGATAAGACACTGACGTTGAAAAATATAACTTTATTTATATAAATACTGTTGCCTGTGAAAATTGGACATACATTGTAAGTAAACTGTAATCGCAGTGAACATTTTACTTCCTGTATCAAAGCCTGATGCTTAACCTTTGGCTCTTGACAAACTCCAAAATCAATGAATAATAAAAGCTTTTTAATGGATTTAGTTTATTTTTATTTAATTTATTTGAATATATTTTACAGGAAAAGATCAAGGCATTCGTCATGATAATAGAGGCTATCTAGCATCCAGTGGAACTAAACTTGTAAAAGTCAACTGCAACATTTTCTGTAAATTAAACAAGTTGTCAAGCTTAGAAACTCCAACAATGACAATTAGCTTAAATATTTACCTTTGTCATTGTAATCATAAACTTTAACTCCAGCATTAACAGGTTCATTTACTGCATACTTTTGTGTAGCTTTCAATTCAACACAATATTCTTTACCATCTTCAAAGTCTTCATAGTACAGATTAACCACTGTGTTCTGCCTTCTTGCGATTATTTCCTGAAAGTATAAGTAGATTATAATGAATTATATTTTAGAGTACATTTAGTACTAGATTATTATAAGGAGTACTAGAATAGAAGTAAATTACTTTATGAAACAAAAGGTTAGAAAATTAATATCATTAAGAACTAGATTAATATCATGAAGTACTAGATTAATAACATTAAGTGCCAAAATAATAACACAAGGTACTAGATTGATAACATGAAGTACTAGATTAATAACAAAAGGTACTAGATTTATAACACAAAGTACTAGATTGATATCATGAAGTACTAGATCAATAACACAAAGTACTAGATTGATATCATGAAGTACTAGATTAATAACACAAGGTACTAGATTGATATTATGAAGTGCCAGATTAATAACATTTAGTACTAAATTGATAAAATGAAGTACTAGATTAATAACATTAAGTACTAGATTGATAACATGAAATATTAGATTAAGAAATAAAGTTCTAGATTGAGAAATAAAGTACTAGATTAAGAAATAAAATACTAGATTGATAATAAGTACTAAATTAGTAAAATGAAGTCCTTGATTAATGACACAAAGTACTAGATCGATAACAAGAAGTGCTAGACTAATAGTACGAAGTCGTAGATTAATAACACGATGTACTAAATTAATAACATTAAGTACTAGACCGAAAACACGAAGTACTAGATTTATACCACAAAGTTCTAGATTTATGCCACAAAGTACTAGATTAATAACATGAAGTATTGGATTGATAACACAAAGTCCTAGTTTAATAACACGAAGTACTAGATTAAGAAATAAAATGCTAGATTAATAATAACAAGTACCAGATTGATAAAATAAAGTACTAGATTAATAAAACTAAGTACTAGATTGATAACATTAAGTACTAGATTTATACCACAAAGTACTAGATTAATAACATTAAGTACTAGATTAATAATACGAAGTACTAGATTAATAACATTAAGGACTAGATTGATAACACAAAGTACTAGATTAATAGCACAAAATACTAAAGGCAAATGTTATCTATATGAATAAAAGCTAACCTTTATTTCAGTGTGCTTATCCGAATCCTTAACTTCCAAGAATATATATCCACTCGGCATCTCCACTTCATAAACTACATTGACTAAGATTGGCTTCATTCCACTCTGCCTATTGTAAGTTGCACAAACTCTAATGACATTAGTGACAGGTGATGATGACTCTTGTCGTTTTGTAAGTCTTAGACTGAAGGATTGATCAACGAGAGGAACAGTAACGAGTCTCTCAAAAATGACAGATAAAGTACAATAGCCTTTCCCAGAGATGACTGAGGTAACCTCTTCAGAACCTGGTGGCATCTCGACAGTTTGAGGAACATTTGAATTGCTAGTGTCAATAAAGAAGTCTTGCTGAAATGCACCTTGATTTTTCACAGTGACTTTTAAGTCTGTTTCATCAACATTTATCAGCACACCCATGTCAGCGATTGGTTCTGTAACAACTGAGAGAAATCTTGTATTTTGACTGTAATCGTAGCCTTGCTTCTTACTCAAAAGGTAGTAAATGATCGGCTCAGCTTTGACTAGGTCTTTTAGGGTGAGGTAGGTCAGTGCTACATATGTAGTGTGCCTGACATCACAATCAGCATCAGTTTCTAATATTTTATAGCACCTTTTATTGTCTTCATGATGCTTATAAGCTCTCTCAATTTCCTTTAGCAGTTTTTCAGCCTTTTCTGGTTGATTGTCCAAAGCATAGACATATGAAGCTACAGACAGTCCATGTCGCAATACTTGAAGACGATTCTCATCTTTGTCTAAATATCTAAAACCTTTTAGTATGAAGTTGTCATACCTTCCGTCCATAAACTTTCTATGTCTCACGAACGGAACCAAGCAATATGCAGCAGCAAAGTATCGTTCTGTATATATAAAGTCACTGTTTTGGTCAAGAGCAAATCCGTAGTAAAATTTGAAATTCGCATGTGAGAATGTCCCGTTGCTCTCTTGAAGATCCCGAACCTTATCGAGTTGCTCAAAAACAACCTTCTTGTCCTCTGGCACGGCATCAACTGTCATAGCTGTTGCGAAAATATTACCCAAGTTGGCTCTGAATGATGCTGTGTCTCCATACGACTGGACATTAATAGACCAATGTCAGAAAATTATTAAAAATTCGAAAAAGTATTGACTTACATATCCTTTCTTTATCTTCGCCAGCATTGATTGATATTGGTCAGTAAAATGTTTTTTTGATGGGTTTTTGCCTTTGACATCCAGATAATGGAATGTGTCTACATTTCTTTTGAACTTGACCGTTCCTTGCTCAAGACAATCACTTGCGTAAAGCCTGGATTAAAATGAAAATAATCAAGATCAAGTTAAGCAAGGAAAGCAGTCAAAACTGGAGTACAACTTACGCTAGTTCCTTCTCTAAATTCATCGTGTCAGTCAGGAAGTCTCCAGTCACAACTACATCAATGTTTGACAAATCTTGTGAGAAGTTGGCTGTCTGGATGTTTGGATTGGTAGTTTCACCATCAAGTTTGAAGAAGTCTGACATGACCATGTAAACTTTGATGCCAACTGGATCGACGATCAGCTTCTTCTGCACATGATCACGATAAGTTCGTCCATCTGTGTTTTTAGCTGTAGCTTCAATATCCAATGTCATGAGTTTCTGCTTCATTTCATCAAATTCATTGTTTAGAGGATGTGATCGGATATAGAAGTGGACTGTGGATACTCCATTAGCTTCGACTGAAGATTTAGCAGTCGCTTCAGTTCCATCGTGGTATGAAGCAGTACAATCTGATGAGTAATCCACAAACTGGAACTCCATGCCGTCATTTAAGTTATTCAGCTTTAAGTCAACTGTTATTGTCTCCTTGGTATCGACATAGTTGAAGATTAAGACATCAAGTTTGAGGACTTCTGTGTACCGGATTGAGTATGGCAAGTTCATCTCAAGGAAGAATTCCTCCATCACAATCAGGTCCTGTCTTGGTGATAATGCGATTCCATGATCATTGTGCACAGAAAATGCGGAAATCAGCCATGTTGTCATCGAGTCTGGTGTTGTGTATGACTTCGCAAATGTCGACTGTTTACCAACTTCAATGGTCTCAAAGATCCACGTTTCTGGAAAGTATTCACGAAGTAATCCGTCTTTGGTTGGAGGGAAATCAGGGTTTACCGAATTATCACTAGGAGTTGATGAATCATCTGGTTCCTCTGGATATACAGTGTCTGTGCCACCTTGATTAATAACATACGTCCTTCCACTTGCAACACGTTCAACTTCCTCGGGTGTACAAACAGTCCACTTGGCCATGTCATCAACGAGAATCTTGTTTTCTCCATCATAGTCAGCTACAGATGTCATTACATCATCCTTGACTATGTCATTTCCATCCCGAAGGAATGTCAAACGCTTGTCAAATGCCAGCATGTAAACTTTTGACCTTGCTTTTGTTGTAAACTTGATATTAATTTCTTCCTTTGTCTTGGCTTTTGTCTTTGGAAGTTCAACTGTGAGCTGGATGGAAAGGAAAAGTAAATATGCAGTTTAGCTTTAATGCTTGGAATTACTTACATGATTCCGTCCCAAGTTCTCGGTTTCAATCCCAGTCTGTCCCTCAAATATGGTTTGCTGATTCTTCACATCGTAGACCATGATTGTTGAATGCGGCATCATTTCTTCCTCTATATCAACTTCAAAGTCACACAGAACTTTTCCATTGCAATTAATCTGTTTTGTTTTTGAGTTGCCATATCTCGTTACAATTGCGTAAATGATGTCATTTAAAGGTTGATCACTGGTGACGAAAATCTTGACTGTATCGTAAAGGTTTGGACTGAAAGTGATAAATTTGGTTGCATTAATAGGTCTAGTCTAGGTCTAGTCTAGGTCTAGTCTAGGTCTAGTCTAGGTCTAGTCTAGGTCTAGTCTAGGTCTAGTCTGGGTCTAGTCAGTCTGTAAATAATCATCCCAACTTACTATGTTGGCTTGTGGCTGACAATCAAGCTCTTCATTCCAACATTAACTGTTCCTTTCTCAATCTTCTTGTTATATGTATCACTATTGGTGAACTGAACATCAACAGTCAAATTTGTGTATCCAAGTGGAACTTCAAATTCATTCACATACACGCCCTTTTTAAGTGTCCCAAGATACATTGTGTTTCCAGTTGTTCCATTTGCAAATTTATAAAAATAAGTAAGAACAATTTTCTCAAAATGCGTCATCAACTGAACATTTTTCCAGTCATAAATGAAGACTTTTACTGTGAACGGGAAGCCTGGTAAGAATTTTTCTGCATGAACTGCAACTAAATCATTATGGTCATCAGCATGTGCATAGAATTTAGCTGTCTTGTTGAAATGTATCCCACTTGTTGGTTCGGTAAAGATCACAAAAGCTTCAAGTTGAACTTTATCTAAAGTTTGGACTCCGATTGATTTTAAGTTCTTCGTGATGACTTTTGGTTCGTAAACATTATTGAAGGTTTCCTTATAGAACACGTACTTATCTGCTGCTCGTCTTATGAACACTTCTGCAGTTCCTTTGACATATTCACCAAATGAATACTTTGCATAGACTGAAAACAGCATGTCAGCATCCTTGATCACATGAACCTCAGGTAAATCAATTTTTGGATCAAAAAGAGGCAACGTGTACTTTTGGACTGCAAAGATCTTCGATACTGCCATGTTATCTTTCTTATCAACAATAACTGTAATCATCCAGTCACCAAGTGTTGTTTCTGTGCTCAATGTAAACTTATCATCAAAGACACCAATGTACTTCCCTGCCTGGTTCACAAAATTATAGATTGCACGACCTGCTGGATCTGTAATTGTCACATTGATGCTGTTCCTATGGAATGGTATCAAATCTTTGTCAACTGTTAAGACACGGAACTGCACTTCATCTCCTGGCTTATAAATCGGCTTGTCAGTTTGAATAAAGTTGTAGAAATTCCCAGTCTTTGTGTCAACTGGAATGACTTTGGTCGAGCAATGCATCTCTTTTCCATTTCGTGTCGTCACATTTCGCAATAAAGTCATGGTCAAATCAAAGGATGTGTTGTTGCCGAAGTTCCTTTGCTTGCTGCCATACTCAATAGCACCAATTTTACTATCAACCAATGTGTATGAAGCTGACGTTTTGCGGAACTGAACAGAAACTTCAGTATTTTTGGATAAATCAGTTGGAAGGACAAATAGGCGATAAATGGCATCTTCCTGGACGAACTTTGGAGTCCATAGAGTCACGAATCTATTTTAAAACACTAAATAAAGTAAAATGTGCTTAATTGAGTCACAAAACTTACTCAGAATTGACATGTGGCAGCTTGACAGCCATAAAAACTGCAAAAATTATAAAAAACTTCAGCATCTCTGCACTGATTAACTGCTGACAAGAGAATGGAGAAAGTACATGCTTAATCATTTTATATTGACGGATGTTCTCTTTACCAACACAAGCAACAGATGTGAAAAGTTGCCAACTCAGATGAAGATGCTCACTTCCTTGTTAGAGTTTGTAGCCATACGCGATGATGTTTTGATATTTTTTTTATTTTAATTAATGATGAATCAGGTTAATTGATAGACTAGCTACATTGTATGAGGAAAGTAAAGAGAAATGAGCTGGAAAGTGCGAGGAAAAGTTCAATGTAGATTAAGCAATGCAACAAAGTTTATACAATGTAGGTTTTGATGTCAACGGACTGAATCAAGGTTTTCTCAGTGCTCAGTCAATATAGGACTAAGGAAGGGAGTTTTAAAAATTTGATTTTCAATGAAAGCCATTTTTGAATAGCTTCTTTTATAAAATACATAATGTAAGGCTTGAGCTGACTCTAGGAACAAGACTATTTTTAATAAATGAAAAAAATTGTCTTTTTTTAAAAAAATTGTAAAAATCAATTTTTATTTATAAGCGATTTTTTATTGCTAATTATAATAAAAGTATGACATAGTAAGTAATAACCACTGACTTCATGCTTCTGAGTGAGACCATCTAGCATCCGTTCGAACTAAACTTATAAAACTGAACAGCAACATTTTCTTTAAATATAAAAAATTGTTAATTTTTTCGAACAAAACTCAAAGTTCGACTTAATGCAAGTCTAGCGTCGACTTTGAGCATTAAAATGTCTTTCAAAATTACCTTTATTATTGTAATCGTAAACTTTAACTCCAGCATTTACAGCTTCATTTACGGAATATTTCTGTGTGGCTTTTAAATCAACACAATAATTGATACCATTTTGGAAGTCTTCGTAATAAAGATTTACAACTGTATTTTGCCTTCGTGCTACCACTTCCTGAAATTATTAAAAAAACTTCCAAATTTTGTTTGATAACTTACTAGATTTTAAAGCTAAAGTACTAGATTTTTTAAAAACATGAGTTTTGATGTGTAAGTACTAGATTTTTGACTTTAACAAGGACGAGACTTCTTTTAAAAAGTAATAAATTATCAAAGTATTAGATTGGCATAGTACTATATAAACATAGTACTAGATTTCCAAATTACTAGATTGTAAAAGTTCTCTATTTCCAAAGTACTTGATTCTCTTGGTACTAGATTATCAAAGTACCAGATTGTTTAAGTACTCGATTCTCTTAGTACCAGATTCTCTAAGTACTAAATTCTCTTAGTACTTGATACTCTTAGTACTAGACTCTCCTAGCACTAGATTTTCTTAGTACTAGATTCTCTTAGCACTAGATTCTTTTAGTACTAGATTTTCTTAGTATTAGATTTTAAAAGTGCTAGCTTATCAAAATTCTAGATTACCAAAGATCTAGATTCTTTAAGTACTAGATTGTCAAAGATCTAGATTCTTTAAGTACTAGATTGTCAAAGTTCTAGATTATTTCAAAACATGCTTATGCTGTTTTTCAACGATGATCTAGATTTTTTAATAAAAATACTCGATTTTAAAAAAAAATATCAGATTTTTAAAACTAAAGAACTAGATTTTTTAAAAAAAAGTATCAGATTATCTTTAAATAGACTAGATTTTTAAGAAAAATGTACTAGATTATTTTCAAAATTGGACTAGATTGTTATCCAAAGAAGATGAAGATTCTTATTATTTTCTTCAAATTCTTAAAAAGTACTAGATTCAGTCAACAACCATATAAACAAACCTTAATTTTATCTCTGCTCTCTTGACTATCTCGAATCTCTTTATGCTCTATGAAGATATATCCACTCGGCATCTCGACTTCATACAACACATTAACTAAGACTGGCTTCATTCCAGTTTGCTTATTGTATTTTGCACAGACTTGGACAGTTTTCATAATATTTATCATGCCCGAGCCTGAATCAGTTCTTGTTGTGACAGTAAGACTGAAGGTATTATCAATCACAGGAACTCTTACAAGTCTCTCAAAAATAGAAGTGACAGTGCAGTAGCCTTTACCAGACACAACTGAGCTAACTTGTGCTGATCCTGATGGCATTTCAACACTTTGTGGAAGGGCTGAATTCCCATCGGTAATGGTAAAATCTTGTCTAAAGTTTTTCTCATCTTTAATGGTGATTCCTAAGTTTGTATCAGCAACATTCAACTGAACACCCATTTCAGCAATCGGTTCTGTTATGATTGAGAGATATCTAGTCTCAGTCCAATAATAACTATATTCCTTAATGTCCATCAGATAATAAACGATTGGCTCAGCTGATATCAAGTCATTGAGCTTCAGATAAGTTAGTGCTACATACGATGTGTGCCTGATGTCACAATCTGGATCATCTTCAACTATTTTATAACATTTCTTATTGTCCTCGTAATGGATGTAAGCTTGCTCAATTACTTTAAGTAAATTTTTTGCCTTTTCTGGTTGATTGTTTAATGCGTAGACATATGAAGCTACAGACAATCCATGTCGCATGACTTGAAGACGATTTGAGTCATCATCTAAATATTTAAATGCTTTATTAACTAAGTTATCGTATCGTCCGTCCATAAAATTCTTATATCTTATAACAGGAATTATACAGTATGCAGCAGCAATGTATTGTTCTGTGAATACAAAGTTTGGATTTCTTTGATCATAAGGAAATCCGTAGTAAAAATCAAAGTTTGCATGTGTAAATGTCCCATTGCTCTCTTGCTTATCCCTAACAATGTCAAGTTGCTCAAATAGAACCTTCTTATCAAGAGGAACTGCACCAACTGACATTCCGGTCGCAAACATATTCGCCAAGTTAGCTCTGAATGATGCTGTGTCTCCGTAAGACTAGACATAATTAAATCAATGTTAGCATTTAATTTTAATTCAGGAAAGTCATAAACTTACATAGCCTTTCTTCAACCTAGCCAGTACCGCTTGATATTGTTCAGTAAAATGCGATTTTGATGGATTTTTACCTTTTACATCCAAATAATGGAATGTGTCGATGTTTCGCTTGAATTTGATAGAGCTTTGCTCGAGACAGTCACTTGGGACAATCCTGGATTAATAAAAAGGACACTTCTTAGTCAACAGACAGATTAGACAATTAAAGGCTTAGATTTACTTACGCAATTTCATTTTCTATATCCATACTGTCAGTGAGGAAGTCTCCAGTCACAACAACATCAATGTTTGACAGATCTTGTGAGAAGTTGGCTGTCTGTATGTTTGGATTGGTAGTTTCACCATCAAGTTTAAAGAAGTCTGACATGACCATGTAAACTTTGATTCCAACTGGATCGACGATCAGCTTCTTCTGCACATGATCACGATAAGTTCGTCCATCTGTGCTTTTAGCTGTAGCTTCAATATCCAGTGTCATGAGTTTCTGCTTCATTTCATCAAATTCATTGTTTAGAGGATGTGATCGGATATAGAAGTGGACTGTGGATACTCCATTAGCTTCGACTGAAGATTTAGCAGTTGCTTCAGTTCCATCGTGGTATGAAGCAGTACAATCTGATGAGTAATCCACAAACTGGAACTCCATGCCGTCATTTAAATTATTCAGTTTTAAGTCAACTGTTATCGTCTCTTTGGTATCGACATAGTTGAAGATTAAGACATCAAGTTTGAGGACTTCTGTGTACCGGATTGAGTATGGTAAGTTCATCTCAAGGAAGAATTCTTCCATCACAATCAGGTCCTGTCTTGGTGATAATGCGATTCCATGATCTTTATGAACAGAAAATGCAGAAATCAGCCATGTTGTCATCGAGTCTGGTGTTGTGTATGCCTTCTCAAATGTCGACTGTTTGCCAACTTCAATTGTCTCAAAGATCCAAGTTTCTGGAAAGTATTCACGAAGCAACCCGTCTTTGGTTGGTGGAAAATCAGGGTTTACAGAATTATCACTAGCAGTTGATGGATCATCTGGTTCCTCTGGATACACAGTGTCTGTGCCGCCTTGATTAACAACATAAGTCCTTCCACTTGCAACACGTTCAACTTCCTCGGGTGTACAAACAGTCCACTTGGCCATGTCATCAACGAGAATTTTATTTTCTCCATCATAGTCAGCTACAGATGTCATTATGTCATCCTTGACTATGTCATTTCCATCCCGAAGGAATGTCAAACGCTTGTCAAATGCCAGCATGTAAACCGTCGACTTAGCTTTTGTTGAAAATTTGATGTTAATTTCTTCCTTTGTCTTGGCTTTTGTCTTTGGAAGTTCAACTGTGAGCTGGATGGAAAGGAAAAGTAAATATGCAGTTTAGCTTTAATGCTTGGAATTACTTACATGATTCCGTCCCAAATTATCTGTCTCAATCTCCGTCTGTCCTTGATAAATAGTTTGTTGATCCTTTACATCGTAGACCATGATTGTAGAATGCGGCATCATCTCTTCAGCTATATCAAGTTCAAAGTCACAAAGTAACTGTCCTTTACAATCAACCTGTTTAGAATCTGTATTTCCATATCTTGTTACAATTGCGTAAATGATTACGTTAAGTGGTTGATCACTGGTGATGAAAATCTTGATTGTATCGTAAAGGTTTGGACTGAAAAAGGTTAATTAGGTTAAATTAAGTATATAGGTTTTGTCTAGGTCTAGTCTAGGTTTGAACTAGGTTTGGTCAAGGCCTAGTCTAGGTCTAGTCTAGGTCTAGTCTAGGTCTAGTCTAGGTCTAGTCTAGGTCTAGTCTAGGTCTAGTCTAGGTCTAGTCTAGGTCTAGTCTAGGTCTAGTCTAGGTCTAGTCTAGGTCTAGTCTAGGTCTAGTCTAGGTCTAGTCTAGGTCTAGTCTAGGTCTAGTCTTGGTCTGGTCTAGGTCTAGTCTAGGTCTAGTCAGTCTGTAAATAATCAACAAAACTTACTTTGTTGGCTTGTGGCTGACAATCAAGCTCTTCATTCCAACTTCAACTGTTCCTTTCTCAATCTTCTTGTTATAAGTATCACTATTGGTGAACTTGACATCAACAGTCAAAGCTATGTATTCAAGTGGCACCTCGAACTCATTCAAATAAACTCCATTTTCTAATGTCCCAAGATACATTGTGTTTCCAGTTGTTCCATTTGCAAATTCATAGTAATAAGTCAGCTCAATTTGCTCAAAATTACTCATCATCTGAACATTTTTCCAATCATAAATGAAGACTTTTACTGTGAATGGGAAGCCGGGCAAGAATTTCTCGGTGTGAACTGGAACCAATTTGTGTTTATCATCACTGTGAGCAAAGAATGGAACTGTCTTGTTAAAATGCATTCCACTTGTTGGTTCTGTAAAGATCACAAATACTTCAAGTTGAACTATATCCAAGGTTTGGACTCCGATTGATTTTAAGTTCTTCGTGATGACTTTTGGTTCGTAGACATTATTGAAGGTTTCCTTATAGAACACGTACTTATCTGCTGCACGCCTTATGAACACTTCTGCAGTTCCTTTGACATATTCACCGAATGAATACTTTGCATAGACTGAGAACAGCATGTCAGCATCCTTAATCACATGAACTTCAGGTAAGTCAATTTGTGGATCAAAAAGAGGCAACGTGTACTTTTGGACTGCAAAGATCTTCGATACAGCCATGTTATCCTTCTTATCAACAATAACTGTAATCATCCAGTCACCAAGAGTTGTTTCTGTGCTTAATGTGAACTTGTCATCAAATACGCCCATGAATTTGCCTGCCTGATTCTGAAAATTGTAAATCACACGACCTGCTGGATCTGTAATAGTCACATTGATGCTGTTCCTATGATAAGGCAAGAGATCCTTATCAACTGTTAAAACACGGAACTGCACTTCATCTCCAGGCTTATAAATCGGCTTATCAGTTTGGATGAAATTATAAAAAGCTCCAGTCTTTGTGTCAACTGAAATAGTTTTGGTCGAGCAATGCATTTCAGTTCCTGAACCTGTTGATACATTCCGCAATAAAGTCATGGTAAGATCGTATGATTTGATGTCACCAAAGTTCCTCTGCTTGCTGCCATACTCAATAGCACCAATCTTCTTATTAGCCATTGTATATGCAGCTGATGTCTTACGGAACTGAACAGCAACTTCTGTGTTTTCAGATAAATCAGTTGGAAGGACAAATAGGCGATAAATGGCATCTTCCTGTACAAACTTTGGAGTCCATAGAGTCACGAATCTATGTGAAAAATTTAATAAAGTAAAATGTGCTTAATTGAGTCATAAAACTTACTCAGAATTGACATGTGGCAGCTTGACAGCCATAAAAACTGCAAAAATTATAAAAAACTTCAGCATCTCTGCACTGATTAACTGCTGACAAGAGAATGGAGAAAGTACATGCTTAATCATTTTATATTGACGGATGTTCTCTTTACCAACACAAGCAACAGATGTGAAAAGTTGCCAACTCATATGAAAATGCTCACTTCCTTGTTAGAGTTTGTAGCCATACGCGATGTTGTTGTGATATTTTTTTTATTTTAATTAATGATGAATCAGGTTAATTGACAGACTTGCAGCATTGTATGAGGAAAGGGATGAATGAATGAAGTGAGAGGTTCAAGGGAAAGTTCAGTGCTGATTATACAATGCAACAAATTTATACAATGTAGGTTTTGATGTCAACGGCTTAATCAAGGTTGTCTGAGTACTAATCGAATTTTGGTTAAAGGAATTAGCTTAAAGGAATTGGATATGCTATGGTAAGAAGTAGCGTGAGTTATGAAGCTAGTCAGAGGCTTGTTCTTTAAGCTACATTAGGCATTCTATTTTCACATTAAAAGTCGATCAGCTATCTTCTAAGTCAGGAGTGTTATACCAACTTCTGTAAGGTATAGAAAATGTTGATATAGCAACCAATCATTAATCTCAATTATTCCTCAATGCTGATGTCCGTTAAGACCATTGACACATATAAAAATGCACTTAGTAATTAATCGTTCATTTCTTATTAACTTTGTTGCAGGACCAAAAGTTCATTGATTATAAAATGAGCAATTTCAGCAATAAAGTGAAAATAACACGTTAATTAACAATTGTGCTGAGTTCTGGTTTATTTTTTGTTGAATTATTGATAGTCTAGCGATATTTATAGCTTCATTTGTGTGGAGTTTAAGGAAATTGTAGATGTAGGCAACTTTTTAACTTTTATTCACACCACAATTATAAATTTTAAGCTTAATGCAGAAAAAAGACATTTTATCAAGGTTCAATCGTCGTTAAAGTCCAACTGGAGCTCAGCCTTTCATGAGTAAACCAACTTAGTCCCTCTTATTGCCATATGAAGCTAATAAAATTCCTCAAAAATCAAGAAAATTGATTCAAATCCAGCCAGGACATGTAGACATAATTACAATACTTACAGTTTTGTCCAAGACAGTCGTCGAAACTGCAAACTTTGCAAAACCACACAAAATAGCAATAATGCACATCAATACAACTGAACGTCATTGAAGCTGTCGATTAAAAAGACAATTTAAATTTAATCTTTGTTTCAGTTCACTTTCCAAGCTTCTATCAATCGGATGGTAGACCTGATCAACATGAAGTTTTTAATTAAAATTGTCTTACTTCTTACTGTCGGCTTATCAACCAGCACAAGGTACAGCACTTTTAAAAATATAAAATTTCAATTTTTCAACATTTTTCTTTTATTTCTGTCAGCCAACATGTGTCATTAGTTGGATCTCGCCAAGTGCCTACCGACTCAGACTTCAGAGTGTATTTGGCAGCACAAGATTTAACTACGGATTCAATAGTCAACGTGACATTACAATCTGATCTAGATTATGGAGTTTCTAAGGTTTTTGATGGAGTCTCTGGTGATTTATCTCAAGAAATTGAATTTAAGGTGAGTTAAAGTTGGGTTGTGAGGAACAACCTAATTAAAATTATGTTGCCAAAAATTGAGAATTGACTGTTGAGGTTTGTCTTGAGGAGTTTTAAGAGAGGATTAAGATTATTCAAAGACATAAGCGACACATTGAAGTAAGGCTAAAGTTATGCCGTGTGAAGATTGTAGTGTGTCGAATAGTGCAGGGTTTCTCAAACTTTTTTGGTCCACGGTACATTTTTCTACATAAAATTGTTCGCTGTACACCTGGAATTTTTTTTTTAAGTGTGCCGTGGCACAAAGTTTGAGAACAACTGAGTGATGGTCTGGTTTTAAAAGCTCCCAGGAGCTTTGAACCCTAAAAAAAGGTGAAGCTTTTTGAGCTGAAGGCACTGCGATTCAAATTAGATCAGGATCTATTGCCTCACACTTTTTAGAGCTGCAGTTTTCAGTGGAATCCGAACCATTTGCTTTGAACCCTTTTTAGAGTAAAATATCCCGAGTAGCCATAAAAACCGACCTTAGATGACGTGTCCATCCTCTTTAGGAATATCCACCACGTTTCAACTGTGTTGCTATTCAAATTGAATTGTAGATGTTGCTAAGTCACATGCCTAACCTCTGACAAAGTTGCCCAGTCAATGACATTAAGGATGCTAAGCCTGTTCAGATTTATAAATCATTTTCTACTCCACAGCTCCCACAAAACCGTCAATCAGACTACAAACTCAACATCATCCACAAAAATAAGGTCACAAATAAATGCATGAAACAATCTGTGGCTATTGGCGGCAACTCTAATCGACACATGATATTCATTCATCATGATAAGCCAGTCTACAAAAATGACGACATGATAAGGTTCAGAACGTTCGTACTTGATCGCGACATGCTGCCTTACAGGTACACAAGCATGAACGTTTCAATTATGGATGGCAGACGGAATGTCATCAAAAGATTTGAAACTGTTCAGTCCACAAGTTTTGGAGTATTTGAAGGCTACGTAATGGTTGCTGAATCACCAAATTTGGGTGAATGGAGAATCGAAGTTAATGTCGATGGCAGGACAAGATCAAAGCATTTCCCAGTAAAAAATCATGAAAAAAGTAATTTTGAAGTTGTGATCCAATCCATGGACAAGGAAGTTCCATTTGAAGATGTTTACATATTCTTACGTATTCAAGCTAAAAGTCCAGTCAATAAAATGTTTAATGGAATTGCAAAAATTTCATCTTCAACAAGACTTGATGGTGATTCCAAGCAATTGCTTGGAGGATTTATTAAGAACGTCACACTTCCGCTTGATAAGCCTGAAGTATCATTGAGAATTGATAATGATTTGGGTATACGAAGTCCACAGTCTGACATGATTACTACTCTGATTGTTGAAGTATTTGAGGACAGGACGAGGCACTATGAGAAGGTCACCGTTGATGTTCCATTGAGGATGTATCGCAATCGATTGCAACTGACACGTAATCCATCATTTAAGCCTGGATTTGATTTTGATATGAATATTAAGGCTAAGACTCTTAATGGACAGCCTGACATGTCACTTAGGCAGCTCACAATGAATGTAGACTATGAAAATTTCGACGAGGATACTCAGCAGTCATCAACAGATAAGAAGCAATTTAATTTGAACCTCAAGAAAGGAGAACTTGATGTTGTTTTACAGCCTGCAGCTATTACAAGATCCATTAAGGTTATTTTTGAATTTGGTGGAACGGAACTGACTGACAGAATTGTAAGGAAAGAAAATAATGGAATTCATGAGTACATGCAGGCTACTATTGCTAATAAGAAGTAAGTGTTCCTATATATTTTCTATTTTTCATAGCTTTATCAAACTTTTACTCCACACAGGCAATTGTACGACCCAACTGAGACCCTCCAAATAACAGCCAAGTCAAGTCACACACTCCAAACTTTACATGTCTTAGTCATCGGATCAACTGGACTTTTGTACTCTAAATGCTTTCCTGAAGCACATGATAAGGAATCTTTCAAGTTCTCATTGACATTATCTGAGCAAATGAGTCCACAGGCATACATTGTGACTTTCTATACGAGAGCTGAAGATGGAGTTATGATTGGTGATGAATTGATGATTACTCTTAAACATTCTGCAAGGAATTGGGTAAGTTGTTGGCTTAGTTGGAGTAAAGAGCAGGTTGAGGTCAATTCACTTCCTCTTTCCTTCCTTCAACTACATCCCTGGTGCCAGGGAACAGAGGTTGAGCCTACGATTTTTGATACCACCAGATTCGAACTCTATGGCTAGCTTTATGCTGGTTAAAGAACCTATTAAAATATCAGGGGGATAACAACATGATGGGAAAAAAAATTGATTGGATTTTCTTCCATCATGTAATTTTCCCCTTGGTTTTTTGAATGGAGCAAACTAGAAACATAAAAAATTGATGAGAATTTTCCCATCAAAAACATTTTCCCATCACACTGTTTCCCCCCTGGTAAAAATTCTTTTATTAATCTATATTTAGATTGAAATATCTCCAGCCGTTCAAAGCACAAAGCCACGAGAGTATGTCAAAATCAACATAAACTCAACAAAAGATTCTCTAGTCTTCCTGACAGCAGTTGACCAAAATGCAACACTTCTTGGCCATGACAATGATATCACTCAATTGTTCCTTCACTCTGAAGTTGCTCGTTATATGAATCAGAATTTAAACAGCACCTACGACTTGGGGCATGTCAATTCATTTGTTTTGCAACCTTTGGTATCTGGAGTTCCATGTGATGCTAATGATGTAGTTAGATCTGCGATGTGGAACGATCAGGAACAAACACTCGAAGATAAGTTGACTCAAAAATATTTCCCAGATGTTTGGCTTGATGAACAGATTGAAATAAAAAATCAGGAATTCCAGACAATCCAAAGGCAGGTGCCGAATGAGCTTACATCATGGATAATTTATGGAACATCAATGCATCCAACAAAGGGATTAGCAATCGTAGAACAGGAAGCAAGAGTTTCATTATTCAATGAAATTTCACTTAAAGTTAATGCACCAGCAACTGTCCATAATGGTGAGGTGCTGAATTTAGAACTTAATGTCTTCAACTTCCTCAAAACATCACAAAGTGTTCAAGTCACAGTAACAGTCGAAAATGGAGACACAATGGATGAAAAGACATCAACAGTCAATCGTAAAGTTTGCAAAACTTACACCCGAAGACGTAATCCAGCAATGACATATACTCAACCAATTACAGCCAATTCTATGTCACCAACACACAACGTCTTCGTCCAGCCACTTGCATTAGGATTCATGAGGATCAAAGTCACAGCAACTGGTGCAAATGGTGTAACTGATGAAGTTTCGAGAGTCATTGAAGTTCAGGAATGCAGACAATTGAGACAAACTATCGTTGAATCAGCTTTGATTGACATAGTTGAGCAGGGATCAGTTAAAAATAACGTTGTTCTTAATCTCCCTGACAATGTTGAAGTAGTTGACGTTTATGCAATGTTTACTGGCAATTTGTTAGGTCCGGTGCTCAGGAACTTGGATTTGTTCAGGTAAGATCTTGTGTGGTTCGTGATTTTATTTTCTACACCAGTGTTGTCCAAACTGTGTGCCGCGGTACTCTATAGGGGGGGACGTAGAATTTTTTTGGAAATGACTCGAGCCGCATGTTCTATGATTTACCCCTAAGGTGTGCCGTGGCTCAAAAAGTTTGGACAACACTGATCTAGACTGAATAGAAGAGTTCTTAGCTATACATCTACAACTAGCCCTACCTTTACTTCTTGTGCATCCTAGTGCAGTGTTGTACAACCCATGTGCAGCGGTATAGTAGCATGTGGTCATGGTTTAACTGCACTGGTACATCCACCAGGGTTAGATGTTGTTGTCTGCTAAGAACCTGCCCTGGAACTCATACTACATACCAGCATCTGAACCATAATTAACAATTTCAATGCATTGTCCTTCCAGAAACGTACCAATGGACTACCGTGAACCCAAAAGCAGTAGCTTTATGTTATCTATGATTGTAGCTGAATATCATCAATCCAGACATGATGAAATCCCAACTGAAGTTATGGATGCAATGCTTAAAGGCTACCAAGAAACCCTTGAATCTCTCCAAAGTGACACAAACGCACAAAAGTCAGCTCTGTTTTATGTCTACGCAACATTTGCTCTCATTAAAGCTAAGAGCTTCATTGATGTTGATGACAGCATCATTGAAATGTCACTCGATTACTTGAAGGGAAAACAAGGTTCAGATGGAAGTTTCATGGATAGAACAGATGAGGATGTGGGACAAATGAGTTCTCCAAGACAGATTTTAACAGCTCAGTTCACTTTGGCATTTATTAAGTATCAGACGTACTCAAATAAATATGACGATGTGATTGTAAGAGCTATTAAGTTCTTGGACTCATCAAAGACAGATTTGACAACTGATTATGAGAAAGTTCTTGTTGCTTATACATTATCAGCACATGGTGATCAAGAATCATCAAAGATGCTGACATCAAGCATGACATGCACATTCGCAAACAACCCAGATTTTAAACAGGAAACTTCACTTTACGTTGGAATTGCATCATTCTTAGTTGAACTCAAAATCAATGAAGGTGTGGATCCAAAAATTGAAGTTGAATGGCTGTTAAGGCACAGACAGCCAAATGGAATGTTCTTCTCACCTCACGACACGTTGTCAGGTTTACATGCTCTGCTGTCATATCAACTTAATAGAAATACTAAAAGAGTGAACTTGGAAGTATCAGTTGATGGACAAACTGGCATTGTGACAGAAAGCAATGAAAATTTGCGCCTTAAATTGTCTCAAAAGGATCAATACACAATTAGAGCATCTGGTGAAGGTCTTGGATATGCAACAATCTATTACGAATATGTTGAAAGAGGATCAACAACTTATCCACCGAGAAACTTTTTAATTGCTTTTAAAGGAGACGATCTTCCTGGAAATATACTTGATATAAAAATTGATGTCAAAATGATTGCTCCAGGATTAAAGACATCGAATTTGGCGGTTCTTGAAGTTGAGATGCCAAGTGGATATGAGTTTTATAATCAAACTAATAGCGATAACTTCAAGGTAAGTTGTTGATTGAGGATTTGGGTTTAGTGGACTTAGTGTCAGTTACAAAAGTTCAGTGAAGGTCACTTCCTTGACCAAGGCACATATAGGTTCATTGCTGGGATCAGAGATCATCTATAGACAGCTCTATCCGTCGAAACCTTCTGTCAGTTCGGGATATTCAGGATTCTAGTGTCTTTATAGTCTGACTGAACCTCAACAATCCTTACATAAGCTTTGACTAGGGAATGTTTATAAATGACGTCACACATTTAATGGGGGCGGGAGACTTAAAAATTGTGACTGGAGATGGAAATGGGATGGTTCAGGATTTTTTTAACATTTTCTGACAGATTTTTTTTTGATGAACGTCATTTACGAACAGCCCCCAACCAAATTTGTAATTTATTTCAACTTTAAAATTCTAGAAGGTTGACTACTGGAAGGAAAGAACAGTCGCAGTTTTTTACATTGAATCAATGGATGCTAATCTAATATACAGTGTGGCAATGCAGGCAGTTAAGGTCTATCAAGTTGAATATACTGCAAAATCAGCTGTCAAGATTTATGATTATTATCGTCCAAGTAAGTTTTGATTTACATGATTTTTGGTGAACATTTTGAGTATCTTGTACATTATTGTGGCATTGACATGGCGGTGATGTGTAGGCGTTGAACCTTGTTGAATTTCTCACTTTTGCATAGATGCCTTATGACTCGTGGCAACGTCAAAGTAACACCACGAGTCATTAGGCAACCTTGTGGACGGAGAAATTCAACAGATGTCGCCTTCTCGTAGCCATAAACTTTTTGTTGCTCGAAATTAATTATTTCGAGTCAGTGTCGAGCTGTAGAATTTAAAAAACAGGAACTCAGGCTAAATGGATACCAAAAATTCTAAATTTAAGGACACGGAACTGACAAAAAGGATCAATTTTGTGATCAGTTCCACAGCCTTGTTCATGATCATGAATATTAGCTTATAATCTTATTTATTATTTTTAGATATAATAGATGAGATTCATTATGACAATGACGTAAATATGCAAAACTGTAAACCAAATGGTAATCAGGAAGACATTAATCCAATAGAAACCACCACCAAGAAGAACGGATTTTGGCCATTTGGATAGATTTGAATCATTATTAAAAATTATTTTCAAATATTTATGTTTTTTTATAAAAATTATGATTAGACTCATTACTCATTTTCTAATGGGCCCACGTGAGCCCTTAGCCAAGAAAGTAAGTAAGGAAGACTCATTTCACATTACGAAAGTTGAGTCCTGAAAGAATTAATAAAAGAAATGCAAATTTAAATTTTTATGGTTTTTTTATTTTATTAAATTTTTTTGTTTTAACATTAAAATTATTAAAATTTTAAATAATATTCAATGTGAATTAAGATCGAAATTATAAAAAAATCTCTTTTTTAAATAATATAAACTATATTAAAATTAATTTGGTAAATAATTATCTGCACATAGTTTAATTAAAAGTACTGTAAAGGGCCGTTCACTTATGACGTCCAGGGGAGGGGGGGGGAGGGAGGTCAGCAAGAAAAGAACAATAGAAGTTCCAGAAAACCTATTGTTCTTTTTTGACAAATGACCGTTAATTTCAGACGTCATTAGTGTACGACCCCTAATGCTAAATTTACGTCTACACTTATTTTTTGAGGCATATTTTGTGTTAGAAAAACGAATAATTGGTGTTGAAAATTTCACTTTTACAATGTTTTTTTGTTATTTGCATGTTATTTGGAGCTTCTCGAACTTCGTAAGTGGTTCGGATCCTACTATAAACTGTAGGTCTAAAGGGTGTGGTACAATAGATTCTGTTTTAATTTGAATCGCAGTGCCTCTAGCTGAAAGGCTGGGCCCTACACACACATTATTATTGGAGCTTCTCTCATTCTGACCAACCCTTAACACCAGGGGCAAAGCCAGGAATTTAAAGGGGGGGGGGGGGGACAAAAAAAAATTATATAGAAAATTCAGAGGTTAGAGGGGGATTGTTATGATTTTTTAATAAAACTCCTAGAAAAATGAAGAAATTTCTGTTAACGTCGGAGGATTTGTCCCCCAAATACCCCCCCCCCCCCCCCTCCTGGTTCCACACCTGCCTAACAACCCTCTCATCTTTATTACTTCCTATTCGGATCTACTTCACTGTTAACCTCAGGTTTGGGCTCTCCAAGCCTCTTATTTCAAGCAGTTTATATCCTAGAAGGTTCTTGAACTAACCATGGATATAACATTGACTTATCCAAAAGCTAAGGTCACGGATTATCAACAAGAATAGCAAGGGGACAAAGATTGAAGCCATTGCCTTGGATTTTCTATAAAAATTCGGAAAGTCCCTTAAAATTTGCTTCTAAAGCTCATTTAAGGACTGACAAATCTCATTTTGGATATTTCATCGTATGTGCACCCTTTGACAAGCTATTCTCAATAGCACCTCATTTGACCACTTAATGATTAGTGTCCTTGACCTTCTTTACATCCAACTCAATCAACATCTTATTTCCAGCGATTCAAACAAGGATGCGGAACTGATGAAATGATCAAAAATAGTGAAAAATCATCAAAATGTAATTTACCAGTTCCGTACCCTTGGATCCAAGCTTTATATCTTTACATATTATGTCGTACACAAATGAAATGGCTGTCATACGGTTGCTATATAGGTTTATTTTCATTTCTGTACAGATTATGTTTATGCGCTTTATACCACACATTACTAAATAATAATTTTCTTACTTATTTACTATAAAATAACCTTAAAGGATATGAAACAATGATTCCCAAGGCCGACTTTAATTAGCGAAAAATTCTTGAAGTCTTTGAACGGTGCTTTTGTCTAGTTGCACCAAGTCAAAGTCAAATGTTGATTTTGTAATCTCATAACATCCTGTGGATGCAATCAGCCTCACGACATGCTGTAGATGATCATTATTCTTAAGTGTTGTGATCTTATGCTTTAAATCCTTTAATTCATCGAGATATTCGGTCGTCACTTTTAAGTCACTTGGAGTGTCTGGTTGCTTATTATTGTTATTTGTTGACTTTGAGGATGCATTTGATGTCGGTGACGGCGATGGTTCCTTTTTATTTGACTTTGCAGGAGGCGGTGATGCTGATGAGTCACGTTCTTCCTTCTCTGCTGCTCGCTTACGTTTTTTGTCTTCTTTTTCATTTGATTTTTGAGGTTTATCTCGTGGATTCTTAGTATGATGCCTCTCTGGTTCTGGCTGTGCCTTAAATTCAACAACTGGTTCTTCCTGCTTTATTGGAGTACTTTCAATCTCAGAGTCACTTGAGTTGTCACTGACTGGCGGTGGTTTTTCAAATTTAGTTGTAGATTTTGAGGATACTGGTGTTTGAGTTCGTACAGGTGCTGGTGCTGGCTGTGGCTGACTTTTTGCTGGCTTCTCTTTCTTCTCCTTTTCTTTTGACTTTTCCTTCTTTTTGTGTTTGTGCTTCCGTTCGACTTCAACATTCTCATGCTTTTTGACTTCTGGCGGTGCTTTAACTTCCGATGTTGATGGTTTGGATTTGAAATTTTTGTCACGACTGTCAAACTTGCTGCTTGGTTCCTCCTTACTTGGCTTTTTAGCCACTGGAATTTCAACATTCTTCTTTGACTCTTTCTTCTCGCGATCCTTTTCGTAATTTTTTTTCTTGTTGCTCTTTTTTGTACTCGTCGATGTTGGTTGTGGAGCTGGCTGCTCAACAACTGGTTGCGGTTGTTTAAGTTGTGAGGATTTTTGGTAATCCTGTGGAGGTTTTGATGGTGCTGGTTGTGAACTTGATGGTGGACGAGAACTTGAGGACACTGGAGGTGGTGATAATGCTCGTTTTGCTGACTTTTCTTTCTTCTCACTTCTGTCACGGTCACGTGACTTGTCCTTCTTTGGCTTATCAGTGCTTCCTTCCTTACGATCATCGCTCTTTTTACTTTTACTGTCTTTTGAATCAACGACAGGACTATGCTTATGTTTTGACTTTTCCTTGTCTTTATGACTTGAACTTGATGGCTGCGGTGGTGGTGGCAACTTCTCTTCCTTTTTATTTACCACAACTTTTGCACTTGTCTTCTCAATTGGATCTCCAAAAAGTTCTGTAAAGTACGACTTTGTTTTGTCTTCTGGTCGTTTTGGTTTCTTTATTTCTTGACTCGCACTGCTGCTGCTCGGCTTGTAATCTTTGTTTTTGTAGTCACTGCTGCCAGCAACAACTTGACAACCAGCTTTAACACACTTCCTTTTAAAGTCATCTGATGGATTGTTAACAATAAATTCCTTCACTTCACTTTTAAATGGCTGCAGATCGAGGTCATATGGGAAAGTAATTTTCTTCGGTTCATCACGGTTTCGTAGGTAGATGTCGATAGTGAGTTCAAAGCCAGCGTATCCAGATTCTGAAAGGTAACGACGATTAGATTATTAGTGTTTTATTGACTAAGGATTTGCTTTGAAGCATTGACTCATTAGTAAGTCGTAGCTTTGAAGCATTGACTAATTATTAAGTCGTTGCTTTGAAGCATTGACTAATTATTAAGTCGTTGCTTTGAAGCATTGACTCATTTTTAAGTCGTTGCTTTGAAGAATTGACTCATTTTTAAGTCGTTGCTTCGAAGAATTGACTCATTTTTAAGTCGTTGCTTTGAAGAATTGACTCATTATTAAGTCGATGCTTTGAAGCATTGACTCAATAGTAAGTCGTTGCTTTGAAGCATTGACTCAATATTAAGTCGTTGCTTTGAAGCATTGACTCAATAGTAAGTCGTTGCTTTGAAGCATTAACTCATTAGTATGTCATTGATTTGAAACATTGACTTATTATTAAGTCTTTGCTTTGAAGCATTGACTCATTAGTAAGTTGCTTTGAAGCATTGACTTATTAGTAAGATGTTGCTTTAAAGCATTGACTCATTAAAAGAAGTCGTTGCTTTGAAGCGTTGACTCATTAGGAAGTCTTTGTTTTGAAGTATTGACTCACTATTAAGTCGTTGGTTTAAAGCATTGACTCAATAATAAGCCGTTAATAACTTCATAAAAGTCTTAGTAAATTTGAATAAAAATTTGGTTTATTGACTGACATTATTGATGAATGCCCCCAAAAATAATCAAGTTGAGCATTAAATCCAATTTTAATTCAAATTTTCCCTCTCCAATTTGTTCACCATAGCATTCATCAAAACATAAACAAAGACTTCCGTGCTGGATTTAAAGTTTTACGACTCACCTTTAACAACATAAGGAGGATCCTTAATCACCCGTTTCGGCTTTGGAAATGAGTCATGCAAGTTGAAAACAACCTTCTCGATAAACTGACTGATGTCATTCGAGTCATTCGGACTCTTCACAAACAATTCCCAGTCCTGCAAAAAAATTGATAATTGTTTTTGATTTTTATTCTCCTTTTCATCGATTTTTGTGTTGTTTCTTACGTGCGTAAAGCCGTGCTTTGATGGCTTTGCCTTTCGCTCCGCTGAATGACCGATTTCAAAATGTAATTTTATTGACGACATTTCTCATTGATTGAAAATTTCTAATTTAACATTTAAAAAAAGTTCAATTAAAAATAATGAAAAAATGAAATTTCTCTTTCGATTTGAGTGATGATGCGGACTGAAGTGTGGCTCTGCATCATCAAAATATTTTGAGAGAATTGTTTTGTTCCGTTAGTGATGCGAGAGAGAGAACTTTAGTGTGAGAGGATGTAAACAGAGAAGATTAGTGAGAGTGAGATGTAAAGTTTCGCAAATTTGCAATTGCTAGTTTGAACTTAAGGCAACTGTTGAGGATTAACGAGTAAAACTTCAAGATTTTGTATTTTTTTTAGTTTCAATATAATTTAGTAAAATAAGATAAATCTACAGCAAAATTTGATATTTATATTTTTTTGGGATTCTTGACACAACAACACGTCCATCCCAAGAGCATGAACAGAATATCCATGGATCAGCACTGCACCATTCTGCACAATAGACTAGAAGTGAAATAAAGTAGAAACATTTAGTATTTTGAGGTGATATTCAAAAAAAATTGAGGTTAAGTCAGTGAATTTCGAGGTTATGTCATGAAACTTTGAGGTTAACTCTGAGTTTAATATTAAGTCAGGGAATTTTCAGGTTAAGTCATGAAACATTGAGGTTAACTCTGATTTCAAAAATAAGTCAGGGAACTTTGAGGTTATGTCAGAGAATTTTGAGGTTAGGTCATGAAACTTTGAGGTTATGTCAGATCATTTTGAGGTTAAGTCATGAAACTTTGAGGTTATGTCAGAGAATTTTGAGGTTATGTCATGAAACTTTGAGGTTAACTCTGAGTTTAATATTAAGTCAGGGAATTTTCAGGTTAAGTCATGAAACATTGAGGTTAACTCTGATTTCAAAAATAAGTCAGGGAACTTTGAGGTTATGTCAGAGAATTTTGAGGTTAGGTCATGAAACTTTGAGGTTATGTCAGAGAATTTTGAGGTTATGTCATGAAACTTTGAGGTTAACTCTGAGTTTAATATTAAGTCAGGGAATTTTCAGGTTAAGTCATGAAACTTTGAGGTTATATCAGAGAATTTTGAGGTTAGGTCATGAAAATTTTAGGTTAACTCTGATTTCAAGATTAGGTCAGGGAACTTTGAGGTTATGTCAGAGAATTTTGAGGTTAGGTCATGAAACTTTTAGGTTAAGTCATGAAACTTTGAGATTTAGTCATGAAACTTTGAACTTCAACTCATTCCATCATCAATGTCAGTATATCTTCCTACCTGAGTCCTCATGCTGTTCAAACTTCTCCAAAACTCCATCCTTAAGTTGACTCTTCCTAGTTTTCAACTGGAACTCTTCCTCAATATCATCATCATCGCCATCATCATCCTTTTCCTTCATATCTCTCGACATGGTCGACACATTTGTCTCAGAACTGCAAGATGCAGCACAAGTCAACAACACTTTTCCATCACTTCCACTCGTGAGAATCAATTGATCATGAAATTTGTTAAATGAAACTGAGAAGATCCAGTGTTGATGATCGCGTCTTGAGAACACTGGAGTTTTGTTGTTCCGGATGTCCCTGGAAGTTGAAAAAATCAGTTTTGTGGAAATAAGAAAGAAAATTTTGCAGAAAATTGTCCACAACCTCAAAATACTCACCAAATCTTCAATGTGCAGTCATCCCCAACAGTCGCAATAGTAAATGCCTTATTAGGATTCACATCCAAGTCTCGAACCGGCTGAATATGAGCATTAGGTATCTCCCAAGCTACATGATTACTCTCCCTAGTGTCATAGCTCTTAACACCATTCTCATGCATGACTACAAACTGATTAGAGTTGTTCCACTTCCCGCCTGCAAATTTTGCTGAATTTTTACTCGTAATTTCAGCCACAACTTGAGATTTCGCCTCAGCACGATTAAAAATCAGCACTTTTGAGTCAATGACTGTCGCCAGAACATTCGTGTTTGTTGGATGAAATTCAGTCGTTTTTATCTCAGTTCCATGCGGTTCCGTGTCAAGCACTTCAACATCCTCAAAGTCCAATGTCTCAACAGACGGATCAAGAAAGACATTTTCAGGAATTTTCAGCACAGCTGATTTCATCACTAAATTACTGCTGTAAACAGATGCAAGCAGCTTGTCAGTCGGACAACTTGTCAATTTCCAAATTTCACCTTGTTCATGTGAAAATGTCTTTGTCTTTAATTTGTTGTTGTCATCGTCAACTTCTAAGAGATGAATTTGATTCTTTCCATTGATCATTTGAGTTCCGATAAAGAAGCGAATTTCTTCAGCATCTTGTTGAGATACGAGGCTTCGTGCTTGGAATTCGATGCCGTAGATTATGCTCTCCATTGTTGGTTGGAGTTGGGTTTTGGACAGCCTTATTAATAGAATTGAGGGTTGTTTGTGGAACTAATGAAATGTTTTGAATGGAATTTTGAGATTTCTTGAGCTTTGGTGATGACTGTTGGTCTTTGGAGTTGATTTGCAGCTGTTGGTTTAGATGAGGAGCAATTGGTAAGAATGAGCTGACGTTGGTTTGGAAGAGAATCTCCAGAATTGAATATTTGATCGGACTTAAGTGATTAAAGCTTCTTGTTGGTGAATGATGATGTATTCTTGGATTTTTGATGATCCTTGATTTTTGATTGGTCTGATTGATGATTTATCTTGTTGTTCTTGTGTTTAAACTGATTCTTCAAGCTGAGTTTCTTTTTTCATGAATTTTTCTAATATTTTGAACAAACTTTAAAGCTTATTTTGATTTTTAACAATGCTTTCTTCACTGAAACAGGTTGCTGTGAACTTCTTGATGCATATTTTGTGACAAATCCATCGTCAATCTTTCAAATTGTTCCTTAAATCTCTCGAATTGATGCTCTTCTTTTAAAACTTTCAACTTTTTGCATAAAAATCAGATTTTTTGGTTTATTTCATGTTTTTTTGACAACTTGTTAAAAAATCTTATTATTTGGAGCTTATGTTGTAAACAAGGGGACTGTAACTTCTTGCCTCAATTCTCTCAGTTCCTCTCATTTCATTGCAACTCTCTCAATTCTCACAAAATATTCATCAAAACAGTTGCAACATAAAAACTTTTGTAAACAAGAAAAAGTCAAGCAAAATTTAATTTTTAAGCCTTTTTGAAGTCAATTGTTTGACATTTCAGCTTAATTTGGAGTCAATATCTTTAATTTGGTCATTTAAATCAGCCTTAAAATTCTCAGATCCTCAAAATATTAGCAAACTTGATGAAAAACAGTTAATTTTGTGTCTACAATAACATTAAGTCTCAGCCGTACCTTTAATTACACAAAAATGTCAGCAAACTACAAAACCTGGTGTCGACTTTGTGGTGATATAGATGCACAAGTTCTGGATGATGTTAATTTACTGAAAGTTACTCAAAGGTTTATTGATGTAAGTTCTGATGTTAAAATTGATTCTTGCAACTATGACATGACTTTCCATGGGTACAAGCTATTATTGAGGTGGCTCAAGTGACGACTTGTCTATTATACCAACTCTAGCCTCCCCTTAGTCTTCCTCTATCCTAATTCAAGCTTAAAAACTAAAATTGTGGATTTTAGGACATTAATATTAGTTCCTTTACAATCACCTTAAAGCTCATACCTTAAATTTCCATCCATTTTCAGATCAGCATCGCCCCTCCTATCCTCATCTGTGACGACTGCAACTACCAACTATCTCAATTCCTCCTATTCACAATAAGAGCCAAAGAAGTCAACGAAATGTTCAAAGGTCTTGATGATGAAGATCCGAATGACCTGTGCATCCGCAGACTTAATGCTTATAGAAGTCACTTTAAATTGTCCGCATTGCTAGCATTGGAAAGCACAAACTTTAGTCAGGATATCAAACCGGATGAAGATATTGAAGAAATTTATGAATTTATTGACGATGCAGAAAGTATTGAGGCTCTTGTGGAACCGGATGCAATTGTTGAAGAAATTTTAGTTGAGACTGTCAATGACGATGAAGAAATGGACGAGATTGTTGAAGAATATGTTGATGAAGAGCTTGAAAATGAGGAAAGTCTCGAAGATGACAAAACTTTTATGTATCACATGTCAAATTCCAATAAACTTCTCAAGCTTTTTACATTTAAATGTCACTTGTGCGACCAAACTGTATATCCAAATATGAAGCTACTCACTGAACATTGCCAGACTGTCCATAATTCACAACCAAGTGTCAAATGTTGCAGTGACGAGTGTGGTAAAATGCTGCAGACTTGGAGGAGATTAATGATCCATAAAGAAAAACACTTTCCAAGCGAGGAAGCGATGACTTGTGGGATATGTCATACTGTCTTTGCTACTAAGGCTGGATTTGAGAATCATAAGAAGGTAAGCGAAATTGCTGAACGTTGATGAACTCAGTTGATGTTATTCAGTACTGCTGAATTTAGCTGATTTGGTCAACAGTGCTGAATTCAGCAAAATTGTTCAGCAGTGCTGAATTTAAGTGAAGTTGTTAAGCAGTGCTGAATTCAGGTGAAGTTATTCAGCAGTGTTGAATTCAGCTGCTTTATTCAGCAGTGCTGAATTCAGCAAAATTGTTCAGCAGTGTTGAATTAAGCAAAAGTGTTCAGCAGTGCTGAGTTCAGGTGAAGTTATTCAGCAGCGTTATTCAGCTGATTTGTCTATCAGTGCTGAATTTGAGAGAAGGAATTCAGCAGTTCTGAATTCAGATGATTTGTTCAGCAATCCTTTGATTTATTCAGCATTGCTGAATTCAACTAAGTTCCCCAATCTTTTTCCTTCAATTCCAGACCCACGAGCGCCAATTCATCTGCAGCTTCTGTGCGAAAACTTTCTCCGAACAAAAAACCCTCAGATTTCACGAGGAGACCCACCGAACCCCACTCGATGCCAGAAAATCATTCGAATGTCCAAAATGTCACCATAAATTTATCACAAAGCAAGCATGCCAAAATCACATCAGCATGAAACACGAAAAAGTTGTGACTGTCAGTTGCCTTGTTGAAGGATGTGGCAAGGGATTTTTCACAAGAAAAGCTATGCTTGAGCATCAAAGAACGCACAGGGATAAAACTTTTGGATGTAATAAATGTGATTTTATGAGTAAAACTAAGTCGCAGCTGAATGTTCATCTTGAGAAGCATGTGAAGATTGAGGATAATGGGCTGGGGTGTCAAAAGTGTGGAATTGAGTTTGGGAATGTTAAAAAGCTGAAGGTTCATTTAGGTAAGTTTAAATATTGAGTTTTGTGTCCTAATAATGAGTTTTGGCTCTTACAGCTTCCCACGATGGCGAAGAAACATTCAATTGTGGCAAATGTGATGCAACATTCATTGAGAAGCAGGAACTTTCAATTCATTTTAGAATGCACAATGAACTATAGCGAGTATGAACTGGTTCTGCTTGATTTTGGATTTATAATAACTCAAAAGCTCAAATAGTGCAAATTCAAATTGAATAAAGTTTGTAAATTTAAAGATTTAATTTTTAATTTTTTTTTATTTGTCTCAAAACTTTACAACGCCTTACTGTGCCCCAAACCCAAGTGCATACACCTCCTCATCAGTCATATTATGAACTCTTCTCAAATGAGTCCTTAATCCTTTATGTTCTGTGAATGTTGACGGACACTTTATGCACTTCTTGTTCTTAATTCCTTTATGATATTTCTGATGGGACGTCAGCCATGCCTTGGACGTAAATGCCTTGCCACAAATGTCACACATAAATTTCTTTTTCTCAGCATGTTTTGCTGAGCAGTGCTTAAAAAGCTCTTGAGATGTCTTAAATTCAATATTACACTCGACACATTTGTTGCCGTCGATTTCACATCCACTGTCAGCCCATCGTAGTCGATCTACTTCCTCCTGTGACATTTGATGTGATGCTCGCATGTGTGAATTGTAAGTTTTACGCTGGAAGAAGCCTTTGCCACAAAACTTGCAATTAAAGTCATTTTGTCCTTTATGCTTCTTCAAGTGTGTCTCATATAAGCTCCAGATTGTGAATCGTTTGGTGCATCCAGGATGGTTGCAGATGTATCTGGCTGTTTTGAGGTGCTGGAGCTCGAGATGTTCTTGCAGGTATCGCTTGTTGGTGAATACTTTGTTACAGATCTCACATTGGACTTTTCCTTTTGGAACTGGAACTTTTGGCTTCTTTTCTTTTGGTGGTTTGAGGGTCTTTAAGCTGTCTCGAGTCTGTTGGGGATGAAAAATTAATATTTTATAATTTTATTTATTATAGCTTAAGATTCTTGGATTTAATTAAGTTTCAGCCAATAAAAATTCGATTTTTTATTTTATTTTATTTTCTAACATTTTATTACAATAATTTATATAATCTCTGCTAGCTAATAATCTAGTAATCAGCTCCTTCATACTCAAACTTCAATTCAATTCTCAATATCCTGTGTATCCTCATTTACATCCCTGCCATAATGTTCCTGAATATCACGTTCCTGCACTACCCGTGGCATGTCAAACTGCGGTTCCATTTTCATGAAAAAGTCATTATTTGGTCTATAGCCTGAGCTGCTGCTTATCCTTAAACTATTTTCATCACACATATTTTTGTAAACATCTCCATCCTTGTCCTTTACTCGATGCTTGGCATTTTTGGATTCATGGAATCTCCTTAGGAACGTATAGAGAGCTATTGATGACTCTTCCATGTTTAAGTAGGTATTTGGTGTATTTCGGTTGACTATTTCGTAGAATAAGGAGATGTGGCCGACCATGTCTTTGATTGCTAGACGACCTGGAAGATAGAATTGATTGTTCAAAATTATTTAAGATACTCAAGGACATGAGCAGGTTGAATAAACCAAAATAAGCACTTTTAACATTGAATATAATAAAAAACTTACCCTGAACATTAGTCCATCCAATAGTGTTAAGGAATTCAGGTGCAAAATACAAATTAAGCAACGATCCAACTAATCCAATTTTAGGATTCGTTCTTTTGCTGATGTTCTTGATTTTTGCTGCATAATGTTCAATCTGGAAATGAATGTGAATGTGAACTGGGTTTGGATAGGCTTTTATCAGTAGATGGCAACTCTGAGCAGGGGTTCTCAAACTAAAATCCACGTCACAGAACTCAAAAGTCATGCAATGAAAGCAAACTACACTTGATATGTTAAGTAGTCAAAAAAGTTTGAGAACCTCTGTGCTAGGAACCTACTCTGTAAACTATACCAAGCTACAAACCCACATTAATCCCCAACAACTCACCATTCTCTCCCTCTTAATGGAAAATTCACTAGAAATCAGTGGATTCCTGTCATATTCAATCAAGTTCGCCTCCATTTCCGTCAACTCTTGTTCACATGAGATTGCCTTTGGACTTAGCGAATCTTCTTCTAATGTATTTTGGATTAGTGAAGCTCCAGAACTTCTTCCTTGCACCATGTGCATTAAATAGTTTAATTTCTTCTTGAGATCTCTGAGTTGTGTGTTAAAATTCGATTCCATTTGTTTCATTTTCTCGGTTTGGAGTGGCTGGATGTTCTGGAAGTATGGGAAGATTGTTTTAGATTAGTTTGGAGTATGATATGGTATGACCCGTATAGGCCTGCTGGAAGTACGTTGAACCAGTTTAAAGCTCGAAATTCGAAGTTGGCGCGACGTACTTCCAGCAGGCTCCAGATAGTAAAAGTCGGTTAAACGATGTCATGCTGATATGGTTCTGGCATGGAGCTGGATTTGATTTATATCCGGCTCTACGCTAGAGTCACGCCTGTTTGTTGTTGGATTTTTAATCGATCAACCGACTTGTGCTTTCCGGGGATATTGGGATAAATCAAGCTTATAAAGGGCCGTTCAATTATGGCGTCCGAAATTAATTCCAGGAATTTCTATTGTTCTTTTCTTGCTGACCCCCCTTACCTTCCCTGGACGTCATAAGTGAACGGTCCCTTATGGGGCGTACTGGAATAACCTTAAGAGGAATAATTGCCAGTGTATACCAAAAAACTAGTTTCTATGGACAGACCGGCCCAAAAACTAGGTACTTGACAAGAGGGTAATTACTGGCCTTGTTCCTGTACTTACCATTTGACTTTGAGGGTGGAATGACCTTTGCTGTAAATTCTGCTTTGAGTATCCCATTTGAGCACCAAATTGTCGATTGTTGAATGAAAATGAAGGCATGAAGTTTGATGAGTGAGGCTGAAATAGTAAAATTCATAAAAATGCCTGAAAACTTCCCAATTTTTCATCTTCTTACCAAATTTACTTTCATTATTATAAACTAGCAGTTCAGTAGAGTTTAAAATTAAATAATTGTAATTATTAAGATCACATGTCTTCCTATAAGTAGCCCCTTATCCATCAATAATAACTTCAACAGGTGGCATCTTCCTTGGTCGAACTCTCTTGACGACTTTTCCCATTCGATTGTCTTTTGACAAAATTTCGTCTTTTTGCTTTTTCCATCGTTTAATTTGTGATGTATTGACGCCATAATATTCAGCAGCCTTAGAGACTGAAGTGGCTTCAGCATATACAATCGCATCTAGCTTATGACACAGTGTGTAAGTTCGTCGAGATATTTTTGGTCTTGATGTGGTTGGCATGTCTTCGAATGGTGGAAAAATGTGTTCAAGTTCCTTGTTTTTGGTGCTTCTACTTCCCTGGATTAGATAATTGGGTTTTTGGGGTCATGATGGAGTTTTGTATGTTTTATAAGCTATTAGCCAACAGTCTGAGCTCTTCTGGGTACTTAATTAAGTTTCAATTATTAAGAGGCACTTAGGACTACTTTAGGTACACTTCCTGAAGTATATTAACTTAAAGTCCTTTTCCAGACTATCAAAAAACAATCAAACAGCTCAGTCACATTGGATAATAGCTTTTATATCAAAAATCACAATAAATTGACACCAGACGAACTCTACTGAGCTAGTAGCTTATAATGAAATGAAATCAGTAAATGGACATACCTGTGAACTGTTAAAATCTGACGACAACCTTGTCTTTTTGGCTTGTGGACCTGAATCTGTCTTGAGGTTCCTTTTCTGTAGGCGCATGTTTTGAAGGCGTTTTGTGAGTTCATAGGAAGCTGCAATTAAAATATTTTGTAGATTTTTGAGCATATTCTAGTCATATGTTTAGTGTCAACCTGAGAAACCAGCCCAAATGACCAGTAACAAACCCGAATGGCACAAGTCGGTTAATCGATCAGAAATCCCGCACCAAACTGCTGTGACTCTGGCATGGTGCTGATTATAAATCGAAGCCAGCTTCATGCTAGGGTCATGCCAGCTTTGTGCCGGATTTGACATCAATTAACCGACTTGTGCCATTCGGGAAACATTGAAACTTACGAATCTTCTGCCTTAGAATTTTGACTTGATACTGAACCCAGTCATCGCCAGGCTTGTTGAAGAATTTAGCGAAATGTTCAGGCTGTTGCAGTGATGCTGGTGGATAGTAAATGTGTTGATTTCCATCTTTTGTGAACATCCAGCTACTGCGAACCACATAAACTCCTTCACTGTCTTCGACTAGTGCAAATGTGCTCTAAAATGAAAAGATAAAATTATAGAAAAATTAGCAAAAATTCAAAATCAAGATAATGAAAAAAGATTATGTGATTATTTGGTTCTTAAATTTAGACTTGAATTTTAGTAATTTCTAGAATTTTCCTATCATTTGAATTTTTGCTTTAAATTTTATTGAAACTTACCAAGAAAAGATTTTGGTCCATTTTTTAAATTAATTTAAATTCACTTGAAACTTTAGAAAACTTTGAATTTGACTGTTTAACTTTTTTGCGACATTAGTGCTATTGGGAGCTTTATTTGGCTAGAATTTTTGGAACCCATGATAGGATGCTTGATTTGGGGGTCTATAGTCATGGTATGGACTTGAATTAGGATGAAACTACTGACTAGGGACTCTATATAGACTAAGGAGCTGTGATTAGAACTAGTTTGGACTAAGTTGGGTTATATTCAACATTAAGCTTGAGCATAGAAGAAGAGAAGTAGGTCTGATGTCTGAGTCAACCTCAAATTGGTTCCCAGGGTTCATTTAAGTCGTTTCATTCAGAATAAATCAAAGCTAATCCAAATTTAAGTCTAAAAATCCTTTCAATTCCGAAAAACTCGCGAATCATGATTTCTCACCAAAATAATCTAAATTCTAAAATTCAAATAATCTTCACTCCCCTCTCCCCACCCCTAAGCCTCAAACCATATCCTCACCTCATTAATCTCCTCCTCATCAGCATCATGAACATTCCTCAAATGTCTCGTCAGTCTGTGTGGCACATTGAAGGCAGAATTACATCCAGGTCGTGGACACGAGTAAAGCCTTTCATTCCTATGCTCAGCTTTATGAGCGACAAGTCTCGATCTCTTTGAAAATGCCTTTGAGCATTCATCACATTCGAATCTTGCTGACGAATTCTCAAAATCTGGATCATTGTCATTTGTTGTGGACTCGTCGTCATCTGACATTGGTGGATTTATGTCTTCATATTGACCGAAATCATCGTCATGGGTTCCTTCAAAATCCTCATCATCTGGATTATCCTCTTGGTAGTCATCGTCCTGATGTGAGTCATCATCCTTATAAGACACAGCTGACCGATTTGGTTCAAATTCATTTTTAACAATTGTAATTTCAGTCGAATCCAGTGGATTTGCAAAAATTTTCTCTTCAAATGGCTGTTGATGTCGCTGTGGGGTTTCTTTTGGCTGATTTGGAATTGAACCGGAATCATAAAGAATGAAGATTTCGTGGCATCGTTTTTTGAAGTTGTAGCATGCTTTAAGCTCAGATTGACATGATCTGCAGATTGTGTAGTGCAATTGGACTAGAAAAATTAAAGATTTTTTAGGGTTTTTGTGACATTTTTAAATTTTTTCAGCATCTTACCTTTCAATCCGGTGACGTCAGTAAACATTTTAGACACCAGACCTGATGATGGCATTGATATTGGACCCGGTGACTCATCGCACGCAACACAATTCGCCTGATTTGACATTTTACATGAAAATTATGACTTTTTTCACTGAATTTGTTTTGTTTGTGACTGAAAAAAAAAGACTTTTGAGGCAAGGGGCGGGAATAAAGTTTGTAAAATGAGAGAATTTGTGAGGTTCTGCTGAGATTTTATCAATTTTTTTATTGATGATCTTTTTGAAATTTTTGAGAGAGTCTTTAAATGTTGAATTGATAGGATTGTCCTGAGATGGCAGAAGTATTGCTAATGTTGTTTGCTCGGGATCATCAAATCAGGTTTACTTGATTGAGGACACTTGCTTAGGCTCCCTTATTCAAGTTGATCAACTTCACTTGATCCAGATCAGGGACATAAAATTGATTATTCCAGCTAAGTTATCCTAGCTCTAGTCCCTTGCTACCAACTCCTCCTAGACTTTTAATCCTCAAATCACCTTCTCTGCCTTTTGGTAACAGTTATTTCTCTTTGACTTGCAGCTCGTCTTGTTCCTTTTGTCACTGTATCCGCAAATGGATCATTTAGTTCCATTTTTTTAATTTTATATTCGTTAATTTGACTCCGTGGCTTCTCATCTTGACCAATAATTTTGTAAACCTGCAGTCGCCATGCCTGAACAATCTCTGTCTCAATTTTAAAATGCTGTTCCTTCAGCTTCCTCAATGGATCAACTTCAGCTGAGCACAAATGATAGCCACGATTAAGGATCGCATGAATATCCTTTGATGCACATTCGAATGTTGCTGCTATTGAAGTTGGCAGAAAGAGAATTGATTTATGTTTCAAGAAGTTTGCCTTTGATTTTGTTGAAGATGAAGGCACAGGTGTAGTTGGCTGTTCATCTGCTTCATCCACACATTCTTGACATTTTTGAACAATTTTAATCCTTAACGGCTGATTTTGCTTTAATTCTGACTGCAGAAATGATACTGGCATTTTTGTGCTATGCTTACATCTTATATAGGCACGAGTAGTTGCACCAAATAATGTAAAGCCATTATGGACAGCAACTTGTGATTTATTTGGCATTATAGCTGATATTTTTGCACACAATAATTCTGAATATGGAATTTTTCCGGGTATAGGAACATGATTTTTTGGTAACAGTCGCCAAACTGGTGGATATCCTTCGCTGAAAAGCCGTTCGTTTACTTCTGTGGCTGTGAAAAATATTTCGGCTCTCGCGTTTATTGTGTTGAGCTTTTGTGGCTGTAAAAGGCAATAGAATTAATCATGTAAGATATGAGTTTGGGGCTTCCCGTGTGACTCTAATCTTCCCTGGACTCAAAAATCGATTCAGCTTGACTGTGAATAGGATATGGAGCCACTAGCATGCCTAGAAACTTGCTCTCATACTTTACCTTACTAATTTTATCATCATTAAGTTCATTGCCATTTTCGGATTTTAGAGTCAGACTTGGTGCCACACTGTAGCTTGTTATAGATTCATCGTCTTCAAATGTTGAAGGATTTGCTTCCTCATAGTCATAATCTTCATCACCTTGACTCTCATCCACACAAAACTGATCAAATCCAGCTTCGCTCTTAACAATTGTAATTTCATTCAGCAACTGCTGTTTTGGATTTGATATATCTTGATTAAGAACCGATTCAGCCTCATAAAGTCCAGCAATGTCGTGGCATCTTTTTTTGAAATTGTAAAATGCTTTAAGTTCTGATTGACATGCTTTGCAGATTGTGTAGTGCACTTGGACTAGAATTTAAAGTTTATTAAGTTTTTTATGTATTTTTTAAAATTTTCAACATTTTACCAGTCAATCCAGTAACATCGCTGTACATTTTAGCTAGCAATCCTGATGACTGCATGGAAACAAGGCCCGGTGACTCATCACATGCAATGCAATTTGTCTGATTAGACATTTTAATAGAATAAATATTTTTTGGGAATGATTTTCTTTTGTTTTTGTTTTGTTTGCGACTGAAATGTTTTGAGGTGATGCCAATGTGAGAGGAAGTAAATTGAGAGAGGATTTGTGAGGTTTTAGATCGAATTTTAGAGAGTTTTTTTGAGATTGCTCTGAAGCTGTGATTACATGATCAGTTTGAAGAGAGAGAGGAAGTGGGAGAAGGTTGGGGTGACTAAAGGTAAGGATAGGGTACGATTGGGGGAGGATGAAGGACAATGAAAGGGGGGGAGGACAATGATGATGGGTTCCTATTGCTCCTCTATGAAGCGTAGGGCGTCCACAAAGCATTTGAATCGCACTCGATTCTGGGCCAAAGCTGCTATTTCCTGCAGCTTCTTGTTCTGTTGTTCCGCCTCCCGTTCAACAGTTGTACACCAAGTAATTCAAAGGAGGACAATGGGAGAGGTTAAAGTTCATCGATGCTCAATTCTAAAGCTTTTAGTAACCACGACTGTGAAATGCTAGTTTAAATCAAGCTATTAGCTAGTTTATATGAATTAAGCCATGTTTTAAGCTTCTTTTCGACTATCTTCAAGATTTCTTGTTACTGAAGGAAGTCGATTTCACCAAATAATCATTAAAGCATGCCAAAATGAGACACGACCTCATCGAAATCTGAATGAATGAACACCAAATAAAATCAAAAAGTATTTTTTAATTTTTGTATAATTCTTTTATTTTGCAATATTTTAACTTTTCATGTTAGTTTTATCAAAAACAAAATCCATAAATTTTGATACAATTTTAAAAAAAAAATCATTATGATTCACTGGATGATTTTCAAAGGAAATTTGTAAATTAAAAATCAATTTTAATGAATAAATAATTTTAAGTGCTGTACGGTTAAGTTGGATTGAGAAAATTAATTTGAAAACAGCTCAGGTTTTCAAAAATAAGGAATTGCTTAAAAATGATCTAAAAATGATCATAAACTCATTACTAGATCCTACTTTTGGATGTGCTCTTCCTTGACCACTAAAAGTCAGTAGTGGGTAACCCGAATAGCACAAGTTGGCTAGTCGAATAGAAATCTGGCATCACCGGTTTCGATTTAAATCCAGCACCATGCCAAAGTCACACCGTGCCGTATTTCTATTCAATTAATCGACTTGTGCCACTCGGGTAAGCTTTTTTCAGCACATAGGTTGGCCATTACTGCTTTAAGCAGTCAAAAAATCTCAAGAAAAATAATTTCAAAAAATTCAAAAAAAAAAATACTCAAAAAAGAGAGCCAAAAAAATTTAAAAAACTTGCCAAAAAAATCCATTTTTTTCTTAAAATCACATATTTTTCCGTCTCATTCAGTTTTGTAAAAAAAAATGTTCAAAGCTATTCGTTGTGATAATTTAGTAATTATGTTTTAAAATTTACCTTGTTATTTTTTAATTACTTTTTGAATAAGTTCTTAATTTTGTGATGAGATTTGATGATGTTTTGTAAAATTTGCTGACTTTTTATACAGAAAATCTTTTAATCTTGCCTTAATGCACACCTAAAATCCCATTTCCAGCACTAAACACACTCCAAACCTTCAAAACAAAGAATTCACCAAAAAAATATTCTGAAAAATCAAAGAAATGCTCAACAGCTCCTGTTTTGGCACGCTGAACCTCCCCGCCAACTCAGGAATTGCAAAATAATTTAAAAATATCAAAACGGTAAGCGAATGAAGCCAAAAGTTTTCATCATCAAATCTCATGCTTAAGTACATTAAAAGCACACATTGTGTTGTTAAAAAGACATCCAAAAATAATTTCCAACATTTTTCAATGACTATGAATAAGGATAGTGTAAGTGATGTGATGATAATTAGGTTTTTAAGCTGCCAATAGTCGGCTTTGTATAGTGATAATAGCTGAATGTTTATTAGTGGTACATACAGGCAATTGGATACCAGTGATGATGACTTTTCGTAGAGTAATCTGTTGGGAAAGGAGAGGAAGGAATTGGAATAATCAGAAAAATGTCAAATTTTAAGGAATATGCAAGCTGGAGTGACTCTGATTTGATTTGAGTTCAGCACTATACCAGAGTCAAGACGGCTTGGTACCAGATTTATATTCAATTAACCGACTTGTCCCGACTTTCGGGGTCAAAATGTAAAAGAAGTCCGGGAAATATTAAGTCCGAATTTTGTCAAAAATCTGTCTTAGTCTGTTAAAAATCTACCCAAAATCTTTCAAGGGGATATCAAAAATCAAAGATGAACCAGAAATCCGACAAATTTTTTTAAAAAATCTGTCAAAAATCCACTAAATTTCTGATCAAAAATCCTTTAAAAATCTGGCTAAACTCAGTCATAATCTTTCCCAATTATGCTAAAAATATTCCAAACTTCTATCAAAATGTTTAAAATCAATCAGAAATCCGTTTAAAGTTTTACAAAAAATCCGCTAAAAATCTGTCCAAAAATCTACAAAAATTCTTTCAAAAAAGTTCAAGTCTTTGAAAAATCGATCGAAAATCTGCTAAAATTCTGACCTAAAATCCGTTGAAAATCAGGTTGAAAATTCACTTAAATTCTGTGAAAATTCTATCAAAACACTTAAAATCCGCTAAATTCTGACAGATAATCCGGTAAATTTTGACCGAAAATCCGCTTAAAAACTGGCCGAAAATCTACCAAAATTCTGTCAAAAATGCTCAAGTCTTTAAAAAATCGATCGAAAATCCGCTAAAATTCCGATAGATAATCCGGTAAAACTCTGACCAAAAATCCGCTCAAAAACTGGCCAAAAATCTACCAAAATTATGTCAAAAATGCTCAAGTCTTTAAAAATCTATCAAAAATCCGCTAAAATTCCGACCAAAAATCAGTTGAAAATCAGGTTGAAAATCCACTTAAATTCTGTGAAAATTCTATCAAAACACTTAAAATCCGCTAAAATTCTGACAGATAATCCAGTAAATTCTGACCGAAAATCCGCTAAAAATCTGTCCAAAAATCTACCAAAATTCTGTCAAAAATGCTCAAGTCTTTAAAAAATCGATCGAAAATCCGCTAAAATTCCGATAGATAATCCGGTAAAACTCTGGCCAAAAATCCGCTCAAAAACTGGCCAAAAATCTACCAAAATTATGTCAAAAATGTTCAATTCTTAAAAAAATCGATCGAAAATCCGCTAAAATTCCGATAGATAATCCGGTAAAACTCTGACCAAAAATCCGCTCAAAAACTGGCCAAAAATCTACCAAAATTATGTCAAAAATGCTCAAGTCTTTAAAAAATCGATCAAAAATCCGGTAAAATTCTGACAAATGCGCTAAAAATCCAGCCAGCACTTATCAAAATTCAGTTAAAAGATTCTTCAAAAATCGTCCAAAAGTCAGTCATAAGTCGGCCAGAAATCTACCAAAATTAAATACTCACTTAAGTTTATTCGATGCAATAGGGTTAGAGTATATGATCAGTCCCAATAAGAAATGCAATAGAGAATAAATCAATATTGAGGTAGCAAAGATCAGCTCATTGTTGCTCTTTTTAATTGCTGTAAAATATGGATAAAACAATTTTAATCATTTTCCGACAATTTCAATAAAATTTTCATAAAAAAACTTGAAAATTTTCTCCATACGCAATTAAAGCACAAGAAAAATCCACAAAAAATTCAAAAAAAAAGACTCCAAAAAAACTCACCAAACCCACAAACGCACACGCCTATGACTTGAATCAATGAGGTCTGAAATGAGATTTTCATGTCTTGATCGGCTACATGGAGGCAGTCATGAGTAAAGAAAATGTTTTTTTTTTATTCCCGTAAATAAAAACTTGTAAACAAAAAAAAATTCTCTCACGAAGGCTGCCAAGGAGCATGAAAAACAAGGCACAGAACCTTACAATCAAGCTCTACGGTTCCACAACTCGTTTGTATTTGTAAAAAAAAATTGACAAAAAAAAGAAGAAAAAGAAAAAGTTTGAGAAAAAATTGCACAATTTTTACAAAAAGTTCCATGAAATTCGCCAATTTCATGCTGATTTTCACCTAGTGACGTAGATTTTTTAAACATTCACGACGTGACGCAAAAGTTGACACAAAAAAGTCGCGTGAAAGTTGAAATTTTTTTAAAAATTCCACAATTGTTGTTGTTTTTGGAATTTTTTTGGGAGATTTTTGTGATTTTCTGTCGAAAAAGTGAAGCATAAACGACTGCAATCATAATTCTGGAGCCGAGTGGGAGCACCAGGTGAGGATGACGATTGTTTGACTTGAAATGTGAATTTTTAACCAAGTTTTTTTGGAGTTGACACAAAGTTCACTCACCTTTTCACCTTTAAATTGGTGGAAATTTGCATAATTGAGTGCAAAATTTGCATTTTTCGGACGTAAAACTTTGAAAATTTTAATAAATTTCCGAAAAATTTCACCAAAGTCCACAAATTTGACTCAGATTTTGGAAATTTATTCAGAAATTATTGATGACATTTATCGATTTACTTTGGAAAGTATCACAAAAAAAAAGCGTTTGAAGGAATTTTTTTTTCATGAATTTTTCAAGCCTGTGTTTGAAGTTTTTTTCATGACTCATTAGTCGTTTCTGTTTTGAGAAAGTACTGACTTGTGGATGCATTACTTGTCTTTGTTGGATAACAATTTCTGAATTTTTTGAAACTAGATTTTTTTCTAGGCAAGTGGTTGAATTTTTGGGATTCTTTTTTTTTTGTATGATGAAATTTTAAAGAGTTTTGTAAGTTCATGGAAAGTTATGGCAGTGAATAATAGTTCGTGGGTGTTGCAGCAAGTTGTTCTTTTCAAGCTCTACAAAAACAATGATTTATCTGAAATTGATGGAATTTTTGTGGACAAAAATTTTTTTTTTTAATTGACTTATAAAGCATATTAAGTGGAAAAATCTAGCTTTTTTCAAATAACTTAACTGTCCTTAGTAGCTATTTAACTACTTTTTAATATGAATGTTGGACCAGCTTTCTACAGGCAATAGCTAATACATCAATACATCAATTGGTTCAATTATATAATTTTCTGCTCTTACAATTTACTAAGTTTGACTTTTAATGTTTAAAATCTTAAATCACTTCTTTTTATAACATCTCTGCCCGTGTGCTTTATGCCAGACAATTTACAGACTCTAATCCTAATTTTCTAATAAACCAGCACTAGTAACGTAGCCAAGAGGCATGATTGAATCGATTTCAATTCTCCCTTTTGTCTAAATTTGGTCCTAATCAGAGTTGCAAGACAGGTCGTCTGTCAATAGGTACAAGTGATAGATTTGTCATAGACAATGCCTGTCAACAGGCAGGTGACTTCACAGATCTGTCATATTTGTCAAAAGGTTTGACAGATCTGTCTATAGAATTGACAGATCTGTCTATAGAATTGACAGATCTGTCTACAGATTTGACAGATCTTTCTATAGGTTTGACAGATCTGTCTAGAGATTTGACAGATCTGTCTATAGATTTGACAGATCTGTCTACAGATTTGACAGATCTGTCTACAGATTTGACAGATCTGCCTACAGGTTTGACAGATCTGTCTACAGGTTTGACAGATCTGTCTACAGGTTTGACAGATCTGCATACAGATTTGACAGAATTGACTACAGGTTTGACAGATCTGCCTACAGGTTTGACAGATCTGCATACAGATTTGACAGAATTGATTACAGGTTTGACAGATCTGCATAGAGTTTTGACAGATTTGCATATAGGTTTGACAGATCTGTCTACAGGTTTGACAGATCTGCATACAGATTTGTCAGAATTGACTACAGGTTTGACAGATCTTTCAACAGGTAATTGCCTGTGACATTCAAATAGCAGATAGCAACCCTGGTCTTAAGTGAAAATTTATTTAAAATTGACAGTATTTGTTCATGGTTATTCATCTCAATCCCGAAGTTCTGGCTACTCTGCACAAATTGGTTATTTTTTTAAAATCCATGTAACATGTGAAGGGGGGGGGGGGCCTTAAGAAGCATCAAAAACCAGGCTTGTCATCCTCGATCATTATCTGACTTAATGAATCTATCTGGTCCATTACACAACCTCAACAACCATCCACCATTCTGACTATTCCCCATTTTCCTAAATACTGAAAAAGATTTTCATTAAAAAAATAAAATTTATTAACCAAATTTTCCCATTCTTCCAAAATTTCAGCCCATTGGAGCTACAAATAGCTCCAGAGGAGCATGGTGACATCATAATCGAACTACCCAACGATGAAGTCCAACAATATCCATTGGAAATGCCGAGTCCAACTGTCGATCCATTAGAAGTTCAACCAGTACGAAAACGGCAACGACACAATCTCCTCGATGTCTCCAATAAGCCCATCATGCCATCACGGACGAGCGGGCGAATTCGTGTTAAAATGGAAGCAGCTGCAGCTGCTGAGCAGCACAAACAGCAAGTTCAACAACAGCAGCAGCTAGAACAAGCTACGACTGAACAGTCAAAGACAACCGTAGGTCCACCAACGAAACCACAAGTTGTAATAAAGCACAGAAGGCGGAGAAGGCAAAAGATGAATGGCGAGTCACTCGGCGAGATACAAATTGATGTAAAAAGACCAAATTCAGTTCTTGTGGATACATCAATTCGTGCCCTTCTTACCAACTTTGCATTTTCACAACTCTCACCAGAAAATCAAAAAATATTAGTTGAATCACTGCCATTAGTCGATCGACCGGTGTCAGCAAATGACAATGAATCGATCGAGTTGAATCCGTCGAGTATTAATAATGAATTTTTTAATCGTGCATGTATCGAGTGGCGTGATCGACTTGCGTATGGTGAATTTACAAATGAACATCAGACGAAGCTTAAAGCGGAGCAGGAACGAGATAAATCAAAAATTGATCCTTGGAAGGCGAGGAATTTTGAGAATATTTGGGGTATTAAGACTATAAATAAGGAGAATTTGGGTAAGATGCTTGAAAAAAGTGCGATGGAAGTAAAAGGACGAATGGAACAGGATGATTTTGAGATTCCGGAAGGATATATTAATGAAATGTGGAAAACTGAGGAGGAGATGAAGCAAGATCAGCAAATGCAGGATGAAAATGAGCAGCTTGATGATTCTGAGCAGCCAGAAGATATGAAAGATGATGAAGATGAGGATGATGAAGATGACGACGAGGATGACGAAGAGGATGATAATGAGATGATGGATCAAGATGTAGAAGAGGAAGTAGAAAATACTAACCTTAACACAGTGATGATGGTGAGCTATTTGTAAAGGATCGTTAGATTCTATGGTCCTTAACAATTAAAATAAGTGTGAAGGCACCTAAACATTAAAACCTAGTGTAAAGGCTCCTTGACATTCAGATCTGGTGTTGAGGCACCTTAACATTGAAGCTTAGAGCGAAGGTACCTTAACATTAAAACTTAGTGTGATGGCACCTTAACATTCAGATCTGGTGTTGAGGCACCTTAACATTGGAACTTTGTGTGGAGGCACCTTAACATTCAGATCTGGTGTTGAGGCACCTTAACATTGGAACTTCGTGTGGAGGCATATTAACATTTAAACTTAGTGTGAAGGCACCTTAACATTCAGATCTGGTGTTGAGGCACCTTAACATTGGGACTTAGTGTTGAAGCACCTTAACATTGGAACTTTGTGTGAAGGCACCAGAACATTAGAAAACCTAGTATAAAGGCACCTGAAAAACTAAAACCTAGTGTGAAGGCATCTTAACATTTAAACTTAGTGTAAAGGCACCTTAACATTCAGATCTGGTGTTGAGGCACCTTAACATTGGGATTTAGTGTTGAGGCACCTTAAAATTGGAACTTTTCGTGCAGGCACCTGAACATTAGAAAACCTAGTGTGAGGGCACCTGAAAAATTAAAACCTAGTGTGAGGGCATCTTAACATTTAAACTTAGTGTGAAGGCACCTTAACATTCAGATCTGGTGTTGAGGCACCTTAACATTGGGACTTAGTGTTGAGGCACCTTAACATTGGAACTTTGTGTGAATGCAACTGAGCATTAGAAAACCTAGTGTGAGGGCACCTGAAAAGTTGAAACCTAGTGTAAAGGCACCTTAACATATAAACCTAAATCTAAAACATTTTACTTTACATTCTAACCATTTAATCTTGAAATATATTTTAGCCATCACCATCACAAAATCCTTCAGTATCAACATCCGTACCAACACCACCGCAGACCGTAACATCAACCCAACCTGATATGAATGACACGCCACCTAGAGATTCACCTTCTCCACCACCAATGCAGATTTCGACACCTATCAAGTCACTAGAGCCACCTCTTCACCAGCCAGTTATTGCCGAGGCAACGAGTAGTGCCGATGACATACCAACAATCTTAGAGATGGACTCACCTGAACCATCAACATCAAACTTTATTGCTGATGATGACGATGATATTGCGAGTCATGTGGAGCTGTCAAGTGATGGAATGCCAACTCAATGGTATCATCAGCAGGAACACGATTACCTTAAAAATATTCCAGAAATGGAACCTGAATCAAGTGGAATGGATATGGAAGGTGTTGGTGACATAATTGATGATACAGCTGGTATTGAGCTGATCGAGAATGATAATGCAATTGAAAGTGTCATGAATGATAATTTCTCATCGTCGCCATCGCCTGAACCTGAGCCAGAGCACATGCATGATCAACCTCAACAACAGCAGCACATAATCACAACACCAACAGTCACAAGAATCACAAACTACGACTCCGAATTACCACAAGAAATTTTCCATAAAAATGAGTCACAGCAAGTCAACGCATCCTCAGCATTTTCACCGAATAGCGGTGTTTTAATTAATAATTATATGAAGCAAGCACAAGAGGAGCAGGCACCAGTTGTGGTTGTAAATGATCCATCATCACAATATAATCAGGTTGTTATGCAGGATGATCATAATGAGGCACAATATACAGACACTTATATGATGGATGAGGCTGAAATCGATAGTGGAAATGCTTTTCATGGTGAGTTGATACAAGTGTGAAGGCACCTTAACTTTAGTACTGAAATGTGAAGGTTTCATATCTTCAGTGCTGAAATGTGAAGGCACCCTAACTTTAGTACTAAAGTGTGAGAGCTACTTGACCTCAATGCTGAAATGTGAAGGCACCTTAACATTAGTACTGAAGTGTGAAGGCATCTTAACCTTAGTACTGAAATGTGAGAGCTACTTGACCTCATTGCTGAAATGCAAAGGCACCTGAACCTTAGTACTTAATTGTGAAGGCATCTTAACCTTAGTACTGAAATGTGAGAGCTACTTGATCTCATTGCTGAAATGTAAAGGCACCTTAACTTTAGTACTAAAGTGTGAGAGCTACTTGACCTCATTGCTGAAATGTGAAGGCACCTTAACCTTAGTACTGAAGTGTGAAGGCATCCTAACCTTAGTACTGAAATGTGTAGGTGCCTTATCATCAGTCCTGAAGTGTAAAGGCACCTTAACCTTAGTACTTAATTGTGAAGGCATCTTAACCTTAGTACTGAAATGTGTAGGTGCCTTATCTTCGGTCCTGAAATGTGAATGCAACTTAACTTTACTACTAAAGTGTGAAGTCACCTTAATCTCAGTTTAGAAATGTGAAGACACCTTAACCTTAATACAATAATATATGAACTATAATTTTTCTCAATTTTCAGAAGAGATTCGTATGACAATGCCCAAAAATGTTAAACTTGTGGCTTTTCCGTCTGGTGTAAATTACATAAAAAACGACAACTACATTATTGAAGAGGTAAACCCTACTTACAATCTCAAAGCTTTCAAAAATCAATCAACTCATATGTTTCAGACCCCAACCCAACACATACCCCAGCAAACAACATCTACTCCAACATACCGAACGAATGGTGCAAATATTCAACCACTTCAAAATTCATATTTCGTTGGGGGTGGAAACACATTCACATACATCTCAGACATAGGCAATAAAATTGAAACATCTGAGCCAACGACGAGAATTGTAAAGCAGGATTCGAATAGTGGTCAGGGTCAGCAGATGAAGCAAAGGATAATTTATGAAATATCCACTGAGGTAAGTGTTTCTCATGACTTAATAAGCTACAGATAATAAGAATTGAATTTTTATTGTAGCCGAAGGTCTCGTACGAGCAGCCAACACATCATGTAACTTACGCAACACCACCTCAACCAGAAATTTTCCATAAAATGGTCAATCACAATGGCACAACTACAATTTACACCGAATCAGCTGGTCCACCACAAAAGAAGACCATAATCCAGCGGAAAAAGCCAAATGATCCATACACCGTCCAAGTAGCACTTCAAAGTGTCACAAATAATAATACAATCATTCTCAGACCAATTGGAAATTCAACGACACAACAAATCCAGCCACAACAACAAAAATCAATTGTGCATATCCATCGTGCGCCTCAAATTATGCAAACAACATCGCAGCCTGTTCAATTTTTTACAACAGCACCGCCACAAACTTATTTGAAGAAGCAGACAGTTATAATTCCACAAATGGCACCAACATCTGCAATTAAGACACAACCAAAATACACGACAGTAATTCGAGCGCCGGTAGCACCACAAGTCATTAATGCACAACAACCGCAGCAACAAATCACGACACAGCAGCTTGCGCCGGGGACAAATTCAAAAATACAGCGACCCATTCAGAAGCAGAAGGTTATAATGAGTACGAGCAGTTTGCAGCAATATCGAAGCTTTAATAATAAACCAAATGCACATGGGTCGAGGAAGCAACTTCATCCGCAACATATTATTAGACATGCACCGTCAACGACTGTTATTCCAACGACAACTGTAATTCATCATTCGATGGCAACTGAGGCTAAAGGAAATCAAATTCCAGTGATATTGCCAAGTAATGGGGTAAGTGAATTGGAGGAGATGCAAAAGGGTTGGCCGGAAAAATTGGGAAATAATTTTCGAAAAATATATGAAAACAAATTTAATAAGGTAGATTCGGGTATGGCTAATAAAAGCTTCATGAAGCGAGGGGTTGGCCGTAAAAATTGGAAAATATTTGCAATGTTTCAAAACTTTTATGACAAGCTACCCAAAAGTTTGAAATAATTAGTGTAATACGTCTAATAATATATTACGGGTTGGCCGCAAAAATGAGGAAATTTTAAATTAATTCTCACAATTTTTACTCATTTTAGCCTGAAACGTTCACCCACCAAATCCCAGTGAGTCAAGTAGTGTCAGCATCACCGACAGTCGTCACAATCAATAGTGCACCCACCAAAAATATTTTTGTTCGTCAAAATCGACCTCCACAGCAGATTTTTCAGCCACAACACAATCAACAGATTTTTACAACAACCCAACCAACACAGGCGACAGTCCTACAGCAGCAACCACCACAACAACTTCACTCACCACAATTACTGTCACAACAGCTGCAGGCCCAACAGCTGCAAACACAACAGATGCAACCGCAACAGATGCAGCCTCAACAGATGCAACCACAACAACTCCAACCGCAAAATCTGAACCAACTTCAAAATCAATTTTCACAAAATCAGCAAATTTCGTTGCATCCCCGAATGAGAACTTTGAATCACCAACGACCTCCACCAGGCTCGGTGAATTTGGAGCGAAGCTATCAAATTTGTCAAGCTGTAATTCAGAATAGTCCGAATAGACATCAGTTGAATTGTCATTTAAAGCCACCACCGACTAGTTTGCTGGGTGGAAATGCGATGCAGCAGAAGAAATTTTGAGATTCGAATAGAAAAGTTGTGAAAATTTTCGTTGTTAAGTGAGAATTTAAAAAATGTTGTTAAAAATGAGATTCTTTTAGTTAAATTTTTTTGGGGGGTAAAATGTGAATGTGGGGAAGGGGGAGTTAAATGTGAGATTTAAATCAAAAGTGAGAGAGGGATTGTGAGTTTTTGGAGATGGAATTAATGGAGAATTTGGATTTGTTTTCAATTTTTTAAAAGTCAAATTATGAATTTTTTGAAATCTTTTTTAATTTTTGGAATTTTTGAAGTTTTTGAAATTTTTTAAATTTTTGGAATTTTTTAAATTTTTAGAATTTTTTAAATTTTTGGAATGTTTTGAATTTTTGGAATTTTTTAAATTTTTGGAATTTTTTAAATTTTTGGAATTTTTGAAATTTTTGAATTTTTTTTGAATTTTTTGAAGATTTTTAAAAAAAATTAAAAAATTAAATTGTATTCAAAATCCAGAATTTCCACTTCCAAAACTCACAAAAAATATAAAACGTGTTTTTGAATACAAAAAAAAATATATAAAATTGAAAGAATTTTTCTACTTTGTGTGAATGAATTTTTTTTGTTAAAGTTTTCAATTTTTTTACACAAAATAATGTAAAAAATTCAATAATTTTTTTAAAATTCTGTACAAAACTTTTTTAAAATAATAATAATAATGAGAAAAATTTATAATTTATGTAAAAAAAGGTGTAAAAATCGTTAAAAATTGATGAAAAAAAACTCCTGATTGTGAAGTTATTTTTGCTATGTTTTGCAGACCTGCATTTAAGATAAGTTAAAGAAACGCACTCAATATCAAAATTGAAAGTTAAATATAAAAAAAAATTGCAACTTTTGTACTAAAAAATTTGACAGTGAAATCAATTAAATTTAAAAGTTTTGAAAACCCAAACCAGTGAAATTCAAATTTCGATCATTTTTTGAAAAGCTAAAATCGCAAAAAAAATCTTAAAAAAAATATAGGAAAATAAATAAATTTTGAGCTGAGTGAAAAAAGTTTTAAAACAAATTTGTAAAAAGTAATAAAAAGAATCAAACTTTTTTTTATTGTAATTAGCAAATTTATGAATCTTCAATTAGAAAATAATAAAAAATAAAAAAATCAATTTAAAATATTAAATTTTATTTGGTTTTTGAATTTTTTGACAATTTAAAAAACAGTAAATTTAATGGATGATGATGCAATGATTTTCACTTATGGATGAGTGCCAAATATTGACATTGACGGAGATATCGGACAACAAAACAACATGCTCTGTTAATTAATGTTTTTAATTACTCAAATTTCTTATTTAATGTTGTAATTCCTTGGATTTCTTCTTTCGGCATGTCAGTGTCACCTGAAAATTTAATTTAAATAATTTTTTTAATATTTTAATTTTGATTCTAGTCAATTTAGGTTAGCTTTGGACTGCCTCAACCGTTATCAGTCCTGTTCAACCTTATTAAGCTTTCTTCAACCTTATTTAGTACCCTTCAAGCTTATTCGGTCCGCTACAAGCTTATTTAGTTCTTCTTATCCTGATTTAGTCCTCTTTAACCTTATTCAGTCCCCCTCAACCTTATTCAGTCCCTCTCAACCTTATTCAGTCCCCCTCAACCTTATTCAGTCCCCTTTAACCTTATTCAGTCCCCTCAATTTTATTCAGTTCCCCTCAAACTTATTCAGCCCCCTTCAACCTTACTCAGTCACTCTTAACCAGATTCAGTCCCTCTTCAAACTTCTTCAGTCCGTCCTCAACTTTATTCAGCCCCCCTCAATCTTATTCAGTCTTCCTCAACCTTATTCAGTCCCCTTTAACCTTATTCAGTCCCCTCAATTTTCTTCAGTCCCCCCTCAACTTTATTCAGCCCCCTTCAACCTTATTCAGTCCCCCTCAATCTTATTCAGTCCCCTTCAACCTAATTCAGTCCTTCTCAGCCTTATTCAGTCCCCCTTAACCTTATTCAGTCCCCCTCAACCTTATTCAGTCCCCCTTAACTTTATTCAGTCCCTTTCAACCTTATTTAGTCCTCCTCAACCTTATTCAGTCCCTCTCAACTTTATTCAGTCCCTCTCAACCTTATTCAGTCCCTCTCAACCTTTTTCAGTCCCCGTTAACTTTATTCAGTCCCCTTCAACCTTATTCAGTCCCCCTCAACCTAATTCAGTCCCTCTCAACCTTTTTCAGTCACTCTTAACTTTATTCAGTCCCTTTCAACCTTATTTAGTCCCCCTCAACCTTATTCAGTCCCTTTCAACCTTATTCAGTCCCTCTCAACCTTTTTCAGTCCCCGTTAACTTTATTCAGTCCCCTTCAACCTTATTCAGTCCCCCTCAACCTTATTCAGTCCCTCTTAACCTTATTCAGTCCCCCTCAACCTAATTCAGTCCCTCTCAACTTTTTTCAGTACCCTTCAACATCCCTTGGCTCCCCTCAATCCATGAATCCCCAAAAATGATCCTTACCTAATCCCCAAAACACCTCCGATGAAGCTTCAGTACTAATTTCAGTGTCACAAACATTATTATTCAAATAATCCTCATTCATTTTCTTCTTTCTAGCTTCCTCAATAGCATACGGATGACTTCCATCGCCAGTCCTCAAAACTCTCTTTCTGATTAAATCCTCAGATGCAACTTTCAAGTCTGTCGCCCATCCAATCCATGCAAAGAAGTCAATCAATATCATTCCAAAATTATGTCTATACAATGGCTTCTCAGAAACTTTATAATCCCATGGGAATGTGTGATGGAAGTTGTGCCAGCCTTCACCAAATGTGAATGTTCCATTGATAAGTGAGTCTGATGCTGCAATAGTCTTGTCGTATGGCTTCCAACTTCCGATGTGTGCAACTGAATTTGTGCACCAAACAATGTGAAGTGAGAGAACATAACGGCAGATTACAGCACAAAAGGCTTGCCAGATTGTAAGTGGCCAGAAGTACATGGAGATTGACATCGGGATGAAGAAGCTGAAGAGGAACACTAGCGGGTAGTAATACCTGAAAAAATATCGAATGTTTAATGAATTTATAGCGATTTGAGGCGAAATCGTGACTTACTTCCTCTGAAACTGCAATACCGGCTCAGCCTCAACATCACTCATATCGATCTTTGCTCCATACTTTTTCACATCAGGATGCTTCTTACACATCAACCATCCCATGTGCGAGAAAAAAAAGCCACGATTTGAATTTGTTGGATCGGCATTTGTGTCGCTGTACTTATGATGAACTCGATGATCACGAACCCACTCAATTGTGTCATTTTCCATTGATATTGTCTGAAGAATCATGAGAAAAACTTGAAGTGGAAAATTTGCTTTGAAACTTCGATGCGACCAAAGTCGATGAGCTCCGGCAACGATTCCATATCCAGCAATAAAGCCGTAGATTGTGTCTGTTTTGGGGAATTAATTGAGTTTTTATTTAATTTTTTTGAAGTGACTTTTGGTTGATAAGTTTGGTAAGGGGGTCAAACCTAGAACAGTGGTGGCAAACCCATGTTCCGTGGCACTCTAGTGAGGCATACAAAAAGTTGGGAAATTTTACGAACGTGTGGTTTCGGTCAGGAATTGCCAGTAAAGGTATCCTTGGCACAAAAAAGGTTGGACGTCACTGTGAGGGTTCATCTTATTATGATGTCACCAAAAATTGACTACACCAAAGGATTTCATGATCCATACCCAACCCCAATCTATCCTCTCCGTTAGAAAAAAATTAAAACTCCTCAAAAATCCACACGCTTTGGAGATATTTTTTTAATAATTCAACGAGATTTTGGGTTAGTAGGCTCAATTTCATAACAGCATAAATTGATGACTGCTCGTTTGTCACATAACCGAAATAAGAGGAACATCGAATCATAAAATATCGAAAAATTGCGTATTAAACCAACGTAATATGATTTTAAAGTTGTTAATTAAATTAAGGTTTTTTTTACTATTTCATGACTTTTTAATTTAATTTTGAGGTTAAAAACCTTTTTGAAAAAATTAATTGAATATGACTGGCTAGGGGCGAAGCTAGAAGAATCCTTGGGTGCCTGGGCTAATGTTGCAACAGGCTAAATGCCCACATCCCAAATCACAATTATTTAAATTCAATTTGGTAAAATTAAAACTTACGGAACATAAATAAATCACGTCTATAGAAATGGTAAACTTGAAATGCGCAATAATGCAAGAACACAAAAGCTGCCACATTCTTCCAAACTATTTCTGTTTTGAATGGTTTTTCTTCTATTTGGTTAGTTGCGATGTATTGCTCGACCTGCAATTTTAAGAAATAATTATTGCAATTTTATTGGCTATTTGATTTTTTAAATTTTTTAAAATTTTAAAATTCTTCAAATTTTTAATTTTTTCTGATTTTTTTTTAATTTTTTCTGATTTTTTTCAATTTTTTTTTATTTTTTCAATTTTTTCTGATTTTTTCAATTTTTTCTGATTTTTTCAATTTTTTCTGATTTTTTTTAATTTTTTCTGATTTTTTTCAATTTTTTTTTTATTTTTTCAATTTTTTCTGATTTTTTCAATTTTTTCTGATTTTTATTCATTTTTTCTGGTTTTTTTAAAAAATTTTTCTGAGTTTTCTTAAATTTTTCTGATTTTTTTTTTCAATTTTTAAAAACTTTTTGCATTTTTTATTTCTTTTTCTATTTTTTTCTTATTCAGTTTTTCCATTTTTTTTTCATTTTTTTCAAATTTTATTTTTTTAAAAAACTTTCAAGTTTTTCTCTCAATTTATCTACTTTTTTAAATTTCTCTCAATTTTCAATTTTGTTTTTTTTTTGAATTTTTTCAACTTTCTTGAATTTTTCAATATTTTTAAATATTAATTTTTTTAAGATTTTTTTTACATTTTTCCTCAAAATTCTTTTTTTTTTGTTTTTAAAAAATCTTTTTATTCAAAATTAAACTAAACTTAATTCTAGAACTTTCGAACCTTATGGCCAGTCAACACATCACGTGGTTGATTCTCTTCTGATCGTGGTGCCATTTTTAAATTTAAATTCCTATTAAACCTTAACAATCAGTCCAAACTTCCACAGTCACTTAAAAATAAAAAAAAAGTTAAATAAATCCCGAACTAGCTTCACCGAAGCCCAACTGATCACTTCTGATGCTCGTGCAAAAATGAGATGTAAGAAAAGCTTTACAACATTTCGGCAAAGTGATTATTTTATGGAACTAGCCCATCTGTCGTATCTTCGCACATTTTTTTCCCTTCAGCTTGTGAGAATCAGTCACACAAAAGAAAAGACAAAAAAAGTCGTTGAATATTCATGACAATAAAAATTAAATTACAAAGATTTTATTTTTTGTGACGGAATGTTTTTATTTTTTTGCTGCTTGATTAATGACGAGCAAGTTGAAATGTTTCGTAAATTTTGCCTAAAATTTTAGTTGATGATTGTTATGAATTGTCTTCATTGAGGTAGATCAAGGTGTTGATTAACAAAATGATTTTTATCATAATTGAGGACATTGTTGTGAATTGTTTTGATGTCTGATCTTGAATGATGAGGAATTCTTTTGGGGCTGTTGGTGAGATGGATGACTGTGTTGTGTCTTCGAGATCATTCAAGATGAGAATAATGGACAGGCAAGCTAACAGTTGTTCAGAATAACAGACTTAAATGAAATGAGACGAACTGAGATGAACTGAGTCGAACTGAGACGAACAGAGACGAACTGATATGAACTGAAACGAACTGTGATGAACTGAGATGAACTGAAATGAACTGAAATGTACTGAGATGAACTGAGATGAACAGAATGAAATAAAATGAACTGAAATGAACTGAGCTGAACTGAGATGAACTGAAATGAACTGAGAAGAACTGAGATGAACTGAGATGAAATGAAATGAACTGAGTTGAACTGAGACGAACTGAGTGGAACTGAGGCGAACAGAGACGAACTGAGATGAACTGAAATAAACTGAAATGAAATGAGATGAACTGAAATGAACTGAAATGAACTGAGATGAACTAAGATGAACTGAGATTAACTGAGATGAACTTAAATATACTGAAATGAACTGAAACGAACTGGGATGAACTGAGATGAACTGAAACGAACTTAGATGAACTGAAATAAACTGAGATGAACTGGGATGAACTGAGATGAACTGAGATGAACTGAGATGAACTGAGATGAACTGAGATGAACTGAGATGAACTGAAACGAACTGAGATGAACTGAAACGAACTTAGATGAACTGAAATAAACTGAGATGAACTGAGATGAACTGGGATGAACTGAGATGAACTGAGATGAACTGAGATGAACTGAAATAAACTGAGATGAACTGGGATAAAATGAGATGAACTGAGATGAACTGAGATGTACTGAGATGAACTGAGATGAACTGAGATGAACTGAGATGAACTGAAACGAACTGAAACGAACTGAGATGAACTGAAACGAACTTAGATGAACTGAGATGAACTGGGATGAACTGAGATGAACTGAGATGAACTGAGATGAACTGAAATAAACTGAGATGAATTGAGATGAACTGAAATGAACTGAAATGAACTGAGATGAACTGAGTCGAACTGAGACGAACAGAGACGAACTGATATGAACTGAAACGAACTGTGATGAACTGAGATGAACTGAAATGAACTGAAATGTACTGAGATGAACTGAGATGAACAGAAATGAAATAAAATGAACTGAAATGAACTGAGCTGAACTGAGATGAACTGAAATGAACTGAGAAGAACTGAGATGAACTGAGATGAAATGAAATGAACTGAGTTGAACTGAGACGAACTGAGTGGAACTGAGGCGAACAGAGACGAACTGAGATGAACTGAAATAAACTGAAATGAACTGAGAAGAACTGAGATGAACTGAGATGAGCTGAGTCGAACTGAGACGAACAGAGACGAACTGAGATGAACTGAAATAAACTGAAATGAAATGAGATGAACTGAAATGAACTGAAATGAACTGAGATGAACTAAGATGAACTGAGATTAACTGAGATGAACTTAAATATACTGAAATGAACTGAAACGAACTGGGATGAACTGAGATGAACTGAGATGAACTGAAACGAACTTAGATGAACTGAAATAAACTGAGATGAACTGGGATGAACTGAGATGAACTGAGATGAACTGAGATGAACTGAGATGAACTGAGATGAACTGAAACGAACTGAGATGAACTGAAACGAACTTAGATGAACTGAAATAAACTGAGATGAACTGAGATGAACTGGGATGAACTGAGATGAACTGAGATGAACTGAGATGAACTGAAATAAACTGAGATGAACTGGGATAAACTGAGATGAACTGAGATGAACTGAGATGTACTGAGATGAACTGAGATGAACTGAGATGAACTGAGATGAACTGAAACGAACTGAAACGAACTGAGATGAACTGAAACGAACTTAGATGAACTGAAATGAACTGAGATGAACTGAGATGAACTGAGATGAACTGAAATGAGCTGAGATGAACTGAAACGAACTGAAATGAACTGAAACGAACTTAGATGAACTGAAATAAACTGAGATGAACTGAAATGAACTGAGATGAACTGAGATGAACTGAGATGAACTGAGATGAACTGAGATGAACTGAGATGAACTGAAACGAACTGAGATGAACTTAGATGAACTTAGACGAACTGAGACGAACTTACACGAAGAGACAATCTGAACACCAACCTCTATTCAAAGAGTCCAAAAAGCTACCAATAAATTGTAAAATCTCAATATTAACATTCTACCCAAATATTTCTCATAAAATCATTAAATTTGCATATTTAAATAATTTAATATCATTTTTACATTTTACTCAATAACAGAACTTGGTTTCTACGGTCGTTTTTAATGGCACGTAGTCTCATTTAATCTTCTAGAATTTTAGTCAAAGCCCTAAATCAAGTCCATTAGCTTGAACCCTTTTAATCTATTCAAAATTTTTTATCTAGATATCCTTGAAGATGCTCTCGTCTTGTAATCTCGAGCTTCAAAGAGTTAAGCTAATGATGAGGCGAGTTGAGAGACACATGCTGTAAATGTCCGGAAGGAAATCACGTTTTTTTGGGTTTTTACAGCTTCGATATTTTATAAAATGATAATTTATTGGATCGAATAATAAAGATAAAATATTGATAAAGACCTTTGATATTGAAGGGTTTTTAAAGACAACTGGTGAACGGAATCTATAAAATATGAGGAGAATGTTTATGTCATCAAGGTTCATTTGGAACGGAACTTCAATATTAAGCATTAATCTTGATTAGTCTTGGCAGTTTGTCTTAGTCATGTTGATTATTGAACAAAAATGTCAACAAAATATTAACAAATAAGCATCATGAGCCAACACAATCACAATTTGACTTACTTTTCATGACTTTGTTTGGGAGCTGTTCATAAATGAGGTCTATAAAATGATTTTTATCCCCCCTGACACCTTTTCTCAATAGTTCTGACCTTTCCAACGATCACAAACCTTAAGACCCCCCACCTCAATATGTTTGATGTCATTTATGAATGACTCGATCGGGAGTCATTCATAAATGATTTCAAAATTTAATTTAGAGGATCTGATGCTTTGCAATACGCAAAAATCAACCAACCTACAGAAATTATGTCTAAATAAACATTTGATCGAATAGGAGAGGGGGGGGGGGTTCTAAAATTCAAAATTCGTAAATTAACATCATTTTTAACCTTCCCCACCAAAAAAATCATCTCAAAAATCTTCTGAACACATTTTATCTGAGTGAAAGCTACAAATACCTCAAAAAATCAAGTTTGATGATAAAAACATCTTTTTTTTTTGAATAATTTTGCCAACATTATGAAATGTCTTGTTATGTAAACAAATGCAAGTTGAACGAATGTTTTTGAAAAAGTAGGACTCAAATTTCAAATACCAAAATTACTATTCATAAATTCAACAGTTCTCAGACGTTGTGGGACACATGCAATGAAAAATATTAAACTGGGGTTTTTTTGTGCTGCTTTATCGACTGATTGTATGAAGATTCTTTGGTGAGATTCAGATGAGGAGCTATTGAGTCAGAATAACATGGGGAGAAGGGACCGTTGCTGATATCCAGGGGCGTAGCCAGGAAATTGAAGGGGGGAAAAAATTTGTATGGAAAACTTTTAAGGGGGGAGGGGGAATTTTCGGGTTTTTCATAAAAACTCTAGCAAAATGAAGAAATTTCTCAAGACGAATGGGGATTTGCCCCCCAAATCCACCCCTGGCTATGCGCCTGATGATATCCTCTGATACTGGACCTTTGTATGACAGCTTTTGTCACCTATTCTGCTCAAAATTGCCTTAAGAATCAAGATCCATCCAGGAGACTATAATAAACCAGGGGGAACACAACTAAAGGGAAAAATTTCTTGTGATGCGAAAATGATCAACTTAATTTTAAACGTTTTTTGACGAATTCTGTCAGTTTCACTCCTCTGATATTTTCCCAAACTTTTCCCATTGGGTTGTTACCCCCCTCAACAAAAAACAGTAAAATATTTTTTTTAATAGTAACTTTATTAAACCGTATCTAGAATATATATTGCTATTTTAAATAATTTTTTTTATATTTTGCCAATATTTTATTTAAGTTGTCTTTTAGACCGATGATCATTAATTTTTATCATCAATTTATTTTCTTATTCTGATTCACACCAAACTTAGTCATTATAAATTATGCAATCTTGACTTTCTTCCTCTGCCCAATTCTGTTATAATATAAATATTGCCGTCTGCTGCATTTGAATAAAAATTAAGAGTGCTAACCAAAAATAAGAAGTAAAAACTTTCACTGTCAAGGTCGACTAAAACAGGTTTTTCTGTTGCATATTGAGGCTTAAAATTAGTTTTTTTTCTGTCGGAAGACTGGATGGATTTTTTAATGAATATTTTTATGTTGTGGCATCTGATCATGAATCATATTTCTTGCATAAGGTTGTTATGCCGTCGATTTCTTCTTTTGGAATGTCTTTGTCACCTGGAAATAAAGATTTAATGATTAAAAATTATTTTGGAAGATTTTAAGGGGTTTGCTCATAAATGATGTCTAGATTTGAAGATGAAAGCTGATATCCTGACGATAGGCTAAGGTTTTAAGGCTCTTTGAGGTACCTTAACCAAAACATTGCATTTTTATGTACTTAACTCTGTAGAATTAGTTTAATTTGACATTTCTTATGGTAGGCGCTATTGATAGCCCTAAAATTCATTCCTTCTCAATAGTATCCAAACCCCAGAGTGTCCCCAAGCCTTCTTGAGCTCCCCCAAGTCCTCATAAGCCCCCTCAACTCATCTATCCCCAAAAAATACTCACCGATTCCCCAAAACACCTCCGACTCCTCAATGCACCTTCCATTTCCATTCATCTTACAATTATTATTATTCAAATAATCCTCATTCAACTTGTTCTGTCTAGCTGCTTCAACAGCATATGGATGACTTCCATCGCCCGTCCTCATCACTCTCTTTCTGATCAAATCATCAGATGCAATTTTCAAGTCTGTCGCCCATCCAAGCCATGCAAAGAAGTCAATAAAAGCAATTGAGAAGTTGTGCCTGTAAAGTGGAAGTTCTGAGACTTTATAATCCCATGGAAATGTATGATGGAAGTTGTGCCAGCCTTCACCGAATGTAAATGTTCCATTTATCCGTGAGTCTGATGCTGCAATGGTCTTATCGTATGGCTTCCAACTTCCGATGTGTGCGACTGAGTTTGTGCACCAAGTGATGTGTAGTGAAAGGACATAACGGAAAGCATTCATGTAGAAACATTGTAAAAATGGAAGTTTAAATAGTTTGTAAGACACATAAGTTGGCATAAATACTGATAAGACAAGGATCATTGGGATGTAGTACCTTAAAAAATATAAAAATGTCAATAAATAGTCAGAAAATTCAGGAACTAAAGCAACTCACTTTCTTTGGAACAGTAACAAAGGATCCGACTCAAGATCACTCATATCAACCTTAGCTCCATACTTCCTAACATCTGAATGCTTCTTACACATCAACCATCCCATATGTGAGAAGAAGAAACCTCTTTTAGAGTTTGATGGATCTGCATCAGTGTCGCTGAACTTGTGATGAACTCGATGATCACGAACCCACTCAATCACGTCATTTTGAATGCAAATTGTTTGGAAAATCATGAGAAGAACTTGGAATGGATATGTTGCTTTGAAGCTTCTGTGTGCCCAGTACCGATGTGCGCCTGGAATTGAAATGGAATGCTAGAGAAGGATTTTTTGCTATTTGAAGATCAAGGCAGATTGATAGAGACTGACAGAGACTTACAGAGACTTACAGAGACTGCCAGAGACTGACAGAGACTTACAGAGACTGGCAAAGACTGACAAAGACTGATGGAGGCTGGCATTGACTGAAAGAGACTGCCAGAGACTGACAGAGATTGACAGAGTCTGACAGAGACTGACAGAGCCTAAGAGAGACTGACAGAGACTTACAGAGACTGACAAACCTGCCTAGAAATTGATAAATTCAACACTTACCGACTGGAATTCCAAATGAAGTTATAATTCCAAATCCAAAGTCTGTGAAATAATTTATTTTCAAAAAATCTCCCAAAAAAATCCATCAAAGTCCATCACTTACGGAATATAAAGAGCCTCGTGTCCCACTCAACAATTGCTTTGTAGAATAGATAATGCAGAATAATGAAAATTATCACATTTCTCCAAACTATCTCCATTTTGTATGGCTTTTCTTCTGTATCTATCTTGGCATCGCCGTTGCTGAGCTAAATATGCAAAATAGAAAGACACAAAAAAAATCATCAATCAACCTTGAAGACTCTCAAAAACCCTTTAACATAAAAAATTTCGTTAATTTTTCTCGTTTTGTTGCAAAAGGCGCGAGAGCTGATGAAAAACTTGATTTAATCTGGTTGCGAGAAGATGTGCTTAATTTATGTTAATCAATTCTAATAAATTTTTTATAGCTATGATGCTGTAAATCCGTTTCATTTATGATGTTTAAAAAAAACTTGGTTAATGAGTTTCGTTTTTTTTTGACATCGTGACAATTTTATAAATTTATTTTTGAAGACTTTCAATCGACATTGTTGATCAAGTTGTTAAAAAATTTAATATTATTATTATTATTGGGGGATTAGTTGTGGTTTTATTGTGGGTTTTACTAGCTTTATGGTAGGAAAATTAAAGATCTGAGGAGGAAAAAAAGGTGAAGCTTGGAGAGGGCCTAGCTATTAGAGCTGAAGGCACAGCGTTTCAAATTAGAACAGAGTCTATTGTACCCATTAGACCTTCTGTTTATAGAAAATTTGAACAACTTGCAAGCTCTACACATTGCAAAGACACAAATACGTCTATAGAACTGATGTTCTCTGAAATGTTCCTAGTCACGATTCGTGTACGCAAAATGCTGTTATGAAGTCATCCAGATGCTGGTTTATCAAGGTATGCTTAACAAAGGAGACACGTTATGCGCCGAAGACCACAAATGTACGCTTAACACACGAACCGAGCTTCATTACTAGAACGGTGAAATGGAAAAAAGCTTCTAAAACTCGACTTGATCTGGAATTGAACCCAGAACCATTGACACTCAAGGCCAACGCGCTCCTATTTAAGCCACTGATGCCATTTCACCGCTAAAGTTTGAGTAGCAGTGTCAAAACATAGTTTTACATCCATTAAAAATTCCGAGATTTAAAACCTTACAATGACACGTGAAAATGCTGGTTGCTCTACACCCGAGCAACAAAAAAAGGCTTTTGTTGACAAGAATGCAATGTGATGTTGGCACCAGAATGAGTTTATCCGCATGCTTAGTTGTCATATGAATTTTCAATTGACAGACACGAAGTACAAACAATAGTTGTGGACCTTTCAAGGGCTTTTCTGTGCAACCTCTTCTAGAAGCAGGACCTTCGGACTCTCGTTTCTGGTTATATGACGTACATTTTTAAGGGCTGAGCGCTAGTGGCATAGCAAGAGGAGGGGGGGGGGGGGGTGTATGGCCAGACCTTTCACTCGGTGAAGAGCAGGTATTCTGATGCTATTATTTTAATAGCGTCGCTAAAGGTCCATTTTAAATATGACGGGCCATGTCTCAATTTTAGCTTTAAAAATTCAATCCAATTCTAAGAAAGAAAGTTTCAAAAAACCATAAAATCAGTGTTTTAGGCGGTTCATCCTACCAAAAAGCATGACTTTTCTACTGTAAAGTGCTCAGTTGAACTCAACAATTTAAAAACGCACTTCATTAGCCAACGAGTCATCAAGTCAATCATATTGCACCAAAAATGTGCAACATTAATATTTTTTTTTTCAACTTTACATTCACAATTTTTAAATTAAAACATTTCGCAAAGTTATAAATTTCAGATTTTATTGGCTTATTATAAAATTTTCGCGATTAAATCTGGAGATCCGCGTGATTATTTACATAATTTCTTATGAAAGGTGCAAGCGGAACTGCTTTAAATCTCAACAGCATATTTTTCTTTGCAGCATTTTTCCAAAATAATCATTAAAATGTTGTTTTGTTCATTTCCAAATGCAACAACAGGTTTCCAAAAAATAATAAAGTCGTAAAATCAAAAATGTTTGAAAAAATGAACAAAATTTAAGAAAGTTTTTGGAATCAAGAAACTTAAAATCTTCACTAGCCACGTGCAGGTTCCCAAGCACTTAAAATTAACTTTTTCAATAATTATAAAAAATTATAAATTTTAATTATCAACTTGTTATTGTGATAATTAATCATACTTGAATGTGCTTTCGTCCGCATTTTCCAATTTAATTTAAGTCGTTCTAATTGTTTTTAAACCAGCACGCAGAACTATTTAGCAGTGCTGATTATGCAACATTAATTATTAAGAAATTTAAAAAAAATTCTAGAAAAATTTCGAACTTTGCTTACCTTTGTGTGTCCATTGGCGCTCACCATTTTTTTAAGTTTAATTTTTCTTTTTGATTTTTTTTTCAAAGTTTAAATTTTTAAAACTTTCCAAGTTTTTTTCAAAATTTTAACTTTCCAAGTTTTTTTCAAAATTTTAACTTTTCAAAACTTTTTCAAATTTTTTCATAAATTTCACTTTTAAAAAAAAAATATTTTTTTTTATTGCTGACAAAATTCAAAATTGTCAATTTAACTTATCACAACGACGGCTCCGAAGACACTGATCCAATCGCAGTGATATTGACTCGAAACGAAACTGCCATGCAATAAAAATTTATTTGTCAATATTCAGCTTCTTTGTTAGCCGATATTCATTAATTTTATAACAATGAGTTTATGTTGATGTTGGTGACTATGTGGCAGGGCAGTCAATTAATGATTGATTTCTTTTTTGTGTTGTTGGAGCTGAAATGGTAACTTTGAGAGAAGAAGTTGGGGGAAGAGGGGAGAGGAGAAAAGGGGAGGGAAAAAGGGGAGGGGAAAAGGGGAGGGAAAAATGGTAGAAGAGGGGAGTGGAGAAGGAGTGGGAAAAAGAAAGGGAAAAAGAAAGGGGGAGTGGAGAGGTAAGAGGGTGGATGGAAAGGAGGGGGGGGGGGGGGGGGGGGGGGGGGTGAAGGAAGCCGAGCAAAAGTCGAATTGAAATCTGACACCAAGCCAGAATAACTTTAGCATCGTGCTGGCTTCGTCTTAAATCCAGCACCAAGCTAGTTGTTAAAGGATTACTGATTTATTAACCGACTTGTGCCATTCTGGATCTTTTATATTGAATTTTGAAGCTCAAACTTCAGGAAACCATAAAAATTTTTAAATAAAAATCCACCACATCCTCACTCCTAACCACGAAAGGGGGAACCCCCCTACTCTTGAAAATTCCGAAAACAGGGGAGATGCCAGGAATTTGAAGATTGAGGGGGGGGGGGAAATATTTTTTTATATGTAAAATGGATTTTTTGTAGATTTTTTTTATCAAAACCAACATGAAAAAATTTCTGTTGAGGAAGAGGAATTGTAACCAAAATCCCCCCCCCCCCCCCCCCCCCCCTAACCTAGCTATGCACATGTCAGAAATAATTTAAAAATCAACAAAATCTTTACTAAACAACAGCAACTAAAATGCGCCTTACGCTCAATGTTTAAAAAGTTACAGGCACTTTTCCAACTTTTAAGCTCTCCTTGTTAATATTCTGGTCCGAATATCTTGTTTACCATGCGTACTGGCACTGAAATCAACACAAACATCCTCTCGTAGAGACGAGAAAAAATAGAAAATTTATATATTTTTTTTATAATTTATTTCATTTTCATCGTCACAAAAAGAAACAGTTCCAGTGGCTTTTTACACGTGTGTGACTTTTATGAATTTTAAATGTTTTTTGTATTTTTTTTTTGTACTTCAGATGAATTTTTTCAGATGTTTAAAATATTTGTTGCAAATGATTGAAGGTTGATGCATGCTGATGATCGTGATAGTGGATTGATTTTGGGGTCTTGAGTATTGAATAACGTTAACAAATGCAAAAGAGTGAATGTCAGGGGTTTAGGACTTCGACCAGGGACAAGACACGCCCTTACACCTCTGCAGTACAAAATAGTTTACAATTCCTAAGGTTGAAATAATTCTGGCTACGTAAATGCTTCGATATTAATGTAATAAACCTTAATAAGGTCGCTAGTTGCATAAGAAGGGCATGTTGGGAAATAAGAGAAAATGGAAGCTTGACTTTTTGATTCTAAACAACTTATATTGAATTTTTGAAGTTATAAGCTCCTTAAACATCATTAGTGACTAATTAGAACCTATGCCTGGCACTAAGCCTCTATCACATTGTATCTGAATCTATGTTTCTATAGAGTTTAAGGGCGTGATTGACGTCAATAATACAAAAACAATCTCTAATATGTTGCTATGGACTAGAAACTAATTTAGCAATCTCTTAATGAAAATCAACAAGTTGAAAATAATCCACTCAAATATTCATAATTAATGTAAATTTGTAAAACGTGCGAATCCGCTCGACTTTATGTTTTCTCATCTTATTTTCTATCAATTCGTTACATTTAACAGGTTCTGGGAACTTCCAAAAGATTCAAGTTACAAAATAAATTAATAAATTACAAGAATCTTCTAGGGAGCTTTCCTGAATTACGTAAAATGCTTAGGAAGTTAAGGTTTTATGGATATTGCTCTAAGAGCAGTAGATAGGCCTGAGTATTGGACTTACTATGAAGCTAGTTGTATGTGTATGATGGGATAGCCGAAGGGAGATAAGTACCTGGGTGGCCGAGTGGCAAGGATCTCTAATCGAGCGGTCAAAGATCGCCTCTTTTGAGTTCATAGGTTCCCGTTTTGCTTTACATTAGTGTATACAAATGCAGCAGTTATAGGGAGATCTGTTGGTATGCTTTCTTGTCATTATGATTAGGTTATCCCGGAAAAAATTTTCTCTTAAAAAAGCATGGTTCCCGTCCGCCTGGAGTTCTAGACTTTTTTGATGGTCAGGGGGAAAACCACCTTATGAAAAAAATTTATATTAATTTTTTTGGTGATGGTTCAATTAAAAGTAATTTTTGTTCAACAAAACTTGACAATGAAGGTGGAATTATTTTATGTGGACGTCATTTATGAACGGCCCCCCAGCAAATCCGATAGTTTTCGTTGTTTTTCAACAAATTTCTTCTCGAAAAGGTTTTGTAATATCACGTGCGAGATCATTGACTTGTCTGTGTCGATGGTTGTAGACCTGTTGCTGTGGAACGACAGATTTTGATAGATTTTGGTTACGTAGGCAGGCGCGTAGCCAGGAGGGGAGATTTGCAGAAAAAACTTCCAACGTAAACAGCAATTTCTTTATTTTGCTAGGGTTTTTATGAAAAAATCACAAAAATCCACCACCCCCCCCCCCCTTAAATTTTTCGATACAAATTTTTTTGTCCCCCCCTCTTCAAATTCCTGGCTACGCCCCTGTACGTAGGACATTTCTGACAAGAGATCTAGAGGAAGACCCAAAGTACACATGGGTTGAATGTGTTGATAAGGAAGCTAGAGCTTGCGTGCCCCCAGCCAAGGAAGTCAATAAGTAAGTAGGACATTTCTGAACCTTAATCTAGTTAAAATCTATTAAACATTGACTTTTGATATTAAGGAGATCTCGAGTAGTTCTAATGACAGCGACTTGACATTTATAAAAATTCTAGCCCACCTTGAATGCATTCTTTGCCGCGCCCACATTTAATTTAATGATAAGATGACTAAATCTTTCTGTTGAGTCATCATGATGCACTAAAAAATCTACACATAAAGAGCCAAGACTGGAAATATATAAAACTATAAAATTATACAACCCCAACTTCCATATGATTTAAATCTGAAATGTTTATTTATATCTAAAATTTAACTTGTTTTTAAACTGCTAAATTAAGTGTGCAAAACTGAATAAATTTAACTTTGATTCACACGAAAGACAACTTTTTTTGAGTGCCCCAAAAAACTGGTCCGGAAATTAATTAGCAATAATTCTTAACTTTTTAAACATTGTCATGTTTACATTTCTCCATAAGTTGAATCTAGACTCGGTTCATTTGAGAACAGCTCTTGTGGTACTGTCGAGAATGTCGATGCCATCATTTCACTTTCTAAAGACTCTCTTGCCTGCAACTTCTCAATCATCGCTTCCTTATCGTCAATATTTGAGCTGACTTCAGATTTATCAACTGTCATGATTTTGCGCCTTTTTATGTTTCCTCCACTGACATTCATTTGCTTTTCGGTAGCTTTGCGTTTTGGCGGTTCCTCTTCGGACGACGATTCATCATCAGATGTTGAGTCGAGGGGCTTTTCGTACTTTAAGAGACGATCAATTAGGAAATTTTTGTCTCTGGTGATTTTTAAGAGGCGTTCTTGGTTCTGACGGAGATTTTCTTGGAAGAATTCATTTTCCTGGATGGGGAAAAATTGAGAAATTATTAAAAAATATTCAAGAAAGGTTAAGCAGATCTGTATTTTGGACAATAAAGGTTTAAATGATAGGTTCAACAAGATAGAAACAAAATCTGTAGCGAGGGATACAACAGAGTAGCTTGGGGTGAGGTGTGTTGAGAGTGCTTTTTAGGTCACCCCCCCCCCCCCTTCATCTTTGCCCCCTCCCCGGACATTAATTGAAATTTGACATTATTCCTCTATAAAAGGCATTCAAAAATCCTAATTCAGTTCATACAAAATTAATTTGCACCCCCTCTCTCCCAACCTTTCTCGACCCCCCCCCCCCTCCCTCTTCCAAAAAATGTTTGATAACCCCTCTGATCCAGAGCATTGCCACGTCTTCATGATAACAAAAAAAAAGTTCAAAATGACGTCGAGGGTCCATTACGGTCTATTCGGCATTGACTTGTTCACTAAGTGCAGGAAGAACTCGAATATCACATAAAGTCAAGTTGACCTCGTTCTCCGAGAACCCAAAAGACACATTAAGTAGCAATTACCAGAGTCTGAGCCAGTATATCCAAAACATAAGGTCACCGAACTTACAAATATCAAAAACTTTAGCTTCCTCTTCAATTGTTGGTACTGTGTCTTGTAGTTTAGCTGACCCAGCTCATTTGTAGTTGACTCATCTGTGTCATTGGCGTCTGCATCTTCGCCATTTGAGTTTGTGTTAAGTTGACTCCAGGAGTTCAGCATTGTTAATTATAGTTGGCCTAAAATTGGATATTTTTGTAGTTTGGCTGCTTATTTTGATTTATTTTTCAATTTTCGGAGACTGCAAATTTTTCCCACTGCCCTAAAACTTCTCAACTAATCCACTACTCTAATTTTGATGCTACTCAACTCCTTAATTTAATTTAAAATAATTATTTTTAAATATTTCAATTTATGTTTTTAAAAAATTCTGTAAACAAACTTATCAGGTAGTGCAACATCAAGAGTTTGGACGGGATTTTAAGAGATTTCTCAGTTTTTAGCCCCTCAAAAAGTTTTGTTTACAAACTGCAGAAAGATATTTTCAAAAATAATTTCAAAATAGAATTGAATTTCTAATCTAGATTGTGAAAAACTGGTTTAAAATCATAAAAATGTGGAAATAATAAACAAAATCTAGTTTTGGACTCATTTTTGGAACTAAAGAATCTTCATTGTGACTCAAAATTTGGGAAAATTCAAAACAACAATAAACATTAAGGATAATAAAGTTATGACTATGTTGAATATGTCAATAATGTACTAAACTATCAATTATGTCCATCGTCAGTGATTTATAAGGAATTTAAGACTGTCCTGTAATTAAAACTCACATTAAGTCAGTCACTCAGCCAAACTCATAACTATATTAATCAACTGCATCACCAGATAAGCTTGAACCATGATTAATTGCATCCTTTGCCTTGGTGGAACTCGTGAAAATAAGCTAGTAAAGTTATCAGAATATGTTAGTGCAACATTGACCCTAGAAGAGGCAATAAGGCAGCAAATTCCATATTGTGATGTAAGTACTGCTTTGGATCTTATTATGGCTCAGGCTTAGACTTTTATATGTTATGGGGCTCTTGCCTTGATTAGTCTGTAAGGATATTTAAGAGTTTACTCAAGGTGTCAACCCTAGTGACCAACTTTTTGGATGGGGTCAGTCTCTAATGCAGTGCTTCTCAAACTTTTCAAACCTCGGGGCAGGAAGTCCACAGCGATTGCTATTATTGGCTCATTTGAATATTTTTCGCTTAGCTGTAATGCTCCGTGGAACATAGTTTGAGAACCACTGTTTTAAGGCTACCCGGGGCATCATACTCTTGCAATCTGAACTTCATATTTGAGTAGGAAGTCCCAAAACCCTTAAAATTGATAGCAAGCAGGCGCGTAGCCAGGATGGTATTGTCCCTTTCTTAAGCGTTTTAGGCTGCGGTTCAAAACGTTTAAGGTGGGACAAGACCCTCCTGGCTAAGCACCTGGTACCAAGAAATGCTAAATCTTCTTCGATCACTTCCCATTCCGCTTAGCAAACTCCAAGCTTCACTTTTGACACAATTTTTCTTAAAATAACATGAAATTTACATTTTATTTACAGACCTTCCTCTCAAATCCATCATCAAATCGCATCACATGCACAACATGCTTCAGAACATTCAAAAGTTTCTACGAACTTCTGGCGAAAATCAACCAAAATCAGACATTCAGCCTACAAACTCCAATCAAGTCAGAAGCAGAAGATGAACATGAAAATCTCAGCTTCAATGATCCACAAATTGAGTACAAGGAACTAGAGCAAATTAAAATTGAACCAGAGTTTTTTGGCGAGCCAGCCAGAGCCAAGACAAAGCAGGATGACGACTTTGAGTGGGAAATGGATGATTCTGAATTTTGGCTGGAAGATGAGCAGGAAAAACTCGACACAGACTATGATGAAGGAACCGAAAAAGCAAAAAAAACTAAAAATTATGTTCGGTACCTAAAAAGATCTCAAGTGACACCAGAAATGCTTAAATTAGGCACAGATTTCGTGACAATTGATGGTATTGAGTATAAAATTCCAAAAAAATCAAATAAAAAATTAAAAAACTCATCCAAAACCGAGCAACAAGCTCCAAAAACTAAGAACACACCGGAAGGAGACGAGCGAGTCCGTCAGTTTATGGAAATCAAGTGTGAATATTGTGGTGCTGACTTTCCAACGTTCTTCAAGCTCGGTAAACATTTCAGACGATTCCATGAAGGCTCAAAAGTGTTCTTAAGGTGCTGTGGACGTAAATTTTACCGTAGACTGACACTTTTGGATCATTTAGATTCCCACGATGCCTCAGTCATCCACGAATGTTCTGAATGTCACAAACGATACAAAACTGACAAGATCCTTAAAGTTCATGTTGATAAAATCCACAAAAATATTTATCAAGAAGTTATATGCAACATTTGTGGACGGACTTTAAAGAGTCAAGGTGCACTAAAGAAGCACTTGTTGGTCCACGAGGAAGACATAAGACAGTTTGAATGCTACATCTGTAAAAAATCAAAGTACAAGAATCTGAAACTCCTCCAAGTCCACTTCTCAGTCTATCATAATCCAAATAAGCCATCGAGAAGTGTCTGCCACATTTGTTCAGCTGTTGTCCGTGCTGGACATTTAAAGAATCACATGACACAGCGACATTCAGACGTAGAAATTGAGAAAGTTCAATGTGAGATTTGTGATCATTGGATTATGAAGACACGAATGCACATCCATAAAAGGAAGCATGCGATGGGTGGAGTAACTTGCAAGATCTGTGGGAAGTACCTTAAAAGTTATGGATCGCTGTACTCACACATGAAGATTCTCCATGAAAATTGTAAAAACTTCAAATGCAATTATTGTGACAAAGCATTTTATAAGGAAACGAAGCTTAATGAACACGTGGCTGTGCGTCATACTCGAGAGTTCTTATTTAAATGCCGTGTTCCTGGTTGTGGACGTGAATTCAGAGCTGAAGGGAATTGGAAAATGCATGAACGGAAGGCACATCCAGATGAGTATGAGAAGACATTGGCGCCATATTACAAAAGAGCACCTCAAGAGCAGGTTGAAGAGGAAAATGAAGAAGGAACTGCACTTCCACCGTTTAGCTACTTTTAAGGTTGTAATTAAATTTTAAGGGAAATAAAATATTTTTATTTTTATTATTTGATGAGAAATCAATTAAACGGTGTTTTACTGAGTGGTGCAGGCATTGTGTGCAGGGGCGTATCCAGAATTGATCCCTTTTTTGGGAGGGTAGGAGGTGGGTTCCTGATAAAAGCAAGCTAGTTTGCACGACTTTTATCTCAAAATGTAAATTTAAACATCAGCAGCCCTAACATTGATCCTCCGAACCTTCAAGTACCTTCGTTGTCTCCAAAAGTACCAAGCACGTCGGAGCTTCCCAACATTTTGCCAATTTATGTTTTCATCTTGTTCCTTATTAATCCTTGATACAATCGATGTTGTCCAGTACCTTACAAGTTGCCATGACAGGTTCCGAACGAACTCAAAATAAAAGATCTCTAACATGAACAATACAGCAGCTGCTAGACATCCATGTACCAATAAACTAAACACAACAGCTAATTTGTCAAAAGGTAAAACTTCAAAGAAAATTTTCACAATTTTTGCCTCAGATTTTGCGAAATTTCCTCGAAAAATTCTCATTTTTGCTTGAGTTTCCCAAATTTCAGTCAATCCAGCCTCAAATGCATAGTTGATGTATGTCTGAATCTTCATAGCGTGTGGATTTAAAGCTCCTGGACTTATTTGAGTGTATGACAAGTGAAATCCAGCATCAAGTTTGTAAAAATATTCATTTTCAGTTGACAGAATCTTGACAAAGTCACAATGTCCAATTATACTCATTTTGGTTCGGTCAAAGCTTCCAAAATCAAACTTTTCTTCATCGTACGAAACTATCCGGTCATTTTTCTCAACATTTTCATGTCCATGAATTAGTGATGACATCACCGGTTCCAAAACAGCATCAATCATCATTTTTGAGCTTGTTGAGTCCATAAAAAGTTTGTATGAAGTCTCAATCCCGACATTCTCATGTGGATTAGCAAGAGTAAGTCCAATCATCCTTTGGTTGTAGACACTCAAAACGATTGTTGTGAAATTGATGATTTGGATCAAGATTGTCAACATTCTTGGATTTTGTCTGCTAAACTGCTGTGACTGTCCATGATATTGTCCATACAACTTGAGCGCAAAATTTACAGATCCGCCTGAATCACTGCCTTTATACAATTTCCAAATGATGAGCAATGCTAAAGAAGATACAATAATGCAGACCATAGATGCTGCATCATATTCAGTAAGAAGCTTGTAGCGAACCGTTGAAAATCGCATAACTTTTGGAATTGATGCACAGAAAGATGCTCGGTTGTAGAGTGGAATCGAGTTTGGATGTCTAGCTTTGCTGAATTCAGCACCAACCAGAAAATCAGTTTTACGGAATCCGTATGGAGCAAAAGGGAACCAACGTCCATCAGCATTTTGTGTTGTTAAGTTTCTTCCTGAATTTTGAACTTGTCCAATTGCTCGAAAGAGTCTGGAGATCCTCTGCACAATCCGGTTTGTTCTGTTCAAGTTGGATGTTGCCATGAATATTTTGTATTTGTAGCCATTCAGGTTCTTCAGTTTGTGAGGGAATAGATGCTTTGTTAGGTTTCTGTGATTGATGATCTTTATTGTGACTGGATCTCCCATGAATGTTTCAGTCCTTTGAGCCAAGATGACTTCCTTGTCTTCTTGAATAGCTGCAAAATTCAAAATTCCGTGATTTGTGAGGAATCTTGTGATTTTTTGGGTATTTAAGCCTGCGATGTCAGTTGTGATGATGAGAATCTTTGTTTCTGCTGTGATGAGAGAGTTTTGAAGGTTCAATGGAATTAACTTTCTCATTTGGATCTGTTTGAGGATTGAAAATTAAAATTTAATAAAACCTTTGATTTAATTTCACGACCATCAACACCTACCACATTAATCTGATCAGATAAGATGACAACAAGTTGTGCCTTAATATCCATTTTCCCTTCAGCCAATCTCAAATCAATTAAAGTTGTGGAAATGTCCATTGGCATGCATTGCATTACGTCATCAATCATCGAATGTTCGAGTTTATTTTCCGTCGTCACAAAAGCCACAATTTTTAAGCCTGAATCTTCACTTTTTGCACTTTTAATGACATTTCAGATGAATTTTGGCAGCTTCGATACTTGCTGTTGGACTAAGTTGTCAAAATTGTAGCTAAAAGCCTCGCAAATCAATGTCGTAGTTATCAAATAAATCAAAAGCATTGAAGCTTTCATTTCGAGTTGAGTTCTAATCAAGAATAAATTTTCAAATGCTGAAATTAATAATTTTCAAGTCAATCAATTTGATTAAGTGCCATAAGCTTTATTGATTTGTTGCTGCAAAACTACATAAAATCACACTTTTATGCCACACGATGCAAAAATCATTTAAAAAGCTATCATTTAGACATTTATAGCTCGAACATTGACTCGCTGAACCGTAAAGTTCCTTCGTTGCCTCCAAAAGTACCAAGCACGTTGGATTCTTCCAACTTGTTGCCAATTTATTGTCTCTTTTTGCTTCTTATTGCTTCTTAATGCCATTGATGATGTCCATTGCCTTATCAGTTGCCATGACAAGTGACGGATGCAGTCATGATACAAGATTTCAATAATAAAAATGGCAAATGCTAGCCCAAGTCCTTGACCAAAACTATGGAACAATGGCAATAGCTTATCAAATCCCAAAATATCAAAAATATCATTTTTAATCACAGCTTCAGATTTTTGATAATTTTGCCCAAAAGTTCTCATTTTTATCATCGTTTCCCAAACATCAGGCAGTCCAGCCTCAAATGCATGTTTCATAAGTTCCTCGATCTTGTCAGCAAATGGATTTTGAGGTCCATAATTGACTTGTATTGCAGACAAGATTGATGGCATTGGATAATCAAAAAAATTCTGATTTTGAGTCGCCATAACTTTAACAAATTCACAATGTCCAAATACTGCCACTTTTTGATGCTCAAAAGTATCCAAATTGAAAGTTCTTTCATCAAAAAGAACGATTCTGTCCATGACTTTTAAGCGATAGTAAGTTCTAACTCTTAATGGCATCACGTCATCCATAATTGCATCAACAGCAATCTTAGAATCTTTGTGATCTGCAAAAATCTTATAAGTATCATTTAGACTCAATTCGCCTTGTGGATATGCTAGCGATGTCCCAATATTCCATTGATTGATAATATTTGTGAATATGGACATGATCATCATAAGTTGAATCAGAATTCTTAGAACTAAACGATTCTTTCGGCTGAAGTGAGCACTTTGACCATTGAAAGCTCCAAGAAACTTGAAAACTATTTGATCAGGTGCTTCGACAGCTCCACGACCTTTAAATAACCTCCAAATCACGAAAATACTGACATAAGTGACTGACAAGCAGATAGAAACAAGAAGATCAGTCTTTTGTGGAGATAAAAGTTCCCGAGCTGTGAATTTATTGACTTTTGGCATCAAAATGCAAAAATTGTTGCTATTAAAGAGCACCGAGGAGGTAGCTTGTCATTCAAATGAAAACATTGCATCCAAGAAGAAGTCAAACTTATGCCTATTAAATGTTGTTGAATCCCGCACTCTGATAAGTTTTAAGGTTGCATTTTGATGTCTGGCAATAGTTCGGAATAGATGTGATGTTCTTTGAACGATTCTGTTGTGTCTGCTTGTGATTGGATATGATCTGAAGTCAATTGCAACTTTATACTTGTAGCCTTGCAAGTTCTTCAGCTTGTCTGGGTAAATTTGGCTGGAAATGTGTGGTTTTTGGAGTTCTCTTACAACTTTGACTTCACCGTTGAATGTTTCAGGTCGTTGGACAGCAACTGAAGCTCCTTCCTCAGCTATGATTGCGAAATTTTGAATTCCATTCGAGTTGAGGACTTTTTGGACATTTTGAGGGTTCAACTTTGCAGCATCTGATGTGACAATCAGGAACTTTGACATGTGATTTGCAGACAACAGTGAGGACATGACCTGATTAAACTGAGAAAATCATTAATAACTTGAAATTCAGGAATTATTCTAACTTACAGCATCAATTTGATCAGATAAGATGACAACAAGTTGTGCCTTAATATCCATTTTACCTTCAACAATCCTTAAGTCTATCAAAGTTGTGGAAATGTTCATCGGCATGCATCGCATTACGTCATCAATCATCGAATGTTCGAGTTTATTTTCCGTCGTCACAAAAGCCACAGTTTTTAAGCCTGAATCTTCACTTTTTGCACTTTTAGTGACATTGCAGATAAACTTAGGGAGCATCGATAGTTGCTGTCAAGATAAGTTGTCAAAATTGAACGAGTTAAGGCTTAAAGACTCACAAATCAATGTCGCAGTTATCAGGAAGGTAAGAAGCTTTGAAACTTCCATTTTGATCAGATGTTTAATTGCAAATAAATGGAAATGACACAATTGTGGATCAATTTGATTAATTAAAGCATTTATTGATTGGTTTGTGATAAGCTACAAGCAGCACATTTATTACAATTAAACCTAAATGACATCCTTATGCATTCACAGCTTTAACATTAATCTTCCGAACCTTCAAATTCCTTCGTTGCTTCCAAAAATACCAAGCACGTTGGATTCTCCCAACATTTTGCCAATTTATGTTCTGTGTTTGTTTTTCAACTCTTTTTGACACCAATAATAATGCCCAGTTTCTGATGAGTTGCCATGACAGTCGCTGAATAAAGTCATAAAAGAAGACTTCCAAAATAAGGACAAAACTAGCTCCAACCAGCCCTTGCAACAGATCAGAAAATATAGGCTTCAGTATATTCATCCCAAAAACTGTAAATAAGTCATCATCAACATCATCAGCATTTGACTTGGCAAAGTTTCGTCCGTAAATTTTCATTTTTGACATTGTATTCCAATATTGAGTCAGTCCAGCCTCAAATGCATAGCTTATAAATGTCTTAACATGAATAATTAAAGGATTTTGTGGAAAGTGCAGAACGCTGATGTACAAATAGAAATAATTTTCATAAACTTTATAGACATACTCGTCACTAGTGTCCAGGATTTTAATAAAGTCACAATATCCAATAAAAGCTGTCTTTTTGTGGTCAATTCCAACAGCAATAAAATTATTTTCGTAATAAAATTTAATTTTTTTATCTTGTTTTGCCTCACGTCGATTTGGCACAGTTGAAAGGAAATATTCTTCATAATCCAGGTCTACATATAGCTTTGTATCTTGGGACTCATTAAACACTCTTAAAGAATCAGCCAAACTCAATTCTCCTTGTGGGAATGATAAAGCAATCCCAATGACCCACTGATTCATGAGATTTAAAAAAATAGTCATAATCATCAAGACTTGGATCATAATTGTCAATATTAGATGATTATTACGACTAAAGCTGACACCTTGATCATGATAAGCAGCAAAGTTGTTAAGGACGATGGTACTTGGTTCATCAACTGCTCCGTGGTTCTTACATAACCTCCAAAGTAAATACACACTCACATAAATTAAGATAACTAAGAACTTGACTGGTTTTGAAACATTTTTTGACATTAAGTCATTTGAGTTTGAGGACTGTATGACTTTTGGTATTAAAATACAGAACTTTTCGCGACTATACAGCATTATTGTGTTCAAGTTTAACGTCAATGTGACTTTGGGATTCACAATAAAGTCAAAGTGCGGTAGCTTGGTTATGTCAACAATAGGAATAATCTCTGTGCTTGCATTTTGTACTGCAGAAAGTGATTCGAAAAGTTGCGAAGTCACCAATTTTATTTGACTGTTTAGCAAGGCAGAAGCTGTGGAATCAAACTTTATGACCACTTTATATTTATAGCCATTGAGGTTCTTCAATTTGTCTGGGTAAATTTGGCTGGAAATATGTGGTTTTTGAAGTTTCGTGGCAATTTTGACTTCACCGTTGAATGTTTCAGGTCGTTGGACAGCAACTGAAGCTCCTTCTTCAGCTATGATAGCAAAATTTTGAATTCCATTCGAGTTGAGGACATTTTGGACATTTTGAGGGTTCAATTTTGCAGCATCTGATGTGATAATCAGGAACTTTGACATGTGATTTGCAGACAGCAGTGAGGACATGACCTGATTAAACTGAGAAAATCATTAATAACTTTAAATTAAAATTTTTTTCTAACTTACAACATTAATCTGATCAGCCAGCAAGACAACAATTTGTGCCTTGGAATCGATTTTACCTTCAGACAATCTCAAATCAATCAAAGTTGTGGTAATGTCCATTGGCATGCATCGTATTACGTCATCAATCATCGAATGTTCGAGTTTATTTTCCGTCGTCACAAAAGTCACAATTTTTAAGCCTAAATCTTCACGTTTTGCACTTTTAATGACATTGCAGATGAACTTTGGCAGCTTCGATACTTGCTGTTGGACTAAGTTGTCAAAATTGTAGCTAAAAGCCCCGCAAATCAATGTCGTAGTTATCAAATAAATCAAAAGCATTGAAGCTTTCATTTCGAGTTGAGTTCTAATCAAGAATAAATTTTCAAATGCTGAAATTAATAATTTTCAAGTCAATCAATTTGATTAAGTGCCATAAGCTTTATTGATTTGTTGCTGCAAAACTACATAAAATCACACTTTTGAGCCACACGATGCAAAAATCATTTAAAAAGCTATCATTTAGACATTTATAGCTCGAACATTGACTCGCTGAACCGTAAAGTTCCTTCGTTGCATCCAAAAGAACCAAGCACGTTGGATTCTTCCAACTTGTTGCCAATTTATGTTCTCATTCTTCTTCTTATTGCTTCTTGATGCCATTGATGATGTCCATTGCCTTATCAGTTGCCATGACAAGTGACGGATGCAGCCATGATACGAAATTTCAATGATAAAAATGGCAAATGCTAGCCCAAGTCCTTGATCAAAACTATGGAACAGTGGCAATAGCTTATCAAATCCCAAAATATCAAAAATATCATTGTGACTTTGTGCTTCCGATTTTTGATAATTTTGCCCAAAAATTCTCATTTTTATCATCGTTTCCCAAATATCAGGTAGTCCAGCCTCAAATGCGTAACTTATCAGTTCCTCAAACTTGTCAGCAAATGGATTTTGAGGTCCATAATTGACTTGTGTTGCAGACAAGACCGATGGCATTGGATAATCAAAAAAGTGCTGATTTTGAGTCGCCATAATTTTAACAAATTCGCAATGTCCAAATACTGCCATTTTTTGACGGTCAAAGCTGTCCAAATTGAAATTTCTTTCATCAAAAAGAACGATTCTGTCCATGACTTTTAGGCGATAGTAAGTTCTAACTCTTAATGGCATCACGTCATCCATAATTGCATCAACAGCAATCTTAGAATCTTTGTGATCTGCAAAAATTTTATAAGTATCTTTTAGACTCAATTCGCCTTGTGGATATGCTAGCGATGTCCCAATATTCCATTGATTGATAATATTTGTGAATATGGACATGATCATCATAAGTTGAATCAGAATTCTTAGAACTAAACGATTCTTTCGGCTGAAGTGAGCACTTTGACCATTGAAAGCTCCAAGAAACTTGAAAACTATTTGATCAGGTGCTTCGACAGCTCCACGACCTTTAAACAACTTCCAAATCACGAAAATACTGACATAAATGACTGACAAGCAGATAGAAACAAGAAGATCAGTCTTTTGTGGAGATAAAAGTTCCCGAGCTGTGAATTTATTGACTTTTGGCATCAAAATGCAAAATCTGTTGCTATTGAAGAGCATCGAGGAGGTCGCTTGTCGTTCAAATGAAAACATTGCATCCAAGAAGAAGTCAAACTTATGCTTATTAAATGTTGTTGAATCCCGCACTCTGATGAGTTTTAAGGTTGCATTTTGATGTCTGGCAATAGTTCGGAATAGATGTGATGTTCTTTGAAAGATTCTGTTGTGCCTGCATGTGATTTGATGCTGTAAGTTAGAATAATTCCAGAATTTCTAGTTATTAATAATTTTCTCAGTCTAATCAGGTCATGTCCTCACTGCTGTCTGTAAATCACATGTCAAAGTTCCTGATTGTCACATCAGATGCTGCAAAATTGAACCCTCAAAATATCCAAAAATTCCTCAACTCGAATGGAATTCAAAATTTCGCAATCATAGCTGAGGAAGGAGGTTCAGTTGCTGTCCAAAGACCTGAAACATTCAACGGTGAAGTCAAAGTTGTAAAAGAACTCCAAAAACCACACATTTCCAGCCAAATTTACCCTGACAAGCTAAAGAACTTGCAAGGCTACAAGTATAAAGTTGCAATTGACTTCAGATCATATCCAATCACAAGCAGGCACAACAGAATCGTTCAAAGGATATCACATCTATTTCGAACTATTGCCAAACTTCAAAATGCAACCTTTAAAATCACTAGAGTTAAGGATGAAGGAACTTTAAAGGAACAAAAGTTTGATTTTACTTTAAATTCAATGTATTCACTTGAACCACAAGCGACATCCTCGGTGCTGTATAATAAAAACAGCTTTTGTATTTTACTGCCAAAAGTAAACAAGCATATAGCTCAACTAATTGCTCCACTAAGTACTGACTATTATGTTGTTATGTGCTTGATTGTCACTTATGTCTGTATTTTTGTGATATGGAAATTGTACAAAAGTCGCGGAGCTGTAGAGTTACCTGGAGTTATCATTTTTAAAATTTTTGGTGCTTACAATGGTCAAGGTGCTGATTTCAGTCAAGATAATCGTTTGGTGCTGAAGATTCTGATCCAATTTATGATGATTATGGCTGTATTTACAATGATTTTGAATCAATGGAGCGTTGGAAATTCTTTAGCATATCCGAAAAATCAGATGAGTCTAAAAGACACGTATAAAGCATTAGTCGATCAGGAAGACTCTAAGATTGCTGTTAATGCAATTATGGAAGAAGCGATGTCACAAAAAATTAAATCTTATTACTATATAAAGGCTTTGGACAGGATCGTCTTTTTTGATGAAAGAACTTTCAATTTGGAAGCATTTAATTGCCAAAAAATGGCCATAATTGGACACTGTGAATTCTTAAAAGTTATAGCGACTCAGAATCAGCACTTTTTTGAATATCCATTGCCATCAATCTTGTCATCAACGCAGATTCAATTTGGACCTCATAACCCATTTGCTGACAAGATCGAGGAACTTATGAAACATGCATTTGAGTCTGGACTGCCTGATATTTGGGAAACGATGATAAAAATGAAAATTTTCGGTAAAAATTATCAAAAATCGGAAGCAGAAATTCAAAAGGATTTATTCAGTATTTTAGGACTTGACAAGCTATTGCCACTGTATTATACATGCTGTCAGGGACTTGGGCTAGCTTTTGCCATATTAATCATTGAAATCTTGTATCATGACTGCATCCGTCATTTGTCATGGCAACTGATAAGACACTGGACAGCATCGATGGTATCAAGAAGCACTGAGAACATCAACTGGCAAACTGTAGGACGAGTCCGACGTGCTTGGTACTTTTGGAGACAAAGAAGGAATTTGAAAGTTCAGAGGATCAATGTCAGGTTCCGTGATGTTTAAGTACCATTCGATGCTAACATCTCTTCTAGCTCCTTCAGTTCCTCATTATCTCTTTTGTAGAATGGCTTGTAAAATTTATTATATTCCTCTGGATGAGCTTTTTTCTCGTGCACTCTACAGTTCCCTTCAGCTCTAAATTCCCGTCCACATTCAGTAATCCGGCATTTAAATGGAAAATCTCGAGTATGCTTGACTGCAACATGTTCCTGCATCTTAACTTCCCGGTGGAATCCTTTATCACAATAATCACATTTAAATTTGAAATTATCATTGTGGACGGTCTTCATGTGTGATGTCAGTGAGTATGTTGACTTAAGGAATTTCCCACAAACTTTACAATTGACTCCCATGTCTGTGTGCTTCATAAGATGTGTCTTAAAAGTTGATTTAAGTACCCAAATGCCACACCGTTCACAATTGACTCTTGTTCTGTCACTGTTGTGAACATACTTCATATGAGATGATAAATAAGCTTTCTTAACTGATGCCGAGCAGATGTGGCAGATGACTCTTTCTTGAGTTAAGGCATGAGTTAAGTTCAGATGCCTTTTGACATTGTGAATATTTTTGAATTTTTTACAGCAAATGTAGCACTCGAATGACTTTTCAGAGTCTCCTTCGTGGGTCAGCAAGTGCAATTTCAAGAGATTAGAGTTGTTGAACATTTTACCGCATTCATAGCAGATGACTTGCTCAGCATCATCCTTAGGATGATAAAACCTCATGTGAGACCTTAAGCAGCCTTTAGTTTTGTACTCTTTATTGCAAATCGTGCACATATAAACAGCTGATCGTTCATGCTGCTCAATATGATCCAAAAGGTCACATCGTCGTTTGAAATTTTTATCACAGCAGGTCAAGTAGGCTTGATTATTTGGATGGAACCTCTTGAAATGCTTTTTAAGTTTGAAAAATGACTCAAATTCAGTTCCGCAGACATAGCACTTGATGTCTATGAAATTTTTGACTTTTTCTTGACCTTCTGGATCGTGTGCTGGATGACTTCTTCTTGATGCATCTTCTTCTCGTGTATATCCAGCTGATTTCTTTTTAGGTTTGGTTGAGCTTGCTTTTTGTGGGATTCTGTACTCAACACCATCAATTACTATGTATTGTTGACCTGAATTGATCATTTCTAGTGTTATTTGATCTCTTGGGAGGTATCGGATGTAGCCGGTCTTTGATTTGGCTGGAAATAGAGGAAGTGGACCATTTGGGCCTGTGGTTAATGGTTTGATGTCTGATTTCGAGTCTAGTGAGGGGATTTGAAGGTTTGGTGAGGTGGTAACTTCTGGATTTTCAGATTTTATTGGCTTTTTTGTGTTTTTGGATGAGATTGCAGTGTGTAGAATGGAGTTTGATCCTTTACTCCTTGTCCTGGATGTTGAGTTTACGGATCTATTGAATTTTGTCTTTTTGGATGTATTTGATGATTTGGTCTTGACTTCTGGTGCTTGTTTTTCTAAACTTGTTGATTTTCTGGTAGATTTTGATGGATTTTGAGAAGACCTTGTTGATCTTTTGTTCAAAAGGTGACCTTCATCATCGGAACCGTCCAAATCTTTGTCTGAATCTTCACATCTGATTTCAGACTTGTCACATTCATCATCTGAATGTTCAACCTTAACTTCTGATTTGTCTGAAAGTCGATTTGAAGTTTTAGACATTCTTGTTGATCTTTTAGATGTTGTTCTGGAATTTTCTTTGTAATTGTCCTTCATGTTGCTAGAGTTCGATCTGTCTAAGCTTCTGTCTAGTCCAACTTCATTACTGTGTCTCATTTCACTTTTATTACATTCCTGAACCTTCTTAGTGTGTCCTGATTTGCTAGATTCGATTTTTTCAATATTGAATCTTTGACTGTCTATTCCTTCAGTCTCATTGTCATCAAGTGAATCCATAGGGTCGTCATAGCTCCACGCAAAATCAGAGTCATCGCTGAATCTGTCATTATCGTTTTCAGTTCCATTTTTGTTCGATTCCTCGATGCTTTCTTCAGAATAGTTTTTATTGTCAGCAAGAATATCAACTTTACCCAAACCCACATCATTAAGCATCACCGTAGGCTCATCTTTGACTCTTGGAAGAAGAATCAGTGGCTCCATTTTAAGCATCAATACATGTGGTGGGACATAAACTTGTTGGCAGTCTGGAATGATTTCAAATGTTTGTTCTGTCTTGAAATTGCTGAGATTTGTGTTGACTTTTGTAAGAAATTTGAAGAATAATTGGAAGGAGTTGAGGCACGATTTGCATGTGAGTTGTGATGATGACTGTGTGTACGGGAGGAGGATCTGGAATAAATTAAGAGAAAAATATTAAAACTGACGTTGACTGATGATTTTTAAGGTTGGTGGTCATGATTTGTAGGCAGTAAGAACAGCAATGATGCGGCTTGTCATATGTACACCACTGATATGCAAGGAATTAACAGCTTGATGCAAGATTTTCCACTGAATTGCACCATTAATGAGTTTACACTACAAACCTCAGCTGGGTCTTTAAGACTCAAATGGCACCTTTAGGGTCAACCCTGACACGTTAAGCTTTACTAAATAAACTTGACCCCTCGCCCACCTCTGCTAAATCCCAAAAATACTCACATTTGATCGAATCTGCTGCCTCAGTGCATCTCCTAGTGTAAAAGTGTCACAAACTGGTTCTGATAATTTTACTGTTTTTCCTTTATTGAGCTGTCTTAGGCAAAGGATGCAGGTTGTCATGGCTAAGCTTTTTTAAATGTTTTGGATTTTTGATGAGTTTTTGGATGCTGTTCTGTAGTTGATTTATTATCAGCACTCAAAATTGATCATTTAAGTCAGTTTGATATGTTTACAAATAAATGCTGAGGGGATGGAAACTATGTTTTGGAATTGTTCGGGATCTTGTGAAGATTTTGTTGTTTTAGCTTCGTCGTTAATGTTTTTGTTATTGTTTTTCAATGTTTTTCAATGTTTTTCAATGTTTTTGTCCATCATTGACTCAAAACAATGATCAGTAAGGAATTAAATCTTGAATTTTGAAAAATTACTTTCTTAAATTGAATAAAATGTGTTAAATTTATAAAAATGCAGGAAATGACTTCATGTCTTCTGTGTGTAGAGTCCATTGAGTGTGATTCTTTTGAAATCAGCGTCGAAATTGCCAAAAGTTTCACAATCAAAACTGCAATCGAGGAATATTTCAGATGCTCAACGGTAAACTTAACTGATTCTCACTTAATAGTTTGTTAATCAAGATTCTCTAATTTGTGCAGGCAATACTCAAATCCAAGTTAAAGTTCATATGCAGATTGTGTTACGAAAACATAGAAAATTTCCATAATTTTACCACAAAAGTCAATCAAATTTACAAAAATGATTTAAGCACAACCGGTTGTTGCCCAGAAGATACACAAAACATAAACAATGATCCAGACAGCTGCGATGATAGCTTTATTGATGATCTTATAGAATATGATGAAGATGAAAGTTTAGACTTTGGCAATAATGAAAGATTGTCAGAAGATATAGACTGTTATAAAGGTATAGACAGTCTAGAGACATCAAATCATGACACAACTAAAAGTGTCCCTGAAAATCTTAATGATTCGATATCCAGGCAGTCTAGGAACAACATTTTACTATCAAAAAGTTCAACTTTAAGCCTTGAAAATCTCCAAAATTCACCAGTTCGAGTTATTTTACCGAAAAACTTTATCAAAATTTCACAATCAAATTTTAAAATTCTGGATGCACAAAATCATCAAAAGGAGTACATTCAGCATGAATTTCCAGTACCAACCAACAATATTTCAGTTCCATCACAGCCATTGACTAACCAAAAGTCAAGAATCTCCTTTAAAAATCAAGAAATGAAGGTTTACAATGACTTCAAACTAGATAATGCCAATGAATCTGCACATCCTTCCAATTCTAACCTCAAAGTTGATCCAAAGAATCATCCACGACCTCACAATCTACCAAAAAATCTCAAAATCACTCGCCAAAAAATCCACAAATGTGAAATTTGCATTAAAAACTTCAAAACTTCAGCAATCCTTAAATCGCACATCCAAAAACTTCATTCGGACACTCAAAACACGTCAATTTGTAAGGAATGTGGCAAAGCCTACACCAACAAGTACATCCTTAAGACTCACATGAAGAAGCACATTATCGAAACTGACAGGAACTACGAATGCTACATCTGCAAGAAATCATCAAAAAACCTTCCACATCTTCTCAACCACTTCAAATACAAACACGACCCAGCCTACATAACCTCATCTGTCTGCCACATTTGCTCAAAAACAGTCACAAGACTTGACATTCATCTGCGACAAATGCACTCGAGTGATTCAATTAAACGAGTTAAATGTGAAATTTGTGGACATTTTATGAAGAAATCGTCACTTAATGGACATATGGCAAGTCATAGAGAGACTGGATACAGCTGTGAAGCTTGTGGGAAGTATTTAAAGAACAGAAATTCACTTTTGTGTCACATGAAGCGAGTCCATACAGCTGGAAAGTACAAATGTGAACATTGTGACAAGGCATTTCATCAGGAGAGCCGGATGATGGATCATATAGCTTGTAAGTTGGTTGAATTTTTGGGGGAGTTTATAATCAGTCTGTCTGTAAGTCTGTCTATAAGTCTGTCTGATTCAGTCAGTATAGCTAGATCTCCAGTTACATAATTTTACAACTTTTCATCATTTTCCACCCAGGTCAACACACAGGAGTATTCCTACACAAATGTCGAATTGCTGACTGTGAGAAAAAGTTCAGAAATGCTGGAAGACGTCGAATGCATGAACGAAGGATGCACCCAGCTGATTATGAGAAAAAGTTTAAGGCGTCATATTTGAGAGAAAATTTAGAAATTCAATAAAAAATATGTTTTCTATGAACTTGAAAGCTTGTTAAAATTAAACATTTTATTTTGTCGATTCAATAAAAATTTAAAAAAAATTTACAAGACAAGCTTTTTTAAACTTCCACTTCCGATTTTCAAACATGTTCACATATTTGACATTTCAGTCTATCAACTAAGGTTTATGAATTGACAAATAAGTCAAAGATGAAATATTTAATTTTACTTTTCGGGTTGCAATTTTTTATCGGAGTTACAAAATCTGATTTTACATCTTGGGATGCAAATACTTATGTTCCGAATGTTTGTGTCTGTGTACCAGTTGGAAAGTGTTCTTATGCTGGAGGTAAGTTACCAAGTTAGGAGGTTTTGTGATTTTCAATGGTACGTAGCTCATTAAGTTTGCTAAGAAGTCGTGAATTGTAGTTAAAGGTCTACAAAGTGCTGTGATAGTGTCAAAATAGAGCTTAGCTAGTGCCACGAAACCCTTAAGTTGCCCTTGTTCGACTTTGTGTCATTAAAATGATTTTCTAATGTCAATTCTATTTCAGAAGCACCAGAAACCGATGGTTCAGGGATTATTGAAGCTAGAATAGCTACTGTAAGTATATTTAAAGCACCAACATCCAAAAGACTAGTGTTCAGCATTAACATTTCATTTTAAAATCAAATTAAGCTTGGCGAGAATCCAAAAGACAATCTTGGAACCAATGAGACCCTTTGCCAACCTGTTTCAACTGGAATTCCACTCGGTAAGCTTAATCATCAATAAAGTTTGATTAAATTTTGATTGACTTTTTAATAATTGGCAGTTGCAAGTGACATGCAAAGCTGTGAAGATGGATTGGAGCTTTGTTGTCCTTCAATTGGATATTCCTGTGGTAATTATAATATGGCCATGCTCTAAATTACTTAAATACACTCAATGAGCTTACTTATATAGGCATCCGGTACCCACCAATGGAAGGATCGCCAGTACCAATAAACGAACAAGCTCCATATGGTGCATATCCTTACCAAGCTGTGTAGGTTTTTATTTCATTTATTATCTATTAAAAAGTGGTTGAAAAACTATGAAAATTACAGAATTTTGTCATCATACAACCTTTATATAGCATCTGGTGTCCTTATTGATCAATATCATGTCCTGACTGTAGCACATAAAGTTTATAATTTGTAAGATAAAGTTTCCATTTGTATCGGCAGTTCTAAGTTGAGATTGAATTCCTTCCTTTAGGTCTTCTGGTGTTAAGGTTCGTTTAGGTGACTGGGATGCAGCATCTCCATCGTAAGTTGATTCTACTGATTTTGTTGGTACAATGACTTGGACTTTTTGTCCAATATGGTTCTAGTCTGAGTTGAAATTAAGGCTTGAGTCAAATTGATTAAAATCCAAGCTTTATAACAGCACTTGCTTCATGTCTGTTAAAGGAGCTCACATGAAAAAAAATTGGATAACTTAATTATATTTCAGTGAACCACTTGATGCTATAGAAAGGAATGTGACGATCCACATTCATCCAGGATTTAATTTGAAAAATTTAAGAAATGACATTGCCATCTTGAGATTGAATTCTTTGGTTCCTTTAGGACAATATCCAACAATCGGAACTGTTTGCCTTCCAAGTGAGTTTTGTCTAAATTATAAGCACCTGATGTCAGTTTAAAGGGCTCAGGATATGATTCTAATTTACAATTGATTTATTTTCATCAATTAAAGACACAACCCTCGATGACATGAGATGCTGGGCTAGTGGATGGGGAAAGAATGCAACAGACAGGAATGGACGATATCAAAGAATAATAAAGCATGTTGATATCCCACTGCTTGATCAAACGACGTGTCTGAAAATGCTACGAGCTACAATTCTTGGAAGTCGATTTGTGTTGGATAAAGTTTCATTTGTTTGTGCTGGTATGAATCATTAAAGGCCAGGCGCGTAGCCAGGAGGGTCTTGTTCCTCCTTAAACGTTTTGAACCGCAGCTAGAGCACGGCCTAAAACGCTTAAGAGGGGGACAATACCCTCCTGTCTACGCGCCTGTTAAAGGCATTATACTTAAAATTTTAATTTTATTTTTAATTAAGGTGGAGAAACAGGAAAAGATGCCTGCACTGGGGATGGTGGAGCTCCATTGAGCTGTTTTGTTGTAAGTTTCTTGCTGATTCATTAACTTAGCCTTAATTATTAAGCAATGATTTATCAAATCTAGGGCGATCGATTCTATCTACAAGGTTTAGTAGCTTGGGGCATCAAATGTGGCACATCAAATATTCCAGGTGTCTATGTCAACATCAACAGCTATGTTCCCTGGATTCAAGACATGACAAAAAGACTTTCAAATCAAAAAGAATTAACAACAACTAAAAAATCAAATCCAATTGAAAAGACAACAACAGTAACGGTAAGGAAGAGAGTAACAACAACTAAGAAACCACCAACAACTACAACAACTATAAAAACTACTCCAAAAAAACCAACAACAACTAAGAAACCACAATCAACAACAACAACAACAATAACAACTATGAAGACAACTACTCCTAAACCTAAACCCACGACCACAACAACCTCAAAACCAAAAACTACATCAACAACAATGACAAAACCTAGAGCAACAACAACAACCACCAAACCTAGAACCACAACAACCACATCTACAACGGCTAAACTCACAACAACGACCACAACGAAACCAAAAACTACTTCAACAACAACAACAAAACAAACTTTGACAACAACCACAACAACCGAACCAAAAACAACATCAACAACAAGTATCAACACAGCAACCAGAAGATCAACCCGTAGAGGAAGTCGTAAATCATCAACAAGAAGAACCACTAAAAGAACTGAAAGTACTGAAAGTAGTTTCCTAAGCATGTAGATGCCCAAATCTTTTAAAAAATGTGGAATTTTATTTTTTTTTTGTATTTTTAATAACGAAAGTTTAAAAAATAAAAAAGATTTGATTGAGAAATTTGTTTGACTTATGACAAAGGTTTAATTCAGGGCGTCAAATGATGTTGCTTTAAAATACCAGGAATACGGGAACTTAAGGGACCTTATAAAAGTTGCTATATGCAGTCGTAATATGAAATTTAATCTGGCAAAGTTTCAGAGCGATTTGACACTTCTTTAGTCTGTCCAGCTGTGCATTTTTGAGGAGGACAGTCCCGCTTTTTTGAACAAAACTTGACATTTTTGATAATCCGATCCGAAGATAATCCAGGATCATCTTTATTCCTTTTTCGTGAAAACCATCATTCATGGAGAATCCCAAAAATTGGGGTGCATGATCCAAAAACGAGGATTATCCACTTTAGTAAAAACGGCAGTTTAACAAATGTTTCTTGGAAACTGCTTGAAAAATCGGTCTGTTCCTCTTTTTCAGAGCTGAAATTGGGAAATGTCCCGTTTTTTGACTAATAATCGGCAAGAACTGATGGACAGCCTGGGGGTCGTTCACTTATGACGTCCAACATTTGGGGGGGTCTGAAGCTGTATGACACCTCAATACAAAAGATTTTTTTTTGTATGAAAATTTAGTGACAGATGGGGGAGGGGGTCTAAAAATCTAATTTTTTGATGGACGTCATAAGTGAACGGCCCCCTGGTTACCAACCAAAATATTATCTTAGTTCAAAGTTACTAAGGAAACACTTTGTCAAGGTTCCGAAAGCCTGCAATCTATCCTCAGACACAACACTGACACCAAACAACAACTTCCGGTCCCACAACTTCTCCACGTAGATGTTTTCATCAAATCCCTGTAAAACATCAATTTGACATTTCCTTTAATATGAAAAAAAAAACTTAAAATCGCGTCCAAGAATTTTTCGGAAGTTGTAAAAATGCTTGCAAAAATTATTAATTTTCCTGTTTATCAAAAAAGGAAACAAAAGTTGTAAGTTTTAACAAAAACAGCCAAAAAGTCATGTGATTGAGCCTTTAAAAGGCAGCTTAATGTCATCAAACCTTCATTTCATTCACAAAAATGAAGAAATTTGTTCTTATTAAACTTTTGTGCCTTAGTGCAATTAATCTTGTGACATGCCAAGTGGCTACTAATTTTACGGATGGAACTAATGTCCCGAATGTGTGTCTTTGTGCCACATCTGGTCAGTGCGCTCTTGCTGGTGGTGAGTTTTTTGTGGCAATAGTGAAAATTTGGTTGGATGCTTAAAATTAGACTTTTGCTAGGCGGTGGAGAAAATGATGGATCTGGCGTGATAAATCCGAGAATTTTGAATGTAAGTAGGAGTTTGGCTTGAGAGACATAAGCTGATTGACTATTTATTAAACCTTCCAGACAGGCGGAGTGAACACAAATGTTGGAACCAATGTATCGATGTGTCAACCAGTCAAAACCGGAGTCAAACTTAGTAAGTCTTTATCTCGAAGTGGCGACTTTGAAAATTTCGTTAATTGACTCATTTTAGCTGCAAGTGATCAGAGCTCATGTGGAGATGGTCTTGAGATGTGCTGTCCTGACGTTGGATATACGTGTGGTAAGTTAAGTGCTATCTGAAAATTATCATAAAGATGTCAATTGGGTAGCTTAGTGAAACTCAATTCCCAAAAAAGCACAAGTCTGTTAATTGAATAGAACTCCAGCATCAAGCCAGCGTGACTCTGAAATGGTGCTGGACTCAAATCGAATCCAGCACCATGCCAGAGTTATGAAAGCGTGGTTCCAGATTTCTATCAAGGGTGTGGTACTGATAAAATGATCAAAAATGAACAAAAATGATCAAAAAGTAATTCATCAGTTCCGCACCTTTGATTTCTATTCGATTAATCGACTTGTGCTTAACAATATTCCTTCAAGGTGTCTCATATCCACCGATTTCTGGAGCACCACAGGCAGCAGATGGTCAAGCACCTTATAATGCATATCCACATGCTGTTGCGTAAGTGAAAGTCAATCCTCAATCCTATCGTACAAAACTAAATATTTTGACTCCCAAAAAACAGAATTTATTCAGCTGACAACAAATATTTGGGTGGAGGTGCTCTTATTGATGAATGGAATGTCTTAACTGCAGCTCACATTATTGTTAATGCGTAAGTTCACCAGCACAATCCACAAGATATACTAAACTTTCCGAATATTCCAGTTCAAGACCTTTAACAATTAAGATTGGATATTGGGACTTGAGTTCAAGTCAAGAACCACTAGACCGTTTAACACTAACCTCGTCCAGTGTCTTGGTGCATCCAAACTTTATGCCCAAAAATTTGAAAAATAATATTGCAATCATTAAACTTCCATCAGCTGTTCCTTTAGGAAAATCGCCAACAATTGGAAGCATCTGCTTGCCAAGTAAGTTAATTATTGGTCGTTGAGCCTTAAAAAGCTGATTTTAGATCCAAGAACTTGGTTTTAGAGCTTCTAACCTTAAAATATTCTTCCTTCTTATTTCAGGTGCACCAATTTCAGGAATCAGGTTCTTTCAATCATTGTTTCATTAATTTTTGGTATTAATTCATCCTTTTTATTTTTTTATAGATGCATGCTAAGCGGTTGGGGCAGTCAGAGTCCATCGACATCATCAAACATATTAAGACATGTTGATCTTCCAATTCTGAGCAGTTCTTCATGCCAAAGTATGCTGAGAACTACAAAATTGAATAAAACTTTTGTTCTCGACTCTGAATCCTTCATTTGTGCTGGTATGGAAGTTTTGAGGTTAGAATTTTTAAAAAAGCTAATTTTATATATTTTTCGTAATCTTAGGTGGTGAAAAGGGAAAAGGTAAGTGTGCTGGATAGATTATTGGTATGATTGATATTAAATTGAGTTTTAACGTAGATGCTTGTTCTGGTGACGGTGGATCTCCACTCAGTTGCTACATTGTTGATCGGTACTACTTAGTTGGTGAGTATAAAAGCAGTCCGGACTGTAAAATTATTTATAAATATTAAATTTCCATTCAAGGTGTTGTGTCATGGGGTATCGGATGTGGACAGCCTGGAGTACCAGGTGTTTATACTAACATTTTTAGCTATATTCCATGGATTCAGAAGGCAACAGCTCAACTTCAAAGCGGAAACACTGCAACTTCTTCCACTCCTCCATCACTTCCACCAAAACCGACAATTCCTGCAAGTTCTACAACCACTAAGGGAAGTCCATCTAGCACTTCAACAGTTGATGGTAAAGTAACCAAATCAGATCCAACTGTTACCAGCACTGAGAAGACTGTTCCTACATCAACACCATCTAAACCAACTATTACTTCCATAGCAAGCACTTTAAGCACTGTTTTAAGTACAATTTCAAGCTCATTGGGTACCACAGTTGGGTCTACTGCTTCAACAACCAAAGCATCTTCAAGTGCAGTTGCTAATACTACAACACAAGCAACAACTTCTTCAAGACCTGTTACAGTGTCAACAACTACCACAACAACTTCTGGTAAGCCATCAACAACATCTTCAAATGTCAATACAGGAAGTGCTACGAATGCGACAACATCATCAGCTAATACTTCAACTAAACCAGCTTCCCTCAACACAACAACAACAACTGCCTCATCAGCAACAAGATCAGGTCCATCATCACCGGTTAGAAGATCAAGCACAACCACAACCAATAGACCAGCTTCTACATCATCAGCTAATGCTGGTTCCACAACATCACAATCAAATAATCCTACAACAACTAAAGCAGCTGAAACAACAACAACTATTCCTTCAAATGTATCCAAGCCTGCAAATGGAACAACTGTGAAATCTGGACCAACATCTACAAAACCAAGTGAACCATCCACGACAGTTAGACAACAATCATCATCTCAGAATCCTAATGGAAGATCAAGAACAAGAACAACAACAATGGTTAAAAGAGCAGGATCTACAACAACAATTACTGTTAAAGGAACGCAAAGAAGAAGATCAACATCAACTACTAAGAATCCTAACTTTAACAATTAGGCCTGAATAGCTTCATTGTTTTCTTTTTGTCCTAATGTTGATGAATAAAGAACTTGAAATAGTAATAATTGTGTTTGACGTACCATTGAGTTGAGGGGGAAAACAACATTATGGGAAAAATTGAGTTTTTATAAAAAACTTTGGCCAAATTAACACAAAATTTGGATCAATTTGGTATTGAATTTTTGTCGTAACTTTTTCCATCAGGTTGTTTCCCCCCTGACATTATGGATGTTAATAAAGTTGTTGACGTCAGAGAAACAATTAAAATACATTTTATGTCATGAATTGGCTACGTGCTTGATGACTTTTGTTATCAAAGGTCAGAAAAATTACAGTCGTTTGGCATTTAAAGCTGATTTGGATCTGCTAATTTAAAGCATTTTTTTGGTATAAATATTTTGGAATATTGACAGAGGACATTGCAGTAAGCAAAGGCAGTTAAACCTTATGAACATCAAAATTCGTATTAAAAGTTCGTAAGTAGCAGTGCCATTTTGACAAAACCTAACCTCAAAATTTAAAAACTCACTTTTCAGATCGCAATCTTCTTCCAAAATTGATCTTCCTTCCAAAAAAACCCTAAAATACATCCAGCATGAAGCTCATAATCCTCTCAATTCTTGTCATCGTCCTCATCAACGTCATCGATGCAGGCACGCCTGTAGAATGGTCCGAAGACACCTACAACTTTATTCATAGCTTCAAAGGAACCAAGCAGCAATTTTTCGCACCATTGACTAAACGAGTGATGGATGAGATGAAGGCATTGAAGCCAGGCACAATGACAAAAGAGAAATGCATTGAGGGAGTCAACTTAGCAGCTGCAAAACTGACTAAAGATGATGTTATAAGTGCTGATGAATTTAAGGGATTTTTCGAAAAAATGATGAAGAGTTTCCCATTGCCTTAGAGTTGATTAAATGATTTTTAAAATAATTTTTTTGAGGAGATGATGTTGATTTGAATGTAGAATAGATTTGAGTGCTGTAGATGCTTTATTTATCACCAAAATTGAGTGGGTTTTAGAAAAAAGCTAGTTTTTGAACTTAATTTAATAAAAAAAAAAAATTGTTGGCAAATCAAGTTTTCAGCCTCCCCCTCCTATTTTCAGAAAGTTGACACTATATCAGGGGCGTAGTCATGAATTTGAAGAGGGGGGGGGGGACAAAAAACATTTTATATGGGAAATTCAGAGGGAGGGGGGGGGATTTTTATGATTTTTTCATAAAACTAGCAAAATGAAGATATTTTTGTTAACGTTGGGGGATTTGTGGCCCAAAATACCCCCCCCCCCCCCATCCCTGGTTACGCGCGTGCACTACATATTATCAAAAAAGCCGGACTGTCCCGCTCCAAAGTGGTCATTTGGACATCCTAACCATTACATACTTTTCAAAATAATTTATTAAACTGACAATCATAAAAATTTCCATACAATTATTTAAGTTAATGATGCGATTGTTGATGACTGACCTTCACTTATTTTTTTGTGGCTCTATATTTATTTGACATATTTTATTGTAGATTGGTTGATGATAAGACTAATAATAATGTGTTAAGGGTCCAGCCTTTTATCTGAAGGTATGGTGAAAATGAAAAAATACTTTATAAAAAAAAACTTTTTAAAAAACTACGTTTTTCGCGTAGACTAAAAAGTAGAAAATAACTTTTATTCTTGGTTGTAAAGAATTTGGTTTTAAATTTTCAGATTATATTTAATAAATTTTTATATCCTAGTCAATATTGTTCACAAAGTTTCGAATAAGTGCACTTTGATCTTATCGTATAACTCAACAACTTAAAAACGTGGGCGCATTAATTTAAGTTTATCATAAAGTATTGATTTCACATAAACTTATTTCTCCTCTTATAATGCGCCCACGTTTTTAAGTTGTTGAGTTATACGATAAGATCAAAGTGCACTTATTCGAAACTTTGTGAACAATATTGACTAGGATATAAAAATTTATTAAATATAATCTGAAAATTTAAATCCAAATTCTTTACAACCAAGAATAAAAGTTATTTTCTACTTTTTAGTCTACGCGAAAAACGTAGTTTTTTAAAAAGTTTTTTTTTATAAAGTATTTTATTTTCTACTTTTTAGTCTTATTCTAATGAAATAGAGAAATAAAGATTATAGGGGGTTTATAGGTTACAGGTGTGTTGAACTCCACTTCGTTGCACTTCGTTACGTTCAACTGTTTATAGATCACAGTAGGTTTATAGGTTACAGGTGTGTTGAACTTCACTTCGTTGCACTTCGTTACGTTCAACTGTTTATAGATTACATTAGGTTTATAGGTTACAGGTGTGTTGAACTTCACTTCGCTGCACTTCGTTACGTTCAACTGTTTATAGATTACAGTAGGTTTATAGATTACAGGTGTTGAACTTCACTTCGTTGCACTTCGTTACGTTCAACTGTTTATAGATTACAGTAGGTTTATAGGTTACAGGTGTGTTGAACTTCACTTCGTTGCACTTCGTTACGTTCAACTGTTTATAGATTACAGTAGGTTTATAGGTTACAGGTGTGTTGAACTTCACTTCGTTGCGTTCAACTGTTTATAAATTACCAGTTTTCAATGGGAAATTAGTAACGACTTTCAAAATTTTTCATTCGTTTTATAAAATTTAATTTTTTTAAAGCATTCATTAGTAAAGTACATTAAAAATCACTCGTAAAGATTTTGTGTTTATCTGTACCATTTCTACTTCATAACGTGTGGATTCTTAACATAAAGATGCAAATCACATATGTAACGTATTTATAACGGATTTTCAAATTTAAATTCAATGAATATCATTTATATGTTATGCAAAAATACGTCAAACCGTTAATAAAAAGAAAAGTCAATTTAATTAAGTTGGTGAAGTGTTATAAATAATGCAATACATTTAAAACAGCATAAATTTATGCTCAAACTATGTGTGCTAAATGCACATCGTATATTAATAGTTATTTTGCATTAATTCGTAACGGACTTGTGCTTAACGGTTTTTTTGAAAATTCAAATTTTCACTTACGAATATTCATGAAAAAATTACATGTCAATTTTTTTGTCTTACCAGAATATCTTTAGCTGCTCAAATTTATGGTATAATTAATAATTAGTAATATTAATTAAACTATAATGAATCATATAAATGACTTTAGAGCATCACAAATATAATATTTAATACAAATCAAAATTTTTTATCATTGACATTGGATTTTTTCCCATATAAAAAAGTTTTACTAAAATTGTACTATAATTAAGCATTTTTGTGTTTCCAAAGTGTTAAAATATTGTATTGTCACCGGGAATACATGTGCATTAAAAATTTGAGCTCGATTGGAGCAGTAGAAGTGGTCGAAAAATTGATCGCAAGATTTGAAATTTTTTGCAAACAAACAAACAAACAAACAAACAAGAAAGCAAGTTAAGAAAAACGTAGTAAAAAGAGCTTCAAAAATTAGACATGGTCTAGGATTGAACCCAGAACCATTGGCACAGAAGGCCAACGCTCTACTATTTAAGCAACTGATTCCGTTTCACCGCTTATGATAAGACTAGCTTATAGTATCACACCTAAATGTACTTGTGGTCACTGTTGGAACTAGAGATCAGATTCTTGAGCTATTCTTGGTCCATGACTCTAGCATTGATGATCTACACTCACATGCAGTTAAGTGCCTTGCTGGTCGAATAGGTAAGGTGTACCAAATTTGGTATGGTAACTCAAAGGTCGTCGGTTCGAATCCAGACATTTCCAAATTTGTTCTTTTTCAGAAGTTTAGATACTTCGACTGCTTAATGTACGAGTCAAGCCATAATTGGGCATTTTGGGCAACGTTGGATTAAGGAACGGATCAGGACCTTGAAATGTAGCGGGAGAAATAGGAACGAGAGCTACAAGATTACCTTATAATGGAATATTGTCAGAACGGACCTGAAATGTATCACGTCACGGACACAGAAGATTGAAACAAGAGCCTGAATTTAATCGAAACCTAGATTTGAAGATTAGAAGCTTGATTCTACATCACCCATAGTGATATGAAATGTATCACTAATCAATGTAAAAAGTAAAACATGTATCAATACTAATTCTTCCGGACGGTAACGTCGACAAATAAATAATAATAATAATAATTGCTTGAAGTAGCTCCGAAAGGCACACAGAGTAAAAATGACTCTCAATCTGGTGTCCAGGACAAGCTGCAAAATGCCGAATTTAATTAAATCAGGCATGGTGCCTCGTTGATGTCGTCCTGGTTGATAGATTAACTGTCTTGTTCAAGCCATATGCTTTCGGGAGTCTTAGAAGCTTATATAAAGCACTGAACCAAAAAAAAAAGTTTCATGATCTCAAAACTCCCAATTAACTTCATAAATTGTAAACAAATCAATTACTTTCCAATATCTAGCAACAAAAACAAGTCATAAACTTTTCGCTATGTAAACACGAAGCTTTTTATAGGCTTTTTTCAGAAAATTATGCTTAACAAGCTCAAATTTGATCAAAATTAATTCAATTTGCGTAGCTACAAGAAAATATTCAAGGGTCAATTTTTAAGTATAAATCTATATGAGTTGCATAGTTGACAGCAGCAGTGCTATAAAGAATTCAGACCTGAATTAATCAATCAGATTCAAATTAATCAAGAAGAAAGCTACAAAAATCACAAAAAGATGTCTACATCCACAATAGTAATCACAGCCATTCTCATCGTCATCTCAACACTTCCATCAACCATCAAATCCCAAACCACAACCACATCACCCTCACCAAACATGCCAACAACAACAACAAAAAATCCGGAAGATTGCGCCAATCGAATTTATTCAACAATCAGAGGCTTTAGAGGAACCAAAGAAGAATTATTCAAAAAGCTTGAAGCTCAATTCAATATGGAAATGAAAGGCATTCGAGTCAATGAATTTAGCAATGAAAATTACAAAAAAGTCACTGATACAGTAGCTAAAAGATTGTCAAGAGACGACATCATCAATGTTGAAGATTTCAGGAAGTTTGCAGACACAATGATTCAAAAATGGAGAGCAACTGGTAGATGAGGTGATTTTTAGGGCATTAATATTTGAAATTAAACTTTTGCCCGAGAAGCACAAGTTGGATAATCGATCTGAAATCCCGCAGCAAGCCTGTGTGATTCTGTCATGGTTCTGGATTTAAATCGAAGCCAGCATCATTCCAGAGTCATGACGGCTGAACGCTGGATTTCTGTTTCATTAACCGACTTGTGCTTCTCGGGTTAAGGCACTTAAAAGATGTGAAATTTTATTTATTTTTGGTGGGACTTTCATGCACAATTGGAATGACATTGAGTCAAAAAGAAATAAAAATTTGTGGCTGGCAAGCTTTCAAGTATGAGAAATTTGTCTTTTTTTGAGGATAGTTCCTCATATTGCCCCCCCCCCCCCCCTTCAGTTCCCTCTGCTGACTTTGTCCTCAATACAATCGGTTCTAGTTCTTAACTCTCCCAGCAACCGTCATTTGTGCATTAACCAAAGTCGTGAAATCTTTGCACGAAATCAAGTTTGTTGACATTTCAGCACAAACTCCAGAACAGAAGTAGTTGATATCATTTTGTGTGAATATTAGGGTCTCCTTAGGTCCTGGATTATTGATTGCGAATGAGATGCTGTCTTTTAAGTCTTTAACAGTTCCTTTGAAAGTGTTGATGAATCCAACAGCGTCTCTGATTTGTGCATCTAGAATAGCTTTTGTGGATGGCTTCTTGGTTGTTGATCCTGCTGAGTAGGCTGTTGAGATGAGAGCGAAGGCAATGAATGCGATTAAGAACTTCATTTTTGCTGATTTTTTGAATTAGTTGTTAAAGACTGGATGGATTGATGTCAAGTCTGAGTTTCCATTGGAACTGCTGGTCTTTTATATTGAACATTTTGATACTGGACATCCGCAAAAAAGTCAAAATTGAAGCTTTCAAGTCTTTCATTAAATTTTGAGGAACTTGAAAGTTGTAATTTAAATTTAAAATTGTTGGGTTTGTGGAACTGGATTTAAAAATTATTATTATCAACTTTTGTGGCTGCCTTTTATGGTCGATTCACGATTTTTGAGCTGTTTTTTTGCAGTTTTGGTGTCGGTGATTTTTGCTGATTTTAGAGATTTTTTGAAAGTCAAATTAGAATTTTCTAGTTTGACGTCATTGAAGTTTGCTGATTAGTAGCTTTAACTTTTAATATCTAGCCTAAAAATTATAGCTTTCTAGTCCGAATTCCAATATAAAAATGACCAAAATTCCGAACTTTTCACCAAGTTCTCCACAACATTCCAAAACCTAATAAACCAAAACATGAAGATTTTAATCGCAATTCTCATCGCAGCCTTCATTGCCACTGTCTATTCCGAAAAAGGTGCAAAGAAGCAAAGCAACTCTGACTTCCGACAAATGGTCAAAGAAGCTTCAGATTTCATCAACAGTTTCAATGGAACTGCTCAAGAATTCGAGTCAATTGTCAAGTCTGAGTGCTCAAATGGTGCTGATTTTACACCAGCACAAGCTGAAAGATATATAACAGCAGTTTGCAAGAAGGTCAATAAGAAGTCAATATTTACTTGCAGTGACTTTAGAACTATTGTTTCTCAATGTTGAGTGAGGCTTGGATTGCTGCAGGAATTTTCTATTTTTGATGAAGTATTTTGTCAGTAATTTATGTGAAAATAAAAAAAAAATTGTACTTTTTTGAAATTTTTGATGTTTTATTGAATTTTAAGGTTAAACCCCGAAAAGCACATGACACCAAAAAGTCCGGTCACCATTTAGGACATAGCTTCATAGTAAACTGCTGACAATGATCTATTTTGGTGTCATTTGCTTTCCAGGAAAGTTCTTTAATCTTAGGATTTTTTTAGCTCAGAGGGATAAGGGGCTGTTCACTTATTACGTAACGCGAAAAAATGACTTCTTAGACCCCCCCTCCCCTCGTAACAAAATTTGTATGATAAAAAAAAACATTTCCTTGTTTGAACCGTAACAAAATCTTAGACCCCCCCCTCCCCCTAAAAGCGTTACGTAATAAGTGAATGGCCCCTAACAGCTTGATGTAAAAAATACAGAAATTTTTTTTTGAATAATTTACAAAACTGATGAAAATTGGAGGAAAATTTTAATTTTTTTCTGAAAATCTTTTTACACGAAGTTGTTTCCCCCCTGAGTTTTCCACAGCCATTCAAAAATTCACTCAACAATCTTATTAGCAATCCGCAAAGCATCATTCACAATTCTTTTAAACTCATCACAAGTTATGATCCTGCTAGTCAGCTTAGTACACGTAGTTATTGTAAACATGTCAATTTGAGGCTGCTTATATGGACCTTTATAGTTTTCAATCTCCTTGACTATCCCAGCTTGTAAAACTTCCAAAGATCCAACAAAATTGTTGATTTTATCTGCAGTGTAGTGAATTAATGCCACTAATTTGTCATGATCGTTGCAATTTACTAATTTGAGTATTGTTAAAATTAATAAAAATGCAGCTTGAAACTTCATAATTTAGCTTGGGTGTGGACTAGACTTGACTAAGTATCCATAAAAAATTTTAATTTTTTCAAGTCAGGGAAAATTCAGGGGGGAAACAACTTCGTGAAAAAAGACTTTTTAGAAAAAAATTAAAATTTTCCTCCAATTTTCATCGGCTTTGGAAATTATTTTAAAAAATTTGTCAAATTTTTTCACCAAGCTGTTATCCCCCTCGAATAAGAAAAATTAAAATTTTCCATAAAAAAATTATAATTTTTTATGGTTGAAATTTAGGTCGGGAGAGTCACGAAAAGTTCCAAATTGTTCTTTTAGTACTAATTGCTATTAGGGCGGGAGGGTTTGTGTCAGGGGTGTGGCAGGTACCCCCCCCCCCCCCCCTCCCCCTTTGGAATTTTTTTTTCGACTTACCAGAGTTTTTGAGAAAAAGTCCCAAACCCAAAAAAAAACTTCCGGCTTCACTCCTAGTCTGAGATTTTGTTCCCCCCTCCCCTTCCGACCCACCCCCTCCCTTTTCAAATATAAAAAAATCAAATGTAAATGCTCAAATAAAAATCATTTATTTAATAATTAAGTGCATAAACTAAACTCATAAAATCAACAATTTAATCACTCTTAAAATGGGAAAAATTCGCTTCAACTTCCTTCCTAACAATTTGCCATCGCAGCCTTTAAATCATCACATTGATAGTCTGAAGTTTCCTTGATTCTGTCACAAACAGCATTTTCAAATTGATTCTTTTGAGCTTGCGACAATCCTTGAGGAGCTTTTGCGCACATTTCACTGACAGCTGCCTGGAACTGATCGTTGTCACCACTGAATGTGTTTACAAAAGTTGCGGCATCTTTGACAGCTTTTTGAAATTCTTTGTGGCTTGGTTTGCTGCCTTTTTGAGAATGAGCTGTGGCGATAAAGACAGCGACGAGAATTGCAATGAAAAGCTTCATTTTGATGATTTTGTTTAAGCAGTTGAAGGAAGACTTGGAAGAGCATTTGAATTGTGCTGTATTTTATAGTCCATCGATGGATATTTAAGAGGACGGTCAATGTTTTTGTGGACATGAAAGTGGCAGTTGCAATTTTTGGAGGTTCGCAGATTTGACTTTCAAAAGTTCTTCAAGTTCAGCAAAAATCACCGACACCAAAACTGCAAAAAACAACTCAAAAATCGTGAATCGGCCATAAAAGTTGATAATAACAATTTTAAATCCAGTTCCACAAACCCTACAATTTTAAATTTAAATTACAACTTTCAAGTTCCTCAAAATTTAATGAAATACTTGAAAGCTTCAATTTTGACTTTTTGTGGATGTCCAGCATCAAAATGTTCAATATAAAAGACCAGCAGTTCCAATGGAAACTCAGACTTGACATAAATCAATCCAGTCTTTAACAACTAATTCAAAAATCACCAAAAAATGAAGTTCTTAATCGCATTCATTGCCTTCGCTCTCATCTCAACAGCATACTCAGCAGGAACAACCAAGAAGACAACAACGGCACCACCACCACCAGTCGATCCAGTCTCAGCAATGGTCAACTTGATCAACACTTATACTGGAACTGACTTGAAAGGATTTATTGGAAATTTAGCAAAGAGCGAATCAGGCACATATCCACCAAATGTCATTGCTGATTTCTGTACTGCTGTTTGCAGCAAGTTGACGGCAACATCTAAAATCACTTGTGCTGACTTTACGAATGCTGTTCAATCCAACTACAATGCAGCACGAGCAGCAAAGTAAATGGACTGTGGAGATGAATTGGGCAATGACGATCAATGGCGATTCTGAATATATTTTTTGGCACTTATATTTACTTAAAAAGTAAATAGAAAATGGGAAAAATTCGCACGAAATTAATGAATAATAAAATTTTTAATCTGCATTCACAAAATGAAATTTTTTTACTTTTGTTTGCTTAATTCATAATTTTAAATGCTGTGGTTAAAGAACAAAGCATGTCCAACCTTTAAAGATTCATTGAGATGATGGAAGTTCCTTAAGAATGCTAAGTTCTAAACTTTGAGTGTCATTTTAGTTTTAGATCTGGATATTGAGAATGCTGGCTACTTCATTGATGATAGAAGCTTGTCTCAGTGGCACTAATCTGCACATTGTTCAGTTTGACATCAAATATGAGGTACACATGCTCAATCCTGGTGATTTTGAGTTTGTTTTTCTTAAAAGTTTTGCGAAATGGTCTGAAAATTATGATCCCCCTCAGAAACAGGGGTATTGCCAAGGAGACAGGCACGTAGCCAAGGAGACAAGAGCCGGCCAGTCAGGAAAGGAGATTTGGTTGACCAAAAAAAAAATCATCATCAGAAATTTCTTCAATTTGCCGAAGGTTTTTATCAAAAAAATCGAAAAATCCACTTTCAAAAGTTTTCAAAACAAAAAAATTTTTTTTGCCCCCCCCCCCTCCTTTAAGTTACTGGCCGTACCCCTGCAAAGAAGACTGACAATTAGGTGATATAGTTTATTATTTGCTAGGGTTATTTGAAGCCATTTGAAGTTTTTTTTTTAACCAAAATCTATTTTTTTATAAAACTCTTGATTGAAGGTCCATAAAAATTTTCCCATCATGATGTTGTCCCCTGCGTAGCCAGAATAAAGAAGGGGGAGGAAAAAATTTTTGTATGGCAAATTCAGCTCGGGGTGATTTTTAAGATTTTCTCATAAAAACCCTAGCAACAATTCCGTCAACGTAGGGGAGTTTGTCCCCACTCCACCCCATCCTGACTACACGCCTGCCCATTGTAGCTACAAAAAACTTAAAAGCATTAGTCAATCTACGGAAAACCCCTCAAACAACCTCAATTATTTCATGAATCATGTTTATTTGTCACCTAACATTAGAAGCTTAGAAACACATAATATTGAAATATATAGAATTAAAGTTTAGCAAATTACATGACTTAAAGCACATAGCTTGTTAAATTATGACTTTTAAGGTTAAACAAAAGTCTTCAAACCTGTAATTTCTAATTCTATTGGTACTTTTTGCCAACATTTTCAAACTATAAAAGCTGCAGGAACTTCAACTAAAACTCAATCAAGTTTTTAAATTCCTAAGGAAGAATCAACCCAAAAGAATCACCAACAAAATGAAAATTGTCATCGCAATCACCTTAATCGTTATCATTTCAGCAGTTTCTGCTCAAAAGTCAGCAACAAAGCAAGATCCAATGCAGATTGCAGCATCCCAAATCGCTGGTTATATCAACAACTTTAAAGGAACAAGTGAAGAACTTAAAGCAGATTTAACAAGCAAAGCAAGCAGTGAGAAGGGAACTTACTCGTCAGCTCAAATTGACAGCTTCTGTAAAGGTGTTTGTGCTCAATTGTCACAAAATGCTAAAATATCGTGTGCAGGATTTACAGCGGTTGTCAAGACTAACTTTAAGGCTACTAATTAAATTAGTTTAGGAGAATAAGAGTTGAGAAGCATGAAGTGAGCATCAAGTAAGGCTCTGGATGGCTATTTGGCTATGTTCTTGTTGTAGATTTAGAATCTAAGGTAAAAGGTTTAAAATAAAGTTTTGAGTCCATCCAAAGGTTGTGAATTTTTTTTTGTCTTCCGGGCAACACTTGACTCATCTGTGATTCTATCAATCCTGATCGTTCTGTCTTATTGTCATGACTTTATCTTATGCAGAGCTCGAAGTCGATAGGGTTCGAGTCGACTCGAGTTGACTCGACTCGACTCAAAACCGTGTCGACTCAACTTTTCTCGAGTCTGCTCGAGTCCACATCATTTTCTCGGAGTCAACTCCGAATCGGCTCGACTTGAGTCAACTTGGAGTCAATTCGGAAATATTTTTTTTTTTGTATGAAGAAGTCGACTCAAAGTTGACTCCAAGAAAATGAAGTCGGCTCGAAAAAACCCAAGTCGAGCTCTGATCGTAAAACATTCAGTCAACATCTAACCTTTCTGTCATCTGCAATCTAGTTAACACTCGACTCTTCTATCTTATTGTCTATCACTGACCCTCCTTTGGTCTGGTTCAGCATATGACCCCCAAAATTTCTTGATAATTCAATAATTTTGTTTGTGGCTGTTTTCAAGGTTAGATTCAACAATTAAATTTTATAATCATTTTGGATCTTAATTACATTAAGTTCCACTACATTGGAAATATTTAAACAAATTTACGTCAATTAAGCATTAATTTTTTTTCGGGTATAAAAGGTAGCTTTAGCTGTTCATGCAATCACAGTTCAAAGTATCGAGCTTTTCCACCACATCAAATTCAAATTTAAACACGCAAACGGAATGAAGTCATCAATTGTAGCTTTGATCGCAATAATCAGCACCTTAGCCTTCATCTCAGCCCAGCCACCACCACCAATTCCTCCACCAGTTTTAGAAAAAATCAATCACATCTCAAACTTTATCAATAACTTTAGTGGAACTCGTGAGGAACTTGAAAAAGCTTTGATTGCAAACATGGACAAGGAACATGGCAAGGATATGGCACCAAACTTTCCACCAGAAAAAATTCAAATGTTTATCGACATGGTTGCCAGTAAAATAAATAGCAAGGTCATGAGTGGTGATGATTTTAAGGCATTTACTAATAAGCAGATATCAGGCAGGCAAGGAGCATAAGTGAGGAGATTTATTAAGTTTTTTTTTGATAATGTAGCTAGATTGTGACTAAGTTGATTAAATAATAAAGTTATATATATTTTTATGAGCATTTAAATTTGATTAGTTTTTTGATCAAGTGATGTAACGAGTGGCTTGTGTGGCAAAAAAGGCATCCAGTAACACGTTGGAATGACTGAATGTGAAGCTATTTTGGGTTTATAATTGATTGCAGTGACGCAGCACTTGTTAAGTAAAAGATAAACTTTAAGGCAGTATTTCTCAAATCACTGGCTTAACATGAAGCAAGGCATGGATTCCTTGCCTTTAAATCAATCCTTGCATGACCCTAAACTAAGCCTCTCTTCTAGCTACGTCTCTTACTAGCAACATTGAGTCAATTTTTCAGTTCTCTGAGTGATCTTGCAAACTACAGCTCTGCTAAAAGCCAGCCAGCCAGCTAAACAGCTAGCTCAAGGAAGGCTTGACAAAATTCGGGGTTATTTAAATCATTCAGCTAACTTCAGTTACACCAGCCAACTAGCAACAATTATCAATAACTACGTGTGCTGATTATTTAATTGCAAAATTACTCATCATGTCTCATTTGAAGCTGTGTCAACTAATCAAACAGTTTTTGCCAATTTCTTACGAAAAAACACCCAAAATTATCGCCTAAATTTGTTAAATTGAGCATAGAAAAATTAATCAATTTAGCCATTATCACGTCAGTCTGATGTGTCAAAAATAGTATAAAATGTCAAGTAAGTTTCACAAAATCCACAAGTTATCATTCAACTATCAAAGTAGCTTGTTGACATTCCACAACAAATCAGCCTTAAAAATGAAGTTTGTTATCGCAGTTCTTGTTGCAGCACTCGTCTGTATCGTCACATCCGATCCACCATCAATGGAGACTATGATTCAAGCCATTGCCAATGATGCCAATTCATTCACTGGAAGTGCTGATGCCTTTAAAGCTCAAACTAAGGAAAGAATTGCAAAGGATCCAAATCAATATACTTTGGAGGATGTCCAAAAGTTCATGGATGCAGTCTGTAAATTGTGGACAGCAGCATTCTTGAAGTGTGCTGAATTTAAGGACTTTGTGATTGCTGAGAAGAAGGCAGCTGGAAAGATTAAGGCATAAAATGTTTATGATTGAGGATCTTTTGTTGTTGCTGTTGATGACTTACGGATTATAACTTAACTTTTATTATGATTTAATTTGCACTGAGTAGAAAAAATGGGAAAAATTTGCACAAAAAATTATTTTGAATAAATTTCATTTTTTGCATCGAAAAAGGTTTTTTTTGATTTTCTCGAGTTTTCAACTTATTTGAAATTTTTTAATTTTTTTTATGATTTTTATGATTTTTATGATTTTTATGATTTTTATAATTTTTATGATTTTTATGATTTTTATGATTTTTATGATTTTTATGATTTTTATGGTTTTTAAATTTTTTGAAATTTTTTGAACTTTTTCCAATTTTTTTCAACTTTTTTTAAATTTTCAAATTTTTCAACTTTTTCGCTTTTTCGCTTTTTTAACTTTTCTCAACTTTTATTTTATTTTTTAAAATTTCCTTTTTTTTGCCTTTAATTTCCAACTTTTTTTTTTAAATTTTCAAATTTTTCACCTTTTTTCGCTTTTTTAACTTTTCTCAAATTTTATTTCAAAATGAATCAAAATGTTTTTTAAAATTTTCTTTTTTTTGCCTTTAATTTCCAATTTTTTTTTTTAAATTTTCAAATTTTTCACTTTTTTTCGCTCTTTTAACTTTTCTCAAATTTTATTTTTTTTTTATTTTTTTAAAATTTTCTTTGTTTTGAATTTTCAACTTTTAATAATTTTTTCAACTTTTTGAAATTTTCTATCTTTCTTATTTTTCTATTATTTCAAGTTTTTAAAGGTTTTTAAATTTTTTCAACTCTATAATTTTAAATCAAATTTGCCAAAAAAAACTCTTTTTAATTTACAAACTTCGTCATAATAGTTTTTAAATTACTCAGAATTGAACATTTCATTCACATCGTTATCACCTACACACAAAATATATTCAACCCGTTTACTCGTCTGCGCAACAGTTGGTTGCTTCGACAATAAGCACCACACGTATCTACAATTAGTTCCATTTCATATTTCATTCAGTACAGACGTGAAGCTTAAAGTTCTAGAAAATTTTAATAAAATGTGAATTTAAATTTTTTAATTATGAATAAAAAAGTGCAGCTAATCTTGAATTCGCTGTTGACAGTCATAGCTGCTGTGGGATTTAGTGGAGCTCAAGAGTGTGAAAAGAATAATGTTAAAGGTAAAATTAATTTTGGACAGCCTGGTTTAGATAAGATTCTGTTCTTAATTGTGCATGCAATCCACGTTCATAGCCCAAAATGCCATGTCTTATCAGAGCTCAAAGTCAACTCGCAATCTTCTTCGATTTTGTATGGCAGAGTCGACTCCGAGTTGACTCAATGCCATACAAAACTTGATCGACTTCGAGTTCTGAGTCTTATGACATTAAAGCTTATTTTGAACATTTAAGACAGATGTTAATAATATTGAAACAAAAAAAATCCAAACTTAATTCAATCTTTGTGTAATTACAATAGCAGAGAGCAGTGATGGTCAATCCATGTGCCACAGTACCATCAAGATGTGCCATGGCACAAAAAGGTTGACCACAACTGTATATCTAGCAACACAAAATGCCAAAAACATTTTCACCAAAAGGGCTGTTCACTTATTACGTTACGCAAATAAACTTTTTTCACCCCCCCCCCCCTCCCCTTGTTACAATATGTTACAACTCACAACCCCCCACCCCCTGAACGTTCATAATTTATTTTATTTTGATAATTTTTTTTAAAAGACAGTCGACAGTTAGAACGTTACATACTTCTTGACACTCCCCTCCCCCATATGTTACAGTTTGTTACAATATTTCAACTCCCCCCCCTCGCCCTCCTAAAATGCGAATGTAATAAGTGAACGGCCCCAAAGCATGTTGTTTGCATTTAAAACTCATCAAAGTGCATCAGAAGCAACCCTAAAAGCTCTTCATCATCTTTAACATCCTAGTCTTAAAAATCCAAAAGCATACAGTCCCATAAGAGTAATAATTGACTGCAATCATGCAAAGTTATCATTGAATACCATTCTAATGTGTTTCCATAACAATCATGACCTTACTCAAATAAAACAATTATTTGAATTGAACTGCTTCTCGTCATAATAACAATATGATGACAATTATCAACAGATAGGCTTGCTGTTACAAATAACATTACATCAGAGTTGCGATACAGGCACAGGAGAGAACCGTACAATTCCTTGATAATTTAAAAACTTTTTCAACAAAGCCATACAAATTCTAATAAAACCTCACAAATTATCATGGAATTGTACGGTTCTCACTGGTTCACAGTTGCCTGTATCGCAACCCTGCATTACATGTAAGCAAGGGAGGGAGGGGGAGGGGGGTCTGAAGTAAAACTGTGAGTTTTGACGAGTTTGGTCCCGAAAACCCCAGAAAACCAAAACTTACTTGATTCTGCTGACTTCACTCCAAAATAATAATTAATTATATCCAATATTCAACAAGCAGCTTTGACCACAAACAAACCCAATTTCAAAATGTCCAATTTTTCCATCTCATTTGACAGACTGTAACAAAGTTTACAACTCAATCGACCAATCAGATGGCATCATTACAAGTCCTTGTTATCCATCAAACTATCCCAACATCACAGTCTGTAAATATGAGTTTATTGGAAGGACAAATGAGAGAATTCAATTGAATTTTATTGATTTTTCATTAACCGGAAATCACACTGAATGCTATTACTCGGATACGGTTGAGGTAGGTGAGAGGATAGATAATTGAATTTTTCATTTTCTGTTGACATTGAACTTGAAGCTATTTTTGATTTTTTTACACTGTCGCTTGATGCTTTATGACTTTTTAAAATTGCTTACTAAATACGATTTTCTTTTTCAATAGATTTTCATGTTCATTAAGGATAAGTATCAACCTGTGCAGCTGCTGTGTGGACTGCACCAACTACCAGGACCAATATTGTCTTACAACAACAAAATGCAAATTGAATTTCGTGGTATTTATGGCGGTAAATTGGAGAATGCTCGTGGATTTAAATTGGAATTTGCATTCATTAGGCGTAAGTTGGTTGTGGTTTGAATTGTAGTGTGAGTCTAGGTCATTGCTTCTCAAACTTTGTTCTGTGATACTCTAGTCGATCTTAGATCCTTGTTTTCTTGGATCCTGATTCTTGGTTCTTTTTGGTTCTTTGTTCTTGGTTCTTGGTTCTTTTTGGTTCTTGGTTCTTGGTTCTTGTTTCTTGGTTCTTGGTTCTAGGTTCTTGGTTCTTGGTTCTTGGTTCTTTTTGGTTCTTGGTTCTTGGTTCTTGATTCTTGGTTCTTGGTACTTGGTTTTTTGTTCTTGGTTCTTGGATTTTGGTTCTTGGTTCTTGGTTCTTGGTTCTTGGTTCTTGGTTCTTGGTTCTTGGTTTTAGGTTCTTGGTTCTTGGTTCTTGCTTCTTGGTTCTTGGTTCTTGGTTCTTGGTTCTTGGTTCTTGTTTCTTGGTTCCTGGTTGTTGGTTGTTGGTTGTTGGTTATTGGTTGTTGGTTGATGGTTGTTGGTTCTTGGTTCTTGGTTCTTGGTTCTTGGTTCTTGGTTCTTGTTTCTTGTTTCTTGTTTCTTGGTTCCTGGTTGTTGGTTGTTGGTTGTTGGTTGTTGGTTCTTGGCTGCGCTCTAAAAAACTTCTCTGCAGTTTTTGTCATGTGTTTTATATTTGAAAAGCATTATTTACACAATTCTGAACTATCAATTTATTTTTGATTCTCTTTTATTATGGAACTCCATTTAAATATACTGAATAATTCAACAAAATGAATCAGAACTCCATCATTGGATTACATTTCCATTTAAAGCTTATCAATGATGTGGTATTGATTTAATTAGATTTAATGTAAAGCTTGTTGAAAATGGGATGAAAAGTTAAAAATGCGGAACTGATTAAAATTGATCCAAAATTGACAAAAATTATTCTGTTCAATTCTGAACATTTGGGTAAAATTCGAATAACTTTTGACTGAGGGGAGGTTGGGGGTCTGAATTGCCAATTAATAAAGCAATTGGCTAATCGACAAATTCTAATTTCAGATTACGGAATCAAGTCAGGCAAGCAAGTTGACAACAAATGTGATTTTATTTACAATTCAAATGAAACCAAGGCTGGGGTTATTAAGTAAGTGTTTACAAATTGATGATTAGTTTTTAATAGCACGTGTTGTGGCAATGTTGCTCTGACATAATTCCAATGCCAGTCATATAAAGCTTCCATAACTTTATTCAATTTAAGCCAAATTACCAAAAATTGACAAACAAAAATTGAAAATTATATTAAAAATATTTAAATTAAAAAAATCTCATTTTCACACAATTTTCAGCTCACCAAATTTCCCCGGCTCATATCCAATTAATATGGAATGCAATTATTATTTCCATGGAAATGACAATGAAACAGTTGAAATTTTATTTTCATACTTTGATGTCGAAGGTGTGTTTCCATGTTACGGTGACGACGTCTCTAGTGACTCAGTTGAATTTTCCAACTATCCATCACGTGACAGAAAATTAAAGTTTTATTGTGGAAAGGTGAGTCGGGTTAAGGTGTGGGCTGATTATCAGCTTTAAGTTCAAATTATTCGTTTTTCAAGGTTGACCATGCATTTACATTAAAATCTGAAAATAAATATTTTCGAGTGACATTTCGAAGCAATGACAGACTGGATGGAACTGGATTTAGAGCATCTTATAAATTTATTAGTCCAATTAAAAATGAAACTCGTACTCAATATATTGAGATTAATATTGAAAATTCATCAAGAAAATTGAATATTTCTATTTTATTAATTTTTATAGGAAATTTTGTATTTTTTAAATTTTGTTAATTTAATAAAAATGAATTAAAATTTTAATTTGACTTGAATTGGTTGCTTGCTGTATTCTAAGGTTGACACAGTTCTGTGGGGTTACTGGAAGGGTATAGATCATTGGCCAGCATCTGTAGCTTCTCCATAATGGAACATTTTATAAGATTTGATTAAAAACAGACTGCCACTAAGGTTACATTCCTTGAGTAGCTACAAAAACCCACACCAGTGTTGGTCGAACTATGATCCGCGACACCCAAATGCTCAAAAAGTTTCAAGCCAGTCGAGAAATTGACTTTTTTGCAATAGAATTATCATATAGTCCCCCTTTTGTATAGCCCCCGGTAGGAGGGGGGGGGGGGCGGTTGTAGGTTGAGTGACAAATCCTGCTAAGTTTACTTTCTTATTTTCCTAGGGTTTTAATAAAATTAAACAGTATTGCATTTGGTATGGTTAATTGGCAAACGGAAGCCAGCGATAGAGTCAGCTTCAGGCGCCATCTAAGGGAGGCCATGGATTACAATTGATCTGTACGGCCAGCGAAGTAAATAAGTTTAATGGAAAATCCCACAAAAAAACATTCTTCTAATGAATGTCTTCTTCCCCCTCTTAAAATTCCTAGCTACGTACTTAACCCCCCTAACACATCCCCTTATGATATAGTCTCAACCCTACTTTATATCAACCAACCAACTCCAATCAACAAAGTGTCACAATTTCTTAAGCTTTACAAGCCACAACATCATTCAAAACTTTTGTCAAATAAAACCTTGCATTGTCCTTGACATTATCAGCAAGACCAGCAACAGCAGATTCAACATAAACAGCAATTTGGAATTGATTAATAGCTTTTGTCAATTTTACAGTTTCACAAGCGTCGTCAGCAATTTCCTGCATAATTCTGAACTTAGAATTTATATTTGAACTTGTGACTCCAATTAAGGTGCTGTTGAGTTGTTTTAGAAGATCGTTCCAGCTACCGGATGCGGTTGGAGTTGTTGCTAGCTTGGTTGTTGTTGGTCCTGGTTTAGCAGTTGATGAGGTTGATGTAGCAGCTGAAGTGAGAGTCACGAATAAAATGACACAGAAAAGTTTAAGCAAATTTTGATCCATTTTTTAAGTCAAAGCTTTTTGAAAACTGAAATAAAATTTCGAACCTAACCTCAATTTATATAAAATAATTTTCACATTAACAAGTCATTTGCTGGACTTTATAAATTGTTATTTAATTGATAGAAAATTCAAATTATACATAATTAATCAGCTCGTTAATATTTTGACCATTATTCCTCATCACTTGATGTGTCCATTGATGCAGACAGTCGAAATGTTTCCTCATAAGTGGGTGGAAGTGCTACAAAGTTCAAAATTATTTTCAGCTTCATTGTTATCGCAATTGTTCTTACCCCCTTTCCTATGCCAACTGTCCTCAAGCAATACATTCTGGTTCATTATCGGGATTGTTCCAATTTTAATTGGAATTTTAAGCACTGGACTTTTGTTCCATCCAATTGTCTTTGCTTTTATCCTCAGTTCATATGTCACGCTGATTATCTCACAGTTTTCTATGTTTGGTGGAACTGGTGGAATTGAAATCGCTCGAAGGAAGTCTCGATTTGTCTTGGGTGGAATTTCATGATAAATTACTTCTTTTACTTCTTTTTCTGAGACTTTCTTTTGTTGTAATTTTGGTTTGACACTGAAAATATTTTATAAGGGGTGTGAAACTATGAATTTATTCCTAAAGAGGCATGAGTCTATGTATTTTGACACTCAGGGGTATGATAATATAAATTAAGGCACTGAGGATTATAAAACTATGAATTAAGGCAACCAAGGGGTATGAAACTATGAATTAAGATATTAAGGGGTATGAAACTATGAATGTGAAACTAAAAGGGTATAAAACTCCGAATTGATTCACAAAGATTTATGAAACTATGAATTGAGGAATTAATGGGTATGGAACTATGAATGTGAAACCAAAGGGTATAAATATATATATATATATATATATAATGTGTGAAGGGCCCAGCCTTTCAGCTGGAGGCACTGCGATTCAAATTAGAACAGAATCTATTGTACCACACCATTTAGACCTACAGTTTATAGTGGGATCCGAACCACTTGCAAGCTCTGTACATTGCAAAGACACGAGTACGTCATAAGACCTGATGTACCCTGCAATGTACCTGGTCACAATTCGTGTGTTCAAGATGCCGTAATGAAGTCATCCAGATGCTAGTATATCCTTGTATACCTAGCAAAGGAGGCATATTCTATGCCAAAGACATCAATACTACACCCAACACACGAACCGAGCTTCGTAACTAGAACGGTGAAATGGAAAAAGAGCTTCGAAAATTAGACATGGCCTGGGATTGAACCCAGGACCTTTGGTACGTAAGGCCAACGCTCTACCATTTAGGTCACTGATGCCATTTCACCGCTAGGGTATAAAACTTTGAATTGGAGCACTAAGGGATGTGAAACTATGAAATAAGGTACTAATGGGTATAAAACAATGAACAAAGACACTAAGGCGTTTAAAACTAAGAATTGAGGATCTAGAGGTATGAATCTTTGAATTGCGGTTGCTAAGGTTGAATTAAGACCACTAAAGGGTGTGAAACTATGAATTGCAGTACTAAGGGATGTGAAACTACACACTTACCTAGTAAACACAGCAATCTTTTTCAATGTAATCTTCAAATACTTCACCCTAGTCTTTCCGAAATTCTCAACCTGAATCAGCACCTCAATTGATTGTCCAACGACAAATCCACCTTGCGGAATGACTGCAACTAAATTAATATCACTTGATGCTAGATTGAAATTAAATGACTTTAACAATTCCTGCCTAACAGGATCTTTGAGTGCTGGAACAGCTTCATTCAAGTTTATTGGACAAATTACGATGAACGGAAGCTCAAAAAACATTTCCGATTTTGAAAGACTCTCGAACTTTAAATCAACTTGAATCTTGTATTTTATCATTCCATACTTTGACTTGAATGATGTCGGAAGTGATGAAGGAAGTTCGAATGAGAAATCAAAATTGTTGAGACTTGATGTGAGTTCATTGCCATTGCTGTTTGGATCTATGATGGTTATTCTGTGGTTTAAGTAGTCTACACGGCTGCTGTATTTTTGTAGATTGTATCTGGAGATGTCGATGGTCCATTCGCATTTGGCAAAGCCGATTATCTTGCAGATTATTGCTGGAAATGATGAAATTTGATGATTTAGGTTTGAAATTGATGATAATCAAGAATTACAATTTATTTTGACACATTCTGTTAGACTTATTTCTACAGTCCCTTCAAGTAGGCTACCCGCATAGAACACACCATTTATGTTCCTAAGAAATTTTATTTCACAATTCATTTTGGTTTTTTATTCGAATTTTAGTTAAAGTTGCTTAATTTTATTCAAAATTCTCGAAATATTCAAAATCCTTATAATCTCAAAAATATTCAAAAATTCTAAAATTGTCAACAAACTTAAACCTGTTGACAGTAAACACAAAACTGGCTACTAGCAAAAAATGCTGAAATTATTAAATGCGAGATTGATAAGGTTTAAATGGTGATAAGATAAATTACCCCAAAATAAATCATTTGTTGATATCATCAGTATCGGAAATGTGATTCCGCTTCAATAAAACTGATAACCGAGTGAAATTGTCTGATTTGTTTTTGGTTTTTATTGATGAGTGCAATTTTTTTTATAGATTGTTGACCCTTGTGGGGATTTTGTTAGGAATTAAGAATACTTTTGATTTTTTTTAGAATTTTATAACAAATTTGAGTTTTTATTTATTTAGAACGTTTCAACATGCATTGAATTTCACTAGCCCCTTCTCTTCCTTCCTTTTACCCCCCCCCCCCCTATCCCCCCTCTCTATTCTCCTCTCACCCCTTCCCCCTTTTCTCCCTTCCCCACTTCTCCCTTCCCCTTCCCTCTTCCCCCTTTCCCTTCCCCCTTCCTCTTTCCCTTTGCCCGTTCCCCGTTCCCCCCCTTCTCCCCTTTCCCCCTCCCCCCTCTCCCATAGACCATTTGTTCTAGCTTAAATAATTAACGACTTTAATTAATTTTTAAAAAAACCCATTTAATGTCTACTTAATGCTAAAGTAGCATTCTTGATGTCGCAGCACACAATTTGAGCACTCCTGTCCTAGATGAACATAAAACTTTATTTTCTCTCAGAAATATTCATCAAAATTGGCTTCATTGGTGTGAGGACCATAAATTTGGGATTGAACTTTATTTCCTCATTCATCATAAATTTGTCTTGAAGCTCAAACTTAAAATTCCTCAAAAGTGTTGCCAATCCAAATTTCATTTGAATCCTTGCCATTCGCATACCGATGCAGTGTCTATTTTACAGCATATAGAAGTAAATAATTTTTTAAAATTACAGTGGAATTTTAAGCTAATCAGAGCCAAGAATTTTAAGCTAATCAGAGGCTGCACACCAGCTCCATACAACAAAAAATAAACCAAATCTCACCTCGGTCCATCTCCAAACGGCGCATATACAACACCTTCATCAATCTTTGCATTACCATTTACTGATCTTTCAAATCTTTCAGGTATAAACTTCATTGGCTCATCATAATATTGAGGATCACGTTGAAGTCCAAAGAATGGAATAAAAATTGAAGTTCCTTTCGGAATTGTCACATTTGAATCTGGGATCTTATAATCTTTAGAATTGACTCTATTTAGTAACCCACCAAGAGGATATTTCCTTAATGTTTCACTTATACAGCAATCGAGATACTTCATGTCCAATAAGGCATCGTAGGTGATTTCATCTGACTTTTGGGAATCAAGGATTTGATCGATCTCTTGTTGAAGTTTTTGTTTTGCTTGTGAGTTTCGTGATAGTTCGAAAAGGCAGAAGTGCATGCAGGAACTTATGGTTTCAAAGCCTAAAAGAGAATTGGTAAGAATATTGAAATTTTGCAGATTTAAAGCCAGACAGCCTAACAGTCCGACAGCCATACAAGCAAACTTATCAATCAAACTTACCTCCAATAGTAAACACAAATGACTGTCCAATCACTTCATCCATTGAAATTTTCTTCATCCTATCCACATCTGTCTGCTTCCTGGTCCACTCATCCTCAACTTCGTCATCCTTATCAGCAGGAAGATACCCAACGTTTCTTAGCCTAATCAGCAGATCCATAAAGTCGTTCCTTTGATAATTGTTCTTCTCACGATGAGCAATTGTCTGTTCCACCATGGACACAATGTATGGACTGACTTCAGGTGTAAATGGATTCAACTTTAAGAATGTGAATAAGTCAGGCAAGAAAAACATTAAGAAATTTTTGATTCCGTTGCTCATGCTAAGCTCAAAGACCATTAAGCTGATTTTTCTGAACATGTTGTCAGGCTCATTGATGCAGTCATTGTCTATGCCAAATCCAACAGATGATATTGTGCTTAATATGTATCTAGCCAGTGTGTCTTTAAAATCGAAGACATTTTCGCCATTTTTGATGTTTTTTCGGATAAACTTGAGTAAAACTTCCGTGCTGGTCTTCTGGATCGGAATCATGTTTCTTAACTTACCAGCTGTGAATGCCGGTGAGATTCTGACTCTCAATTCCCGCCACTTTTTACCCTCCATGTTAAACAGATTTGCCATTAATGGACAATATTCAGCAGATTCAGCTACCATTGGACGGTCGTGAAAGGTCGAAAAGTCTCGGATCAAAATGTCTTGAACTAGTTTTGGGTCATTAATGATCAATATTGGCTTATACAGCATATAAATGCCAAAAACCCTGTGATTTTTAGTTTTCTTATAGACATCCTCAAAAAATTCCAGGAACGACACTTGCTTTGTGAACAATTTCTTGCCATTTCCAAAGAAAAATTGTCCATCAAATTGTGGAATGTTCAATCGCGTCCAATAAGTCAGAAAATATTTACTCAGCAAGTAAATAATCAAAACAACAAAACCGGCAATGAGAATCAAATTCATGTTTCTTTGTGTGTTCACTTGACGGCAATTTTTAATCAACTGAGAGACTTTTAGACTTTTTGTCATACTTGATTAGAGAGAATTCTTGTCTGATGTAGCGCATGCATGTCTATTTTTGGATTTTTTTCGTTTTTTGACCTCAATTAGCGTTCATTGTCATGGCCAATTTAAAATCATATTGAATGGATGATTTATGAATTGAAAGATGGCAAAGATTAAGTGGAATTGAGAGGCGAGGTCGGGAATTTTAAAGGAGGAGGGAGAATAGGGGAGCGATGGTAAGGGGGAGAAGGGGAGAGGGGAAAGAAGGGGAGAAAGGGAGAGGGGGGAGAGGGTCAAGGTTGGGTCAAGGACGTAGTGAAAAAGTTTTTGCAGCTGGAAAAGTTTATTAATTTTGATGTCTACCTAAAAGAACTTTTACAAAGTTCATAAGATTATTAAGTAAATATAGCATGTTCTTATATCCCAAATTAAAAGCTAATTGTCATCAGTTCGAAATACTTCGTTGAAGAAGAAAAAACTAAAATTCGAGATATTTTCGAATCAAATATTAAACATTTTGCGATACCAAAATAGCACAAAATCAAAAATAAAGATGGACACCAATCAAGTAGTTCTTCAAAACTACTTCCATGATCACAATGCATATTCATCATTCAATCAAGCAACACGCAAGAATCACAGTCAACAAGATGCTGCAACAATAAAAGAAAATGACAAAATAGAACCTGAGCCAAGCATCAAAATTGAGTCAAAATTTAAGGAGTAAAAATGCTTCACTTCATCACATTAGCTATGTTCATATCCAAGCTTTGTTCCAATGTGACTTGAGTGGAGCAGCTATTAAACCAAAAAGTAATATTATCCATCATATGCAAGTTTACATAAAAAAAATTCAAAGGAGTTTATTAAATAAATTTATTCAATACAGTCCAGGGGGGTCTTCGATTTGAATAATTATTTGTTCAAAAACCTCCTGTACTAAACTTATTATTCTTTAGCTATGGGCTTAAACATCAGCTCTAACAGAAGTCAGCATCCTTTTTACACATCTCAACATACCATCTTGTGAGCCATTTATTCTCAACATTCAATGTGTTCAAATAGCCTTCGTCCATTTTTGCAATTTCTTTCTAAAATTTAATAAAATTTGATATTATTTAATAACAATATAAAGCTTTTAACTTACCGCCGGTGCTGGAAAAACTCGTTTCATTGCGCCACGATTTTTAGCTTCACGATAAGCCAAATGAAGTTCGTGCTTTTTATTGTTGTCCATACACCTAAGGCATAGCTTGCAAATTTCATTGGCGTTACATGACTCGTTGCATGGTCTGTTAATGCAGGTTTCTGGAAGGACTGTCCAACTTTCTTCATGTGCAATCATCGCTTCGACTTCAACATTCCTGGGTAAAAAATTAGAAATTACTTGGTTTTTTGAGGCAATGGCCAGGTTGATGAGGAATCTTGAAACCTAAGCTGATATCCCAAAAAGGCACACGGCGTAAAAATGGCGTTTCGAACGTGGAACCACACCAGATTTCACCGAACCCGGATGACAGATATATAGCTTTTTTTATTCTGTGCCCCTTTTAGGTATGTTTTGTTGACTTAGAGATGCTTAACTTAAGGTTAACATGGATGGTGCAACTAGCTACCTTTCAGACACTTTTACCTCGATTCCAACTCACCCAAATCTAAAATCCTCTTTCGGCATGTAATGTCCAACACCAATCAATGTAAACACATTGAACAAAAGATTCTCAAACAACCGTTGATCCCTAGACAGCAATGCTGATGGATTTACATTCGGACTTTGATTGACTTCAATAAGGAACAAGTCTAAGTTGTTGTTGAGGATAAAGTCAAAGCGATACAGCTCAAAGAATGTGTGTTTGAAGGCATAACGATGCATCTGGAATTAGAAATGAATTAAATTGAAATGTTTGAGTGATCTTAAGATGTAGGAGGATTAGCTTTCTGGGCTGGGATCAGTTCTCTGACTCCAATTCATCCTTAAACTTGCAAAAGTAACGAGTTTACACTCAACAAACCCAACCTCAAAAGTCAGCAGATGTTCCTTTAACTCTAATCATTCGCTGAAGGCACAAGTCAGTTAAGTGTGGCTTTGTCGTGGAGCCAGATTTAACTCATCCAGCTCCAGAGCCACGCTGGCTTGTTATCGGATTTCTAAATGACTAATCGACTTGTTCTTTCTGGGCTTATAAACATCCCTTCCCTCATATATCAGCATCCAATTCTTAAAATTCAACTCACCCAATACTTAAAGGTTGCCTCCTTTGGCACCACAATCTCCCGCACACAATCCTCAACTTGTGTCCAAATCCTACTGACATCATATCCATTTTTAGTCAAGTAAGCATTCAATGACTCTTTGTAGCTATAAGATTGATTGTAATAGACTGAAAGTTCATCAATTTCCCATGGAAATGCACAAGCATCAGAAATGACATAAGTATTTACATTTGTGTAGTTGTTCTTGTCATAATCTTCAGCACAGAGTCGAATTAGAACATTTTTCTCATAAATGTAGATCCTCAATGGACTGACTGAGGATATAAGGACGTATACACCAAAATCAAATTTCCTTCCAGAAATCAACAGTGGATCTTCGATATATTCCTGTCCAAAATATTTATATCCAGGTCCAAAAACTTTAAAATTCATTTCCTCAACTTTTCTTAGTGAAATTCCTCGATTGCTCCACAATTTTTGAACAAATCTCTTTCCTGGATTTTGTGCTGCATACTCCTTTAATTTTTCAGTATCATTGAATGCTTTTGGGATATACTTTGAGTCTGTATTGACTGCTAGATGATCCTTCATAGTAAGAACATAATTTCCAGGAATGTGATTGATTCTTTGATGATATTTGATATTCTTAAAGTCCAATGGAATTTCATTATGATAGTCATAGCTCCACAGCAGGTCCCAGTCAAGTGTCACAGGCTCACCATGCTTAATTTCCACATTAATCTTCTCAAGTCCAAGTCGACGTAAAACATTGTCGACTGAGAAAAATATCCACATGTACTGACGTGCCATATAGAACCAATATTTCGGTTTCTTTGGCTTATCGACAGTGCAATTGACTGCTGTTGCGTTATCCATTTGTTCATCCTTAACTGATGTCTTTAATTCAGCAGATTGTGGCTCAAAGTTAAACTTGATCTTGTCCTTAACATTGTAAATCAAAAAAGCCACGTAAATTCCAACAACTGCGATGAAAATTGACTGAAAAACTGGCTTTAATTTTTGCAGACGTGTCTTTTTCACTTTTTTAGCCATTGGACTTGTGGATTGGCTGACTTAATACTTTCGAATGACTGAAAAAGTTTCAGTTTTGCCGGCTTTTGAGTTTTATTGTCATGAATATTTTTATATTTTATTTGATTGTAAGACAGTCGGTCATGATTGCATAATGGAAAAAATCGTGAGGTTGTAAAAAAAGTCTATTTGGAATTTTAATGGAAATTACCGTCGCTAGGTTTTTAGGATCTTGTGTACCTGGACAAAAGTTTTCAAAAATTTGCAAAACTCTGAAACAACCGAAAATCTCAAATAATATAAATTAAATGCTATAAAGGACATTAGCGAGTCATAGTTGATTCAGAGTCTTAAGAACAATAGTTTGAATTTTTATGACCAAAAAAAATGTCTGGTAAAATCGTAGAATTCTTTAAATTTGAGTCAAACCAAGTAGCTAAGGTAGGCAATCAAGAAAACAAGTCAAATGGCAAAAGTGATCAAAATATACGCGAGTGTCGAATAGTTTTAACAGATGTGATGAAGCCATTGCCAAATCAACAACTGACAGTAAGTTCCAGCATTGAAACCAATAGAAATGCAGTTCCAGAAACGGGCAAAAGCATCAAGAACTTTTTAGTATTTAAACCAAACTTAAATAAGTCCGTCGAATCCAAAATCAATAAATTGTCATCAAATTCATCAAAAAACACAAGTTTAAAGTGTCAAACATGTTCAACAATTTTCAAGAAAGCCAACGGATTAAAAATTCATTCAAAGTTTTGCGTCAAAAAGTGCGATATCTGCGAAACAACTTTTACGACTAGAAACAGACTAAATGCTCACAATAAAAAATTCCATAAAGATAAGCTTAAGGACGCCATAATAATCTGCGATATCTGTGGAAAAGAATTTTTCTTAAAATATGGCCTAGAGCGTCATTTAAAGGCACATCAAGAACCAACTCAGAAGACAACATGCGAATGTGATTTTTGTGGAAAATTATTCAAAAATAGATCTTTAGTTCATGGTCACATGAAGACTCATTTGCCGGCAGTTAAGTGTAAAATTTGTCAAAAAGAATTGAAGCAGGGCTGCATAAACATGCACAACAAGATATTCCATGAGAATAATGCAACATTTCAATGTGAAATATGCTCAATAGTCTTCAAAACTGAACAGTACTTGAAGCAGCATAGAATGGTGCATGACAAAAAATTTGAATGCAACATCTGCAAGAAAAAGTATAAAAATCGATTTATCCTTAAGAAGCATGTCTACGAGTATCATGAGAATCCAAAAAGTAACAAGTGTGACGTTTGTGAGAAGAAATTTAACGAATTTAGAGATCTTAAAAAGCACAAAAGGATTCATGATAAAAACCAAAAAGCATTCAAATGTCAACTATGCAGCTTCGAGACAATTTACAGGCATAGCTTTACAAATCATGTAGAAATTCACAACGCATTAATTAGTAAATACGCAAATATTGACAATCCAATTAAATGTGACAAATGCTTCAGATTCTTTAAAGATAAAAAAGCACGTCGTGTGCATATAACAAAAGTTCATCCAGTCATTGTGATCAACTATCAATGTGATTTGTGTGGAAAGTATGTGAAGACAAAACATTCGATTACAAATCATATTGAATGCCATCTTAGGAAACGAAAAGATTAGGTGAAGCCAGAGTGACAGACAGCCATACTTACAGACAGCCATACTAAGGAACATCATGACATAAAAAGCTCGAAATTCAAAACTTCCCGCAATCAAATTCTCAGAGGGGCTGACAACTTTCATCAACAAACCAATACAGTTACACAAAATTTTCACATCAGTTCCTCGTACTTTTGTAAACATTCTCAATTCCTTCAGAAAATAAAAATTCAAAAAAAAATCCACAAAACTTGAAATTTTACTAAATCTATTCAACATGCTCGACTTACTCCCAAAGGAGCTGATCATTGAGACCCTTAATCTTCTTCCATCACAAAGCCTTATCGCCCTAACAGAGACTTGTAAATTATTTAATGAAATTGTCAGTGAAAATTCACATTTGACAGAGAATCTCGAGCTGCACTTTGTGCCTGAAAATAAGATTCTTACATGGACTGGATATCGGAAGTACTCTAGAGTCTATTTGGAAGGAACGGCTGCAAAGTATTATAGAGAAATTTTCATGGACATTTCTGATAATTTGAAGGAGCTGCAAGTGATTTGCCTGAACATGGAAGCAGCAATTTTGAAGGAAATTTTAATAAATTGCGTAAATTTAAAGAAACTTTTAGTCAAGGACAATAAGATCAGCTACAAGAATGAGGACTTTGAGGAGCCACTGCCACAATTGAGTCTACATACTTTACATTACAGGAACTTTACGCTGCAGTCGACGGAAATATTTAAAATTTTAAAAAATTGTCAGGTTCGTGAGATGAAAATTGTTGGATTCTCATCAACTTGTGAGACGCTTAGGAAGTTTATTAAGGCACAGACTGACATGCAGTCATTTGCACTCCATGACGCTGACAAAAATTCATCAATTTTCAGCAATGACGTCCTTAGTTCCTTGGATTTTAAACTCACAAAGTTAACACTTGATAAATATTCCGATGACTGTGATGGACTTGAGAACTTCCTGCAGAACCATCGCAGTTCCTTACAGCAAGTCGAGCTCAATGAAGTCAAGCAGGACGTCCTTAAATTACTTCAAAATTTTCCATTTATTCGAAAACTCAAAATTTTTGAAATGTTTTTTAGAAAAGAATTTCCAACTCTGATGAATAATATTAAGGAACTGACCATTGGATATGATGTGACTGGCAGCTGGGCTGTAAATTTTTCAAATCTCCGGTTCCTAAGAATAACTTGGATTAGATTTAAAAAGGATTTAATACAAATTGAGGAACTCAAAAAATTGGACAGACTTGAAATTGAGTTTTGTTGTGTTCCTGAATTTTCAATCCCGTCTGTAAGAACCTTAAGGCTGTCAGATGTTGGATTCTCTGGTAAACGGCCATTTCAACTCGAAAATAATCATATTGAAGATCTGACAATTGAACATTGCTCACATGCTGAATGGCTGATTGAGTACCTTAAGTTTCATTCGAATAGCCTGAAAATTCTGAGAATTAAGGAGACTGACTTGAGTGTTGACTGTCAAAAAGTTGTCAATTGTAGTAGAAACAAGTTTATTGTTCAAATATTTAATTGATAGAATAAATAAGTATTTATGTTAAATGTTTCAATGAAAGTAAAGACGGAACCAATGTCAATTCTGGTGTGATATTTATAAAAATTATTTTTAGTAGTTTCACACCCCTTGTTTTTAAAATATCCTGTAGTTTCATACAAATATTCGTAGTTGCACACCCCTTGAGCTTCAAACTCCTGCAGTAACATACAAATATAAGTAGTTTCACACCCCTTGAGCTTCAAACTCATGCAACTAACGTAAAAGTTTCATAGTTTCACACCCTTTGATCTTCAATATCCTTCTGTTTCTACAAATGTTCTTAGTTTCACACCCCTTAATCTTCACTATCCTGTAATTTCATGTAAATATTCGTAGTTTTAAGCCCCCAAAAGCTCCAAAATTTTGAAATGAAGATTAAAAAATCATAGTTTTGCACCCCGTGACCTTAAAAACTCGTCTTTATAAATAATAAATCAATAATTCCAATTAGTAAATTCATTAATTTTGTTTTTTGAAAAGTTTTACTTGTCGAGTAGATTAATAAGTTCGGTACTAAGCACAACTAGCTTTCAAACCACAAAAAAAATGAAGGAAATTTTATTTTCAATTCAGCCACTTTTAAATATTTGTAAATTTTTTGGATTCTTTCCACCAAGCCTTCTCAATGTTAAGGATCGAAGGTCAACAGCTCTTTACTTAGTTATCATAGCTTTATACATTCTAATACACTCATTTACATCACATGCTAGAATCACCTTACAGTATGGACAAGCTTCAAAAGGATCAAATTTGTCCAAGATAGCTTACTACTTAAGTATTATCCTGATGATGGTTATGATGGTCATGATGCAGGTTGGGAACTTCTGCAAAAAAGAAAAATTCATGAAAATTTTAATGACTTTTAAGAAAATTGATATCATTGTAAGTAGAGTGATGTAAAGGGTTAGATTCTAAATAATATGAACATTTCAGATTATGCAGCATGGATGTAAACTAAACTACAAGCAGCATCATCGTTATTCACAAATATGCTCAATTTTAATCTTATCCTTAGCAATTTTTTTCGTCTTAATAATCTCACAAATATCAAAATTTCTATCAACAAGCAATAAAGACACAAATCTACTTGGCTCTCTATCGATTGTCATGTACATTGCTGTAATGTATATCTACTCAATATTATGTATCACAATTGTTGGACTCAGAATGAGACTTAACATTTTAAATCATCAACTTAAAAACAATCAAATTAAAATTTGTCAATTTTTTTCAACTTTTTTAGAATTTCAAAAAATTATTGACATTTTAAATGAAACGTTTGCAGTTCCTTTAGCCATATTTATTGGAACGAACCTATTTTTAATAGCTTTTTTATTTTATGATTATTATGCGCTTTATGCGCTGCCTGTTGATCGAGCTGTTCAACTATCCTATTGCATATCAACAACTTTACTGAGATCCTATATGTTTATGCTAGTTTTTGGTGTCATTTATTGCTGCGAGTCAATGAGAAGTCAAGAGATTAAAACTTTAAAGATTCTACAGAACTTTTCAGCTTTTAAAATTAAAATTGATAAAAAAATTATAAATTTGACAAATCAAATTGAGTTGTCAGGTTTGAGCTTCACATGTGGAATGTTCGAATTCAACTGGAAAATTTTATTTCAAGTGAGTTCCTTTTGCATTCCTTTAAATAATTGGACTTAAAATAATTTAATTTACATTTTTAGTACTTCTGCGAGGTGTTTGCGTACGCAACAATTCTGATTCAATTTGACTCAACCATTGGGAAGCGAGATTAAAGTTGGGTCAGTTGTGTTGAAAGTTTGAGTTCCTGATATTTTAGTATAACTTATAAAACTAAGTTGATAGCCTGCCTATCATTGGGGAACAGGAATAATAAGAAGTCGTTCATAAATGACGTCAGACAGGGGCGTAGCCATGAATTTTGAGATGGGGGGACGAAAAATTTTTTTGGTATTTTTGTGATTTTTTCATAAAAACCCTAGCAAAATACAGAAATTTCTGTTTACGTTGAAGGATTTGTCTCCCCAAATCCCCCCCCCCCCATGGCTACGCACCTGACGTCAAACATTCAGTAGAAGGGAGGAAGGGGGTGAAGAAGAAATTATTCCTCATTAAAATTTTAGTGACGAGAAGGTGGGGTTTGAAAATCTAATTTTTTGGGGGGAGGGGGGGGGGGGGGGTATTTAAGGGGGGGGGGGGGGGAAGTAATAGGATCGTTCACTTATAACTTCCGAAATTAACGGTCATTTTTTCAAAAAAGAACAACGAATTTTATAAAATTTCTATTGTTCTTTTCTTGTTGACCCCCCCCCCTCCCCACCCCCCTTGACGTCATAAGCGACCGAACCCTATCGAAAAATTTAATTTTTTTTTATTTGAAGTCAAGCTGATTATTTATATTAAATTACACTTAATCAGGGTCGTAGCTAGGAGAAGAGGGGTTTGATGTGATCCCCCCCCCCCTCTTTTTTTTTGTAAAAATCTCCAATTTGATAGGTTTTTTGTCCTGTCCATACAAAACAAATTCAAACCAACCCGATAAAATTCTATCTACGCCCCTGCACCTAATCAACATCTGATGAATTAACAATTATTATTAATTAATGCGAGGCTTGAACAATTGAAAATTTATTGATTATTTTGAAAACGACAAAAATAAATAAATAAGTAATTAACCAGCATTTAGACTGTTAATTACAATTCATTGTTGTCTAGACAGTCCCAACATAATGACTGAAATTTTACACGCAATTCAACCAATTTTAAGGTTTTGTAAATTTTTCGGATTTTTTCCATTAAACATTTTAAATATCGATGACAAAAAGTCAACAGCTATCTACTTAGTCGTGATTACTTTCTGGACATTGGTATGGAATTACATTTCATATGACAGGATCACTATGCAGTATGGACATGCCATGCATGGATCAAGTTTGTCAAAAATCGTTTTTAATTTAAGTGTGATTCTTATGCTGAGTATGATGCTTATTATTGGAGTTGGTAACTTTTTGAAACGTGATCGATATAAAGAGCTAGTAAGGACGATGGAAAAAGTTGATCAAAAGGTAATAGGTCGTTCGAAAATGACGTCAACTGACAATATGGATTATTTTGGGTTAACCCAGTCTTTTGTCAAGATGTGATATATCTTGGTGCCCCCACAAAGCTCAAAAAGATTATAAAAATTCTGACCTAAGGTTGACGTCATTTATGAACAACCCTTAATTCCAAAAAAAAAAAATAATCTGTCAATTTCAGCTTCTTAAATTCGGAATATCAATCAATTACAAAACCCGCAGGAACTGCGCTAAAATGAGCGTAGCGATCATCTTCATCATGCTCATCTCCTTTTTCACCATAACCTCAAAATTGACATACCAAATGAAAATCCATCAAGACTCATCATTCTACCTTAAAGGCTCTTCATCGACAATCATGTATGTCGCAATTCTAGTCAACTTTGCAATCCTTTGTGTCATCATGTCTGGAATCAGTTCAAGGCTGAATATTTTGAATCGAAATTTAAAAGAAAATCTCAAAAACGAGTTCAAAAGTGATCAATTTTGGACATCATTTGCCTCAATTTTCAGCAACTTAAGGAAGGCAATTGATATCTTAAATGGAATATTTTCAGTTCCATTTGCAATTTTTATCAGCACAAACTTGCTGCTTGTGTCATTTTTAGTTTATGATTATTATGCTCTCTTTGCAATCCCGAATAATCAGTTCATGCAGCTTTACTTTTGCCTATTTTCAACATTATTGAAGGCTTACATGTTTTCGATGATTTTCGTTACTATTTACTGCTGTACATCTGTGAAAAGTCAGGCAACTGAAACGAAGAGGATTTTACTGAAATATTTAATTAACACAACTAGGAAAGGCCAAAATCTTAAAATTTGGAACTTGATTCATCATGTTGAGCTTACTGGATTGAATTTGTCTTGTGGAATGTTCGAATTTGACTGGAAAATATTGTTTACGGTAGAGTTAATCTTAATTATGTCTAGGTTAGGTATAGGTAAGGTATAGGTTAGGTATAGGTTAGGTATAGGTTAGGTATAGGTTAGGCATAGGTTAGGTATAGGTTAGGTATAGGTTAGGTATAGGTTAGGTATAGGTTAGGTATAGGTTAGGTATAGGTTAGGTATAGGTTAGGTATAGGTTAGGTATAGGTTAGGTATAGGTTAGGTATAGGTTAGGTATAGGTTAGGTATAGGTTAGGTATAGGTTAGGTATAGGTTAGGTATAGGTTAGGTATAGGTTAGGTATAGGTTAGGTATAGGTTAGGTATAGGTTAGGTATAGGTTAGGTATAGGTTAGGTATAGGTTAGGTATAGGTTAGGTATAGGTTAGGTATAGGTTAGGTATAGGTTAGGTATAGGTTAGGTATAGGTTAGGTATAGGTTAGGTATAGGTTAGGTATAGGTTAGGTATAGGTTAGGTATAGGTTAGGTATAGGTTAGGTATAGGTTAGGTATAGGTTAGGTATAGGTTAGGTATAGGTTAGGTATAGGTTAGGTATAGGTTAGGTATAGGTTAGGTATAGGTTAGGTATAGGTTAGGTATAGGTTAGGTATAGGTTAGGTATAGGTTAGGTATAGGTTAGGTATAGGTTAGGTATAGGTTAGGTATAGGTTAGGTATAGGTTAGGTATAGGTTAGGTATAGGTTAGGTATAGGTTAGGTATAGGTTAGGTATAGGTTAGGTATAGGTTAGGTTTAGGTTAGGTATAGGTTAGGTATAGGTTAGGTATAGGTTAGGTATAGGTTAGGTATAGGTTAGGTATAGGTTAGGTATAGGTTAGGTATAGGTTAGGTATAGGTTAGGTATAGGTTAGGTATAGGTTAGGTATAGGTTAGGTATAGGTTAGGTATAGGTTATGTCTAGGTTAGGTATAGGTTAGGTATAGGTAAGGTATAGGTTAGGTATAGGTTAGGTATAGGTTAGGTATAGGTTAGGTATAGGTTAGGTATAGGTTAGGTATAGGTTAGGTAAGGGTTAGGTATAGGTTATGTCTAGGTTAGGTATAGGTTAGGTATAGGTTAGGTATAGGTTAGGTATAGGTTAGGTATAGGTTAGGTATAGGTTAGGTATAGGTTAGGTATAGTTTAACATTTTTGATTTCTTTCATCCTTTCTAGTATTTCTGTCAAGTATTTACATATGCAACGATTCTGATACAATTTGATGCATCTATGATCGAGAGGAATTGAACAATAAGCGCAAGCTGATGATCAACTGAAGCGAATGACATCAAGACATTTTTTGATCTATAATGCCTCACCTCAAATCCTCAACTGTCGTCCAAAAAACTATTTAACCAATATTTATGCATAGAATTCGAAAGCCTAAACTGAGCAGCTTATTACCAAACTTATTTATCAGCAATAAAAATCGATATCTTTAATATTTTACGACTCAATTACATTTATAGTCATTTATTTTACAAATTAATTAATGAGGCAACCAGATAATAATCCATTGTGCCTAATTAGAATTAAAATTGCCCAAAAATCCATTTTAACAGCCATCACATGAATTAATTAACTTATTTTATTCGTTAATCCAGAACAAAAAAGGCATGAAGTCACGACTCGTTCCCATTTTTTTTCGTCGTCCATTGTTCCAATTCACTCAAATTTTCCATTAAAAGGGCACCGCCGACAGTTGGTCAGAATCAGTCGGTCAATAGATTTTGAGTACAAACGAGGATCAACTCGACAGTCGACAACCAAGTCATTCACCTGGACAGGCCAAATTTGTGAAGTTTCTAAACTAAAATGTTGATATTTGTGAAGTTGTTCTTATTGAGTTGCTGTGCATCAGGTAGAGTTTTGTGATGAGTTGTGATGTTGGGGCATGGGTTGATTAGTGTCTTTTGAGGATCAGACTGTTGAAATCTATAAAAAAGGATCAAATTCTGATTGAGCTGGTGTCATTTGGCAGTCTAGCAACAGCTTTAATTCTAGCTTATAGCTTTAGTAGCTGTAAAGCAGTGCAGAAATAAAAGCAATTTATTTTAATTTAAAACCTTCATGACCACTTCTTGGTCAAATCGTGTGATTAGTTTTTGCATTTATTGCAACTTTCTTGAAGATTTTGTTTTTGACTTTGGATGTATTCAAGGACATAGATTCTCAACAGCGCTTAGGGTTCCCTGTGTAGCATTCCTTAGAAAATAATCAATAAATCCACAATTATTAATAATTCCTCACATTTAGTTGCCTATAGCGGAGGATTTTCCCATTGTGAGCCATTTTTCACCAATTACCATGAATTCCTGCAAAATTTCTTGCAAAGTGTCGAACAGCGGAAGCAGGCAATAATAAGTAAGCTTTTATATTCCAAAAAAGCAATGATTTTAACAAACTTTCTATTCAGGTGACGTCCAAAACTTCAGTTTCTATGAAAATGCATCAGTTGTCGAAGCTCAACTTACATCCGACAATTATTACACATTTTTCATAAATGTCACAGCACAGCTGTCAGAATTAACAACTGAGACTGTTGAAGGTGTTCTTAATGGAACGATAACGGCAGTGCCTGATCCATTAGGATGTGTTGATGGTTCATTTGATATTGTTGATCAAGTGCTGCATGATTTAAGGAATAAAGTATTAAATGTTGGAATTGAACTTAGTTCTTCATCGTCGCCTTCACCGTCACCAAGTAAGTAGTTCGAATCTCGTACAATTCTTACTAGATCAGTGTGTTGGGTCTATGCTGGAACTACAGCTCTAATGTTAATGCTAATGACCTTAATACCAAAAAATCTACTATTTTCAGGCACAAACTGCACAGATGCAAGTGAATTATTCCCATTGTACTCATCACAGTTGCAACAAATCCTGAATAAACGCAACCAATTGAATGAATGTAAGTACAACATAATTAACGATGAAATATTTTCAGGGTTATATAAAAAAATTGAGAAATTTCAATAATTTAATTTAATTTCGCGTGCATCACGATTAAAAAAATTTAAAAACATTTTTTTATTGGAATTGCAAAATAATCAAGACAAAAATTATTCCTTGGAAAAATTCAACTTTGGCATATGGAGCTATAAATCATAATTACTAGCTTCATTAAAATAAATAATCACAAATGTAATAAAATAAGTCACGACAAAGAATTTAAAACTGATTTTATTTGTCAGTGAATAAAATCATGACAATTAAAATTATATGGAAAATTTACTGGGTTAAGACGGCCACTAAACCTTGAAGTTATAAATTTGGGGCACTTAAGACTCATTAATCGAGTGTGAAGGCACCTGAACCTAAAGAATTTAGTGTTAAGTTACCTGAACCAGAAGAGTTTGGTGTGAGGTACCTGAACAGAACTGTCACAAGGTGAAGGCACCTAAATGTTAAAAACAAAAATGTAAACACACCTTAACATTAGAACTCTAGTGTGAAGGCACCTGCATCTAAAAACAATAATTCAAATACGCCTTAACATTAGAACTCTAGTGTAAAGGCACCTGAATCTAAAAACAATAATGTAAGCACACCTTAACATTAGAACTCTAGTGTGAAGGCATCTGAATCTAAAAACAATAATGAAAATACACCTTAACATTAGAACTCTAGTGTGAAGGCGCCTGAATTTAAAAACAAAAATGTAAATACACCTTAACATTAGAACTCTAGTGTAAAGGCACCTGAATCTAAAAACAATAATGTAAGCACACCTTAACATTAGAACTCTAGTGTGAAGGCACCTGAACTTAAAAACAAAAATGTAAATATGCCTCAACTTTAGAACTCTAGTTTGAAGGCACCTGAATTTAATAACAATCATGTAAATACGCCTTAACATTAGAACTCTAGTGTAAAGGCACCTGAATCTAAGAACAACAATGTGAATGCACCTTAACATTAGAACTCTAGTGTGAAGGCACCTGCATCTAAAAACAATAATGTAAATACACGTTATCATTAGAACTCTAGTGTGAAGGCACCTGAATCTAAAAACAAAAATATAAACACACCTTAACATTAGAACTCTAGTGTGAAGGCACTTGCATCTAAAAACAATAATGTAAATACACCTTAACATTAGAACTCTAGTGTGAAGGCACCTGCATCTAAAAACAACAATGTGAATACACCTTAACATTAGAACTCTTATGTCAGGACACCTGAATCTAAAAACAACAATGTGAATACACCTTAACATTAGAACTCTAGTGTGAAGGCACCTGAATCTAAGAACAACAATGTGAATGCACCTAAACATTAGAACTCTAGTGTGAAGGCACCTGAATCTAAAAACAATAATGTAAATACACGTTATCATTAGAATTCTAGTGTGAAGGCACCTGAACCTCATATAGTCTTGTCATAAAGCATTTAATTAACGAAATTTTTTTAATAAAATCACTTTAAATTATAATTATTTGAACCTCTAATTCCAGTGGATGCACAAAACTTTGCGAAATTCCAAAGCAGTATTATTGCATTAAACATTGCTCAAAATGAGAATCAATTCTTGTACATGGTTACAGCGTTAGCTGATGCTCTTCACATAGATGTGGCGTTTGCAAAGGAAATTGTCAGTGGACATGTATTCGATGGTTAAGTAAAGAAAGTTGTGGAGAAGAGGGGTCGTCACTTATTACGTGGTATGGGGAGGGGTATTGTTGGTTATTGATTTACGTAATAAGTGAATGGTCCTAAATGATTACAAATAGTATGGAAAAGCATTACAAATATGATATTATACATATTGTAATTTTATTATTAATTTAATCTTTATTATTGGTGTTAAATTTGAAAAAAAAAACTAGCAATTATAAATGACAAAAGCTTTATTATCTTTGATAAAAAATTGATTAATTTCATTTGTTTGCTAGTCTGGTTATGAGTTACTTACTGTTATTTTAAAAAAATTAAAATCTTTTGAATCATTGGAAAAAAAACTGTTAAAAAAATTGTTTTGTATTTGTTGGAAAAATAAAGAAGAAATTTTATTTAAGCATAATCGAAAGTAAAGTTGTTTTGTTTGATAAGATTTAGCTTGTGTGAAACGTTTTAGGAAACCAAATGATCCCCTCCTCAACAATACTACAAGGGGGATAACAACATGATGAACAAAAAAAAATTTTGTTTGCAAATTTTGTCAAAAAATCAATGAAAAATGATGAAAAAATCGTGAAAAATTCCATAAAAAAATAATTCCCCATCACGTTGTTATCCCCTTTTGACATACTGTAACATGTCATAGGTAAACAAAAGTGATGCCTTTATCAAATATGAACACATCAAAAGGGTGCGGCATGGACAAAAGCTTCGAGGAGAAAAATCAATTATTTTAATTGTTTCGCTTGAAATAAAAATATATTTTTATAGTTTAATCATTTGTAGTTTGATTGCTTCCAAAAAACATCCTTAATGTGCAATTCAGCAGGTAAAATGACACAAAAAATAGTAAAAATTCTTCCTGACTTTCCAAATCCTTTTCAGATTCGATGACGAAGACAAAAATGTTCAACCTGAAATTCTCAACAATTCTTCCAATCAACAAAATTCCAAAGGAACTAAACCAAAACCCTTCAATCGTCAATACAGCAAATCCAATGATTTTCATTTCAAAATTCACTGGATATGCTTTATTCAGCTTTAATCCGAGAACCTTCAAAGTTTGTTTTACAAAATTTGACATTTTCGCTCTTTTTGCGACAATTTGTGTAAGTTTGGCACTGAATTGTATCTACTGGAAGAGCATCGTTGAAGCTGGAGTCAATGTCAATCAAATATCACGTGCCAGCTTCCCAATTCTTGTATATTCTGACTACTTAGTAAATGTTGCATCGACTGGCTGGATTTTCTTAAACAGGAACAAAATTTCGGAACTTTTGAAGAGTTTTCGAGGAATTGATGAGAATTTTAAGGAAGTTGGTGTCCAATTTGATTATGGCAGACAAAGATTGGCAATCATTAAGTCAATAGTTTTGGTATTAATTGGAATGACATTTTGGATAAGCCTGGATCTTTACATAATCATCACTTCCAAGTTCATAAATGATCTTCAATTCACAATCATCATTTTTTGGTCAAACTTATGCATGATCCTTCAGATCCATCACCACGTTGCAATCATAAATGCTATCAAAAGTCGAGCGATGGAACTCCAACAAGCTCTACACAAAAAATCACCAAACATCCAAAAAGTCTCAAAAATTCACCTCGAAATCATCGAAATTATTTCAAATTTTAATCGAATTTTTTCACCAATCATGCTTCTGTACTTTGCGAATGGCTTTGCATGGTCCTGCATATCAATCTTTGACATTGTCACATTTCCTGATGCTGTTTGGTCTAACTTACTCAGCCCAGCTCTTCTGGTTGGTGGACATTGTGCGATGGAGTTTTTAATCGTCATTATTGTGATTTACTCGGTCGAGGGTGTTAAGGTTGAGTTTGATAAGTTAAAGAAGATCTGTTGCAGGATGTTGAATGACACAAATGGAAATGAGAGGATGGAAGTTGAAGTTTCTAAATTTTTGACTCAAGTGACAACTTTGAAGGTTAAGTTTACTGGCGGTGTCGTTGACTTTGACTGGAAGTTGCTGTTTAAGGTAAGTTTGAACATGCTTTTGGTCAGTGCTTATTTTCTGTGAGGCTGTCTGATTTTCTGCTAGTTATGCTGTCTGCTAGTCTTGCTGTTTGGTTGTTTGACTGTCTGGCTATTTTAATAACTGTCTCTTAGTCTGGCTGTTTAAAGCTATAAAAAACATTCCATTTCTTTACTTTCAGTTTGCCACAGCATGCATCATGTACTTTGTAATTTTGGTTCAGTTCCATGGAAGCTTTGAGGACAAGAAGTAAACAAATTGTGCATTATTATTTAAAAATTAATCCAATTTATTAACCATAAATGTCAATAAAGTATTACAATTTGATGTACTTAAGGCATAAGCCTCTAATCACCACAGATTAGTGCACTGATCCTCAATTTCCTCAACCAAATCCCAAACTTCATGCTTGTCATCGCCAACCTGCCTTGAAGCACAAACATTGCCATCAAAGTGAAGCGAATACAAATTTTTTAAATGATTAAAAATTCTTCCGTCCACAAACTTGATCCGGTTCTGTCCAAGTCCAATGTATTCAAGCTTTGTATTGAATTTGAATAGATTTTTCTCCAAAGTTTCTAGTTTGTTCTTCCAAATGCTTAAAATTCTTAAATCTGTAAATGGCGCCAAATCTCTTTGTCGAATTTCCACCAGTTCCGCATCCCAAATTGCAATAAATTCGAGGTTTGGAAAGAAATTTGACAATTTTGCAGGAAAATAATGCAGTCGCTTTTCATAGACACGATAGCCGATCACGTCTGAATTGGATTTGCCGTTGAAATGCCTTCCATTGACTGCTGTTAAGTTTGAATTGAATTTAGTCACAAATAGGTCTGAATCTTGGTCACAGAAGTAAACATTATTGATTGCCCACCAGTCGGTATTTGTCTTATATTCACAGGATAGCTCAGCTGCTGATGTCAATGACATTAAGAGTTGAATTGATAAAAATCTTGAAATTAGAATTGAACTAAGTTTAACAAATTTTCGAAAAAATTCACAGATCACTTACAATAAAATCAGATAACGGCTCATCTCTAAAACTGGTTTGTGTGCATTAAAAATAAATAAATTGAGATGAGAAAATGCGATGTGTACAGCTCTAGATGATGTGGTTGACTACATTAAAAATAGATTAAAGTCTACAAAATCAATTAATTTTAATTGCTTGACTTACTCACACAGAAATTGAAGTTACAAGCTTAGTGACTCTCAATTGAGAATTTTTTATGTGCTTTCTCAAAATTTAAAAATTTAATGACTGTTTCTATGTATGTCTGTTTGTCTGTTTGTCTGTTAAAAATTCACATAAGATTGCTGCATTTCTTCTCAATTTCCACAACTATATCCCAGACATTATGTCGATGTCCCCCAACTTGTCGAGAAGCACAAGCATTTCCACCAAAGTGCAACGAGTGTAAGTTCCTCAAATGATTAAAAATTCTGCCTTCAATAAACTTAATTTTGTTCCTTCGTAGTCCAATGTATTTGAGTTTTGTGTTGAATTTGAGTAAGTTTCTCTCAAGAATCTGCAAATTGTTTCCAAAAAAGCTCAAAACCCGCAAATCTATAAATGGCGCCAAATCCTTTTCACGAACTTCCTTTAACCCAGATTCTCAAATTGCTAAGAATTCCAGGTTTGGGAAGAAGTTTGACATTCTTCCTGGAAAGTATTGACATTCCTTCTTTTCTATCCTGAATCCTTTCACATTTGAGTTCGAGTATTGATGCCAATGATGTCCATAAACTAATCGAATGTATAAATTGAATTTTGTGGCAAAAATGTCGGCATTCTGTTCACAAAAGTAAACACTGTCGATAGCCCACCAATCAGTATTTGTCTTGAACTCACAGGAGTAGTCAACAGCTGATGTGGATGCGATTAGTGCGAAAATTCTGGAAAAAAGTGAATTTGTGGATTCAAAGAAGGAATTTCCATTTCTTATCTAAATTTTATTTATTAATTTCTCGTGTCATTGTCATTAACCTGCCATTATTAAGGTTAATCAATCAAAATTGAACTCAATCGACTCACAATAAAATAGAATAAAAGCTCATAATTCTTAAAATTAGCTTTAATTCAATAAAGTTGTCAATTCTTGGAATTACCAAACGTTGTAAAAACTTCAAAACCTAACAACCGACTAAACTGAAGATCAACAAGAAGGAACAAGCTCAATTTTTACTCTCCACTTTCATCATCCTCATAACTCTCATTACTGCTGCTATCTTGCTTAATATTTTTACTCTTTTGATCTAATTTCTTCCTACACTCTGAATTTAAAGCTTGATGCTTCTTCATGTAGCTCTCTTTGACTTCTCTCTTGCAGATTTCACATTTCTGCTTCCTTGATTCATGCTTTTTTAGGTGCTGCTTCAGTGCATCGATTGACTTGTAGGTGTTTTCGCAAATTTCACATTTGAACTTCTTTGGATCAGCTGTGGAAGAAGAAAAATGTTGAGTTAAGGTGATTGTGCATGTGAGGTTCTGTAAGGAGCTCAGTAATGAAAATCTAGTAAGTTGGGGCTATATTATGACATTCAGGAACTTGAATGATATCTAAAGTAATACCCAGAAGCACAACTTATGGTTCTAGCTTAGCCAATCGACACACTTCTGCAATGACATTTGCAAAACATAATATGGCAGTGCTATCTCGTGCCACTCAGTCGACAGTATGATAATATGCAGCCAAAAGTAATCTCAAGCATGCAACAAGCCATCAATAGACCCATATCAACAGAACGTCCAGTCCCGATACTCACCATGTGTTCTCCTTATGTGCTTCAGCATGTATCTCTTACTAGCAAAGAACTTCCCGCAAATTGTGCATTCAACATTCTTAACCTTCACATGAATAGCCAAAGAGTGATCCTGTAGTTCCGATTTATTTGAGAATTTCTTCCCACAATCCTCACATTCGATTGTCTTGTCATGTCTCTTCTTATGGCTATACATGACAGTCAACATCTTCGTCTTATATCCACAGATTTTACATGTGTACCATTTCGTATCTTCCATGTGATTTGCATGCATGTGAGCTTCAAGTGCCTGCTTTCTTTCATAACCTTTTGGACACATGTCACATCGGTAAGCACAAGGATTTGTATGTCCTAATTTATGCTCCCTTAAATGTCGACTGTCATTGTATCCACGTCCACAGACATCACAATAAAACTTCTTAACTGACGTGTGCTTGTACATATGATTTCTAATGGACACAATCGATATAAATGTTTTCGGACACAGATCACATCTGAATGGTTTGTTATCTTTGTGGTATCGGAGATGACGACTCATTAAATAAGCTTGAATCTTTCGTCCACAAACTTTACATTCGTCTTTTGGGAGGTGAGTCTTGCTGTGATAATAAAGTTTGAGTTTTGTGGCGAATAATTTGAAGCACTTTTTGCATTCAAGGCTGGTTGAAGCTGTGAGGTCACTTGATAGCTGTTCTTGGTTATCAGGAGGTTCTGCGAGTGATTTTGTAGTGAATTTTGATAGATCTTCTGAGTCTTGAGAATCAAGGCAAGTTTCTCGTGCTGAATGTTCACTGTCACTTGAAAGCTCCTGTTTTGTTGCAGGTTTTAGCTTTGAACTTCTGGAGTTTGGTGATTTAAGGAGGGCAAGTGATGATTTGTTGGATGTTGAAGATCTTTTGGTAGTTTTTGAAGATTTGTTTGAGTTTTGCAATGATTTTGGGTTTTTTGATGAGCTTTGTTCAGTTTTTGGGGTTCTTTCGAGAATTTTTGAAGATTTTCTATTTTTAAGGTTAAGCTGCTTAGTGTTTTTCAAGATTTCTGGCTCTTCTGATTTTAAATCTTTTGGGATTTCTGGTTTTTTATCGGGTTTCTTGTCTTTTTCAGTAGTTTCAAAATATTTGGTAATTTTTTGATTGTTCTTTGTTGATTTTTGAGTTGCACGATTGATAGCTTCGCCATCCTTCTTAAGCTTTGCCTTGTCTAAACTTGAAGCTCCTGATGTCTTCTGTGACAACTTAGTTTTTGAACCTCGAGAATCCTTTTCCTTGCCTCCTGAATTGTTGACTTTTTTGTTGGAATTTTCCTGATTAACTTGCAGCTTTGAATTCGATTTGTTTAAAGTTTTTGGTAGAATTTCAGTCTCTGGAATCTTCTTAATGGCTTCTTTTGTGGTTGACTTTCGAACTTTCTTCTTGATTCTTTCTCCAAGACTCTCGTTTTTGCTGACATCCAACATCTCTTCAACAATTTCTGTGTGTCTTCTTTTTATGCCTTTGGATCTTGTAGATTTGACATTTTTGCTACCTTGATCCTCAACTGGGATGTGAAGCTTCTTATGAATCTCCCCACAATCTCTATCTTCATCCAATTCCAGAGTGTAGTCGACAGCCGGCTCCATTTTGATCATGTTTGCATCATCAAAGTTGAAGTTCGGAATAATAGAAGTTGTGACTTCCTCATCATTGTAGTCATCTGCTATGATTTTATGAATGTTTGTCTGGATTGTCTTAATTTCTAGAACCACTCCGTCTACTGGTTCTAGCTTGATTGGATAACTTTCAGTTGATGTCATGATTTTATCAAAATTTTGCTATTTTTTCTAGCTTTTTTGATAGTTTTTCTGATTTTTGAAGATTAAAGAGTTTTCGACTTAATGTAGGTTTGGTGTTTGAGCCGTCAAATTCTAATTTTTGTTCAATTCACCATAATCTGCTCTTAATTTGCAATTTAATTTAGAATTTCAGATCACAACATTGCTGATTTTAAAATATTTTGAATGTTTTTGTGCAAAATGAGCTTTTCTTCTTGACTGTGTTGACTTTAGTCTTGGCTAACTTAGTCAAATCTAGTTTATTGACACCATTAAGCTATATTAATCCTCAAAAAATTCAAAAACAATTCAATTTACATTTAATAAAGCTACAAAAACTTCATCCAAACTTATCAACACCAACAAAACAACTCAAATCAGCTGTTTGACTCTCAAAAACATTGAAACTAAGCATTCATACCTGACGTAGAGTTTGCAACACTTACACAAAGATTTTTGAATTTTTTATGTCCGTTAAAATAAATTGACAAGTCAAATAAAATTGAGGTCACTTTCAGTTCATCATTTCTTCTCATGTTATGGAATCTCCTTACGTTTTGACAAACAACTGACGTCACATTGCGTTATCATTGAAGCTATATTTGGAATAGAATGCTGGAAAATATTTGGGAGATTGGTTTTGACTTGCTTAAAGATGCTTTGTCTATGTGACAATAGCTAGTTGAGGTAGGAATGAGTTTAAATGGTTCATTCTAAGAATCTGTTGGTCAGAAATGTTGATGCACAGCTCAAAGCTCTCTCGTGATTTTTAAGAGATTTTTGAAAATTCTGACAGTGCCACTGGAACAAACTTAGTTCCAAAACTATCAAAATTGACCTAAAATGAAATCTTTTGGTCAGTGTCTAGTTCTATGCGGTGTATCTCCCTTCAGAACCTCAAATTGCCATCAAAAACAAGTTCCAGCACCTTTATCACTTACAATTGATGTTCTAACACTTCAGCAACCGATCTTTTTACAACAATCAGCACCAAAACACAAAAAAAAGTTTAAAATCCCATAAAAAACTTTATTCCTGATTTTTCTCATACACAAATCCACTCCACATGTGTAAATTAAAACTAAAATCAATAAATTTCAATTTTTCCATATAATTAAACATTGTGTAGCTTAAATGACTTATGTCATTATGTTCCAGCCACATGTATTCCAACTCTGAGTTGTGCATCAAGTGCTCATCACCCAAGTACGTAATATGATTGTAATGCATCGAGAGGTTCCTTAATTCCAGTAGGTTTTCAAAAAGATTTTTGTTGAGGTACTTAAGCTTATTGTGGCCAATGTACAGACCATGAAGTGCTTTTAGGTTTTTAAATGCTGCAGCGTTGATGTCGTGGATTTTATTATACTGAATTGACAATGTTTTGAGTCGGATTAAGTCATCAAATACATCAGCACCTAGTTCCTGAATTTCATTATAATCCAGCACTAATTTCACCAACTTTTGTAGTCCAAAAAAGTTTTCCTTCCTCACTGCCTTAATTGAACAGTTTAAAGCCTCAAAAATGGCTAAATTTGGAAACTTTTCATTCACATTTTCCGGCAAAAATTCAATATTTTTCAAATTATTACTCATAAATGCTTTCACAGCTTCTGCACGACGCGACATGATCATAAACTCGGTCGAATTGATAACTGAGCTGCTTTTGAGTGTAAATGTCCAAAGGTCTAATTCGTAGTCGTCAAACTTTTTGTCACGAAAATATCCCAAAACTGACTTTGGTGGGAGAACTTTGGCCGGTAAAATTTGAAGCACAAGTGTTAGGAGAATTGCCAATTGAATTGATCTAAAATTGAAATTGAATTTTTGGTTTTAAAGTTGAAATTAATCATTTTTTTGAATATTTTTTTACTTAATCATGTTGAGACAGCACGCGTGTGAACTGATGAGAATGAGATTGTTTACTGGTCCATATTTTGAGTGTAAAGTCAACGCATGAGACATTTGATAAGAATTTCTTTTTGAGAATATTCTTGATATTTCTCAATTTTTTTTGTCTTTTTCTTGAAATGTTAGAATATTGCCTAGGTGCAGATTCAAGATACTGGGTGGGGGGGGGGGGCCTTTACAGAAACTTTTCACTAGGGGTTGAATATTTTTGCGGTTATAATTTTTTTTTGCCAAAACCGTTTAAAATTAAATGAAGAACAAAAAATAGAGGGGCGGTCAAGAACCCCCACTCCTTGACCACCCTCTCCCACCCCCAAATTAATCACCTTTCTCCATCCATTAATTTTCAGAGAGTTTATCTAAAATAAAACGATTTGATGAGAATGATTTTTCATGTGATTGGACCTAATCCTCTCTTCCTAAACCCCAGACTTAACCTCATTATTGAGCTTTCAAGTCCAAAAGACATTTGAACTCAATAAGCAACAACATTAATAACCAAAAATAGCAAAGTTCTTTGTTCTTTTGACATCAATAATTTTATTTAGTTCAATAAAGTCGTTCCTAAAGTTTTAATGACCCGTCGTTAAAATTAAACCGCAAAAACTTCAAAAAAAGAAGTTTTTATAGGTTTTAAACTTTTATTTCTAAATCGTGGAGTTCGATAAAATTGGATTTTTTAGCTTTTGGGGTGTCTAGATTAGGATTTTCGATTCAAATTTTAGCTCATATTACGAATTGCAGACTTAATTCACTGATTCTAGTCAAAAACATAAGGATCGTTCACTTAAAACGTCATGGGAGAGGAGAAAAGGGGGGGTCAGCAAGAATAGAACGATAGAAATTCCTGGAAATTCATTGATCTTTCATGAAAAATGGCCGTTAATTTTGGACATCATAGGTGAACAACCCTATAACATTACAAGGTTCGTCTATGCTAGATAATGTTTAGGATCCTAGTCATAGACACAAGCTTTATCTTATTGATTTTGTTTGCCTTTTGGATCTATTTTCAACGCCTTAATCACTTACTTGACGTCCATAATTATCTCTATCGAAGATTATTCTAAGTCAATTTCTGACTTCAATTAAAATTCTGTATTAACTTTTCCTGGACTTTTCCTTCAAAGATCAACTTCTTCACATTTGCACAATCTGATAATGCTTCAAACTCAGAAACCGAAACTATAAACGAATATAAAAATTGATGCCAAAAACTTTAAAAAATCTCCTTTTTACTACTTTTGCGAAATCTTTGAAAAGTCGTGACAATCAATTTTTCTAATTAATCAACTTCAAAAATCAGCTTTTGACGTGCACGTAAAATAGAAAGTCGTGATAAGCGAGAACAAAAAGCAAGCGATTTGATTATTTTTTTTTTATTAAGTGTGTAGAATTCGTGAAATTTTTGATTTTATTATGATTTGAAAATATTTTGTATTCATTGTAATTTTAAGGGTTTTTCAATTTCAATCCAGATTTGCTTTCTATCCAGTCCAAATAGAATGCAATTCTGGTAGCCACTGCTGGAACATTCGACTTGCAATCATTTTTACCCATGTCAACTCCATCTTCAGCATCTTTTACATAGCTTAGAATTCCAACAACTTTTCCTGTTTTGATGGAAACATAAGGTGCTCCTGAGTCACCACTGAAAATAGAAAAAAAAAACTATGTTACATTTTATCCGTAATTTTGACTCTGATGACTCCCCAGACTCAGGCTGTATCTGTTTAACCCTGCTTGATTTGGATTTACTTGACTTGAATCAACTTGAAAAAAATATGTTTTACTTGAATCTACTTCACTTGAATCTGCGTGATTTGAAAGTAATTGAATTGAATCTACTTGACATCAAACTACTTGACTCAAGTCTACTTGACTCAAATCTACTTGACTCAAATCTACTTGAATTAAAATCTACTTAACTTGAATCTATTTGACTTGAATCTACTCGACTTGAATCTCCTTGACATGAAACTACTTGACTCAAATCTACTTGATTCAAATCTACTTGATTCAAACCTACTTGACTCAAATCTACTTGAATTGAATTTACTTGACTTGAATCTATTTGACTTGAATCTACTCGACTTAAACTTGGATCTGCTTGACTTTGCAAAAAAAGATACAATAATGACTTTCCTTGATTAAGTTTATACCTACTTGCATGGAAATCCAGTAATTTTGCTTGCACAAATGTGGTTATAAGTCAAATTCTCAATATAATGTTTACTATACTTCATGCATTCCTGAATTGGCATCAAGGTCATGTTTGTGAACATTAACTTTTTGGCGACTTGTTGGTTTTTCACAAAACCCCATCCAGCAATCAAAACTTGATTATCTCTCGATTCATAGTCTGGATAATTCCGAGCGTCAATGCTAATAAAATTCACTTTATTTGACGGAACAATTTTCTTTGGCAGTTCAATCAATCCAATATCATGCACAGCCGATGGCATTGAGAAGTTTTCATGTATCCAAAATCTTTTCGACTTGACTAATTCACCATCCGAGTACGATGAGCCATAGTATTCATAAACACCAAGCGATACTTTTATTGAACCACCTTTCGGAACAGACATTAAACAATGTGCAGCTGTCAGAACGTACTGTTTGCTTATCAGAACACCTGCACAGTAAAACTGAGGGCTATTAATAAGAACAATGTGTGGGAATTGATATTGTTCAGCTTGATAGCCATTGTATATTGCTGATATGATTGGGACGAGTGTAGTTAGGATGATTATTTGGACAAGATTCATCTTCTGGAATGAGTTTTTTTTAATGGTTCTATCTACAATTCTTTAAGTATTTTTAACAACTGAACGAACGTAGCTCCAAACTTGATTAATTTCTTGCGAGCATTTCTTTTTCATTTTATAGTTCTTGAAAAAATTAAAATTTCGAAATTTACATTTTCACAATGTAAACCGACACATTTCAAGATATGACTTAGCGAGAACTGAGAACTTGTAAGTTAAATATTTGAAGAATTATTTTAATCTTGACGATATTAAAACAAATAAAATATTTAAAATATTAAATCCAGATTTAAATCTTTATTCAATCCTATTACCGTCACCAAAATACATAATAAAATATACACAAAAAGAAATTGAAATAAATATTTGAATAATTAAAACAAAATAATATTCAAATTTTATGAATAACAAGGTAAGATAACACTTTATGGACTTGGGTTGTAACCATCGTAGTAATAATCGTAGTCGTAGTCACATTCATTCTGGAAATATGGATCCATGGTACGCTTATGATACGGCATAGCTAGAATAAAATTGAAGGATTAAGGTTTTATGTCTGAAAATACTTTACTATATTAACTTACTTGTAGTTGTGTAATCGGAAGACATTAACGATGACTCAACGGAACTTGATGGCGTTTCAGAACTTGGTGAAGATGAATCTTCATTTGTTTTCGAGCTAGAAACAGAACTTGGTGCTTCTGAACTTGATGAAATTGAGACCGAGGATTCGATTGAACTTGGACCAGCACTTGATGGGGCTTCTGAACTTGGAGCAGATGATGCTTCACTTGAAGCTAAGGATTCACTTGTTGCTAAGGATTCGCTTGAACTTGGACCAGCACTTGATGGAGCTTCTGAACTTGGAGCTGACGATGCTTCACTTGAAGCTAAGGATTCACTTGTTGCTAAGGATTCGCTTGAACTTGGACCAGCACTTGATGGAGCTTCTGAACTTGGAGCTGACGATGATTCACTTGAAGCTAAAGATTCGCTTGTTGCTAAGGATTCACTTGTACTTGGACCAGCACTTGATGAAGCTTCTGAACTTGGAGCTGACGATGATTCACTTGAAGCTAAGGATTCGCTTGTTGCTAAGGATTCACTTGAACTTGGACCAGCACTTGATGGAGCTTCTGAACTTGGAGCTGACGATGATTCACTTGAAGCTAAGGATTCGCTTGTTGTTAAGGATTCGCTTGAACTTGGACCTGCACTTGATGGAGCTTCTGAACTTGGAGCTGACGATGATTCACTTGAAGCTAAGGATTCGCTTGTTGTTAAGGATTCGCTTGTACTTGGACCAGCACTTGATGGAGCTTCTGAACTTGGAGCTGATGATGCTTCACTTGAAGCTAAGGATTCACTTGAAATTGGACCAGTACTTGATGGGGCTTCTGAACTTGGAGCTGACGATGATTCACTTGAAGCTAAAGATTCGCTTGTTGCTAAGGATTCACTTGTACTTGGACCAGCACTTGATGGAGCTTCTGAACTTGGAGCTGACGATGATTCACTTGAAGCTAAGGATTCACTTGTTGCTAAGGATTCGCTTGAACTTGGACCAGCACTTGATGGAGCTTCTGAACTTGGAGCTGACGATGATTCACTTGAAGCTAAGGATTCACTTGTTGCTAAGGATTCGCTTGAACTTGGACCAGCACTTGATGGAGCTTCTGAACTTGGAGCTGACGATGATTCACTTGAAGCTAAGGATTCGCTTGTTGCTAAGGATTCGCTTGAACTTGGACCAGCACTTGATGGAGCTTCTGAACTTGGAGCTGACGATGATTCACTTGAAGCTAAGGATTCGCTTGTTGCTAAGGATTCACTTGAACTTGGACCAGCACTTGATGGAGCTTCTGAACTTGGAGCTGACGATGATTCACTTGAAGCTAAGGATTCACTTGTTGCTAAGGATTCGCTTGTACTTGGACCAGCACTTGATGGAGCTTCTGAACTTGGAGCTGACGATGATTCACTTGAAGCTAAGGATTCACTTGTTGCTAAGGATTCGCTTGAACTTGGACCAGCACTTGATGGAGCTTCTGAACTTGGAGCTGACGATGATTCACTTGAAGCTAAGGATTCGCTTGAACTTGGACCAGCACTTGATGGAGCTTCTGAACTTGGAGCAGAGGATGATTCACTTGAAGCTAAGGATTCGCTTGTTGTTAAGGATTCGCTTGAACTTGGACCTGCACTTGATGGAGCTTCTGAACTTGGAGCTGACGATGATTCACTTGAAGCTAAGGATTCACTTGTTGCTAAGGATTCGCTTGTGCTTGGACCAGCACTTGATGGAGCTTCTGAACTTGGAGCTGACGATGATTCACTTGAAGCTAAGGATTCACTTGTTGCTAAGGATTCGCTTGAACTTGGACCAGCACTTGATGGAGCTTCTGAACTTGGAGCTGACGATGATTCACTTGAAGCTAAGGATTCGCTTGAACTTGGACCAGCACTTGATGGAGCTTCTGAACTTGGAGCTGATGATGATTCACTTGAAGCTGAAGATTCACTTGAAGCTAAAGATTCACTTGAACTTGGACCAGCACTTGATGGAGCTTCTGAACTTGGAGCTGACGATGATTCACTTGAAGCTAAGGATTCACTTGTTGCTAAGGATTCGCTTGAACTTGGACCAGCACTTGATGGAGCTTCTGAACTTGGAGCTGACGATGATTCACTTGAAGCTAAGGATTCGCTTGAACTCGGACCAGCACTTGATGGAGCTTCTGAACTTGGAGCTGATGATGATTCACTTGAAGCTGAAGATTCACTTGAAGCTAAAGATTCACTTGAACTTGGACCAGCACTTGATGGAGCTTCTGAACTTGGAGCTGACGATGCTTCACTTGAAGCTAAGGATTCGCTTGTTGCTAAGGATTCGCTTGAACTTGGACCAGCACTTGAGGGAGCTTCTGAACTTGGAGCTGACGATGATTCACTTGAAGCTAAGGATTCACTTGTTGCTAAGGATTCGCTTGAACTTGGACCAGCACTTGATGGAGCTTCTGAACTTGGAGCTGACGATGATTCACTTGAAGCTAAGGATTCGCTTGTTGCTAAAGATTCACTTGAACTTGGACCAGCACTTGATGGAGCTTCTGAACTTGGAGCTGACGATGATTCACTTGAAGCTAAGGATTCGCTTGTTGCTAAGGATTCGCTTGAACTTGGACCAGCACTTGATGGAGCTTCTGAACTTGGAGCTGACGATGATTCACTTGAAGCTAAGGATTCGCTTGTTGCTAAGGATTCGCTTGAACTTGGACCAGCACTTGATGGAGCTTCTGAACTTGGAGCTGATGATGATTCACTTGAAGCTGAAGATTCACTTGAAGCTAAAGATTCACTTAAACTTGGACCAGCACTTGATGGAGCTTCTGAACTTGGAGCTGACGATGCTTCACTTGAAGCTAAGGATTCGCTTGTTGCTAAGGATTCGCTTGAACTTGGACCAGCACTTGATGGAGCTTCTGAACTTGGAGCTGATGATGATTCACTTGAAGCTGAAGATTCACTTGAAGCTAAAGATTCACTTGTACTTGGAGCAGCACTTGATGGAGCTTCTGAACTTGGAGCTGACGATGCTTCACTTGAAGCTAAGGATTCGCTTGTTGCTAAGGATTCACTTGAACTTGGACCAGCACTTGATGGAGCTTCTGAACTTGGAGCTGACGATGCTTCACTTGAAGCTAAGGATTCGCTTGTTGCTAAAGATTCACTTGAACTTGGACCAGCACTTGATGGAGCTTCTGAACTTGGAGCTGACGATGATTCACTTGAAGCTAAGGATTCGCTTGTTGCTAAGGATTCGCTTGAACTTGGACCAGCACTTGATGGAGCTTCTGAACTTGGAGCTGATGATGATTCACTTGAAGCTAAGGATTCGCTTGTTGCTAAGGATTCGCTTGAACTTGGACCAGCACTTGATGGAGCTTCTGAACTTGGAGCTGACGATGATTCACTTGAAGCTAAAGATTCACTTGTTGCTAAGGATTCGCTTGAACTTGGACCAGCACTTGATGGAGCTTCTGAACTTGGAGCTGACGATGATTCACTTGAAGCTAAGGATTCGCTTGTTGCTAAAGATTCACTTGAACTTGGACCAGCACTTGATGGAGCTTCTGAACTTGGAGCTGACGATGATTCACTTGAAGCTAAAGATTCACTTGTTGCTAAGGATTCGCTTGAACTTGGACCAGCACTTGATGGAGCTTCTGAACTTGGAGCTGACGATGATTCACTTGAAGCTAAGGATTCGCTTGTTGCTAAAGATTCACTTGAACTTGGACCAGCACTTGATGGAGCTTCTGAACTTGGAGCTGACGATGATTCACTTGAAGCTAAGGATTCGCTTGTTGCTAAGGATTCGCTTGAACTTGGACCAGCACTTGATGGAGCTTCTGAACTTGGAGCTGACGATGATTCACTTGAAGCTAAGGATTCGCTTGTTGCTAAGGATTCCCTTGAACTTGGACCAGCACTTGATGGAGCTTCTGAACTTGGAGCTGATGATGATTCACTTGAAGCTGAAGATTCACTTGAAGCTAAAGATTCACTTGAACTTGGACCAGCACTTGATGGAGCTTCTGAACTTGGAGCTGACGATGCTTCACTTGAAGCTAAGGATTCGCTTGTTGTTAAGGATTCACTTGAACTTGGACCAGCACTTGATGGAGCTTCTGAACTTGGAGCTGACGATGATTCACTTGTAGCTAAGGATTCACTTGTTGCTAAGGATTCGCTTGAACTTGGACCAGCACTTGATGGGGCTTCTGAACTTGGAGCTGACGATGATTCACTTGAAGCTAAAGATTCGCTTGTTGCTAAAGATTCACTTAAACTTGGACCAGCACTTGATGGAGCTTCTGAACTTGGAGCTGACGATGCTTCACTTGAAGCTAAGGATTCGCTTGTTGCTAAGGATTCACTTGAACTTGGACCAGCACTTGATGGAGCTTCTGAACTTGGAGCTGACGATGATTCACTTGAAGCTAAGGATTCACTTGTTGCTAAGGATTCGCTTGAACTTGGACCAGCACTTGATGGGGCTTCTGAACTTGGAGCTGACGATGATTCACTTGAAGCTAAAGATTCGCTTGTTGCTAAAGATTCACTTAAACTTGGACCAGCACTTGATGGAGCTTCTGAACTTGGAGCTGACGATGCTTCACTTGAAGCTAAGGATTCGCTTGTTGTTAAGGATTCGCTTGAACTTGGACCAGCACTTGATGGAGCTTCTGAACTTGATGCAGAACTTTGTGCTTCACTACTACTAAGTATAGAACTTGAAGAAATTTGAGTTTCTGAAGTGACTGATGATGAACTCAATGGTTCTGATGAAGATACTAAAATTTTAAATTTTTATTGGTTTTAGTATCTGTTTTAATCTTTATTTTCTTAACTGCTTACCAATAGACGATGATGGTGAAATAACACTTGGAACTAAATAAAAATTTGACTCATTAATCTCAAAAAAGTTTAAAAAGTAAAGTACTTTAAATGTGTAATTGATATTTTATATAAACTTACGTGAAGCTTCTTCACTTGCACTAGAAGAGTATGATGAAGTAGAGAAACCTTCTGATCCTCCGCCTGGAACTGATTCAGATGACCATTCTGAGAATGAGCTTGGTATTGATGATTCACTTGAACTTGAAATAGCACTAGAGGAATCAGTTGAAATAATACTTGATGGAGCTTCAGAGCTTGGAGCAACAGATTCACTTGAAGAGGCGATTGAGCTTGGTTCTTCTGAGCTTGAAACACCACTTGAGCTTGGGCCTTCAGAACTTGAAACAGCACTTGATGGAGCTTCAGAGCTTGGAGCAACAGATTCACTTGAAGAGGCGATTGAGCTTGGTTCTTCTGAGCTTGAAACGCCACTTGAGCTTGGGCCTTCAGAGCTTGATACGGCACTTGATGGAGCTTCAGAGCTTGGAACAACAGATTCACTTGAAGAGGCGATTGAGCTTGGTTCTTCTGAGCTTGAAACGCCACTTGAGCTTAGACCTTCAGAACTTGAAACAGCACTTGATGGAGCTTCAGAGCTTGGAGCAACAGATTCACTTGAAGAGGCGATTGAGCTTGGTTCTTCTGAGCTTGAAACGCCACTTGAGCTTGGGCCTTCAGAGCTTGATACGGCACTTGATGGAGCTTCAGAGCTTGGAGCAACAGATTCACTTGAAGAGGCGATTGAGCTTGGTTCTTCTGAGCTTGAAACGCCACTTGAGCTTGGGCCTTCAGAGCTTGATACGGCACTTGATGGAGCTTCAGAGCTTGGAACAACAGATTCACTTGAAGAGGCGATTGAGCTTGGTTCTTCTGAGCTTGAAACGCCACTTGAGCTTAGACCTTCAGAACTTGAAACAATACTTGATGGAGCTTCAGAGCTTGGAGCAACAGATTCACTTGAAGAGGCGATTGAGCTTGGTTCTTCTGAGCTTGAAACACCACTTGAGCTTGGGCCTTCAGAACTTGAAACAGCACTTGATGGAGCTTCAGAGCTTGGAGCAACAGATTCACTTGAAGAGGCGATTGAGCTTGGTTCTTCTGAGCTTGAAACGCCACTTGAGCTTGGGCCTTCAGAGCTTGATACGGCACTTGATGGAGCTTCAGAGCTTGGAACAACAGATTCACTTGAAGAGGCGATTGAGCTTGGTTCTTCTGAGCTTGAAACGCCACTTGAGCTTAGACCTTCAGAACTTGAAACAGCACTTGATGGAGCTTCAGAGCTTGGAGCAACAGATTCACTTGAAGAGGCGATTGAGCTTGGTTCTTCTGAGCTTGAAACGCCACTTGAGCTTGGGCCTTCAGAGCTTGATACGGCACTTGATGGAGCTTCAGAGCTTGGAGCAACAGATTCACTTGAAGAGGCGATTGAGCTTGGTTCTTCTGAGCTTGAAACGCCACTTGAGCTTGGGCCTTCAGAGCTTGATACGGCACTTGATGGAGCTTCAGAGCTTGGAACAACAGATTCACTTGAAGAGGCGATTGAGCTTGGTTCTTCTGAGCTTGAAACGCCACTTGAGCTTAGACCTTCAGAACTTGAAACAATACTTGATGGAGCTTCAGAGCTTGGAGCAACAGATTCACTTGAAGAGGCGATTGAGCTTGGTTCTTCTGAGCTTGAAACACCACTTGAGCTTGGGCCTTCAGAACTTGAAACAGCACTTGATGGAGCTTCAGAGCTTGGAGCAACAGATTCACTTGAAGAGGCGATTGAGCTTGGTTCTTCTGAGCTTGAAACGCCACTTGAGCTTGGGCCTTCAGAGCTTGATACGGCACTTGATGGAGCTTCAGAGCTTGGAACAACAGATTCACTTGAAGAGGCGATTGAGCTTGGTTCTTCTGAGCTTGAAACGCCACTTGAGCTTAGACCTTCAGAACTTGAAACAGCACTTGATGGAGCTTCAGAGCTTGGAGCAACAGATTCACTTGAAGAGGCGATTGAGCTTGGTTCTTCTGAGCTTGAAACGCCACTTGAGCTTGGGCCTTCAGAGCTTGATACGGCACTTGATGGAGCTTCAGAGCTTGGAGCAACAGATTCACTTGAAGAGGCGATTGAGCTTGGTTCTTCTGAGCTTGAAACGCCACTTGAGCTTGGGCCTTCAGAGCTTGATACGGCACTTGATGGAGCTTCAGAGCTTGGAGCAACAGATTCACTTGAAGAGGCGATTGAGCTTGGTTCTTCTGAGCTTGAAACGCCACTTGAGCTTGGGCCTTCAGAGCTTGATACGGCACTTGATGGAGCTTCAGAGCTTAGAGCAACAGATTCACTTGAAGAGGCGATTGAGCTTGGTTCTTCTGAGCTTGAAACGCCACTTGAGCTTGGGCCTTCAGAGCTTGATACGGCACTTGATGGAGCTTCAGAGCTTGGAGCAACAGATTCACTTGAAGAGGCGATTGAGCTTGGTTCTTCTGAGCTTGAAACGCCACTTGAGCTTGGGCCTTCAGAGCTTGATACGGCACTTGATGGAGCTTCAGAGCTTGGAGCAACAGATTCACTTGAAGAGGCGATTGAGCTTGGTTCTTCTGAGCTTGAAACGCCACTTGAGCTTGGGCCTTCAGAGCTTGATACGGCACTTGATGGAGCTTCAGAGCTTAGAGCAACAGATTCACTTGAAGAGGCGATTGAGCTTGGTTCTTCTGAGCTTGAAACGCCACTTGAGCTTGGGCCTTCAGAGCTTGATACGGCACTTGATGGAGCTTCAGAGCTTGGAGCAACTGATTCACTTGAAGAGGCGATTGAGCTTGGTTCTTCTGAGCTTGAAACGCCACTTGAGCTTGGGCCTTCAGAGCTTGATACGGCACTTGATGGAGCTTCAGAGCTTGGAACAACAGATTCACTTGAAGAGGCGATTGAGCTTGGTTCTTCTGAGCTTGAAACGCCACTTGAGCTTAGACCTTCAGAACTTGAAACAGCACTTGATGGAGCTTCAGAGCTTGGAGCAACAGATTCACTTGAAGAGGCGATTGAGCTTGGTTCTTCTGAGCTTGAAACGCCACTTGAGCTTGGGCCTTCAGAGCTTGATACGGCACTTGATGGAGCTTCAGAGCTTGGAGCAACAGATTCACTTGAAGAGGCGATTGAGCTTGGTTCTTCTGAGCTTGAAACGCCACTTGAGCTTGGGCCTTCAGAGCTTGATACGGCACTTGATGGAGCTTCAGAGCTTGGAGCAACAGATTCACTTGAAGAGGCGATTGAGCTTGGTTCTTCTGAGCTTGAAACGCCACTTGAGCTTAGACCTTCAGAACTTGAAACAGCACTTGATGGAGCTTCAGAGCTTGGAGCAACAGATTCACTTGAAGAGGCGATTGAGCTTGGTTCTTCTGAGCTTGAAACGCCACTTGAGCTTGGGCCTTCAGAGCTTGATACGGCACTTGATGGAGCTTCAGAGCTTGGAACAACAGATTCACTTGAAGAGGCGATTGAGCTTGGTTCTTCTGAGCTTGAAACGCCACTTGAGCTTAGACCTTCAGAACTTGAAACAGCACTTGATGGAGCTTCAGAGCTTGGAGCAACAGATTCACTTGAAGAGGCGATTGAGCTTGGTTCTTCTGAGCTTGAAACGCCACTTGAGCTTGGGCCTTCAGAGCTTGATACGGCACTTGATGGAGCTTCAGAGCTTGGAGCAACAGATTCACTTGAAGAGGCGATTGAGCTTGGTTCTTCTGAGCTTGAAACGCCACTTGAGCTTAGACCTTCAGAACTTGAAACAGCACTTGATGGAGCTTCAGAGCTTGGAGCAACAGATTCACTTGAAGAGGCGATTGAGCTTGGTTCTTCTGAGCTTGAAACGCCACTTGAGCTTGGGCCTTCAGAGCTTGATACGGCACTTGATGGAGCTTCAGAGCTTGGAGCAACTGATTCACTTGAAGAGGCGATTGAGCTTGGTTCTTCTGAGCTTAAAACCCCACTTGAGCTTGGGCCTTCAGAGCTTGATACGGCACTTGATGGAGCTTCAGAGCTTGGAGCAACTGATTCACTTGAAGAAGCGATTGAGCTTGGTTCTTCTGAGCTTGAAACGCCACTTGAGCTTGGGCCTTCAGAGCTTGATACGGCACTTGATGGAGCTTCAGAGCTTGGAGCAACAGATTCACTTGAAGAGGCGATTGAGCTTGGTTCTTCTGAGCTTGAAACGATACTTGAGCTTGGGCCTTCAGAGCTTGATATGGCACTTGATGGAGCTTCAGAGCTTGGAGCAACAGATTCACTTGAAGAGGCGATTGAGCTTGGTTCTTCTGAGCTTGAAACCCCACTTGTGCTTGGGCCTTCAGAGCTTGATACAGCACTTGATGGAGCTTCAGAGCTTGGAGCAACTGATTCACTTGAAGTGGCGATTGAGCTTGGTTCTTCTGAGCTTGAAACGCCACTTGAGCTTGGGCCTTCAGAACTTGAAACAGCACTTGATGGAGCTTCAGAGCTTGGAGCAACTGATTCACTTGAAGAGGCGATTGAGCTTGGTTCTTCTGAGCTTGAAACGCCACTTGAGCTTGGGCCTTCAGAGCTTGAAACAGCACTTGATGGCAAATTTGAAGAACTTGATGGAATTTCAGCAGAAGAACTTGCTGTTGATGAAGGAACAAAGGAACTTGAAGGAAGTGAAACAGTTTCACTTGATGATGAACTTTCAATAATAGAAGAACTCGATGATGTCGGAGTTGTAGATTCAGTGGTTGTTGTACTCTCCGTTGTAGTTTCCGTAGTGGTCGTGGTAGGAGTGGTCGTCGTGGTTGACGTTGTAGGGGTCGTTGTAGATGTTGTTGGCGTGGTTGTTGTTGTAGATGTTGTCGTGGTTGAAGTAGGTCTAGTGATTGGAGGTCGGGTAAGTTTAAGTGGAACTGTATTAGCCTGAGGCCTAGCACTGACATTTGAGCACAAACATATTAGCACTAGTGAAGAAATCACAAACATTTCCTTAGAAATTTTCCACTTCATTTTTAAAACTTTAATTTTCTACTTTTTCGATTTCAACTCAAACTTTTCACCACTTCACTTTATTTCCAAGTATTCGATGAATTACTTTTGAAGTAATGATATCCTCGATGCAAGGATGTCAATTATTTATACTAAATTTAATCGTGAGCCGCCGCTCGTGAATAAGCAATAAAAAGAAGTTAGCTTTTAATTTTCCTTCAAATCATGAAAAAAGAATTTACCTGAAAAATGCTTTTCGTGAAACGTGATCGAATAGGCTATTAAAAATGGACATATCGAAAAGCTGGCCTGCAATAAGTCCAGCAAAAACAGCCTTTTGCAAAAAAAGAGCCTTGAGTAGCTTTTGATTTTCAATATTTTTTTTCCATTTGGTTTTTAATTTTTCGGTCCTATCAGCTTTTACACCCGATATCTCAGACTCATGATGAGGTTTTAGTAGTGGATAAATTTTTATATTAAGCTCTTATCTATCAAGGTGCAAAAATCAAAAGTCATTAAATTGTGGATTGAAATTTATCAATATTTTAAATTTTATTGCTTACTTCCTTATAGTTTTGAATTGGAAAATATTCGAATTAAAAGTTGTTCGTGTCCTAAATTGCAAAGTTGGAAAGTTTTTTTGATGATGTGGCTTTGTGCTTGTTGAAGCGTGTTAAGTTATGGAAATTAACAGCAAAGTTGTGAGGGGCTAGTAAGTATTGGAAGGAGGATTAGTATCCAAGTCCAATCCTTGCTCCTATCTAGCTCCTTTCCTAGCTTCTATCCTAGTCCTATCCTAGTCCTATTCTAGCTCTTATCATAGCTCCTTTCCTAGTTCCTTGCCTAGCTTCTATCCCATCAAAGCTCCCATTCTAGTCCTGTCCCATTTCAGTCTTAATCCAGCTCAATCTGTCTTTGTGATCTTTGCACCTGCTCTCTTGCTACCTCAAAATTACATCGAAGTCAAAGTCCTTTAAAACTCATAAAAAAAATCAAAAAAAAAAACATAAAATTAACGATCGACAGAATAAGGAGCTTTCAATAGCTTTTACTTTTGTTGCAAAAACCTTTTTTGTACCCCGAAACTTAATGATCGGCCTACATATTTGAAAAAACATTTATTGTTATTTGAGTGTCTTTTTGTGTTCCTGAAATGAATGAAAGGGAATTTGGAGCAGCTGTAAAAAATATTATTTTGTTGATTGATAATTTCGGAAGACAAAAGTGAAGACAATGGAGACTCTCATGTTTTTTTAAAGGTGTCATTGAAATTTATGGACATAATTGAGGATGAGGTTGAGGAAATGTCAATTGGTATGGGATGTAGACAGGAGCTGCAGAACTACTTAGCTCTAAAAATGCAAAAAACACTGAAAAATCAATAAAATCAAAAATTAACCTAGAAATAATATTTTTTTAAATTATTTTCAAATTTTCTAAAATCAAAATCAAGAGAAAAATCTTTTGTTTTTTAATTAAAATCTTTCAATTTTTAAATTAAAATCTTTCAATTTTTAAATTAAAATCTTTTAATTTTTAAATTAAAATCTTTTAATTTTTAAATTAAAATCTTTCAATTTTTAAATTAAAATCTTTTAATTTTTAAATTAAAATCTTTCAATTTTTAAATTAAAATCTTTCAATTTTTAAATTAAAATCATTTAATTTTTAAATCAAAATCTTTCAATTTTTAAATTAAAATCTTTCAATTTTTAAATTAAAATCATTTAATTTTTAAATTAAAATCTTTTAATTTTTAAATTTATTTTACTTTATTTATTTTAATACAAAACATTTTGTTTTTTTGACATTAATTTATTGTATAAGTGAAGATTTCACATTTAATTTTATTTTTTTAAGGAATATTTAAATTATAATTATTTCGACTAAATTCGTAAATTATAAAATAAATTAATTTTTTGAAACTAATAATCTCATTTTGTGAAATCTTTAGTTGAATAAGAAAAATCAATAATAAAATCAGAAGTGACTCGGAAAATTCTTTGAGATTTCCGTGAAAAACTCATTAAATTCTTTAATTTTCATTTTTAATCCAAAAAAACTTGAAAAATCTAAGAAAATTTTCACTTTAATTTTTCAAATTTTTTCAGGAAAATCGCTACGAAAAATTTATCAAATAAAAACCTTCCATAGACACAAACTAACCACAACATCACCAATAATCCCAATAAATCCGCAACCTTACTCCTTCTTCTCATGATCATCATCTGCATCCTCAGCATCCATAATGTCAGCACAAAATATCGAATACAAAATAATCATAAAAAATCCAAATGGCACCACAAACAGCACAAAACATAAAATTGGATTTCCGCGCCACATTTCAGCCAAAAGTCGTCGCGTTTCAAAGAAAGCTCGATAAAGTCGGACACTGTAATGATCACCGCCATAAACTGTTGCTGTTTGATTATTAATCGAGTCCAAAAACATTTCAATAGCTTCAGATGTCATGGCCATTGGATCATCGTCTGGGACATGATGATGATTAGTTGTGGAATTAAGGACGAGTAAATGAGGTGTTGGAAGATGTTCCATAGCTATTGTGTGAGCCAAATCTGGCGTTCCTGTCCATCCGAATTGGAAATTTGCGTGATATTTTGAGCGTTTTGTTCGAATTATTTGCTCGACCATGTCTCGGAACTCCTGCTCGTGTGTCTCTAATTCACTAAGTTTATTTTCTTCAACTACGGCAATGACCAAAAATTTCTTCGTCTGCCTTAATTGATGTAAATTTTCACGCGTAACTCTTGGGAATGTTGCGAATTTTTCCTGAATTATCCAGTTATGCATGCTGTCATTCAAAGCTGTTGGCTCAACAACATCATATGCATCAGATAATGGAAAAATGTAATGAGTGTTCTCCTTGTAGACCAGCACAACTGGATGGGAATCAATCATGAAATGTTTACTGCCAATTTCATTGTTTGTTGCATAAAAGTATGCAAATTGTTGATTAGCTTCTGATGCAATGTAGTAGAACTCCCATAAAGCTCCTTGTTGTTTTCCAATGTATACAAAGAATATTGGATTGTTGGCTTTAAGGATCTCGAAACTTTCTGTTCTGGTCACCTGGGAATGATAATTAGAGAGAAATTACATGAAGTAGCTTTAATATAACCTCAAAAAATTTGATCTAACCTCAAAATAAATTAAGCTAACCTCAAAACAATTTGATTCAAACTCAAAAAACTCCCAGATAACCTCAAAAACTTCAACATAACCTCAAAAATTATAATTCAACACCAAAACATCCTCAAAGGTCCAATATAACCTCAAAAGTTCAACATAGCCTTGAAAATTTAATTTAACCTCAAATAGTTTGATTTAACCTCAAAAAAATCTAAAGCAACCTTAAAAACTTCAACATAACCTCAAAACTTGTAATTTAACGTCAACATAACCTCAAAAGTTCAACACAACTTCTCAAGTGCAATATAACCTTAAAATTTCTTTTCTAACCTCAAAAATTCCAACATAACCTCAAAAGTCACAATCCATACATAACCTCAAAAATTCATTTGTAATCTCAAAAATTCATTTTTAACCTCAAAAAAATAACCTCAAAACCAGTAAATAACCTCAAAAACCTCAAAAATCTCACTTAGCTCCCTCAAATTTCACAATAACCAATCCTAATTTTCCCATTCTCACCTGCTGAACAGGAGGTCCACTCATTCTCATTGCAAAATGCACCAACTCGTCCTTCGATCGTTCGCCATTAAATACATATTCATTGTGGCCACGAACGCTATTAAATAAAAAATTAATAAATTTATTATTGATCTGATAAAAATAAGGCATTGAGGTTGACTGAACAGAACAATAAAATTAATATTGAAATATTGTAAAAAAAAAATCATGATTTTGAAGCTAAAATTTTAAGCAATGACAAAATTGAAGACTGTGCAAAATATTAGTCGCTTAATAGCTAGTTCTAACTTTCAGCAACCTTATCCATTGCCAGAACCATGATAGAAGTCATTATTTTTTTACAACAATTTTTAAGGCTGCCTTTTTGTCTAAACAATCAATTCATTGAAGTTTCTAAGTTAATTTTCTTGTTTTTAAGGCTCTAGCAGCTCAGTAAGGAGCTATCCCAGGAGAATTGGCTTGCATAGCTAGACTAGCTTTACTAAAGCTGACAATCTGCTCAAGTTAAGCTCCGGTAAGCAGCATAAAGGTGCTTTGAAGTAGTTTTTGGATAAAGACTTAAGACAGAGTCTAAATTAAGTCCAAAACTTTCAATAATGGATAGACATCATTTTTAAACTCCCCCTTTGTAAGGCACCAACTCCAATTGAGTTCAATTCAAATTCAAATTGAACTTTCTGGTTCCGATTTGTGCACGATTAATTTTTATTGCTATTTCAATTATTTTAGGCCAATTGCTTTTCGATAAGTTTTCAATATTTAAGTCGTGCTGAGCAGCTTGTGTGACTTTATTTGAACATTTGTACTTTTTAAAAAATAATTTAATAAAAACATTTCACATTTATACTCACAAAATCACCGTTGGATATCCTTGAACATCAAATGACTGACACACAGACTTGAATCTTGTACAATCGACTTTTCCGACTCGGATGTTTGTGTTGTATAAAGTCTGAGCTACTAAATTCCAAACTGGTTCTAATTTCTTACAGAAACCACAATATGGAGCGTAGAACTTAACAAACCACATACCTGAGGATGTAAAAGCATAAGTTATTAAAATTAAATATTAATGAGCACAAAAATCTTCAAAATGAAAATATTTTAAAAATTAGGAATTTTCTGTAAAAACGTGACACTCGTTTGTTTTGATGTTCTAGTTTATTAAGCTAGTTTATTAAGCTAGTTGTAACTTGGATACTAATTGACACAGTTTCATTTCAGTTAAAAAGGTTTTATTATGTAGAACTATGATAGGAGGGCTTGTAGACTATTCTAAGGTATAGTTAAGGTGTAATTCATTGGAATGTAGCAATGGATATGACAAGACTAGCTATTAAGTTGATATAAACCAATAAATTGATCTGATCGACACAACTTAGTCGTTATTCAACTTCTTTGTCATCCAGGAAGATGTCAGAACATCAAAATAGTGCGATTTTGCTCAGTCAGAACCGTAAAGGCTATTTGGAAGGCAAAAACATGAGATTAACAGCAGTGTGTCGTTTAGGGTTCAGTAACACTGTCGACGGACTGACCACAACTCGGGCAGTGCTTTTTAAACTATACAAGGGAGAAATACTAGACACTAAGCCGGTTTTAACTAGAATTTGGCATAAAATGCTATTAATCTGGCACAAGACTAGCTATAGTCAACATTTTTGGCACTTTAAGACCACAGTGAGCATCAAAATCTCAAATTATGGGTCGATTTCCATAATATTAGAATGGAAGGTACTCAACTAGGATGGCAGATTGAGCCGTAAAGTAGCGAACTGCTGTATAATATCAGATCTACCTACTAGTATGAATACAAAGTCTACTTCTTTACAAGCTACTCAATATTCCTGAATAAAACTCCAATTAGCAGTCAGATTAAACAAGGACTAAACCAAAACACCTCCAAAATTACATCAGATTTTAATTTCAACTCACCTTCACTCCTTACATCTAAGAACCTATCACCTAATTCCAAAACTCTTGATGATGATGCACAGCACACAAAAGTTATGACTAAAAGACAATTAAATTTAATTAAAAATCCTCGAAAAAACATTAGAAAATTTTAAATTCTCACCTAGAATGGAAGAGATCAATTTATAGAAATTCTGCATTTTTAAGTCACTTTAAAGCCTTGCTTAGATCCACATGAGTTGAGGGAATTTCTTGTTGACACTAAAAATAATTTTTTGGCTTAATTAAATTATTGGAAAATTTATTTCTTTTACAAACAAGTTTTTTTTTTCGCTAATGTTTTTGTTGGTGGATGAAAAACTTTTTCATAATAAAAAAAAGGGAGAATTGCAAAACTGCGTTGAATGCCCCGCTGAGGTTTTGCAAACAAAAAATTGAGATTTGAATATTTTTTGGTGACGGTTAAATGTTGAATGAACTATTTGGATGTGGTTTTGTTTATTCTGCATTTAAGTGACGCCAGGAGCGTAGCCAGGACTCCTAAAAGTTTTGAACTGCAGCGAGATTATGGGAAGATTCAAACCATGGACGTAGCCAAGAGAGTCTGAGCCCGTTAAAAAAAGTCGGGGCTTAGATCCTCCTGGCTTATTCCCCAAGTAACCCATACAGCAGGCTCGGAAACTAGGTGGTATTTCATACACGTTGGAGGTATTTGGCGGTATACCGTCTAATTTCCGAGCCGGTCCAAACATTAGCGTATAAAAAGTTGTTATCTTGAGCAGTGCTTCAGCAACTTACAACAGCATAGCTTTATTTAATAAGGTAAACATTGATGGTAGTAAGTTTTATTGCTAACGGGCTGGGCCGTTTACTTATGACGTCCACCAGAAAGAAGCGGGGGGTGGGGGGAACAATTAAATTTTCTTGGATTTTTTTTTGAAAAATGATCGATAATTTCGGACGTCATAAGTGAACGACACCTTATCTTATTCAAGTTCATTTAAACTAGAGGATATTAGGGAGTAAGGTTGGTCTTGCTACTTTGTGATATGCCATACCTAACGTAGAAAGACCTCATAGTCAACTTTACTTAAAAAGACGTCCTATTTAAACTTCCTGACTTCGTCCATTCTAATCAATACACTTAGTAGAGGGATCTTAGTGATGATCTGACTGTAAAACACCAAAAAGCGAGGCCTCTTACATGACATTAACATCATTATCTTTGGTATCCGGCTCTATGAAAATCCACATCCTTACTTCCTTACTTCGATGACCCTACAGCTCAATTGTGATCCATGACCCTCCTCAGATGCAGCATAAATCTAGCTCTCTCGCTTTCTACCGCTTGCCAATTTTCAATACCAAATCTACATGTGTGGCATCATAATTCTATCCACTAAGCGCACCCCACTTAAGTACTTTAATAATTTTGCAAGCAAAACAATCAAAAATCCGTTCAAAAGTCAACAATAAATTTCTATTTTTGGTCACATTTTAATCACTAAAAGTGCGATAATAATTTTTGGAGAGGTTTTGAGAGTAAATTTACGCTGAAAATTAGCTCAAAAACATTCTCGTCGTCAGTTCCATTCAAGCTGCTTAAGCGATCACTTCAAATTAATTATTTTTGTGTAGATTAAAGCTGTCACTTGATCAATATTTGCGTAGCTGATTAAGTCGAGTGCAAAAAATTTCAGTGCAACAACTTTCAGTAATTATCAAAACTTTTAAGTGCAATCTAATTTCTCTTTTTATAAGTTTTAATGATTTTCAGACAGATTCGAGCGATTAATAGCTTAAAAATTAGCAGAACAATGAGCCAAGGAACTAATTATTCCAGGTAGGATTAAAGTTGAAATTAAATTGGTGGAAAAAAGTGGATTTAAAATTAATTCTAAAGAGTTTAAAGGTCACTTTTTTAAAAAATCATGATGATGTTATTGTTTTTGAGTTGGATGTACGAGAAAGTTGATGTTGTTGGATGTTTTGATCTTGCTGGATGTTTTGCTAATTTTTTGAATGTTTAATGCTGAATTGCCAGTGTTTTTGTTTACTTTTCAATGTTTTATTCACTTTTATCAACTGAAAACATCCCAGAGTTGGCAGTTCTCCATTCTTATGATCAGTGGTGGTCAACCTTTTTTTTGTGCCACGACAAACTTTAATGGTAGGCCATGGACAGCACTCTGCATTCGGCTCATGGGATTTCTTGAATATTTTTCTCATCACACTAGTTTGCCGCATCACGTTGGTTGACCATCACTGCTTTAGATGAACCTCAGAGACTTCAAAAGCCTGCGAACTCTAAAAAATCCTCGAAAAGCACAAAAACCTCAATGAAAATATTTTTTCTCTTTCCAGCACCCCAAAGTCTATCCAACCCCTCAACGACCCAATATTCTCCCGCAAAGACATCTTTCCAGATCTTCATCTACTCGATGGACCCCTACAGCCTTACCGCTTCAGCTCATCATTCGATTGGAGGAAAATGAAGCTTGTTGTCGACACTGCAGAAGCTTGGGATGTAAAATTCAGAGTTTGGAACTTCATGGAAAGACATCCATTATTTAAAAGATACCACGAGACACTTCCAATTGATGAGCAACGACGATTGTCATCAAAGCAGGTGTTTACACTTTACAATGAGAAGCTTTATGGCATGCAAGAATATTTTGAAAAACCTGAATTGAGCACTAAATACAGCACAGCAATTGGATCTTTTGAACCGAGCATATCTGTGAAATATGGAATTGGATTTGGAATGTTTCCGAGTGTCTTGAGAAGCAATGGAACTGAAAGAGTTGAAGACTTGATAATTGATAATACAGAGATGAAGAACTTTGGATGTTTTGCTTTGACTGGTAAGTCTGTGCTAATCTTTTGTGTACCAAACTTATGAACTAAATCATTTATAGAAATTGGACATGGCAGCAACACTCAATCCATGAAAACAACAGCAACTTATGAGCCATCATCGAAGTCTTTCGTCTTAAACACACCAAATTTTGAGGCTGCAAAGTGCTGGGTGGGTAACTTAGGAAAGACAGCAACTCATGCAGTGGTTTATGCTCAACTTTACACTCCAGACGGTAAATGTCATGGACTGAACTCATTTGTGGTTCCAGTCAGAGATCCTAATAATATGCTGGTCTATCCTGGCGTTGTTATTGGTGACTTGGGTGAGAAAGTGTCGCTAAATGGAATCGACAACGGATTTGGTGAGTAGCTTTAGACATTCTTAGCTCCTTGAGTCAATTTAATCCTTATCCTACTAACTCAACATCCAGTGATGTTCAACAACTACAAGATTCCAAAGGATTATCTTCTGTCCAAGACTGGCGATGTCGATGATGCTGGAAACTTTGTGACTCAATTTAAGGACCCAAAGAAACGAATGGGAATATCATTTGCAGCCCTGTCAGGAGGCAGAGTTGGAATCTGTGAAATCGCAACTAATTATGGAGTCATGGCAATAACAATTGCAATCCGATATTCAGCAAGTCGTAAACAGTTCGGACCTGAAAATAGTGATGTTGAATATCCAGTTTTGGAATATCAGTCACAACAATATCGAATCATTCCACATCTTGCAACAGTTTATGCCTTAAAATTCTTCTCGAACTGGATTGGACGTGAATATTTTGACATCATGAAGAAGACTCTTGTAGGCGAAAAAGTCAGTCCTGAAACTGGAATGGAAATTCATGCAATTTCATCAAGTGGAAAGCCTGTTTGTGGCTGGATGGTCCGTGACTTGATTCAAGATTGTCGTGAGGCATGTGGTGGACATGGATACTTGAAATGTGCACAATTAGGTGACTTAAGGAACAACAATGATCCAAATACAACTTATGAAGGTGAGAACAATGTACTGATTCAGCAGGCATCAAACTTCTTGCTTGCTGTGCGTTCTAAAGGCTGGAAATCATTTGAAAATGCATCGCCACTTGGAACTGCTGCATTTCTTAAAGACGGTGACAAAATATTGAGTATGAAGTGGAATTGGACTAAAGTTGGATGTGCAATGAAGCCAGAACGTAAGTTGATCTTTATAATTTACTTCCGTGCTTAATCTGATGACTGTTTTTTAGATTTGCTTGCAACTTTCAATTGGATCTGTGCCTACATGCTTGAAAAAACATTCAATCGAGTCAAAAGTCTTCAAGAATCTGGTCAGTCAAGCTTTGATGTCCGCAACAATTCACAAACATTCCATGCTAATACTCTAGCTATTGCTTACGGACAGCGTCAAGTCATTGCTGCATTTCTAGAGGAAATCCAAAAATTATCACCTGATGCAGCAGAACGAGAAGTTCTCACAAAACTTTTGTCACTTTTTGCTGCCAACTTAATATCCACAAAATACATCGGTTTGCTCTACGAAGGTGGATTTGTGGCTTCAAATGGACCAAATGTCAATGACTTGCTACAAACTGGAATTCTTGGATTATTGACTAGCTTAAAAAATGATGCAGTTTCTCTTGTTGATTCCATTGCACCTCCAGATTTCATCCTTAACTCACCACTTGGTATGAGCGATGGAAATGTCTATAAACATCTTGAATCATTCATGTACCAAACACCAGACACATTTACACGTGCATCTTGGTGGAAGGATTGTGTCTATAAAGATTTCTTGACATCTAAGTTGTGAGGGGGTTCGGAGGAGGGGACTTTGGTTGGATTATAAAGTTGTTAATTTTTTATTTTGAAATTTTTGTACAGAAAATAAAATTATTTGAGATTTTTTGGCATCATGAACTTAAGTTATCTCATTTGCTAATCTTTCTGTGCTTTTGTTTAAGAACATTCAATCAGTGCTTAAGCAGTGTGTTTATAATCTCAATGAAAAGAGAGAATTTGATTGACTTTATACTGCAGCTATTTGAGAATCGTTCTCACAGTTCTACACCGGCTTTTGAGTAGATTGGATTGTTGTTTTAATTCTGCGACTGATTTATTTGCTGATTATTGTATTTTGTGCTCAGGATGGTGAAATTGTTAATGTAAATTGATTTTGTTCTACGCATTGGTTTTATGGATTCAATTTTTATAGGGTATCTTAGCCTTAAAACTAAGGGGCTGTTCACTTATTACGTAACGCGAAAAAATGACTTCTTAGACCCCCCCCCCCCTCGTAAAAAAATTTGTATGAAAAAAAAAATTTCCTTGTTTGAACCGTAACAAAATCTTAGACCCCCCCCCTCCTCCTAAAAGCGTTACGTAATAAGTGAATAGCCCCTAAGGTAAACCCTAGAAATTAATGTCAAAAGTCTAAGTCATTCACATATGACGTCCGAAATTAACAGTCATTTTTTTAAAAAAAGAACAATAAATTTCCAGGAATTTCTATTGTTCTTTTCTTGAGGACCAGAGGCGTAGCCAGGAATTTGAAGAGGGGGGGGGGGGGCAAAAACATTTTGGGAAGGGGAGGGTTTGTGATTTTTTCATAAAAACCATAACAAAATAAAGAAATTTCTTTATTGTCCCCCAAATCCCCCCTCTGGCTACGCGCCTGTTGAGAACCCCCCAAACCCTTTCTTCCAGACGTCATAAATGAACGGCCCCTAATATCATATGTTGGGGTTTAAGAACCTCCAATTTTAGCTCTGTTATAATTTTTTTAATTTTTTTTTTATATTTTTGCTAACAACCTTCCAGACTTATTATCTCAAACTTCATCCTGTGTGACCTCTCGCGGTCATCAAATGTCGACTGTGATTACAATTTTGTTAATTATGCTGGTTTAAATTCAGTTTATACATGCATAGTTAGGAAAAATCTCAACATTATATCCAAAGATGGAACATTAATTGAATCTGCGACTGGATATCATAGAGGTTCCAGTTCCAACATTGACGTGTTTGCTTTTGAAGCTGAAAATAAAAAAATTGAATATTTTCCAAAAGGATTGGAGAAAATCTTTCAGAATCTTAAAGGAATTTACATCCAAAATGGAAGATTAAAGGAAATCCAACAGTCAGATTTTCGAGGATATTCAGAGCTTTTGTACCTTGAATTAAATAACAATGACATTGAGGTGCTGGAAGATGGAGTTTTTGACTTTATTCCAAGTATTGCAACTATTTGGCTTCCTGGCAATAAAATTATTCATGTCGGTGAAAATGTTTTTACAAATTTAAATAAATTAAGCTATTTTGGAATTATCAAAAATACGTGCATAAATTATCAGACCAACGACTTCCAGACACAAAGCTTTATGGCAATGAATAATCTTAAAGAAAATTGTTTTGACCAAAACTTCTCAAAATTATCCACAAAACTCAAAAACATCGAAGAAGATGCAAAAAATTTAAGAAGCGACAATTTTTACATTTTTAGTCAAAGTCTCGAAAAGTTGGAAAAAGAACTTAAAACCTCAAAATTTTCGTACCTAACAAGCTTCAAGGAACGATTCCATATCCTCAAATTCGTCACTCCAGAGACTGCTGCTTCACAAAGTTCATGTTTAACCTCAAAATTTGAAGATCTTGAAGCAAGCTTAAAAGTTGCAATTATAAAAACTTTGGACGAAAACCTTCAAAAGTTTCAAATTGGCTCATGTCAAGTAATTGATGAAAGAATCAGAAACGACAATTTAGATTTGGATAAAAGTTTTAATGACTTGATGACTAAAATGAGAGAAACTGATACAAATGTGAACAGCAAATTTGAGGAATTGGTCAATTTTCCAACTGCCATATCCAAAAGAATCGGCAAATTTGAGTGCGACCAAATGCACTTTGCTAAGAGTGAATTACACAGCATGAAGCAAGTCAATGTGGCTGAAAACATAAAATTCAAAAAACTTGAAGAAAGAATTGGTAAAATTGAGGAAAATATTGAAAAAATAATGCAAGCTTTGAATGTTACGAACTAGGATCCGTAAAAGAATCTTTATGTGCTCTAAGATTTAGACTGCTAAGGACACCTGCGCATTGAAATCTTTTAAATTCAAAAAATAAATAAAGTGGTAAACTTTATATTAAGTTTTAATTCCTGCCAGCACTTTACAGCTTCAAGTTTTTGTGCGTTCAGGACGAAATACTTTGATGATGGCTCATTAGTTGCTGTAGTCTTCATGGATTGAGTGTTGCTGCCATGTCCAATTTCTGGAAATGATAAAGTTCATAAATTTGGTATGCAAAGGTAAGCACAGACTCACCAGTTAACGCAAAACATCCAAAGTTCTTCATCTCTGTATTATCAATTATCAAGTCTTCAACTCTTTCAGTTCCATTGCTTCTGAAGACACTCGGAAACATTCCAAATCCAATTCCATATTTCACAGATATACTCGGTTCAAAAGATCCAATTGCTGTGCTGTATTTAGTGCTCAATTCAGGTTTTTCAAAATATTCTTGCATGCCATAAAGCTTCTCATTGTAAAGTGTAAACACCTGCTTTGATGACAATCGTCGTTGCTCATCAATTGGGAGTGTCTCGTGGTATCTTTTAAATAATGGATGTCCTTCCATGAAGTTCCAAACTCTGAATTTTACATCCCAAGCTTCTGCAGTGTCGACAACAAGCTTCATTTTCCTCCAATCGAATGATGAGCTGAAGCGGTAAGGCTGTAGGGGACCATCAAGTAGATCAAGGTCTAGCAAAGACATCTTTGCGGGAGAATATTGTATCATTGAGGGGTTCAATTGTTTCTATTTTCAGCTGATTACGCCCATGAAATCCCATGAGTCCAATAATTTGAGTCATGGCTTACCATCAAGGTATGTCATAGCACAAAAAAAGGTTGGTCACCACTGGGTTACGACAAGAATGAGCAACAAAATCCAACAATTTTTTTTTTCAATAAATTTATTTTTTAACATGCAATAACATGAAGTTTATAATAGAAACATAAAAATTCATGAGCTAGCAAAATTTTCAGGGCAACAGCATCCACATTCAGGTACCGGACATATATCGTGGTTTTCAAACCATTCAAGAAGATGAGCCTGTGAATTAAAGAGTTAGAAATACAATTATTAAAGATTCAGGGCCGATAGGAACAAGATGATGCCACATACCGTATGAAATGAATGACAGCAGGCAAGACAACTGTTTGCTGATCCTGAAAGATTAATTATTTGAGAATTAAGAATTAAATCATTTATTTTAAACAGGATGAAGAATCAAGAGCTGGTTTCTAGAGAAATAGCTTGAACCTAGTAAGTATCTCTAATAGCCCAAACTCAAGCTACAGATCTTTAATCACCTGTCTTGCCTAAAATCTCACCTTTGATCGGTAAATTACAAAATGCACAATAAAGCAGAAACTTCTTACAATGCAGACATGATGGACCTCTCGAAGTCTTCTTACACTGAACACACTCAGACATAAACTCAACAGTGCTCGGCTGTTGAACTGGAAATGACACAAATTTCATCACTTGAGCCCGTGCTGGTAGCAAATTGAAACAATAAAGGATATCCGCATAAGTTTTCTTCAATGTGTCGTAAAAGTTTCTGTTGCTTTCACCCAAAATGCTTCGATTAATTTCATTAATTCTAAAGTCATCGAGTGAGTCTGACCACGAGTTGCTTCTAGTTTGTCCTTTGAGATGTTGAGCTAGTACCCAGGCATTGTATTTGATTGAGTTTTGAGAGTTGATATCCATTGCTGTTACTGTGTGGTATGGCGATGCGCTTTGCTGTTGCAGGGAAAAATTGTTGTGATTATTTTGAGGTTTTTGTAAGGAATGGAACATTTAATAACACAAATTGATGAGGATATGTACAATGGGGTGCATGCTACTTATGAGATCTAAAGGTTCTGGTATGGCACATATCCACTGCACTATGTTCCTACTCTACACTACACTTCTTCTAGGATATCTTAGATAAGGATAGGTCAGAACTCATAGAAACATGCAATCCCAAGGAACACAAGTTTATTTGGATATGATGGCGACATAAAGGCGACAACTTTTTGAATTTCTTTGTTCGCATGACTGCTTTTTGACTCGTGGTAACAACACGTCAAGTCGAGTCACAAGGCAGCCTTGCTCAAGGACCCAAATAGCAGAAGTCGGTTAATCGAATAGAATTGAATAGAAATCTGGCACGATGCTGGCTATTTGAATTGAAGACCGGCACCTTGTTAAAGAAACGCCGGTTTTGTGTTGGATTTCTATTCGATTAACCAACTTGTGTTATTCAGGTTGATCAAAAAGGTTGACATGTGATTCGTCTTGACATGGTGCTGCTACGAGTCAAAAATGGCAAGTGAACAAAGAAATTCAATAAGATGTCGCCTTTACGTTGTCATCATGTGAACATAAACTCTTGGTCGCTCGGGTTCACAACGATTAGTCATCGAACCTCTTGCTTAAATCCACCTGGCAGATGCCAATTTATAAATAATCCTAATTTCCACAAATCTGGTTAGTAACACATGCAAATCAAACAAATGAAAAGAATGAGTGATTAAGATAGATCGAATAAATACCTTGAGTAACCGTTGTGCATGTAAATGCTAAAATATTTTTACATAAATATTTTTCATAAGTTGCAAAAAAGAGAATCAAAAGAAAAATGTTTTGTTAGTAAATTTCATATTAAACCTCTTCCATAATCACAGGCGTGGAGCCAGGAGTAGGATTTGGGTGACTAATCCCCTAAGTCAACAGAAGCTTCTTGACCCCACCCCCTCTTAAATTCCTGGCTTCGCCTCTGCATAGACAATATTTTTTTTATAATTAGTTGTTAAATTTGAAATCAAAAGAACTATGGCTGATTTCTAGACTTATCAGGAACAACTTTCCCTAGAATCAATTGTATACCTCAATTCTAGAGCAGGTTCCTCCTGATAGTCCTTAGAAACCAAGCCCTCAAGACTAAAATACATGCGAGTGCTTAATATTTGTGAATTGATAAATAATTTGAGACATTTTACAAAGTACTCAGCTATAAACTTAATACATCAGTGATTTAATCTAAGAATATTGCATAAAGTTAAGGCAACAAGCAAGTAATGACAAAGTTTACTTACACTTGTATTTGATTTGGTTGAAAATGATGAAGTTCTTGATGATATCTCTTGACAGTATTTACCGAAAGTTACACAAAGCATTGCTGCTGTTTGGACGTCTCCTTGCTTTGCGTAGTGATTTATTCTAAACATGAAAAAAGGTATAAAATTAGCTGATTGATGACTATGTTGATCATCTGGGAGATCGAAAAGAATCCAGGCTAACATTAAGGACCAAAAAAAGCTACTCACAATGCCTCCAAAAATGCCTTCGCAAATGGATTAGGACTCGAAAACATCTCATCGTCCGATAGCTCAAAATCACTATTATTCAGTGCCAACGCAATTGTCTCAGCAATGCTCCAGGTCTGTACCAAATCTGGTCGTCCAAATTCTTCAGCAATCTCCTTGTTCCTCTTACACATGCTTGGTAGATTCGACGGAATTATCACATAATTTTCAGCAAGTTCTTTAGAGACCATAAGAAGCTTTGAGACATCATAAATGCAGATGCTGACACCCATTGATGACTTTCTGTCCATAATATCCTTTGGTTGATAAAAGACTGGCTTAGATCCATTGACATTGCCAAGATATCCACCAGACAGAGCTGACAATGCTCTTGGCGTTGTAGTTTGGTTCCTCAAACTGTATCTTTTGGAAGCAAATGGTCGTGAAAATGTCACTAAAATTCCAGTTGGATTGAATTTGACACCGGATGTCTTTGGGAATGGAATCATCGAGTCTGACAAGGCTTTAGACAGCGCACCTTCAAGTCTTGGTGATTGTAGCCTCAAGTAATGAGCTTTATCTCCTCCCGTTTCCTTCTTAAACTCAGACACAAGTGCACGTAGGCAACTATCAAGACAAGCTTTTCCTTTCTTCAACCTCGATGCTGCTGTTTCCTTAAGGACCTTCATCAACTTGAGAGATAAGTTCTCATCAATTGTCGTTCCTGGACAGAATTCAAAAACTGGATGAGCTGGAGTTGGATATGCCGATGGAAAGATTACTTGGAGGATGATAATGAAGCCATTTGCTGATACTCTGGCCATCGCGTTGCGTTTTTCAATGTCGTACTCAAACTTTTGGACTCCTGGAACACCTAAAATGTCAATTTGCAAACTGTTAGCTTAAGATGAGCTAAATCACATAAAAGAGCACCAACTGGACTGTATATACATCCACAATCACATCATTGACTACTTACTCTTAATAGAACAAATTGTAAATTCATGCAGCAACGAGCAACTCGGCTGTGGCACATTCTTCTGATTCTGATGATATTCCAAAGCAATCACAGCACTCTCAGTCTCAATTGTATTTTGGGAGCATAAGTCTTGCAGTGCTTTGTCAAGCTTCCAGACTCTAAATGTCTGATCACGACTCCATGTACAAATTTCTAACTCGTCTGACATTGAATTTGGATCATTTCGGTATGCAAAGTCAAGGATGACATCTTTGTGTCCAGTAAATGAACAGACAGGACTTTGGCTATTTTTTGAGTTGCTCCAAAGAAGCAGTGAGTTCTCACCGCCTTCAGAACTGACTAATGGGACAATGATTGTTATCAAGCCGTCTTTAAAGGATGGAGGAGTATATCTAGCTCTCCAGACAGGCGATGGAGTTGATGTTGTAATGATCCGTTCAGCTCTTCTTGGATTGTTGATGTCAAAGAACTTGACACTTCCATCTTGTGAAGCTGTGATAAGGTTGCTCTCCTCTGTGTGGCTCCAGTTGATGCCATGAATGCGGTTGAGATGAGCTGTTATGTATTGAACTGGACGGGATCCTTTCCTGATGTCCCAGATTCGGAGGTCACCGTCGTGTGCTGTTGCTATGAAATTTCCACTAAAACATTAATAAAATTGTTAAATTAGAGCTAAATTGATGCATCAAGTAACTTACCTAGCCCTTGAGAATCCAGCCTGAGTAGCTCCAGACATACAGACAGCTGACAATGACAAAATTGGTCTCTTTGGATCCCTCAAGTCCCACAAATGAGTATAAGTGTCTATACTGCATGTAGCTAGCATGTATGGATGTTTACTATGCCAATCTATGTCCGTAACTACCCTCGTATGTGCTCTCAATGAATATTCAAGAACTGGACTAGCTTCTGTCCATTTAAGGACCTCAATTAACTGAGATGTTGCGATGGCACAAAATGCTGATGACTGATTGCAGATGGCAAATTCAGCACAAGACACTTCAAACTTGCTGTTGCGATTGAACAGCTGTAAAGGTTCTGCGTAGTTGTCTAAATTCTTGAGTGCTAAATGTCGTCGTCCAGCAAGAAGGAGATACTGGCCAGTGTAGTTGATTGATAGTGCTGTGGCTTGAAGATCATCAAGATTCATGAAATATTCAGCCTGACGAGTCACTGGACTTTTTTCTTCGATTTCTATTTCCATTGTTTGAGAATTCTGATTTTTTATTTTGGTAGATTTTGCAGATTTTATGCTTAACTTTTGATCATTTTATGGATATTTGTTGACTATTTATGCTGCAAGTTTCACAAAAGCCTTTGATAAACTAGCTTAATATGTTTTGAAAAGTTGTACAAACTTTATGTTTTCTTATCAGTAGGTAAAATAAAAGCAAAACAAAAGGGGCATGAAACTACGCAAAATCATCTGTTTGTGTAATTTTGGGGATGTTTTAAAGAGTTTTGACTGTAATTTGAATTTCTGTAACGTAATTTTGATTCCTGAACAATAAAAATCATTTAATTATGCATTTTAATTTTCTTTATTTAGTAAATTAAGTTTATGATTTTTATAAATATTTTTAAATGTTTATTTTTTTAATTTTTAACTTCCTTTAATATTCATAACTTGTCTGATTCTTCTTTATCTCATTTGCCTCCATTAATTCTTTAAATTCTTGAATTTGTTGTTCTTTTGTTTTCTTCATTCTTTCTTCAATTTTGTCAATTTGACTTTCATTTTCTTCTTCATTATCTTTAGATTTTGCGATTGATTTCCTTATTTTTGGGTTGTTGTTTAAATCAAGTTCAGCATCGTCAAATCTTTTAAAGTTAATTTCAGGTTTTTTGTTGACTATTTGATTGATTTCTTCCTCAGTCAAGATCTCATCGTCGATATCTTCTCCCTCAAACTCTTCATCAATAAATTCTTTGTCAATTTCATCAACTTCATTTTCATCAATTTGATTGTCAATTGGCATCAACTCTTCAGAATCTTCATGATCTTGTTGAATTCTATTGTCGAAGATTTCTTCAAATTCTACATCTTTTAAATCACCAGTTTTATCAAATGTTGAATCTTTGATTGACTTTTCCTGATTCTTCTTGATTTCTGATTCAATTTCATCGTCAATTCCAAATTGTTCATCATTAGTGTCTTGTTCTTCTTGGTCAATTTTTTGATTAAAAATTTCACCATTTTTTGTCAATTCTTCGTCATTAAAAATCTCAACTTTTATTGCTTCATCCGCAGTTTTATCAGACAAAACTAAGTTTTCGTCTTCTGGAAATTCTTCATTTAAGTTGACTTTGTTAGAATCATTCAAATCAACAGTAAGTTCCAAATCTTCATTGGCTGAACCATTTTCATCTATTTTCAACAAAATTGTTGAATTTGTTTTAATGTTGCTTAATTCTTCTAAATTGTCATTTTTAGTAATCCTTGAATTTTGATTCAAATGTTCATAAGTATCAGTTTCATCTGTGTCAATAGCTTCATCAAACTTCTTAGAGCTTGAACTTGTCATACGTTGCATAAAATTCTGAAAACTCTGCCAAAATCCAAATGGAACTTCCCAAAAATTTTCAGGGATTTTCAAAAAGTTCTCAAAATTTGAATCTTTTTCTTGAAAATCTTCAGATTCTTCGTACAAATCATCAGCTTTGAAGTCAACAAACTCTTTAGAATCATCTTGTTTGTCTTCATTGTGTGGCTGTGTTGACAAATCTTCATCAGAATATTCAGAATAGATCTTGTCATTTTCAGCAGTTTGATAATTTTTTTCTGCAAATTTGTCGTCAATTTGATCATTTTCTTTTAGATTTAGTTCCTTTTGAAGTTTAAAGCCTTCATCGAATTTAAGATCTGAATCTTTTATGAAATTGAAGTCTTCATCAATTTCTTTTTCAACTAAATCTGATTCTTTCTCAATTTTTTGATTCTCGAGAACCAAATTTTCACCAATTTCAGGTTCCATCATCATCAACTCCTCGTTTTCTAAGTCTTTTTCAAAAATTTCATCATTAATGTCATCAATTGGTTCTATCTTCACATTCTTAATTGGAAATATGATTTTAAAGTTTTCAGGTTCATGGACAACTCCTGGATTTTCTACATATTTGGGTGCCATTGCCGCATCATCTGCTTCATTGTCATTTACTTGGTCAATTTTGTCAACTTCTTCATCTGGGTACGGAACCTTCATAATGATTCCTTTCTCATTTATGTTTTTCCTTTCTGATTCTTCAAGTTTGAAGTCTTCGGAATTCAAATCTTTAGATTCAGAATCTTCAGCTGAGCCGTCAGTTTCCAACTGAGTCTTCATCATAAAGTCATTAAGCTGAACTTCATCTTCAAAATTTTTAAATTCAAGATTTTCAGCTTTTATGACTTTCTTGTCATCTTCAGCATTTTCTAAAAATTCCACTTGATCCACAACTTCATTTTCTTTCTCTGGCTTAATTTCTTCAAGCAAAAGTTCAACAACTTCTGGATTTTCAGCCAAAAAGTCCAATATTTCTTCAGTTGCTGCATTTCTAGGCTGATTGTCATCAATCTTTGGACTTTCTGGCTCAATTACTAAGTTTATCACAATTGGAAGTAAGTTGTCGATAGTTTTGTTGAAGTTTGGATCTTCTGGTTCCTCAAACTCTTCAAAAGCTGCATATTCTTGAGTCTCAACTGGTTCTGCTTCTTTTTCAAGTCCCTCAGGATCTACATTCTCCTTAAATACCAACAATTCTGGTGGTTCTTCCACTTCTAAGCCTTCAGCAGCCTTAATGCCAATTAGCTCTAATAAATCCTGTCCATTATCCATCAAAATGTCGAGCAATCCATCATCTGCACCTTCTACAGGCTCTTCAATAGCTTTATAATCCCAATTCCTACAATATTTAGCAATTGTCTCAATGTCTTCCTTAATTTCATCATCTAAATCTTCGATCATCATAAAGACATGATTCTGTGCTGCATAATTATCAGCTATTGTGTCTACAACATTCGATATCAAGTCATAGTTATTATATCCAATTTTGGCCATGTCACTGATTAGATTTTTGAGCATTTTGATAGTTTCTTCATTCCTTACTGCCTTCATCACAAAATACTTGGACACGTCAAACAAAATGTTCAGTTCCTCTTCGATTTCCTGGCATGAAAGTTGATGAAATTCAGCACCAAACTCATCAAAGTACGGAACTTGTGGCTCTTTGTAGAGTGACTTAATCAAATAGTCACCAATGGTCTGTAGATAGTCATCAGGCTCATCAGCATATCCAACAAGATTCTCAACACCATCAAGGATCATTCCATCAATTGTCTTTGTCTGATTAAGGATGTAAGCTAGCACATTTCGGTAGTTTTGGAACGACGCAAAATCAGTCGGAATTGAATATGAAAAATTAAGTTTGCAAAAAGTCGCAAAAAATATTAAAAAAGTTATCAACTTCATGTCTTGAAAGCTTGACTTTAAATGACTGACAAAAGCTTGAAAAATAAAGTTGAAATTTTATAGAAAATTAAAGTCGTGAGCTTTAAAGTCGTGACTAGCTTGGCAGTTCAGAGTACAAAAAAAACAAGCCAAGGAGTCGCAATTCATTTAACTTTGCAATGGTTTAGGCAATTTTGATACTTTTTTGCGACTTTTGTTTTAAGTTTTTAGGATTATAGAGTCATTAAGGTAGATTGGGACATTAATTAAGGTGAGGTAATAGTTGCTGTTGTCGAAATTACGTCGTTGACATTCAAACTTTAGGAAATAATTTCTTTAAAATGTCCAGTCACGATTCTTATTTGTGCCTTAGTTTGCTGAGTAGGTAAATGAATTAGAACTTGGGAACAATGTGCTGATGAGCTTGTCAAATCAGGTGTCAAGAACTATGGGTACAAAGTATTTGATTAAGCACCAAATTTTTATTTTTAAGTTCTTCATTTTTATTGATTAGATATTTTTAACATTAATGTTTAAAATAAAAGTTTAAAAAAAAATTATTTATTTCTTCAGATTGATGATTAACTTCTCCGCAGCTATGCTTTGATGCTCAATCTTATGAATAAACGCCTGTAATTACAGTTGACATTATTAATCATAATTATTAGTTTTTGAAAACTTAGAAACATAAAGTTAACCAAAAATACATTAAAAATTGATATCGTAGCAAAGCCAGAGTTAGGTTTAATCAACTGACTGAACCAAGACATGGAAAATCCTTGAAAAAACTCTGAGCCAACAAACATGAAAAAATGAAATTTCTTTTAAATCCCGAAATAATTCATCAAATGCACCAGTGACTTCAAATTTTCATGTTTACTGTCTCAGGGATTTTTCAGGATTTTTGGAATTTTTTCAGGATTAGTTCTGAGTTTCCACGCCTTGGACTGAACAGAATTTTTTTTAACTCTACACTAGTAAATGTGAGCTTGGATAAGGGATTGTTCACTTAAGACGTCCAAAATTAACGGTCATTTTTCAAAAAAAAAATGGATTTCCAGGAAAATCAATTGTTCTTTTCTTTTTGACCCCCCCCCCCCCCCCTGGACGTCATAAGTGAACGGCCCCTAAACGGTTTTTGGCTTTTTGGATATGCTGCCATAATTTTAAAACGTATAGTTCAAGTTATACCAAAAAAGCTAGCACCAGTGCCATAGCCTTCAAATTAAGAGAAAATTCCAAAGGGAAAACAACTTTACGAGAAAAAATTTCGATAGAAAGTCTCGAAAAATTCTAAACATTTTTAAAAATGGTCTTAAAACAAAACGTCTTCAAAAAAAATTTCCTCATCATGTTATATTCCCCTTAAGATCCTTCCATAAAATTCTTTTTAAAATCACCCAAATAGCACAAATCGGATGAATCAAGATGAAATCCTATAACGATTAGGATCAGGGCTAGGACGACTTGAATAAGAAGTTTCTCTGGCGCCATGCTGGCATGAGATTTCGTCTTGATTATCCAACTTGTGCTATTTGAGTTCCTTGCTACGACATTTTTAAAAATATTTGTAAAAAAACAAAGTTCCATAAAATAAATATTTTCAAATCATTCAAATTACGTTAAATTCAATGGAATGGATTTTTTTAGGAATATTCGAGTATATCAAACTCTTTTTGCTGTTTACAATTTTGTTTGTTGGAGTCGTGACTCAGCGTGGCTTCTTTCCTTATATCTGAAATTTAAAATTAAAGAAGGTTAAAAAAATAGCATAAATCATGTCGAAATAATGAACTTGGTTCCACCATTTTGTGATTAGTTCAACATTCTTTGTTGGAAGTAAGAGGCAGGAATAGGGTTAGGGTCATCCCTATTTATTGGTGAGTCACTAGCTAGAGCTAAACAACTCTAGTCAGCACCCAACTTCAGAAATTTTAATATTTTGAATACTCACTAGTACGATAGTAGTCATAGATCTTAATAGTTGAGTCTCCTGCGTCATAAATGTCAAAAACCTTCTCAGCATATATCTTGTGTAGATAATTCTTCCCGATTTCCATTTTATTAATATAAATGATTACATTTTGACCATCATTTTGCGACTCTACTTGCTAAAGAAAGAAATGTTTTATCAAAATTATTATCCAAATAGATCAAATCGGTTAATCGAATTGAAATCGAGCACCAAACTGGCGTAACTCGATTTGCTAGATTCGATTTGAGTTCAGCAACATGCCAGCTTGGTAATGGATTTCTATTCAAATAACTGAATTGTGATATTCAGGTTATGTATAAAATGTAAGTTTATCTTATGGTTAAGTCAGAAAAGGTGAAATGGCATCAGTGGCTTAAGTGGTAGAGCGATACCCTTTTCTGTGCCAAAGTTCTGGGTTCAATCCCAGGCCAAGTCAAGTTTTAGAAGCTCTTTTTTCATTTCACCGTTCTAGTTACTAAGCTTGGTTCATGTGCTGGATGTAGTTTTGAGGCTTTCAGCATATGAAATGTCTCCTTTGCTAGGTATACAAGGATATACTAGCATCTGGATGATTTCATTACAGCATCTTGCGCACACGGATTGTGATTAGGTACATTGCAGGGTACATCAGGTCTATAGACGTACTCATGTCTTTACCATGTGCTGAGCTTGCAAGATTCAACTATAAAGTAGATCTAAAGGGTTTGATACAATAGATTCTGTTCTAGTTTGGATCGTAGTGCCTCAAACTCAAACGGCTGGGCCCTCTACATGCTTTACCTTTTCTTATGGTTAAGTCAACAAATCATAAGCACTATTGTTAAACAGGTTCTCTTCCGTTTGAGCCTAGCTTTACTTTTGACGTCATTGCATCAATTACAAGGCTTGAGTCTATATAAGTTATTTCTATGTTGGCATCAATTTTTGAGATCTGATAGTTATGCTCTTGACAATGACAAGACTTTAATCATCAGGCGGAGATGTTAGAGGCATAAAATGGGTGTAAATTATATAATTCATTTAACTATATAGGTCCCCGATGACCCTCAATAGCTCAGTGGTAAGAGCATGCGACTAGAAATCGAAGGACGTGGGTTCGAGTCTAACTCGTGATCCGTAAATCGGAATTATACTTATTTCTGTTAAAACAACATCAATGTCTTACCTTAATATGAGTCATGGTCTCATGAGAATGATATCTGTATCCACTAGGCAACTCAATCTCCATTACTACTAAATTTGTATAAATTTGTTTAGAGTTTTTGGTTTTATAAATCGCATAGATGCTCATTTCTATTAAATCATTTGAATCTTTCACAATAGATGGAGTCACTTTAAAACTTTCGGGCAACGTCTGCGAGACATTATTAGCATTCAATCTTATTTTATTTAAATCAATGTTGTCTGAAGCTTTAATGAGTGCTTTTGTAGCTAATATTGCATCATATGGTGAGTAGAATCCATTGTTCATGTTCATTTCATTTAGTAACCATTTTAGTTCATTATCTGCATCGGAACTCTTTAATGTAATCAAGTAAGAAACAATTTCAACAAACATTGGCTTGTGTTTTAAAAATGATGATATTTGGTAGTTGTGTTTCAACGTGAATTTAGTAAGGACATTCCTATCACCATTTTGTGATAATGCATTTGCAATTATAACTTTTTCGTAATCATTTGATGCTTCTGATTGTGAATCAGTGAGTTTTTTTATTGCTTTTGTGACTAGACTTTGATATTGAGTCTTTAATTGTTGATCCTTTAAAAATGGTAAAATTATCAAAGCAGTTTGAGTTTGAATTTGAAAACCTTGTGATCCAATATCTCTGCGTGAGTCTACATCACTATTATATGGAAAATATCCATCATAATTTTGTTTCCTTGCTAAATAATCAAGTGAGTCGATGATGGCTTTTTCGTCAATTGTGATTATCTCTCTTGCATCTAGGAGCGCATCTGCGATGTAAGCAATTAGCTTGAGATTTGATTTTGCATCTGGTTTTGTGAGATTTTTTAGAATTCGAAGTAATTCTTGATATTCTAACTTCATTTCTTTAAGAATATTTGCAATTTTAGATGAGTTCTTTGAGACTTTTTCTAAGTATTTATATTTAATGATTGATGCTGTAAATTTATAAATTTTGTCGTCATCGAGTTCCATTTGAGTGGCGCTGGAAAGACAGAAAAGTGAAAAAATTCAAATATTACAAAAAAAGTTTTTAAAATCGTAATTTTCTAAAATTCAAAAGTTTTTAAAATTCAAAATTTTTATAATTCAGTCTTTTTAAAATTCAAAGTTTTTAAAATTAAAAAATTTTACTATTCAAAATTTTTAAAACCCAACATTTTTTTGAATTCAAATTTTTCAAAATTAAAAACTTTTAAAATTCTAAGTTTTTAAAATTCAAAGTTTTTAAAAATTCCAATTGTTTAAAATTCAAAGTTTTTAAAATTTCAAATCTTTTAATATTCAAAATTTTAAAAAGTTAAGAATTTTTAAAACCCAAGTTTTTTTTAAATTCAAGTTTTTTGAAATTAAAAACTTTTAAAGTTCAGTTTTAAAAATTCAGAGTTATTAAACTTTGAAAATTCTAAGTTTTTAAAATTCTAAGTTTTTAAAATTCAAAGTTTTTAAAAATTAAAAAATTTTAAAAATTCCAATGGTTTAAAATTCAAAGTTTTTAAAATTTCAAATTTTTTAAAATTCAAAATTTTTAAAATTAAGAATTTTTAAAACCCAAGCTTTTTTTAAATTCAAATTTTTTAAAATTAAAAACTTTTAAAATTCTAAGTTTTTAAAATTCAAAATTTTTAAAATTAAGAATTTTTAAAACCCAAGCTTTTTTTAAATTCAAACTTTTCAAAATTAAAAACTTTTAAAATTCAGATTTTAAAATTCAAATTTTTTTTGAAGTACTTACAATGTCTTATCTAAGGACATCATTACATTTTTAAGAACATCATTATTCTTAGTAAATGTTTGAGATTTAGTTAAGGTTTGCGAATCTAAGGCAACAGCAATGGTCTTCCTTAAAACATCACTATGTCCTTGCGTTGAAATTTGAAGAATCACTTCGATAGGTTTGAAATCATTTGGTTGAATGTAAATGGCTTTAGATTCAGATGTTGATTTAGCTGGTATTGTGAGGACATCTGTTTTTTCGGAGCTGCTGCCTCTTCTGCTTTCTTTAAAACTGTAACAATTGTTTCTGATCTTTTCATTTAAAATTTTCCCATTTGTTATTGTAACTGTCACATTTGCATCAACTGCCTTCTGGAGATTGTTGATTGCATTGTACTCAATTTTGACTATTTCACCTCTTCTAATCTGTTCTGGTCCATGAATTTTGGCAATAAAATCAGAATTTACAGTAATTTTAGGGGTTGTTGAAGCTAAGCTGAAACCGTTTGTTGGATGCATTGAAAATCCAAAAATATGCCAAGTTTTTGAAGAATTTGGAATTCTTTTTTTCAGCATCACATCCTCATGTCCATCAACATCTTCAAAGAACCAAGTATCTGAAAATAGCTGATCCACAGCTTCAATGTCCTTTTTGGACTCAATCAATTCATCATTTTTTTCATCAGAAGTCAGTGGTTCCAACACAAATGCATTGTACTGTCCAAATTGATATTGTGATAAGTCATTGAACTTAATACTTTTATGAATATTAGTGCTTATAATCTTATTTAAATCCAAGTCACCACTGGTTGCAGCCAGAAAGACTTTTGCATCATTTTCAGAAATTATTTGAATTTCAAGCTCATCATTTGGTTTTGCTGTCATTGCAGTGTTAATTTTGAGCTATTAATATTAAATTTATTCATTAAAATATCCTAAATCATGTCAATTATTAAATTACCGAGTTCTCAATCGATGATCCAGTTTCTAATGCATATCCATCATAAATAATAGCACCATCTCCTTTTATATAGTAAGCAATAATATTTGCAATAGGCTGCATATCTGCAGTAATTGGTAATGAAAAGTTGAAGATGTCCTTCCCTTGAGCATCACTGTAGTCTTCATTCACAACGATTCCATGTGGACCAATCACCATAACATGAAGCGTTTCCATTTCAAATGCCGAAGTCATTGCTTGGAAGTCAATGATATCTCCAATGTTTTTACTGAAAACAAATTTGATTATTATTAAAATTCTGGTGTCAACTAAGGGCTTTATAATAAGATCAAGTGAGCATAAGGACAAAACTAAACTGGGGTGTGAGCTGGGTCAACCACGAATGGCTTAGGGGATTGAAGAAGCACAAGTCTATCTCCAAATGTCGAGTGTAAATACACTGCTGGTGACTGACCCTATACCAGGAAATGAACTTGAAAGAAAAGAATAAGAGCCTATTCAAAAACCTGACAGCCCCACAGTCAGGCTAAGGATGTTAAGGTTTACAACCTCCTTTTTCCGAAATCAACTTGTAAAAAGAAAGTAATCCCAAAAGGCACCAAGCCGGTGCGACTCTGGCATGTTGCTGTCTTCGATTTAAATCTAGCATCATGCCAGAGTCGTGCTTACTTGGAAACATATTTCCATTCGATTAACTGGCTTGTGTTTCTCTGGTTTTTAAGAATCAGGAACAGTAGGTCCCTGAAGCATGGATTGTCGGAAGCACTTAGAGACTTCTAGTTTTTTGCATACGATAGCTGCTATATGATAATGCGGACGATCGCATATTTGTTTTTCTTAATTCATCTTAGTTTCTTAATTAAATTAACTTTTCTGTTTTTTTTTTGGTTCACATGATTGATATCGGATTAGCTAACGAATTCAAAATTCAAAAAAACCGTTAATTTTTGAATCTCAAAAGACCGTTACATGAAAATTTTTATTTGCGAATCTGATTATCTGTTTTGTAACTTGTATTTGATTTTTATCCAACAAGATCCTGGTTTTTAGTTTCTGACTTCCTACACATTAAGATAAGTAACTTTAAAAAATGCGCTTAGTTCCTCCGTTCACATCTGTAACGGCGACTTCTATACTAGTTTTAAATCATTTTGAATAAGAACTCAACCCCCTCCTCTGCTAAGCCTCTACAAGCTATGATAAAAATCAAACCTATTTTACCTCACACCTATTTGGGGTAGCGCCAGCGATTCAGCCTTAAAATCACTCCAAGTCATCCAAAACCGAGCATTGAGAAACGTTTATTGTCTGGACAGCAAACAGAATAGAGTCGAGATGTACCTTAATCAAGTGGATAATTTTCTTCCACTAAGAGCTATATTTTATACAAATACTGCAGCATTCATGTTCAATTGCCTAAAAAAAAGGTATCACAATAATTTAGATTTCTCATTTACCATTCCCAGAAGTTCCAGAGCAAGAAGCTATATAAAGCCGCAAAAATCAAACACTCAATATGGCTCTAGAAGAATTTCTGCAATTGGCCCGAAGATATTTAATGAGCTGCCTGAGAATATCCAAAAATGCCATCACATCTATTCTTTTAAGAGAGCAATTAAGAATCATATTAGGAATGAAGATTTCTTGAATTCCTGCTTTAACGGCAAATTTATCGGGAAATATGTGTAGCGACCTGAAATTTTAAAGTTTTTCACCCTTTTAATTTTTTTTGCTCATTTCTGTCTGTATAGACACTTATCTAATGCTCCTTATCGTCCATAAACTGCTTCCTAAACGTTTTTATCTGTTTAATTTGATGTTCACTATTTATTTACTATTTATTGCTATTTATTATGTTTTGTTTACTTTTTTTACCGAGATGATACAAATTTAAGCAATTCTCGAATTTTCGAAATTTGAACCAATTCAAACTAGTTTCAGACGTTACATCATGCTCGTATTTAACACAATTTTAAAGATATTTCAACGCTATTTAATTAAAGCTTAAAAATTTTTTTTTTGTAAGAAAGAGTCTTAAAGGAGACTAATGTCTCATTGATCTCTTTCATAGTTTTAGTTATTCAAATAATTCATGTTAACAGTAGATAGTTAAGAATATATGTAATCTCCATAAAGGTTTTTTATGCCTTCTCAAACAGTTTAAGTACTGTTTGAGGAGGCTTTTTCCTTTACGTGGAGAGTAAGTATAAAAAGTTTAAAAAAAAAAAAAAAAAAAAAAAAAAAAAAAAAAAAAAAAAAACTTACTTGTTGCTATTTGCTGTAAGTTGCATATATTCATCGTGTAAACTAGCAAGAGCTTTAATTTCCTCAGTCCACACAGTCTGTCTGAACTGTAAGTTCATTTCAATTCTTTTAGCTTCTTTATTTGTCGACAATTTAAAATTAACTTCTCCATCATAAACTTGTTTATTGAAGCTATCAGGAGGCAGTTCAGAATTGTCATCTCTAAAAGACTTGATTGATATTATGATGTTATCATAAGACTGATCTAAAGTTCCATCAAAGTTTTTCACGCGTATTTTAATTGGAAACTCAAATCCAGGACGGAAATTTTGATCTCTGATGATTTCAAACACTCGACTGTCTTTATGCATTAATTTTACATCGGTCGTGACTGTTGATGTCTTTTTAGTTTGATTTTCAATTACATCAACAACAAATTTCATGTCAATATCAGTGTTGGGTACATTTAGATCCATATCATTTGCCAGATCTATAGAAATTACATTTTGTCCACTTTTGACATCGACAGACTTTACTAATTTATTAAATAGCTCTCGATTTTTGCCAGTTTGACGACCTGATGCAGAAACTTTTGCAATTCCAGAAAATGAATTGTCTGAACTTTTTATGTTAAGCCTCAACTCAACAATTCTTGTAGAATATGCAACAAACTTGTTGGCATTCAACTCCATATGGATACCGCTATCGTCTCGAACTTCAAAAACTTTTGTCTTTTCAACTCCATCAACAACAACCTCAATTGTCCATTTTCCTAAATTCGGTTTCTTGGCAATTTTTAATGAATTTGTAAAATCACCAAACTTTGACTTTTGTTCATTGTCAAATTGAGCAACAATTTTGTCACTTGAATCCTTAATAATCACATCCATAGTCGTGTAGCTAAACGGAGTTAAATTTTGAGTTAAAATTAATGCTCTGAACTTTATCTCATCATCAACATTATAGACTAGCTTGTCAGTTTGAATCACAATATTTGGACGACGTGATGGATTATATAATTTCACTGTTTGTTGCTTCGTGACGTAATTTCCAGTTGACGTGTGAGAAATTGTTAAATCATACGTGTCGTAGTCTGAATTTTCTAAAATCTGAATTTTTTGCATTGTTAAAATATGTTTATAAAGTAACAGAAGCTAGAGGCGAAGCCATCCGATGTTAGTTGTCTGGTACCTTAGATCAGGGGTGTCCAACCTTTTTTGAGCAACGGCACACTTGTTTGTGATTATACGGTTCATCATATATTCCAAATTTTTTATGTCACACAAGTGTGCCGCGACACACGGGTTGGTCATCACTACTTTGTCAAAATGTATTTAGATGTGGAACTGATCAAATTGATTTTTCTATTCACTTATGACTTCCATCAAAAAAAAAACATAAGGTTTAAAACTTTCCTCCCTCTCTGGCACAAAACTGGTGGGGGGGTACTTTGGGGAACAAATCCCCCAACGTAAACAGGAATTTCAAAAAAATCACAAAAATCCCCACCCCTCCCCCTGTTTTGAAAAAAACCACAAAATAATTTTTTGTCCCACCCCTCTTCAAATTCCTGGCTACGCCCCTGACAGACATCGATCTCTCCTTGTGATGTCCAATCATAGATACAAAATAATATAATTTTATCACAAACAAATTGGATGTCACAATTTTTTAGACCCCCTCTTTATTGGAGGTCATAAGTGAACAACCCCTTAAGTTTCTGACGATTTTTCAATCAGTTCCTCTTCCTTTTAAAAACATCAAAACTTACCGGTAGCTTTAAACTCTCAAACAAGTTGCCATAATGCTCTTTGTACGTCTCCAAATCAATCGAGTTGTTCCCTGCTTTAAATGTTACTTTTATTGATGAGTCACCGTTAAGACCAGTTGCCGAAATAAAAACATTTGAGTCTACATCATTTGACAGAAGCCGTGATCCAATTAATGAAAGAGTTTCACTGAAATGGAAAATTAATAAAAAGATTTAAAAATAATTATTTAAGTTTAAAGATGCATAATCTGTCCAAATGCGCGCTTTTGAGCGGGACAGTCCTGCTTTTTTGAAAATTTTTCTTGGAAAATTCTTGTAAATTTAGTCTGTCCCGTTTTTTTAGAGCTGCAATCAAGACATGTTACGATTTTCAACCGAAAATTGGCAAAAGTTGAAGGACAGCCTTAATTTGCACATGTCGATTTCTTCCTGTGTCTAATTTAATATTGTTCATATTTCTACATACCATTTTATAGTCACAAGAATAATGTTTAATAATAAAAACAGAAAAAATAGATTTAAACACTTCATTTAGGATTCTTATAATGAATTTTTGTAATTCAACTGAAATCTCATGGAAAAAGCAGCTTCTTTTATTGTACTTTCTCTCAATTATTTTCGAGACATTCTCTCATCGTTGAGCCTCTTGATGCTATGACTCTCTTTCTTTGAAAATTATTTTTCTAATGTCGGTAAAGAGTCAGTCTGGTAGGGGGAGGGGGATTTGGGTGACCAAATTTGAGGAACATTTGAGGGACAAATCACCATTCGTTATCGGAAACTTCTTCATTTTGCTAGGGTTTTCATGGAAAAATCCTCAAAATCCCCCTTTCCTCAGCTCTCAAATTTTCCAACCAAAACCTTGCTTGTACCTACAGTTTATAGTGGAATCCAAACCAACTTCAAGCTCTGCACATTGTAAAGACTCGAGTACGTCCAAAGATCTGATGTACCCTGCACCGTACCCAGTCTCAATTCGTGTGCGCAGGAAGCTATTATGAAGCCATCCAGATGCTTGATATCCTGGTATACCTGGCATAGACAAGTTATATACCAAAGAACTCAAATCCAGAGGGCGAAGTCGGCTCGGATTTTGTATGGAAAAGTCGACTTGAGTTCACTCGACTTCATACAAATTTCGAGTCGACTTCGCCCTCTGCTCAAAACTACTCGAACCGAGCTCTGTAACTGGAACGATAAAATGGAAAAAGGGGCTTTAAAAACTTGATCTGATGTGGGATTGAGTCCAGGACCTTTTGCTTGTAAAACCAACATTCAACCATTTACACAAAAGATGTCTTCTCCCCGCTGGTCATTAAAATTAAGCCTATGGTCATACAAAGTTCTTCATTACATTCATGATTACATGATGAGAAGAGTCACCAGGCGTAGGAGAGGTATTTCTTGGAATGTTATTTCTACTCTTGTGGACTTGGACTATGCGGACGATATCGTTGGCATTACCGAGACAATGAGTGAGATGCAGAGTTTTCTGGATGACCTTATTTCGTGCGCCCGTGATGTTGGTCTAGAAATCAACATTGCGAAAACTAAACTCATGCGCATTAACCCATCAAGACATACGAGGGGATCTATTCAGGCTCTGCATATAGGGAATGAGGTGGTAGAAGAAGTCGACAAGTTTGTCTACTTGGGCAGTATTATTTTTAAGGACGGCGGTGCTGAAGACGACGTCCGTAACCGCATTAGACTGGCCAATGCAGCTTTTGGCTCATTACAACATGTCTGGACCTCCCCCCGACTTTCGAGACGACTGAAGCTGAAGATCTTCAACTCGAACGTTAAGCCTGTACTTCTTTACGCATGCGAGACTTGGAAAGTTACAAAAGCTTTCGTCAACAAATGCCTGAGAGCAATATGTGACATCTACCATCCTCAAACAATAAGAAACACAGAGCTGTATGCAATGACTAAACAACAAATTATTGCAGACGAAGTTGGGAAAAGGAAATGGAACTGGATTGGATATATATTAAGGAAAGACCATACAGACATCGCGAGACAAGTGATCTTTTGGAATGTCCAAGGAAATAGGACTAGGAGCCGAGGGAGAATTACTTGGCGTACAACTTTTGAACGGGAGGCGGAACAACAGAACAAGAAGCTGCAGGAAATAGCAGCTTTGGCCAAAATCGAGTGCGATTCAAATGATTTGTGGACGCCCTAAGCTTCACAGTGGAGCAATAGGAGCCCATCATCATCATAAAAAGTTGTCAAGTTGAATTGTATCATGAAAAGTATTAAGACTGATATTGAAATAACCTCATTATTATGGTGAAATGTGAGCAAAATACGAGCAACGATGCTAATTAACCCCATGTGTCAATCATAACATTTGCAAAGCTGAACTAGTTACCGGGCAAACAAAGATTATTTATATGAAGTACCAAGTATGTGGCGAAATTCTTTATCATTTTATTGTATTATGGAAAAAAACCCAATTTTTTTCTACTAAGAATTGCTGATTAAATTTTAACCTCAATTTTTTTAATTATTTCATCATTTAAGATTAATTTACTATAAAAATAATTTTATTTTACCATTTAATTGTCTGTCTCTGTTCTTATTCTCTGAGATTTATCTTCTCTCATTATTAAAAATTACTCAAATGATTGTAAATTTATTAAAATATAAAAAGGCGCACTTTTCACATTTTTCTTTGAATTAAGCATCATTCCTTCGTTGTCTATTTGTAGATTTAGAAATGAACAAAGTTTTTTTAATTGCTTTGTTAATTGCTGTTCAAAGTTCTGTTAACATTAATTGCATTCAGTAAGTATGGAGCGGGGTCGTTATTAAATTAGGTCAAAGAATCTGATTTCATCAACTGAATTTTGATCATTTAAATCACTGATGGCCAACACTAGGGGGGGGGGGGGGGGGAGGCATGAAAAAATTTTAAGATATCCCACAAACCTATGCTGTGTGCAGCTTGATACCACAAAAATTGCCGTTGCACAAAAAAAAAAGGTTGAGAACCACTGATTGAATTTCATGGTTTTTTCGGGGAGTCCTCCGAATGGGAATTAAAACTTTGATAGTTTTAATCCCCTTGTTTAGAACCAAATTATGCAGTGTTTCTCAAACTTTTTTACTTCATGGTCTTAGAATTTTTTCACGGCACACAGTTTGAGAACCACTGATATAATGTCTAGCACCAGGGTAGAAGTCAGGAATTTGGAGGGGGGACAACTTATTATGGAAAAATTTAGGGGGGTGTAGGGGTGTTTGGTTGGTATTTTTTGTTAAAAACCCTAGCAAAATGAGAAAAATTTTGTTGACGTAAGGCAGTGGTGGCCAACCTTTTTTGTGCCACGATACACATAATGTTAAGACATGACCAAGTTGCACATAGCATACGGTTCACGTCTCACGGGTTGGTCATCACTGGTGGTGTTGGATTTGTCACCCAAATCTCCCCTCCCTAAGCTAGTCACCTGACTTAATTTTTTTTTTTTAAAAAATAATAATTGTCATTTTATTTTCAACAGGTCAAAATTTGTGACTTTATGGACACCAAAATTTGTAAAAGAAAATGAGACACTTTATGTTTATTATACAACCAAAGAAGCAATTGACGATGAAATCGATATAAATATTTTGTTTCAAAAGAGTGGCATAACTCATACGCTGAATGAAGGCAAATTATTTAATGAAATTAAATTTACAGACACATCAACTGTAAATAATAAAAATAATTGGAAAGTAAATGTAACGCTCGCCCAAAATCGTCCAAATGGCATTAAAATGTGTATGCTTAAAATAATGAACATCAAGACGGAACGAACATCTCGCAATATATTCATACAACTTGATAAGCCAGTGTACAAACCAGGCGATCTTGTAAGGTTTCGAGTGATTGTTCTAGACAACAATTTAAAGCTTTATCATGCAAACAACATTGATGTGAATATAATTGATGCACTGGGTAATAAGTTAAAAGTTACTGATGATCTTTCAGGTAGAGAAAGAGCTGTGATTGTTGAGAAATTCCAACTAGCTGATGAGACTGTTCTTGGTGATTGGAAAGTAGAAGTTATAGTTGAAAAACAGAAAGCAACGACTAAAACATTTGCAGTCCAAAAGTATGTCTTGCCACCATTTGAAGTCGTCATTAGGACATCCGAAAAGCATTATCATAAAGATTATGACATAAGGATCTTCTTTCATGGACGATATTCATTTGAAGAATATGTGAAGGGAACTTTTAAAATTATCATAACAAAAAAGACGAAGGATTCATCAGAGCAGGTCTATACCAAAGACGTTTGGAGTGACGGTAAAATGGAATCATTAACATGGAAGGTTAGAGATTTTCCAGTAACTGTTGAATACTTAGAATATGAAGTAACTGCTGTTTTAAGAGAGCCTGTAAGTGGAATTGAGTCAAATTCAACAACAACATTTTACGTCCATAATGAACAAAAGTATATAATTAAAGTTGGTCATCCGGATAAGTTCCAACCAAATCTTCCATTTCGAATCAAGGTTTTTGCATACAATTGGGAAGGATATCCAGTTGAAGACTCAACAGAAAATCCAGACATCCAAGTTTCATTTACAACAAAAAATGGAATTTTTCCATCAATTTATGGCAATCCAAAACTTATTAATGGTGTGGCTACATATGAGATTAGAACTGATGAAAGTCACATGAAATTTAATATTGAAGTAAATTTTATAAACTCTAAAGTTTATCGAGCTTCAATTGATAGAGGATATCAAAATGTATCAATTGATGGATTAGTTGTCTCACATTCTCCGGAAAGGTAAGATGCTGAAGAAAAGCATTGTCTTATTTATGTTTTGAACGGGCCTCAGTGACGAAGCCACTGCTTGACTCTAAACTAATCTCTCTGCTGCCTACGCACCTGCGTGAGCTCAAATCAAATCTAAATTTTAATTCCCCCTTTTTTTTCACAGTCCAAAAATTGGAGATTCTGTTGAAATATTCGTTAAAAGTGACTCAAGCATCAACAATTTATTTGTGATATACACGACACAAAAAGGAAATGTAGCCAAAGAATACATTTCTTGTGGTGGAGGCAATATTTGTAAATTCAAATCCAAGATTGATGAAAGTAAAGTACCAAGTTTTACTGTTTCTGTGCATCAAATTGTTAGCAGGCATCAAATCAACAAAGGAAAGACAACAATATCTACAGCATCGTTGGGTACAAATGAAGTAAGTAGGAATTATTTATATTCTTTGTAGAGTTTGGTCTGCTCTCCCTGTAGCTTAAAACTTTTAGGGCAAATCTAGACCATCCTGGCTAAGCTCCTGGGGTATGCTTCACAAACCCCCTCAAATTCGGACCCACCTGACACCCATCTTGCCCCCCCCCCACCTTGTCAACCCCCCACCCCCAACTGACACCCATCTTGTCAGCACCCCTCAAATCATTGGCTTCACAAAATATACCTGACACCCACCTTGTCCCCATTCCACACCTGACACCCACCTTCTCCTGACACCCACTTTGCAGTGAATCAGTGAATTGGGCTTTTATAATGTAGATTGTAGCACAAATCATTGCTTGCCTTAACTTACTTCCTCACTGTAACCATGTTCCTATATGGAGCTTAGGTTGTAACAAAAGGTTTTCCATCGGACTCTGTTGCTGGCCTTCTCACTTAGTTTGTACAAATTCTTTGTCTGCACATTAAGATGACGTTCAAGCTGAAGTAGCTTTTGGAGCTCCTGGGCGTCTCTTCTCGTGCAGATTACATCCAAGGACGGTGGAACAAACTTGTGTTTCTATCCCAGCAATGACATCCTCTCTGACGTTTTTGTTGGCAAAGTGTATGTCCAATCCAGCCGTAGTTCCTCATCTGTATCAACTAATTGATGTCTTGTTGACCTACTTTTTGTAAAAGCTTCTCATTGGTCTATAGTTAATTAATATATTTTTATTCCTTAAATAGCTGACATTTGACATCTCCAAGAAGGAAACAAATCCATTTAAGAATGTAAGCATGAAATTTAAGTCAATTAGCAACTCAGAAGTCTACATTTTGGCATTTGATAAACGATTGTCATATTTGGGTAAAGGAAATGATGTGACTAGTGAAGATATTAGAAAATCATATGAAGACTATAATGGAGAGAATAATTATTTAGTGATTGACTTAAACATCAACAATGATTGGCATCCATGTTCTGAAAAGGAACTAGAGTTTATCAACAAAGGTCGATTGTCAGCTGCACAACATTCAAATACAGGAGATACAGCTGTGTTAATTGATGATGACTTTAATGATATGGATATAGATCCTAAAGCTGATGATGCAAACGATGATAAGTCAAATATTGACAGAGTTCGTCAGGAATTTCCAGAAACTTGGATATTTGAGTCCTTTAAGATTGATGGTGGAATTGAGAAAAAGATGAAAATGAGAGTTCCAGATGCTATTACTACATGGATGATATCAGCATTTGCAGTCAATTCTGAAACAGCAATAGCCGTTGCAACACCAAAGGAATTGACAGTAAAAATGAATTTTTTCATTAAGATCAACTTGCCGTACTCGATTCGATATAAGGAAATCCTTCAAGTTGATGTTCTCGTCTATAATTATGTTGAAAAGAGTAAAAAATTGACCGTTGACGTTAAATTGGAAAATTTAGACAAAAAGCATCCAAAAACTGGAGCTACAATTAAAGAATTTGAGTTTATAGACCAAAATTCATGCACACAGAGTAAAAAGGACAGTGAGACGAGAAGTAATATTGAAGTACAAGAAAGGACAGTCAAAAAAGTTTCATTTTTTGTCCGGTCAAATCCAGATGACAACGAGAATGTCATCAAAAGAAAAATCATACTTCAGGTAAGAGCAACTGCAAAAGACTCTAATAATAAGGTGTATAAAGATGCAGTCAAGAAGGGTTTATTGGTGGAGCAAGTTGGAGTTCTGAGGTATCAAATTAAAACATCAATTTTTAATCTTAATGGAGCGCATAAGAAAGCCACTTTCAAAGGTTAGATGCAGACGCGTAGCAAAAAGGGTCTTGTTCCTCCATGAACAATTTGAACCGTGGCATGAGGACGAGTGCGGCGGGGAACAATACCCTTCTAGCTACGCGCCTGGTTAGATTAGGTTTCAACTAAGGAATTGTCTAAAATCTTTAATTTTTCAACAGCAAATGTAAATGAAAATCAATATCCAAAAGCATCAGTAATAATTGCGGGAGACCAATTAAGTGAAAATATGAATTTAGACGTTAGTCAAGAAAATAATGTGTACGTAATGCTTTTAGATCAATGAAACAGATTAAAATTTACCTTCTTTTTAAATAGCTTTTTCCCAGAAGGATGTGCTCAGCAGAGGACAGACCGTTTCAAAGCATTATTGGAGTATTATCGATATTTGCTTATGAAGAAGCTGGATAGGTCTGTAGCTTTGAATCATTTGAATAATTATCATGGACTAGTTACTGCAGCAGGTACAATATCAACTAATGGATATTGGGTAAGCAGCCTTCTCCTTCGATGCACCCTCTTAAATTTTACTATTCAAAATGCTTCTAATTCCAGAAATACAGACGTACAACCGGATACACTGCATATTTCACCGAAGCCTTTATATCAGCAATTGAAATTAATGCTTATAATCTCAATCAGACTTTTATTGAACAAGAACTTGATCATTTAGTTGGACTTCAACAGTTTAATGGAGAATTCAGAAATACAATTAATGAATTCCTGTTTCCAAGCTTTGACAGAACTCGGACAGTAACCGCGAATTATTTTGATACAGCATATGCAATGATTCCCCTTTTGAAGTACAAAAAAGAATTAAGTATTCGGGGAATTAACATGAAGCAATCGTATCAAAATGCTTTAAATGAAGCTTTTAAATTTCTTGATAAACAACCAACGTTGACTGTAGAAAATGATGGACTGTCAATGGGAGCTTATGCATATGCATTAAATAATGACGTGCTGAAAGTGGAAGCAATCTTTGACGCGATTAAAAAGGCAACGATTATTTATCCGGGCAATAAAGTTTGTTATAAAGTCAAAATGAGTGCAACAAGCTGTGACTTCCAACATACAGTTTATGTAGCCTTAGCTTATATTGCAATGAATGACATTACAAGTGCAGAACCAATCATTAGTTACATTTTGGAGTATCATTATCAAAATAAATATTATAGTAATACATTTCAGTATGCTATAGCTACAGAAGCCATTGCTAAAGTTGCTGGAGTCATGAAAAATTTAAACACAAACCTAAAAGTAACCTTAAGCAATGAGCATTCATATAAGGAACATTTTACAGTGACAAACGCTCAATCATCAAAATATCAGGACATCTCATTACCAGAATATACAAGAACTATAGAAGTCAATGTGTCTGGTGATGGTTACTGTGCTGTTTCAAAAATTTTTGAAATTAGAGACACGACTGCACGAACAATTCCATTTTTTAAGGTATCTGTGGAACCTATTCAAAGTCAAAATTCCGTTCATATTTGTGCGTTGTATAATCCAAGTCTTGATCAAGACAAGCCACTGGATGTCCTTACGAATGTAATTTATGAAGTTGAAACACCAAGTGGATATACTTTTGATGATGTCATTGATATACTGTCGCATAAGGAATATTTAAGGGTAACTTTTATATTTTTTAACCCTTTTTAGCGCGTTTTTGAAACTTGTTTCGAAAAGGTAGCTTAATAATACGATTTGTTCAGCTGGCTGGCTGTTCGGCTGCTTGCAAAAACTTTTGATCTAGACATCGTATTGAGTTCTAGTTTTTTGCGTTAGCTCGGTTCAATCGAGTTATTGGCGCATCGATCAGTTTGAAAGCTCAAAACCATCGTTAAATGCTATAATTAATGTTTTTTTTTTTAATTTCAATACAGTGCAACCTGTGAAAACATTTCTTCATAGAGTGTAACCTGTTCAAATTTTTTGAATACCTCTATAATTTCAAATATTCATTGACCGTTAGAAAATTTGAAATTCAAAAAACCGTTAAATGATAAAGACTTTCTATGTAAGCATTCATTGTAATTATTTGTTATTACACTAAAATTATAATCAAATACTGATCGCCAACACAAAAATGCGCTGAAGTCCCTCGATCAATAACACGAGGACTTTCGCCAATTTTTTTGAATTCTAACCTAAAATTTCTTAATTATTTCAGAAAATTGAAAACAAGAACAAAAAGACACTTGTCTATTTGTACTTTGATCAGTTTCATGCCAACCGTAATTATTGTGTCGGTCTACGATTAACGAAAAGTTTTAATGTCTTAAATTCAAAGCAATCAGGCATCAAAGTTTATAACTATGATAAAAAGCGTAAAAAAACATAAAATTTAAAAATGTTTAAAAATTTTTTTTAAATAATTTAATTTCTTTTCAGATTCTATGGCTGTAGTTTTTTATAGATTGCCACCGGGTCAATGCAGCTCAATCTAAAGTCAACTTTCAAAAACCAGGCGCATAGCTAGGGAAATGGGGAAGGGAAAATTGGGGGACAATTTTGCTAGGTTTTAACTCTAATCCTGATAATTCCTCTCGACCTGATTTTTTAAAATACGAAAAACAATTTGCCCCCCCCCCCTTAAAATTTCTTGCTTCACCCCCGGAAAAACCTACCTGGACCCCTGGCAAGGACGTAGCCAGAAATTTGAAGAAGGGATGAAATCCCCCCCGACCAAATTTTTAATAAAGACATTTGATCCCCCCATTTTTCCATATGAAAGATTAATTCCCCCCCCCCCCCCCCCCCAAGAATATGAATCAGGGGGGATTTAATATTTTGTAAGGAAAATAGGAACAATTTGAAGTGGAAATTTACAAGTTTTTTTATAAAAACACTGGCAAAATGAAGAATTTTCTGCTGACGTATTAAGATTTGTTACCCAACTACACCCCCTACCCCCTCCCTTCCCCATAGCTGTGCCAATGATAAAAAATTTTAAAATAATAAAAAATCATTCTTTGAATAAAAAATAAATTAACAAAAAATAATTTCATTTTTAAAAAACTTACTTTTTCATTGTTCGCCCCCCTTTTTTACAGCATTAGCAATTTTTTAAAAAATGAAGATTTTTTATTTATTCCAGGAAAAATAACTCAAGGTCAGAATTAATTTCGCCACCGACATACTTTCCGAAGATTAATTGTGTGTGAGCGAGATTTATTGAGTAAATTACTTTAATTCTCAGCCAAAGAAATTCTCTTGCTTTTATAAACTTAATGAGAATTTGGCAAACAAATGAGACGATGAAAAAATATTCATTTTGCTTTTTTTTCTCGTTCAATTCACAAGTTATAGAATTGTCAAGTTTAATTATTTTTTTTTAAAAAAAATGTTTAAATTTTTTGTTAATTATTTTATTTTAACCCAAATTGTGCATAACTGTAAATATGGTCGTTCACTTATTAAGTAAAATAGTGAAAATAATACTTTTTTGACCCATTTCTTCCTTGCTATAAAATCTACAAGGCATGAGGGGGTCTACTATTTATCGGTGAAATGGCATCAGTGGCCTAAATGGTAGAGCGTTGGTCTTCTGTGCTAAAGGTCCTGGGTTCAATCCCAGGCCAAGTCAAGTTTTAGAAGCTCTTTTTCCATTTCACCGTTCTGGTTACAAAGCTCGGTTCGTGTGTTGGGTGTAGTTTTGAGGTCTTTGGCATAGAATATGCCTCCTTTGCTAGGTATACAAGGATATACTAGCATCTGGATGATTTCATTACAGCATCTTGGGCACACGAATTGTGACTAGGTACATTACAGAGTACATCAGGTCTTATGACGTACTCGTGTCTTTGCAATGTGCAAGATTCAACTATAAAGTAGATCTAAAGGGTGTGATACAATAGATTCTGTTCTAATTTGAATCGCAGTGCCTCCAGCTGAAAGGCTGGGCCCTTCACACATTATTATTATTATTATAGGGGGTCTACTCTAAAAGTGTTACTTAATAAGTGAACTGAACTTCAATAAAATCAAGCCAGGAAATTTAAAAAATTATTTAATTATAACAGGTGCCATAGAATTTGCTACACAGTCGGAGTCACCATGGGCTGCATTAATAATGCTGCCTAAAAATGCTCGCTGTGGTGGAGCCTTAATATATGATCAATTTGTCATTACCGGTGAGTTTTCAGCAGTGCTTAAAGTCCGTTTAGAGAACACGTTGTCTAAAATAAATTCAAATTTAAGCTGCTCACTGTTTTGACGAAATCGACTTCACGGATGATGCACAGTGGAATGAAATTAGTGTTGTTCTTGGTGAATGGATTATCAGCACTGAGCCAGACTGTCTTGTCGATGAAGTTTATGATTATGAGTAATGAATTGATTTTTGAAAAAATTTAAATATTTTTTAATAAACATTTTAGAGGAGATCTCATCAAAAGTTGTGAATTTACAGCAAAAGCTTATCCAGAACAGATATTAATTCATGATGAATATGATGTCAATTTAGGAAATAAAAAATTCAAAACAGATATTGCAATAATCAAGTTAAAATGGAAACCAAGAAAGTCAGTATTGATTAAAAATGTCGAACTTCCGAAAAAAGCTGAATGTGAAAAAAATTCAGAGGGTGAAAATATAAAGTTTACTGGATTTGGTAAGTGACTATTTTTTTTAAGGCTAAAATAAGTTATAGAATGAAATCGTTTAATTTTTGACTAAGGTTAGGCTGTCCAACTGCACAGTCTCACTTTTTAGTGCATTTTTGTATACTTGTATAAAAAAAGGGAGCTTAATAATGTGAAATGTTCGTTCGTTCGTTCGGGCGAAGAAAAACTTTTTAACCAGACATCGTAGAGAGCTCAGGTTTGTTTTATTAGCTCCGTTACTATTGTTTATTGTCCGATCGAACAGTTAAAAGTCTTGAAACAGTGCATTTATACTATAATTAATGATTTTTTTATTTTATAAACAAAACCACGTGATGACCAGTTTTTTAACAGCTGAAATCGTTTGACAAGAAATCAATAAAAACCGACGGACAGACAGACAAATTAACAACCGAAATGTGCTAAATTAATTTTAATTATTTTTTTTTCATATCCAAATAGGTAAAATTTTCATAAATGGGGTCACATCATTTACGGACAAGAAGAAGAAAATCAATATGAAAATTATCGAAAATCAAAAATGTGAAAATTTTTTTCGAGGAATTGAAAAGAGTCGAGTGAATAGTAAGATTGTAAGTGAAAGTATTAAAAACTTTGAAGTCCTCTCAGAGCGGGGGCGTAGCCAGGAATTTGAAGGAGGTGGGGAAGGTAGTTTTTTACGGGGGGACGTGGTTTTGCGATTTTTCCATAAAAACCCAATCAAAATAAAGAAATTTCTATTGACTTAACAAATCTCAAATGCAGAAATTTATCAGCTGTATGTAGATGCTGATATTGTGAGAAGAATCAATGGAGACAGGCTTTGATGGGCTGGACACGTTATTAGAAGACCTGTTGACGCTCCATCAAATCCGATTTTGTAGATGGAAAGAGATCACGTGGAAGGCCAAAGAACTCATGGAGAGAGGCTGTTGATAGAGACAGTGTTGCCAGCAATAGAGCTAGTTTTAGGGGACGACTAAGGGAGGACTGGTCCTTTTTCGAATCATATGTACTGGAAATGAGGCTCACAGCCTTCTTTTATAGGCTACAGGCAGAAATGTCAGCAAAGGAGTAGTTCGGATCTCACTACAAATTGTAGGTCTAAGTTTGAGTGCAGTGGTTTGGCGCATCCTCACTTTTTAAACTCTCATTAGCTGCGAAACGCCCTAGCGCACCTCTGGATCACAATTGATCTAAATAGGTAAAGATTTTTTTTCTAAGGGAGGTCATAGATCATAATTGATCGATACGACCAGCGAAGTGAATAAGTAACAAATCACTCTCTTAAACCTGGTTACGCGCCTGCCTCAGAGTCTCTTGACTCTGATTCAAAGGGTTGGTCTGGGGCAGAGCAAGAGTAGGATGAGAGGATTTAAGGATTTTTTTCACCACTCAGCTGCATCCTTGTGCAATCAATCAATTGTGAACAGCGATTTAGACTTCAAATGTCAAAGAACAAGAACCAAGTGCATAGCCAGGGCAGGGATTTGGGTGAAGAATCCCTTTATTTTAACTGAAATTCTTCTACACTTTGTTTTACTTCACTGTATAGGAACTTGCCAAATATAATGCGCTTAAAAAAAATCGAAATTAATTTTTATTTTTTTCTTTATTTTTTTTAAAAACTTAGTTTTGTGGGCTTAGTCAGACTGTTACATGGTAAGTTAGGGGAAAACTATGCATTTGTATGCTCATTATTTTATCAAAACATTTTTCCATCATGTTGAGTTCCCCAAAATTAATTAAAAACTATTTAAACTTAAAATGTTTTTCAGTGTTGGAGATTCAGGTAAAATCACAAAGTTTTACTGCATCACATTATATTACATCTCGTACAATTTTTAAGGAAGTGCTGTAACTAAAACTACACAGGATGGAAAAACTATTCTTGAAGGTCTTTTATCTTTTGGGGCTAAGCGGTGTTATGAACAAAATTTTCCAGGTTGTTCAATTTACATTTTAAAAGTTTGTGTTTTAATGAATTTATTTGACCTCTTCAAAATTTAGCTGCATTTACTAAAGTAGCGTGCTTCATTGAATGGATAGATTCGAAAATTTTGGAGTTAACACTTGCAACAAGTTCGCGAAAACCAAAACCAATAACTATAAAAACAGAAACAAACGATGCATCTGATGAGAATTCAAATGAAAATAATGTAACTGTTAGAGATGATTAAATGATTAAAAGCTTTGTAGGTGCTGCACAAAAATAAATTAAATGTTTTTACAAAAATATAAAAAAATTTTATTCAACAATTTTTGATTCGTAATTTTTTTTTTTTTTGGTCGTACAAATTCAATTGTAACATTTTTTGGGATGCTCGTTGTGTCTACAAACTATTTTTTTCGTCGATTTAAACTTTTTCATCTTCGTCACTTCCTCAAAATATTTTTGTCCCTAAATGTCTCTCAAACTTCACTTGGAAGCTTAAGAACCTGAATAAATTTTATTTTTTTTTTTTGAGAATTTCTGAAGATCCGAAAAAGTTTTTTTCATTAAGTCAGCCATAAAGTCAGTCGAGGGTCAGCATTAAGTCATCAATTTACATTTGTTGGTTCTTTGCTTTTTGAATCTTTTGCTTATTTTGGCGTCTGACACATTTTGTTGGATGTTCCAACTTGATTGTCTTGTGTGTTTGGTGATTCTTGAAGTCTGGATCATTTCCTTTCTTGTGTTCACGGACATGTTCCTTAGCTTCATGTTTGCTCATGCAATGGACATCAAAGAACTTGTTGTCTGTATCTGCTGACTTGTACTTCTTTGGGCATGTTGGGATCTTCCTCTTTGTGAAGCAGATCTCGTTGTCACGTTCAACTTTATGGACGCGTTGGATTGGCAAGATTTCATTTGGACGTGGATGTCCATTTTCCATTGATTCTGAGGAGCTGCTGCTGCTTGATGAGCTTGAGCTTGAGCTTGATGAACTTGAGCTGCTTGATGATGATGATGATGAGCTTGAGCTTGAGCTGCTTGATGATGATGAGCTTGAGCTTCCTGACCATTTTGGACTGTGTTTTGGTGCCTTGCGGCTAGTTTCACGGTCTCCAATGATATTTCCGAAGATGTACTCAACTTCATAACGTGGTGCCTTCAATGCCTTGCTGTGTGCACTCTTGGCATCTGCTGAGCATGAGTCGTCAACGATAGCCCATGAGGCAGCAAAATAGTCAGAACTTCCATAGACTTTCTGGTCTGGTGCTCTGAATTCATCCATAACATTTCCATTGTTGGTTCCGCAAAGTCCATTGATGTCATCACGGTGTTTGTTGGTCTTTGATGTAATAATTGCACGACGTCCATCAGTAGTCAATTCGAGTTCTCCATCACGTACTTCAATACGGATTTCTCCATTTTTAAGTTTATAGGCACGGATGAGTGGAGTATCTTGACCATCTTGTCCATGATGTTCCAAGGCACGGTCGGTTTCCAAATGTTGTTCTTGTTCGTTTAAGAACAATTTAGCTCCATTTCCTGATCCTTCAACTCTGATGATTTGATCTTCTCCATGTTCTTGTCCGATGATGATTGCGAATTCTTTGCGATCACGATCAGCATGTGGCATTTGACGGGTGAGTACTGCGATTCTATCACTGCGACCTTCATCTGTGGTTTCCATGCTGTTGGTTGCATTGAATTCTTCTTTTGGATTTGAGATCATAGCTACATGCCAGCATTGTGGAACTTCATAGTCAAATTGGACATTGTCGAATGTTACGATTGAGCTTTGGTCAATGACGCAGGTTGCTGAAGCGAAAAAATAAAAAAAAATTGAGGTTAGGTTTTGATTGTTTAAAGAATACACAGTTATGTAAGGGGTACACAACTTTTTTAAGTGGTACACAACTTTTTAAAAGTACACAACTTTGTAAGGGGTACATAGCTTTGTAAGGGGTACACGGCTTTTTAAGGGGTACACAGCTTCATAAAGGGTTGAAGAAATTCAAATGAAATACTTACGTTCATCAGCATCATTTGTAGCTTCTCCGACCATTCTCTTGTAGGGGCATGCATCTTCTGGATGAAGTCCAAGATATTTACGGAAGCATGATGGAAGTTCAATATCAGCATAGACTTTTTCGAAGTGTGGTCCCTTGACTGTAAGGTTGAGGGTTTCGAATCTAGGTCCATTTTGGAAATCAAGGTATACCTTCTTGTTGGCACTGTTTCCTGCTGTTGATGAGATTTCATATCCTGAAAGAACTCGGTAGAGATGTCCACGTGAGTGTTTAGCGATCTTGTTAGCCCATTCCTTTTGTCTGGATGAGAAGTTCTCGTATTCAATTTCATGAGTATATCTGTCATAGATTGAGGCTTGATAGATGGCATTTCTGCATTCTTCTTGGAGCCAGTTTCCAACCTTCATTTGCTTTCTGCATTCGAGAGCATCTTCTGATTGTGCAACTTCTTGTCTGCGTTCTTCTGTTTGAATAGCCTTGCCCTTGATTGTAACCTTAGCCTTCTTTGGCTCGTCAGTGTTTCCGAACTCGAATTCAATTCTCATCTTGCCTTCATCTTGTCCCTTCAAAGCATCATCGAGGCTCATTTCTGGAACATTTGGTGCTTGCATGAGGACACGGAAGTTGACTTCTTTGTTGTACTTGATAGCATCAACATTGGAGTTGACAATAAGACGCCAGTCATGAGTAGCCTTGCTGGTTCCAGCAACAAAGTTTGAGACAAATTTAGTCTTGCTGCTTCCGCTAGCATCGACAAATTTAACTTGAACTTGAGCTCCGGTGATTTCTGCGTTGTTCCATGCACCGCCGAGCTTGTTAAGTTCTTGACGGAGTTTAAGGAGGTCCTGGTTTTGCCATGGCATTGTCTTTTGGGTGTTCTTTGGATGTGGATCTATTTCTTCATCTTCAAATGATTCCTTCTTTTCAAGTTGGACTTGGATTCTCATCTTTTGTGCTTTTGAGGCTTGTTGGTTGGTGAGAATTTCGAGTTTCCAGTGTTCGCTGCTATCGAGGTCTGTGACGTATGTTGCAAGTCCAGCCCAGTTTCCAGCTCTATAATGTTCAGCAAGCTTCTTTCTGCAGAGTGGGTCTTTTTCATAGTTGGCGTTGATGTCGAGGACTAAGCCTGTTGATCGTTCACCAATACGTGCATGGACCTTCTTTTCTTCTGCGACTGAAACAATCTTTGTGTCATGATCAGCATCAAAGTCAATTGTAGCATCAACACTACGACGTTCAGTGTATGGCCATGATGACATGTGTAATAAGGTAGCATCCTTAGTATCCATGTTCTCGAATTCAGCAGTAACTTGTGACTTGACAAGATCAAGATTGATGTTCATACGGACTGGCAAGCGAACTTGAAGTTTCTTTTGGATACCAGCTGAATATCTTTGTTTGTCAAAGACAGTTGTGAATCCAACTTGAGCATCAATTTGTGAAGCAAAGAGTGAATCCCAAGTTCCAAATAATGTAGCTTGTGTTGGTGCTCCTTTGCCATCAAAGTTATATTCTTGTGGACTTGTTGTAAGACGAAGTTCTCCGCCTGAACGAACAACAGTTGGTGTTCTATGGACGAATGAGAATGGAAGACCTGATGCAAGTGGGAAGCCAATTTCAACAACTTCTTGATTATAGATCTTGCTGTAATCAAATTGATGTCCTTCAGCCAATTTCTTGGCAACTCTATGAAGGTATTGTGGGATCTTATCAATAGTTTCATTATTGAATGTCCAGAATCTCTTCAAGTTATTGACTTTCATTAAGATTTGTCCTTCAAGTTGTTCTTGTTGTTCTGATTGGAGATCCAAAAGCTTTTCAATTTCATCAAGATCAAATCCTGACTTCTTTGGTTGATTTTCTTGTGGTTGATTCTTGTTCCATTTATTCTTACGTTGTCCTGTGCTGAATTGATCCTTGACCATTTCAATTAATTGATCAACACTTGAGATCATTGCATGATATTCATTCCATCTGTGCTTATATCCACCCATATCTTTTGTGACTTGAATTGATGCAACTTTTGGGAACAAACTGTCTTCACTTCCAATCTTTGAGGCTTGAACTGTATAAGCAAGATTCATCTCGTCCATAATCCAATCATGGATGTGTGTACGTGAGTTTTGAACACCTTCTGGAACATCGTCTTCATCATCATCGAGAAGTTGACGAGCAGCTTCAGCATTTTCTGAAAGTTCACGATTATCTGGATGATCAAGTTCAGCAGCAGTTTCAAGTGCTGTACGGACAGCATGTGCAACTTGTTTTGATGGTTCAGTATTAGCCATTTCAGCTAAACGTTGAAGCATCTCAACTGGTGGGTTAGTTCTCATAAGTCCAAAGATGGCAGCAACACGTGTTTCATAACGTTCAGCAGCATTTTGATAGACACGGAAGAAGATCATACGAGCAAGTTTTGGATGATTATTTGAAAGCTTATTGAGTGCTGTGATGATTGCAAGACGTTGGAATTCTGTGACTGGTACTTTTCCTTCTAAGTATGGTTCGAAAACTTCAAGAATTGCTGGATGTCCTAATTGTCCCATAGCACGGATAAGAACCAACATACGTTGACTGTCTCCATGTTTTGAGGCTTTCTTCATTTCAGCATCAAGGTATGGAATGACTTTCCTTGGAACAATATCGAATTTTCTATTAGCAAGTCGTCCAAAAGCATGAACTGGATAGAATGAGTGAGCTGATTGGTTATTGACTTGTGCAAAGCTTAAGAATCCACTGAGAGCAAGGAGTGATGCTGATGACAAATATCCTTGTTTCTGGACTTCATCACATGTAGCGAAGTCAAAGAATTCTTGCATAAGTTCCTTGGTTGGGTAACGGATGGTCTTGACTTGTCTTAAGATCAAGTTTGCAGCTTCAGTTCTCATGACTTTCTTGTCCTTTTTAATCCAATTGACAATACAACCGAATGAGGCTGGTGTACCAGCTTCAGCGACTGCATCACGGTATGTCTTCCAGATAGCCAAATTCTTTGAGTCCTTTGATGATTGTGCTGGTTGTAAGTGCTTCTCATCAACATAAAGTTGGTTACCAACTTCTTCAATTTCCTTTTGGGTCATGATTCTGACAAGGGTAGCAAGTGTATTGAACTTTCTCAATGTCTGTTGTTCTGGCATTGTATTTGGATCTTGTAATTGTTCACCAATTTCTTGTGCAAGCTTAAGTGCCTTCTTTGGTGCATTAATCTTGTCTTGGAACAATGAGAAAACTGTGAATGGAGCGAGAACTGGCTTGTTGGCTTGTGGACGATCAGCATGGAATTCTTCACTTGAGTCTGACATTGAGGATGAATCCCAGTCAGAGCTTGAGTCAGATTCACTGCTTGAGCTTGATGAGCTTGAACTTGATGAGCTTGAGCTTGATGATGAGCTACTTGAGCTTGAGCTACTGCTTGAGTTTGAGCTTGAGCTTGATGAACTATCACTGCTGCTGCTGCTTGAGCTTGATGAGCTTTTTGGGTTATGTTGCTTATTCTGGTCCTTTTTCAGTTGTTTTTGTTGTTGCTTCTTTTGTTCATGTTGATGGTTTGGTACATTACGGCGTGAACGCTTCAATGTGTTTTGTTGCTTGCCTTGTTGCTTCTTTGGTTGGTTATGCTTCTTTTCGTCACTTTCTGATGATGAGCTTGATGAGCTTGAATCAGAACTTGATGATGAACTTGAGCTACTGCTTGAGCTTGATGATGAGCTTGAGCTACTTGAACTTGAGCTTGATGAGGAGGATGATGATGAAGATGAGTCTGATGTATAGTTTTGAACATGATTATTATCAGCTGCAACATTGTTGTATTGATAATATAAACTTGTACGGACCATGTCATCAGTTCTAGCTGGAACTTCATTCTTATCATCACGTAATTCAATCAATGAGACATTGACACGTGATACAACCATAGCTTTGTTGCTGTTATATAATTCAGGGCTAACAACGACTTTGTTGATGGTAACTGAGGATTGGATTGTATAGTTTGAGAGATATCCTGAAAGGATTGTACGTTGAACATTAGAGCGTGCGAACCATTCACCCATTTTATTGGATCCTGGATGTTGTGAGCTCAATGCGGTGATTCCAAAATGATATCCAAGATTAACATCACAGTTACTCAAGTTTGTAGTCTTGACGACTTCAATGAAGCTTTGTCCATCTTTCTTGAGACTTGGCATTGGTGCCCATTCTTGATTGGCAGCAACTTGATAGTCTGGGATTGGCGAGATGTCATACATAGTCTTGCACTTGCCATGAACTGATGGTTCCATAGTCTTGTATGCAGCAGTGTGTGTCTCATGATTAGGTAATTGATTACGTCTGCATTTAATCAAGTTTTGTGCTTGTGTATCAACTTGGAATTGTGAGACAATTCCTTTGAGCATATTAGCTTGATCATTTGTGACTTCCTTATCGAAATACAATCCACGGATTGCTCCATTCTTTAATTCAACATAGAATTGCTTCTTGCTGATTGGCATTTGTTTCCATTGAGCTGTCTTTGGTGCATCTGAATCCCAACCATCAGGCATTTCCTCGTTGATTTGAGCATATTGAGCATCACTCAATTGCATAACGACATTGTCGCGATCACGTGGACGAACTGAGAGGCGAGCTTTCATCATGATTCCAGCATATTGGTCTTTCATGTCTGGTAAGGCAGCAAGGGTGCGACTACGAACACGATAAATGTATTCCTTATCCTGATTCCATGCTCCATACCAACGACGGGATGATTGTTGGGCTTGATGTTGCTGTTGGCGTTGTTGTTGACCACTCTGCTGACTTGCGAGTGCCAAAACTAATTTTTCAAAAACAATTTGAAATCAGGCATGACTGTTATCACTTTAAGGTGTTGCTTTACTTACCCAGCACAGCGCTGATTATTAGGAAATATTTCATCTCGTCTTGTCTCGTCTTAATCACTTCACTTCGATTCTATTGTATGATTGACTATACAGTAATGATGGGAAATGAATGATGATCTTTATGGAATCAACTCTACTTTTATACACAAACTTTACTTTCCCCACTTTTCACTAAAAAAAAAACTTTTCCACTCAAACAATCTTTTTTTTCTAGTTTTTGTTCTCAATTCACTCAAAGTCTAATCTAGAAAAAATCATGAGACTAGCTGAAATTGAAATTAATAAACAGGCACAGCATTATGAAGATGCAAATAAAACTGTCGATTTTGCAAATTTTGCAAATTGTAAAAAGTCGTCGTCCTGCATGTTATTGAGAATTTATTTATTTGCTAATCAACAGGATGTTTATTGATGAATTGCATATTTTATTTATTGAGGGTCGTTCTGCTTACTTAACCAGCATTTCCAAAGTCTAATTGGAAATTGGAACTAAGGACAAAGATACCAAGATACAAAATCGTGACTGCTTGTTTTCTTTAATTCAATTTTATTTGGCGAACCTTATTTTGGCTGATACTTTTGGTATAGAGGAATTTATCGCCGAAAGGCTCAAACTCTTCAAGTCTTAAAAAAAAATGTCACGTCGATGGAATCTGTTTGCTTCCTGCATTTTTTGAGGATACTTCTATGTTCGTTGTCATGGTTGTCGTTTAAGAACTTTAATAAAGAAAATGGATGTGCGATTATTTATTGAAGATAAGAAAACGTCCTTGGTGGTAAGCAGAAGCTGTTTAGTGTAGATGGATCATGTTCCAGTTCTTAATTACTGTTTATTCTACTTGCTCAATTATGAGTCTTCAATCATCTACTGTAAATTAATCAAAAGACTTCCAGGGTCCCCCTCCTCCCTAAAAATAGGAACATAATAATTGAACAAGCCTTGGATGTCTGGGATCTCATAAAAGAACTAATAAAATCATGTGACGTGCTTGTTGTCAACTTAAAGCGACAAGAATGCCACATGTCACTGTATTGCAAGTTGCCTAATCAACGCTACTTGAAATGTTGCATCCTATATCCTTACATCATCATGATATGCAAAAAGAAGGCAGGCATGACAACTTAACCTTAGTTCCATAAATCAGCTAACATGTTCAATGAACTTTAAGATAGTTCCTACAAAAATTATCAGCCCGACCTTAAAAAACATTCAGCACGCGCCGAATCCAAACTACAAATTCATCAAATTATTAAAATTGTTTAAAGTTCAACAGCATCAATGTATATTTTATTCCTGCCAGAAGCAACGACAACCTTAATTAAAAATAAAAAGCAACTAAAAATCAAGTCAGCATATCGATAACTGCCGTCCTGTTCTATTTTAATCATTTAGTATGAAAAATAATTGCGAATGTTGAACTTGATTAGAATTGCAGACTTGCATTTTCATTTGCATCAACATTGTGCCTGTATCAGCTAGTCTCATGATTTTTTCTAGATTAGACTTTGAGTGAATTGAGAACAAAAACTAGAAAAAAAAGATTGTTTGAGTGGAAAAGTTTTTTTTTTAGTGAAAAGTGGGGAAAGTAAAGTTTGTGTATAAAAGTAGAGTTGATTCCATAAAGATCATCATTCATTTCCCATCATTACTGTATAGTCAATCATACAATAGAATCGAAGTGAAGTGATTAAGACGAGACAAGACGAGATGAAATATTTCCTAATAATCAGCGCTGTGCTGGGTAAGTAAAGCAACACCTTAAAGTGATAACAGTCATGCCTGATTTCAAATTGTTTTTGAAAAATTAGTTTTGGCACTCGCAAGTCAGCAGAGTGGTCAACAACAACGCCAACAGCAACATCAAGCCCAACAATCATCCCGTCGTTGGTATGGAGCATGGAATCAGGATAAGGAATACATTTATCGTGTTCGTAGTCGCACCCTTGCTGCCTTACCAGACATGAAAGACCAATATGCTGGAATCATGATGAAAGCTCGCCTCTCAGTTCGTCCACGTGATCGCGACAATGTCGTTATGCAATTGAGTGATGCTCAATATGCTCAAATCAACGAGGAAATGCCTGATGGTTGGGATTCAGATGCACCAAAGACAGCTCAATGGAAACAAATGCCAATCAGCAAGAAGCAATTCTATGTTGAATTAAAGAATGGAGCAATCCGTGGATTGTATTTCGATAAGGAAGTCACAAATGATCAAGCTAATATGCTCAAAGGAATTGTCTCACAATTCCAAGTTGATACACAAGCACAAAACTTGATTAAATGCAGACGTAATCAATTACCTAATCATGAGACACACACTGCTGCATACAAGACTATGGAACCATCAGTTCATGGCAAGTGCAAGACTATGTATGACATCTCACCAATCCCAGACTATCAAGTTGCTGCCAATCAAGAATGGGCACCAATGCCAAGTCTCAAGAAAGATGGACAAAGCTTCATTGAAGTCGTCAAGACTACAAACTTGAGTAACTGTGATGTTAATCTTGGATATCATTTTGGAATCACCGCATTGAGCTCACAACATCCAGGATCCAATAAAATGGGTGAATGGTTCGCACGCTCAAATGTTCAACGTACAATCCTTTCAGGACATCTCTCAAACTATACAATCCAATCCTCAGTTACCATCAACAAAGTCGTTGTTAGCCCTGAATTATATAACAGCAACAAAGCTATGGTTGTATCACGTGTCAATGTCTCATTGATTGAATTACGTGATGATAAGAATGAAGTTCCAGCTAGAACTGATGACATGGTCCGTACAAGTTTATATTATCAATACAACAATGTTGCAGCTGATAATAATCATGTTAAAAACTATACATCAGACTCATCTTCATCATCATCATCATCAAGCTCAAGTTCAAGTTCAAGTAGCTCAAGCTCATCATCAAGCTCAAGCAGTAGCTCAAGTTCATCATCAAGTTCTGATTCAAGCTCATCAAGCTCATCATCAGAAAGTGACGAAAAGAAGCATAACCAACCAAAGAAGCAACAAGGCAAGCAACAAAACACATTGAAGCGTTCACGTCGTAATGTACCAAACCATCAACATGAACAAAAGAAGCAACAACAAAAACAATTGAAAAAGGACCAGAATAAGCAACATAACCCAAAAAGCTCATCAAGCTCAAGCAGCAGCAGCAGCAGTGATAGTTCATCAAGCTCAAGCTCAAACTCAAGCAGTAGCTCAAGCTCAAGTAGCTCATCATCAAGCTCAAGCTCATCAAGTTCAAGCTCATCAAGCTCAAGCAGTGAATCTGACTCAAGCTCTGACTGGGATTCATCCTCAATGTCAGACTCAAGTGAAGAATTCCATGCTGATCGTCCACAAGCCAACAAGCCAGTTCTCGCTCCATTCACAGTTTTCTCATTGTTCCAAGACAAGATTAATGCACCAAAGAAGGCACTTAAGCTTGCACAAGAAATTGGTGAGCAATTACAAGATCCAAATACAATGCCAGAACAACAGACATTGAGAAAGTTCAATACACTTGCAACCCTTGTCAGAATCATGACCCAAAAGGAAATTGAAGAAGTTGGTAACCAACTTTATGTTGATGAGAAGCACTTACAACCAGCACAATCATCAAAGGACTCAAAGAATTTGGCTATCTGGAAGACATACCGTGATGCAGTCGCTGAAGCTGGTACACCAGCCTCATTCGGTTGTATTGTCAATTGGATTAAAAAGGACAAGAAAGTCATGAGAACTGAAGCTGCAAACTTGATCTTAAGACAAGTCAAGACCATCCGTTACCCAACCAAGGAACTTATGCAAGAATTCTTTGACTTCGCTACATGTGATGAAGTCCAGAAACAAGGATATTTGTCATCAGCATCACTCCTTGCTCTCAGTGGATTCTTAAGCTTTGCACAAGTCAACAACCAATCAGCTCACTCATTCTATCCAGTTCATGCTTTTGGACGTCTTGCTAATAGAAAATTCGATATTGTTCCAAGGAAAGTCATTCCATACCTTGATGCTGAAATGAAGAAAGCCTCAAAACATGGAGATAGTCAACGTATGTTGGTTCTTATCCGTGCTATGGGACAATTAGGACATCCAGCTATTCTTGAAGTTTTTGAACCATACTTAGAAGGAAAAGTACCAGTCACAGAATTCCAACGTCTTGCAATCATCACAGCACTCAATAAGCTTTCAAATAATCATCCAAAACTTGCTCGTATGATCTTCTTCCGTGTCTATCAAAATGCTGCTGAACGTTATGAAACACGTGTTGCTGCCATCTTTGGACTTATGAGAACTAACCCACCAGTTGAGATGCTTCAACGTTTAGCTGAAATGGCTAATACTGAACCATCAAAACAAGTTGCACATGCTGTCCGTACAGCACTTGAAACTGCTGCTGAACTTGATCATCCAGATAATCGTGAACTTTCAGAAAATGCTGAAGCTGCTCGTCAACTTCTCGATGATGATGAAGACGATGTACCAGAAGGTGTTCAAAACTCACGTACACACATCCATGACTGGATTATGGACGAGATGAATCTTGCCTATACAGTTCAAGCCTCAAAGATTGGAAGTGAAGACAGTTTGTTCCCAAAAGTTGCATCAATTCAAGTCACAAAAGATATGGGTGGATATAAGCACAGATGGAATGAATATCATGCAATGATCTCAAGTGTTGATCAATTAATTGAAATGGTCAAGGATCAATTCAGCACAGGACAACGTAAGAATAAATGGAACAAGAATCAACCACAAGAAAATCAACCAAAGAAGTCAGGATTTGATCTTGATGAAATTGAGAAGCTTTTGGATCTCCAATCAGAACAACAAGAACAACTTGAAGGACAAATCTTAATGAAAGTCAATAACTTGAAGAGATTCTGGACATTCAATAATGAAACTATTGATAAGATCCCACAATACCTTCATAGAGTTGCCAAGAAATTGGCTGAAGGACATCAATTTGATTACAGCAAGATCTATAATCAAGAAGTTGTTGAAATTGGCTTCCCACTTGCATCAGGTCTTCCATTCTCATTCGTCCATAGAACACCAACTGTTGTTCGTTCAGGCGGAGAACTTCGTCTTACAACAAGTCCACCAGAATATAACTTTGATGGCAAAGGAGCACCAACACAAGCTACATTATTTGGAACTTGGGATTCACTCTTTGCCTCACAAATTGATGCTCAAGTTGGATTCACAACTGTCTTTGACAAACAAAGATATTCAGCTGGTATCCAAAAGAAACTTCAAGTTCGCTTGCCAGTCCGTATGAACATCAATCTTGATCTTGTCAAGTCACAAGTCTCTGCTGAATTCGAAAACATGGACACCAAGGATGCCACCTTATTACACATGTCATCATGGCCATACACTGAACGTCGTAGCCTCGAAGCCACCATTGATTATACCGCAGAACATGACACCAAATTCGTCTCAGTCGATGAAGAGAAGAACATCCATGCTCGCATTGGTGAACGATCAACAGGTTTAGTCCTTGATATCAATGTTAAATACGAAAAAGACCCACTCTGCAGAGAGAAGCTCATGGAACACTACAGAAATGGAAACTGGGCTGGACTTGCTACATTCTTCACAGACCTCGATAGCAGCGAACACTGGAAACTCGAAATCCTCACCAACCAACAAGCTTCATCAGCTCAAAAAGTAAAGGTTCAAGTCCAACTTGAAAAGAAGGAATCATTCGAAGATGAAGAAGCTCTACAACATCCAAAGAACACCCAAAGAACAATGCAATGGCAAAACGAAGATCTTCTTAAGCTCCGCGAGGAACTTAACAAGCTCGGCGGTTCATGGAACAACGCTGAAATCACCGGAGTCCAAGCTCAAATCAAGTTTGTTGATGCCAGTGGAACCAGCAAATCTAAATTCCAATCAAACATTGTCGTTGGAAACAGCAAAGTCAGCCATGACTGGAGATGTATTGTCAATACTCATGCTAATGCTAACAAGTACAATAAGGAAGTCAACTTCCGTGCTTTTGTTCAAGCACCAAATGTACCAGAATTGAACCTCGATGATGCATTGAAGGGACAAGATGAAGGCAAATGGAAGATTGAATTCGAATTCGGAAATGCTGATGAACCAAACAAGGCTAAGATCACAATGAAGAGAAAGGCTGAACAGACAAGCGAACGCAAACAGGAAGTTGAGAGATCAGAAGATGCTGAAGAATGCAGAAAGCAAATGAAGGCTGGAAACTGGCTCCAAGAAGAATGCAGAAATGCCATCCATCAAGCCTCAATCTATGACAAATACACATACACAATTGAATACGACAACTTCTCATCCAAACAAAAGGAATGGGCTAACAGAATTGCACGTCAATCACGTGGTCAATTCTACGGCATGCTTGCACGTCATGAAGTATCATCAAATGATAGAAAGAGTGGCAACAAGCAAGTCCAAGTTGAACTTCAATACGATCCAGAACATTTGCAATCACTTAATGTTACACTCAAGTCTCCACACTTTGAAAAACACTATGCTGACATCAGAATTCCATCATGCTTCGCTAAGTACTTCCTTGTTCATCCAGAAGATGCTTGCCCATACCAAAGAATGGCAGCTGAAGCTACAAATGATGCTCATGAACGTAAGTACCAAAACCTGTGTACCCCATTTCTAGCTATATACCCCTTCCATGAAAGCTGTGTACCCCTTTTGGCTTACTCATTAATTTTTATATTTCTTTAATCCTCAGCATCATGCGTCATTGACCAAAGCTCAATCGAAACATTCGACAACATCCACTACGACTTCGAAGTTCCACAATGCTGGCATGTAGCTATGATCTCAAATCCAAAGGAAGACTTAGATGATAGCAGCAGCGAAGAAAAGGACAAAGAAGGTCACAGTGATAGAATTGCAGTACTCACCCGTCAAATGCCACATGCTGATCGTGATCGCAAAGAATTTGCAATCATCATCGGACAAGAACATGGAGAAGATCAAATCATCAGAATTGAAGGATCAGGAAATGGAGCTAAATTGTTCTTAAACGAACAAGAACAGCATTTGGAAACCGACCGTGCCTTGGAACACCATGGACAAGATGGTCAAGATGCTCCACTCATCCGTGCCTACAGACTCAAGAATGGAGAAATCCGCATCAAGATTCGCAACCGTGATCTTGTCTTGACAACTGATGGACGTCGTGCAATCATCTCATCAAGAACCAACAGACACCGTGATGGAATTAATGGACTTTGCGGAACCAACAATGGAAATGAATTAGACGAATTCAGAGCACCAGACCAGAAAGTCTTTGCTGATGCTCATCACTTTGCTGCCTCATGGGCTATCGTTGACGACTCATGCTCAGCTGATGCCAAGAGTGCACACAGTAAGGCATTGAAGGCACCACGTTATGAAGTTGAGTACATTTTCGGAAATATCATCGGAGACCGTGAAACAAGCCGCAAGACACCAAAACACAGTCCAAAATGGTCAGGAAGCTCAAGCTCATCCTCATCAAACAGTTCAAGCTCAAGCTCATCATCATCATCATCAAGCAGCTCAAGTTCATCAAGCTCTAGCTCAAGCTCATCAAGCAGCAGCAGCTCCTCAGAATCAATGGAAAATGGACATCCACGTCCAAATGAAATCTTGCCAATCCAACGCGTCCACAAAGTTGAACGTGACAACGAGATCTGCTTCACAAAGAGGAAGATCCCAACATGCCCAAAGAAGTACAAGTCAGCAGATACTGACAACAAGTTCTTTGATGTCCATTGCATGAGCAAACATGAAGCTAAGGAACATGTCCGTGAACACAAGAAAGGAAATGATCCAGACTTCAAGAATCACCAAACACACAAGACAATCAAGTTAGAACATCCAACAAAATGTGTCAGACGCCAGAATAAGCAAAAGATTCAAAAAGCAAAGAACCAACAAATGTAAATTGATGACTTAATGCTGACCCTCGACTGACTTTATGGCTGACTTAATGAAAAAAACTTTTTCGGATTTTCGGAAATTCTCAAAAAAAAAAATGAAATTTATTCAGGTTCTTGAGCTTCCAAGTGAAGTTTGAGAGATATTTAGGGACAAAATTTGAGGAAGTGACGAAGATGAAAAAGTTTAAATCGACAAAAAAAAAATAGTTTGTAGACACAACGAGCATCCCAAAAAAATGTTACAATTGAATTTGTACGACCAAAAAAATATGCGAACCAAAAATTTGTTGAATAAAATTTTTTTAAATTTTTGTAAAAGATGAATTTAAAAGTTTTTTGAATTATTATTTTTAAAGTCTTTCAGATGAAATTTCTTTAATTCATTTAGATAAATTTTTTATAATAAAATTTCAAATAATAATTATCAAGTTGAGACTCGTCAAGTTTTAATTGGCAAGAACATTAAATTGGTTCAACAGACATTTTTCACAAAAAGTAGTGACATCTCGCTTGTTGACAGGTGCGTAGCCAAGAGGGTCTTGCCCCCCCCCCCCCCCACCTTAAACGTTTAGAACCTACAACGCTTAAGAGGGGGACAAGATCCTCCTAGCTACACACCTGCATGTTGACTACTGTTTTGTAGATTAATAATGTCTCAGTCAGCCAATAAAGGTTGACTTTTTGGTTGACCATTCAGTTCTCATTATTCACAATTTTAAAAAAGTTGATTAAAAGCTAGCTTATAGCAAGACTTTGAACCTTGAGAGTCAACCGATGACAATAAACTTTGCTCCTCAGGATTCACCTCCAATTTCACTCTCTCCAGTATTGAATCCATCATCATGGTTTGAAAAAAAAGTGAATTTTGTGAACAAAGATGCTATTGCACCAAGTTCATGTTAACTTAATAAAGTAAAAGTTGAAAAAAATTTTTAAATTCCATAACAACCAGAACAAATTCAAATTTCAAAAGCTTTAAGCTTTTTCCCACCATAAGCTCCGAATTCTGATAAGAATTCCAGTTGGAACCAACCATTCTCTCACTGGAAACAGCTGACTTTTGTTTACAATTCTCAACCTTACAACTCTTTCCATATATTTTTTTTAAAATATTATTTTTATTGCCGTACTTCACGATTCCATTACTGATAATAAATCAGGCTTACATCAGTGTTTGTATTGTGTACAACGTGTAGATTTACAGACAATAAACACAATATTTTCGCGTTATCAGCTTCAGATTAGTAGACACTGGAAAATTTTCCATCATTTTGTGACAGTTTTGCTGCAATTTTCAATTCATTTGCAGTTCTGAGCTCGCGGATTGTGGATTGTTTGCTGTGTTTAATTGAGTTTTAAGTCGTAAATTGTGAAATAATCAATAGATTAAGATGGAAGAATCAAAATTAGATTCAACTAGAATGGATTTGGATCTACAAGCTGTTGAGGCTATGCTATTAGCTACTCAAGATCAATCAACTTACCGTCATCGGTTTGAAGATGAATTTGACGCTACTGGTAAGCAATTGTTATGAGTTTGATACTTTACTTTGTTGATTTGAAACATAAGCTTAACATTAGATGACATAACCTCAAAACTCAGTCACATAACCTAAAAATTAAGTCACATAATCTCAAAATTTAGACTCATAACCTCAAAATTCAGTCATATAACCCCAAAATTCAGACTTAACCTCAAAATGCAGACTCATAATCTAAAAATCCAGTCACATAACCTCAAAATTTAGACTTATAACCTCAAAATTCACACACATAACCTCAAAATTCAGATTCATAACCTTAAAATAAAACAAAATAACCTCAAAAAAATCAATCTAACCTCAAACATCCCCCAAAATCATTTTAGAGCACCAACATCAACGCTACAACCCCTTATCGGGTCAATGGATCCTCGTCTCACCACATCGCATGAAACGCCCATGGTCAGGCCAAGAGGAAGCATCGCAAAAAGAAGACTTGCCAGAGTTTGATCCATCAAATCCACTCTGTCCAGGCGTCACTCGTCCAAATGGTGAAAAGAATCCAGACTATAAGTCAACATTTGTGTTCACCAATGACTTTCCAGCACTTTTAGAGGACATTCCAGTTCCACCTGAGAGTGATGATCCATTGTTCCAGACCAGAGGTGCTCGCGGTACATGCAAGGTCATGTGCTTCCATCCAAAGAGCAACAAAACATTGCCAGTGATGAGCTTGACTGAAATATCAACAGTCATTAATGCTTGGATTGATGAGTTCAAGAAGCTAGCCAGAAAGTACACTTGGGTACAGATTTTTGAGAATAAAGGTGCTGCTATGGGATGTTCCAATCCACATCCTCATTGCCAGATCTGGGCATCTTCATTCTTACCAACTGAGCCTGAAATTAAGGATCGATACTTGCGTGAATATTTCGTCATTTATGGACGTCCACTCCTCGAAGATTATGTCAAGCGAGAACTAATCAACAAGGAACGAGTTGTCATCGAAAATCCAGACTTCCTTGTCGTCGTTCCATTCTGGGCATGTTACCCATTCGAGACCATGATCATTGCACGTGATTCCAGGGTCAAACGAATAAATAACTTGACGTCATCACAGATTGCAAATCTATCGGCTGTAATCAAGGAACTGACAACAAAATATGATAATCTCTTCAAATGTTCATTTCCTTACTCGATGGGATTTCATGGAGCACCGACTGGTGAGATGTTGGACTATGATGATCTTCATTGGACATTCCATGCTATTTACTATCCACCATTGTTGAGGAGTTCAACAATTAGGAAGTTTATGGTCGGATTTGAGCTGTTGTGTCAGGCTCAGAGGGATTTGACACCAGAACAGGCTGCTGAGAGGTTGAGGAACTTGGATGGGAAGAAGCATTATAGTGAGGATTAGGAGTGTTGATCATGTGTCTTATGGATGTGGCTATATAGAGGAATTTATTATATTTTTTATATATTTGTAGCTTTTTGAACAGTTTTAATAAAATAATCAACATAACCTCAAAAATTTTTTTTTTATTTTTGAACCTTTTTTTTTAACCCAGCTTTAGACTGGCTGCTTTATGTTTTATATACCCTAGTTACATATTCTATTATGGCAAAACTAGCAGCTAACGCTAACCTAAAACACCTCAACTCCACCACCTCTCCTCGAGTCATACGAAGCAACAATATCTCCATCATCCACAGATATCGCTGTCACAGCAGCAAATCCACCGTCAGGAAGATTCTCTCTTAATGTATGTCCATACTGCTCATTTAATAATCTCATAATCTCTGAATCAAAATTAGATTCATATTGTAAATCAAGTGGAGTCAGCTGATGATGAAGTCGTCTGGCATCTAGAGCAGCTACAAGGGTTTTGTTCAGGTAGAGATGATTGAAAATGGCTGCGAAGACTCCAGTTGGGATGCGTGAGCCACCGGCTGCACCGACTATCATTCTGGAATTGAATTGAATATTTAGTGATTAGAAGATTATTGAGACTGCAATAAAGCTATTTGGTGGTTAATTGTCGATACTTAAAAAAGACCAAATCCTAGTCCTGACCTTTATATTGCTCTTGTCAAAGACTTGGCAATGACTAACCTAAACCATAAAAGATACCCAAGATTTCAACCCTCAAGAGCTTTATTCTCAGTTCCAACCTCAAAAGTCAACTGCCACTTACTTAACATCCCCATTTCCATCAATTACCATACTCGGAATCATCGACGACAATGGATTTTTTCCTGGCTTAATAAAGTTAGCAGGTGATGGTGGAATTCCATAAATATTAGGAGCACCAGGTGTTGAAAAGTCATCCATATGATTATTCATAATAATTCCAGTTTGTTCTGATCTGAAAAAGGCACCAAGTAAGTAATTAATACTGTTTGTGACTGCAATAGCATCTCCATTTGGCGCCAATATTCCAACATTTGCTGTTCCGTGATTCTCAACATCAGTGTAAAGTGGTCCGTAATATTTTATATCATTTGTAGTTTTTGTGTCATTGATAAGCTTCCTTATCTCATCAGCATAAGCTTGATTTGTGAGATTGTCAATCATTTCCTTAATTTCATCTGTGTGATCGTCACCAAGGTGAGTTCGTTTTGCGTAGGCAAATTTGAAAGCTTCAGCAATTCTGTGGTATGTTAAGGCATCATGCTTAAGCTCATAATCTCGAAGAAGATTGAAGATAAAGACTAGACAAGCTCCACTGCTAGGTAATGGGAAGGTATGGAGAGTGTGGTTGTTGATGATCGTGGTTGAATAGGATGTGGACCATTCGACTCTAAAATGATGGAAAAACATTAAGCTATGGCAATCAGACTAAAATCCTTAAATACTTACTCATAATTCATTAAATCCTCAATTGTCAGTATCCCATTCCTACTCTGAACATCCTCAACTATCTTAGTGCCAATACTTCCACCACCATAGATCGAGTCAACACCTTCTTGAGCTATAACTTCTAGTGTCTCAGCTAGTTTCAGTCTTTTGATCTTCTCACCTAGTCTATAAGTGTGATTAGTCTGTGGATTGATGTAGACATCCCTCAAACTTGGTTCTCCAAAGATTCTAGCCTCATTGTTCCTGAAAATGTTTTCCAAATATCTAGAAACTTCATGACCTTCTCGACACAGCTCAATCACATGATGCAACAAGTCTTTCCACTTCAAACTTCCATAATTTTGATGCAAATCCCATAAACCTTTAATTTCACCAGGAACGGCCACTGATTTTCCGCCACTTTGTGATTCTATTGGATTTGCAACAAACATGTCTTCGGTAGCTGCAGCTGGTGCTCGTTCTCGTGCATTTAATGTCTTTACAGTTCCATTAGCTTTTGAGTAAAATGTTAAGAAAAATCCACCGCCAATGCCTGACGATTGTGGACATGTTATGCCTTCACATAGAACTACAGACACAGCTACATCCGCGACATTACCACCGAGTTCGAAGATCTTTCTTCCAATTGCTGCACATTCTAGTCCATTTGTAACAATTGCTGATTTTTGAGCAATTTGTGGATTCTCTGTGGTTGATGAAGTACTTTGAGGGCCTGCTGTGGTAGGTGGACCTTCAGTTAATCCTTCATTTGAGTCTCTCGTGACTAAATAAATTGATAGAACCACAATAGAACCACTGACAATTGCAGCAGCCAAAAGAACCATAAAAATTCTAAACAGTCTGTCTGTAGATCTCTTCATGATTGATTTTCTAAGACAAGTGATGGAGAGAAACTCAATTATTGAAGAGATGTTTCAAGTTTGGATACTAAAACGGTAATAAACGGCTGTACAAATAATGTATACTTCAAAAATGCAGGCAATAAAGTTTTATAACGATGATAATTTAACTTTAATCTAAGGTTGTAAAGCTTTTATAGATAGATGTTTGTGAATGGAACGGGATTGGAGTTAGGTGAAGGTGCATTTTAGATTTTTTAAATTTTGTATTAAAGATTCTCCATTTTGTACTAAAAAGTCTCCAGTTTGTACTAAAGAGTCCTTATTTTGTACTGAAGATTCTCCATCTTGTACTAAAGATTCTCCATTTTGTACTAAAGAGTCTCCATTTTGTACTAAAGATTCTCCATTTTATACTAATAAGTCTCCATTTTGTCTCTTCCTTACTCCTACGAAATTCTAGAACAAATTTAAGCTGTTTCATTTTATTACAATCTATTTTAGTAACGAACTTGTGATAAGATTAGAAACTACAATGTTTGATGATTGGCAACTTAACAGCTTAGTTGAACGCTTATCTAAGCACTTAAAAGTATTTGAAGATATAGAAAACCTTAATGTCTGGGAAGCAGTCTACACTGGATCGGAGTGGATACTAAATTAGTCAGAAAATATCATAAAATAGATTGTAGCAATTTGATTGTATTTTAGAATGACGAAGCTAATAACTTCAAAATTACTAGTATGAGCTTGACAGACCGCTAAATATCAAAGCATGACGTCACAATGAAGTTTCAAAAATGAACATTCCATAGTAAACTTTTAAAACAATATTAAGATGTGATAAGAGCGCTAATCAAGTTTATTTTCTATTTACTAAGATTATCAACCTGTAAATGATTTCATGGCTAACTGACCATCTTAACATTGAGCATTTTGAATTAGCCTTAATTCTCAAAACTCAGAGCCAACTCAGAGAGTCAAAGAATATCGAGACACAAAATTTTTGAGACTCAATGCCGCAGTCGTAAATAAAACGTAAACTAGACTAGCTGAAATAATTATTGTTGGAGGAAAATGAGGTTTAAAGGTAAGAAAGTAACATAATCACCTTTTCGGTCTAAAGTGTCAAGTATCATATCCTGTGTGCAGCCTAGAAACTGCTATGGGATTCACTGTAGTACAATTGAGTGAATCCGAGTTCTTAACTTAGGTTATATCCTAGGATATAAGAATTTGACCTTACTATGACCTAGACCTGACCTTGACCTGATCTAGATCTAATCTAGGTATGATCTTTCCCTAATTCTCTCATCTATCAACAGCTTCATCACTTAGTTCTCTCATCATAATAATTCTAATCTACTCGCTATTCCCAAACCTATCAACATGCTCAGCAAAAAACCTTGATACTGAAATTCTTGAACTAAAAATCAAAGCAATCACTTCCTTTGAACTTTCATCGATGAGCTTTGATGAACTTCCAAGTTTGTTCTTCCTTTACGAGAATCTTGTCCACAAAAGGTTCGAGTCAGTCTATAAAAATAATCTAAAGAAGTTTGAGGAATTCAGGAAAGTCCATCAACATTATGCAATTAAGTCATCCTTTTACTCATTGAAGCTTTCTGACGTGATTGTGTTTCAAGACTTTAATGCAGCAGACCTCCAAATAATCAGCAATAAAATCAATTGGTCTGACAAGGAAGTGAATAAATTTGGGTTTCTCAGCAAAGACAAATACGGAACATTCAAGTTTCATGACCAAGCATTTGCTGACTTCTTCATAGCTCAATACTTCTATGACAACATTGTCCATCCAAAAGACAGTCCATCTGATGACGAAATGGAACTCCGACTGAGATTCTTCTTCTACATCATTGCTAATATCTATGATCGATATTCTGTAACTAATGAGTTTATTATGGCTATGATTGAGGATCAAAATGATGAGATGTTCAGCGATCAAGTCAGGATGCTGATGAAGTACAAGTTTGATTCCCTTCTGGATCCTTATTTGATACATTATTCAGACTATGTTGAGAAAATGTCGTCAATTTTTGCAAAAGACAAAGAAATTCTTTGCAATCTTTGGGGAACCAGTAAGGACCTGCCATTTTTCTTGAGATACTTACAAAGGAGCAAATTTGGCAACCCAGTTAAGGAATTGAAAGCTATTGCTGAGAGATTTTTTAAAATAGCTTCAAATTCCTCACAATCAACCATGCAAGCTGATCAAATATTCCGCGGAAAGAATCAAATTTTGACTGTCCTGTACACAATTCACTTAAAAAAGAATGAAAACTTTACAAAGGACATCCTGGATGTCACAAAATACCAAGTCAGTGATGACATTTTAGTAAATTTAAATCAATATGAAGATTTTCTGGACTTTGTGGATGCATCAAGTTACTCATTAACTGACAAGAAAGAGTTTATCATGTCTAATGCTTACAACATGATTGGAAGAACTTGGACGGCTGAGAACCTGACTAAACTCTGGAATAGAATGGAGAAATATTTCACAAAAAATGAAATGAAGCTGATTTTAACTCAAAAGGATCAACACTTCAACCACACGCATCTGTTCCACCTCCCGAGTAGGTTTGACCTTGCTTATCCTGAAACTTACTTGAATTTGACCAGAACTTACCTAAGTCCCGAAGAAATTAAGGAATTTTTAAGTCATCGACGTCTAATTTGTCAAGAATCATTCTTAACACACTACATGAATATTGCTGAGAATGCGACGGTCTATGAATTAAATTACAATTTTACTAAAGAATTTCTGACCCACGAAGAGCTCAAGAACCTGATTTTCGTCCACAAAGACAAGCCATTCATCCAAAAATTCGCCGACAATCAAGAAATTTTCACAATTTGTACGAGAATTTTGTCAGAATTTTACACAAAAGATGAGATTCAGGATATGCTAATGGTAACTGATGAGAACAATAGAAACATTATTTTTTGGACGATCGATGCACTTTCAGGAAAAATAAGGCATGATTTTGCTGATTATTTAAGGGATATTTTTAAGGGACGGGAAGACAAGCTTAAGCAAATGTTCAAAATTAAGTCAAATTTTAATCAAACTATTTTCGACAAGTTCGATGGCTCGATGTATAAGGAGAAGGTTAAGCCATTTTTGGATCTAGCTAAGGAGATATTCACAGATGAAGAGCTAAGGAAGCTACAGAAGAGCAGCAGCAATGAATAATCCAATAATTACTTTGTTACAAAGTTTTGATCATTTAAAGGTTCATGCTGGTTCAAATAGAATGGGTTGGGAAGTGCTTAGTGGCTTGCTTTATGCATTTCCTCAAACCATAATGTACGCATTTTTTAGCATTTAAATAAAAATATTCGATTAAGCAATGACGTCATAGTTTGTTGTTTCAAAAAATAATCAGTCAGAGAGGTTGAGAGAAGTCAAAATAAAACTACATGCTGATAATATTCTCAGTTTACACATTTTCAAGACACAAGCTTGTTGTGGATTTTGATTTGCTCATCCAAAAATTTAATTTAGCTGCCTGGATCACTTGACAGGTTGATTAAGCCTCAGTTTTGTGAATTTTTGATGTTTAATTTCTAATAATTCATTTTAAGGCATTGCCATGATTGCCAGCCTAAGCTTATTGAATGTTTTAATAGTCATTCAACTGCTACATCCATCAACATGCTCGCCAAGAAATCTTGAAGCTCAAATTCAGGAACTAAAAATCAAAGCAATCACTTCCGTTGAACTTTCATCGATGAGCTTTGATGAAATTCCAAGTTTGTTCTTCCTTTACGAGAATCTCGTCAACAAAAGGTTCGAGTCAGTCCAAAAAAATAATCCGAAAAAGTTTGAGGAATTCAGGAAGATCCATCAATATTATGCAATCCAAAATTCATTCTACTCATTAAAGCTGAGAGATGTTATGGTTGTTGAAAGCTTCAATGCAGCAGATCTTGACATAATCAGCAATAAAGTCAACTGGACAGAGAATGAGATCATTAGCTATGGATTCTTAGGGAAGCAAAAGGAAGTTCCAAAGTACTACATTAAAAGAGAAATGATTTTTCACGAGGAATCTCTGGCTGACTTTTTTATAGCTCAATACTTTTATGATAACTTGATCCACCCGAAGGACCATCCAAGTGATGACGAAATGGAACTAAGGATAAGATTCTTCCTGCATGTTACATCAGATAGCTATGACAGTAAGCCACTGACAAATGAGTTTATCATTGGAATGATTGAGGATCAAAATGGTGAAATGATCAGCGACCAAATCAGGATGCTTATGAAATACAGGTTTAGGCACTTGTTGGATCGATTCTTGCCTAATCAACTAAGTTTTGTTGAAAAAGTGACCAAAATGTTCAGCAAGGATGAAGAGATTCTTGGAAATCTTTGGGGAATCAACGATAGTCAGCCTTACTTCCTTAGATATTTTAGGTTCTTATCCTCGAATGACAAAGTCTATAACTTGAAGAATATCGCTGAGAAATTCTTCATAATTGGAACTGAGTCAAACTTAACCTCAAACTCAAAGAAACTGCAAGCTGACAATATTTTCAGTGGTAAGAACCAAATCCTAAACGTACTGTACAGAATCTACGAGAAAAGGAATGAAAATTTTACAAATGACTTCCTTGAAGTTACAAAATATCAAGTCAGTGATGACATAATGAGCAAGCTAAAGCAAGAGAGGAACTTCCTAGACTTTGTGGACTCATCAAGCTACTCAGCCACTGCAAAGCGCGAATTTTATCTGTCAAATTCCTTCAACATGATCAGCAGCACCAGGAACAAGACAGAATTGATGCATTTTTGGAGCAGGCTTAAGCTACATTTTAACAATCATGAGCTTAAATGGTTCATAACTCAAAAAGAGACAAGCTACAATCAGACGCAGTTGTTCCTGCTGACAAGTCACGGTGATGTTAGCTATGTTGAAGCCTTCCTGAATTTGACCAAAACTTACCTCAGCAGAGATGAAATTAAAGAGCTTTTAATCCAAAGATCCCCAGTCAGCCAAGAGTCGTTCATTACTCGATACATGATAATCATCAGGAAGACTGAAATCTTGGAACTAAACTACAACTTTGCTAAGGAATACTTAACACATGATGAGCTAAAGAACCTGATTTTCAACAATAACCCAGCTGAATTCATTCACAAAATGTCGGGAAATAAGAAAATCTTCAAATTTTTTATGGACGCTTTGCCAGAATTCTACACAATAAATGAAATCCTGGACATGCTTATGGCAACTGATGAGTACGGCAGCAATATTATTTTTAACATGGTGACATCAGGAAATAAATATAATCGCAGGAATGATGTTGTGGTTTACTTAAAGGATGTCTTTAAAGATCATCAAGACAAGTTAAAGGAGTTGTTAGCAGCTAGGAACAATGTTGGACAGACTGTATTTGGACGGTTCAAAGATTCATACGATAAAGATGGACTTGGGCCATTTTTGGAGCTTGCTAAGGAGATTTTTACTGAAAAGGAGATTGAGGAACTTTATAAGGATCAGAGAAGTGATTAGGCATTGATAATTTGGTCTTGAACTCGAATTCAGCATGAACATAAAATAAAAAATATTTCAATAAATAATTTTTGAAGTTTTTTCTCACCTTTCGATCAATTTATTGATCCACAAGTCTATCTACCCGAAAGGCACAGGTCGGTTAATCGATCAGAAATCCTGCACCAAGCTGGTGTGACTCTGGGATGGTGCTGGATTTAAATTGTAGTCAGTACCATGGTAGAGTCATGCTGACTAGGTGCCGGATTACTGTTCGATTAACCGACTTGTGCCATTCGGGGAAGCCCGCTAGTTTTTTTAGCTGTCGTTTCATTCTTATTGATTTTCCATGCTTAAGTCTAAATATCTGTTTTAGATCCATGGGGTCTAGAGCAGTGTGGTCCAAACTTTGTGCCGTAGAATTTTTTTAAAACGTACCCAAGCCGCATGCTGTGTGCAACTTCGGTCATGGCTTACCCCTCAGATGTACCGTGACTCAAAAGCTTTGGACAACACTGGTCTAAAGGAATGATGGCAATCAAGAGTACATAAATTGAGAGAACATCAGCTCAGCAGCATTCTCTGAGAATTAAAAAAAAAATCGGTCACTTTGTAATCTCATCGTTCTGTAAACAGACTTAAAAAGCAGCAATTAATCTCAGTTGGTCTTTTGGAGCAGAAGCAACGAGTCAGTGCAATAAATCAGACTACAAAAAAAGAGAGATTATTTCGGAAAGGATGCAAACTTTTGGTAAGTTTACAAATGAATCAAGGCAAATTAGGAACAAATTACAATTCCGAATTGCCAAAATCACGATCAAACATAAATCAATCCTCTAAATTCTGCTCTCTTTTAGGATCGTCACACTATCTTTACATCTTCGCTCTTACTCTAATTTACTCTCAATTCCCACATCCAACAACATGCTCGCCAAACAACCTTGAAACTCAAATTCTTGAACTAAAAATCAAAGCAATCACTTCCGTTGAACTTTCATCGATGAGCTTTGATGAACTTCCGAGTTTGTTCTTCCTTTACGAGAGTTTTGTCACTAAAAGATTCGAGTCGGTCCACAAAAAAGATCGCAGAAAGTTTGAAGAGTTCAGGAAAATCCATCAATATAATGCAATCCTTAATTCATACTTTGATTTTCATATCCGCGATGTGCTTATAAATGAAAGATTTGATATTAGAAATCTAGACATAATTAGCAAAAAAGTCAATTGGACCGAAAGTGACGTCACAAAGTATGGATTGCTATCAGCAGTTCCAGCAGTAACTCGAAAAACTTTGGAACGTGATTTTGATTTTCATGAGGAAGCTTTTAAAAATTTCTTTACTGCTCAATACTTTTATGATAATCTAGTCCACCCTAAAGATCATCCCAGTGACGATGAATTAGAATTAAGGATCCGGTTCTTCCTGCACATAATCGCTGATGACTACGAACCCAAACTTTTAACAAATGACTTTATAAATGGAATGATTGAAGACCAGAAAGATGCAATCTTTAATGATCAAGTCAGGATGGTCATGAAGTACAGATTCAAGTATCTACTCGATCAAATCTTGCCTGATTTGTTGTATATTGTTGAAAAAGTGACAAAAGTCTTCAGCAACGATGCAGAAATTCTTGGAAATCTTTGGGGAATTGACGATAATCAGCCTTACTTCCTCAGATACTTTAGCTTTCTATACACAAACGACAAAGTTTGTGAGTTAAAAGAAGTTGCTGAAAAATTCTTCATAATTGGAACTGAGTCAAACTTAACCTCAAATTCAACGAAACTGCAAGCTGACAACATTTTCCGCGGCAAGAACCAAATCCTGAATGTCCTGTACAGAATCCACGAGAAAAAGAACCAAAAATTCACAAAAGACATCCTTGATGTCACAAAATACCAAGTCGGCGATGATGTTCTGGCAAATTTAAGTCAATATAAAGATTTCCTGGACTTTGTGGATGCATCAAGCTACTCAGCTATTGAGAAACGTGCATTTTATCTTGCAAATGCCGAATACTTTATAAACAATGCAAAAAATGGAAGTAATCTGCTGACTTTTTGGCGCAGGATCCAAAAATATTTCAATGTCAACGAGTTAAAGTCCATCCTGACTGCAAAGGATATTAATTTCAATTATACTCACATGTTCATGCTACAGCGTCATAATGATCAAAGCTATGTTGAAACATTCTTGAATTTGAGTCAATTCTACCTTAGCAAGGATGAAATTAATGAAATGTTGGTCCAAAAGTCCCCGTTCGGGAATGAATCATTCATATCCAAGGACATAAGCATAGTCAATAATGTAAGAATTTTTGAGTTGAATTACAACTTCGCAAAGACCCACCTTGACCATGAGCAGCTTAAAGTCCTTCTTTTTCACAACGATCCTGTCCTGTTTATCTACAAAGTTATCAGAAATCCAGCAATATTCAGATTCTGCATGACTATTATGACTGAATTCTACACTGATGACGACATCCGAGCGATGTTGATGCAAACAGACAAAGATTCCACTAAATCAACTTTATTCAGGGCTGTTGGATCGACTAGCTCCAAGAAGGATAGACAAGATGTTAAGGATTATTTTAAAGAAATGTTTAAAGGTCATGAAGATAAGTTGAAGGAACTTTATAGAATAAGAAACTCTCGAGGAGAGACTGTGTTGGGTGATTTTAACAAAACTTACTATCCAAATGAGATAAAGGCGCTCCTGGAGCTTGCTGAAGAGTTGTTTACTAAAGAAGAAATTGATGAAATTCAAAAAAGTCAGGAATAAACAACAGATTTAAAATAGACTAAAATTTTAGACACCCCAGGCGCATAGCCAGGAGGGTCTTGTCCCTTTCTTAAACGTTCTGAACAGCAGCGAGAGCACGGCCTAAAATGCTTAAGAAAGGGACAATACTATCCTGGCTACGCACCTGGGACGTCCTAAAAGGACCCTACACCCAATCCTCAATGCTTGATCAATATTTCTATGATTTCTAAATAAAATTTTATTTGCCATATTCGGGAGAGACATTAACGTGTTTTTCAGAATATGACGCACATCATTGTTTTTTTCCAAATCTTCCACTCAAAAGCTTCAAAATTAAATTCTCTACAAATTTCTCGATGCCACTGGCTCGATGTACCCCCAAAAAATATTTATCATCTACTCAGTTCTCCCAATTCCTCAAACTCACTCCACATGCCATCATCTCGGGGCCACTCCATCACCCCACATTCTCATCCTACAGCTCACTTCTTGGCAACTGAAGAAAAAAATGCCGCTTTTTGTGTTGTTGAACATGAAGAAGAGTAAAATTGGGCTACGAACAACACAAATACAAATGAAAAGCTTTTCAATACAGCGATAAAAAATTTTCTCATGCGATGTTGGTTCTGAAGACGTTCCATTGTGGCGCCACAAAGCCTGCTTCTACCACATGTCACATCTTCTACGATGTGCGAATGAAGAAGAAAATTCTTTTTTCTCACTTTGATTGTATTGGTGAGAGTTTGAGAGATGTGGGGTGTGGGGTGGGAGTGTGGAGTGAAAAAAGGAGGGAAAATTGGAATCGCCCATACTATAATGAGCCACATTATGTTGTGATAGAGATATAAAGTCTCCCACAACGCGTGTTTGATTGTGACCGCGCGCTTTTCTCGTGTCTCGTTTTTTTTTGTGCTGTGTATGGGAATATATGGGAATTTTATTGGGGATTATTGTTGAGGACTGTTTGGGAATGTGCTTTGATGTTTGATGAACTCTCTTGAGAAGCGATGTTTATTTGAGATTTTGAGCTTTTCTGCTGGAATTTAATGGGCTCATGGTCATCTGGAAGATAGTAATTTCCTTTTTAGGCAGTTTAGCTTGAGGTTCTTTTATACTTGATGAAGACATGGATCTTTCAAATAGTGGGGGCCAGGGGGGGGGGGGTCCATAGATGCACGGGCATCTTCCTTGAGACTGATTTTTAATTAACAAAAGTAAGAACATTAATATTAGCTTTTATTAATCGAATAGAGAAAGTTTTTTTGATTTTCGACAAAAATCAAAGTGAACCCCCCCCCCCCCCCCCCCCCTCTCTTTCGAAACATCCTGGCTACGCCCTCACTTGGGTCTGATTTTGGCATCTTGGTCTAAAAGAGGACCGATGGTTTTGTTGAAATACAATCTAATTAAATGATGAATAAGTAAGCCTTGCATCTGAGCTAATGTAACCGAAACTAAGGTTTCACACACCAGCAAAATTGTAAGCTAGCTAGATTCATAAGAAGGGTTGGCCACCACTGCTTTAAGGTCAGTTTACGATTACAGCTCACCAAAAGCACCCCAAATGACTCCAAATTCATCAAAATTCAACTCAGTTCATCTCGTTTAAATCTCTATTCCTCCTATATGCTATAAAACACGTACTACAAATTGCCATGTGAGTCAGAAAAAAATATTCTTTCAAAGAGCACAAAATTTTATTTCGAGAGAGGCAACAAAAAAAAAATAATTTTTTGTGCGCTCGCAGACAGTGAGCAGTGTGGGAAAATTGCCAGACGGAGATGTCGAGAATATAAAAAAAAATCCAATGTGGGGGGTTGGGGGGTGCTAGTTTTGCAGAGGGGTGGAAAAAAAATTTTTTTCGAAAAAAATTTCCTTCTGCTTTTCTTTCAGTTCGAATTGAAAGCTCATCGCGGCATCATCGAAAAAGAAGAATTTCATCGCGAAATAGCGCGCCGGGTTTGACATTAAAAGACAAAAATTTGTTAATTAATTTTTACTTGAAAATGTGAAAAATAATTGTGCAGTGTTAAGAAATAATTAAAAATTCAGGATTTTTGGCCTTTAAAAAAATATTCAAAAAAAAGCTTCAAATTTTTTTTTCTTATAAAATTATTAAAAAATAATATTAGTAATAATAATTTAATGGAATTCAAACGACGCACGCATTTTGAAATGTTAACTTAGTTTGTAGGGAAATCTATCGCACATAATCTACTACTATTTAATAGGATTAATGTAATTTGAAATCTTTTTTTACTATATTGTGACCTTTTCAGTTATTTCAACATTTT